AAAAAGAAGAAAAAATAAAGAAAAGATAGAGAAGAAGAAGAAAGAATAGAGAAGGATGATCAAGTTGTTTTGCTGATGATTATACATATATCGATGGTACATGCGGTGGGTTTTTTGTTATTCAATTAGAGAATATTTTCATTAAAAAATGACAGTATTGGGTATTTAAAGCTATTTTTTTTCAATTATTTTCAATTAATCTAATATTGCACTGTTTAAACTAAATCCATTTCGAATAAACATAAATATAATTATATTAAATGTGAAATCGTTGAAGACAAAAATCAAAAACTAAAAAAAAAAAGGTAAAGAACAAAATGAAACAAAAAAAAACTAGTTTTTCTTGTTTCCAAGCAATGAAGCATTAAGCATTAAGATATAAAAAAACTTTAAAGAAGATAAATGATTAAGGTAACAAAAATAAAATAATAAATTACAGGTAATATACAGAAGTTTTATTTATAATAAAAGCTTGTTTTTATAATTTGGCTTTTTCCCAAATTTCTAACTTAACTAACCCCATTAATTCAAAAATCCTTTACAACCCTCAGATCCACAAAGACATTGAATACGCTCTTCATCATTAAATTCTCTCTCAAATTTATAGTCATAAGTCAATTCCTCATGGGCCTTAATATCTCTCAATGCATATATCACAATTCTCTTTTTACCATCAACTTTGATGATTTTAGCAGTGCAACTAGGCTGACAACAATGGTTAATAAATCTTGCAATGCCCCCTTTTTTGGTAGCATCAATCACTGTTTGCTCATCGATTCTAAAAAGATAACTTGATCCAATTCCAGATTTAATATACTGTTTTTCACGTACATCTGCAACCTGTTGTCGAATACTTTCTCCGACGTACTCAATAATCATCTCCCGAGCAGCTATAGGCTCTAATGCATAAAGACCCCAATTATGAATAGCTGATCTTGCAAATGAAACAGGTTTTTTTCTTTTGTTTAATTGATTCAATTTCAATATATCAGTTTCAAATGTCGCAGTAACATCTGCAACATATCTTCTGCTATTAGCTCTATTTACTCTAGAACTTTGGATATTTCTCAGTGAAATCTCGTTGCCATCCTCACCTTGAATAGTTGTCAAGGGATCATTTCCATGAACTCTACGACGATGAGGTAAGTATAATGACTTGAGTGAATCGGGTATTTTTCTGTAACCTTGACTTCGACTAGATCCAGAATCATTCTCCAAATCATTCAACAAATCTGGATTATTTTCAATCTCTGATTCTTGTTCTTTAAGAAATTCTTTAGTTTTTGGATTAAGTTGTGAAACAATACAACTGGAACTTCGACAATCTTCAATAGACTTTTTTTTTAACCAAAAATGATATAAAGGATCGTCATACTCATCTGATGGTTTTTCATTTTTAAACACTTCTCTTAATAACTCTACATCTTCTTCATTATCAATAACTGATAAAAAGTCTTCCAAAGTAGGTTTTAGTGTATTGAGATCAATTTTTGGAAATACGGTTTTGGGAACAAGTCCTGGTTCGGGTTTATAAATCTCTTCATAATCACTAAACAGTTCTTCCTCCTCATTTTCATTTTTATTTTCATTTTCACTCTCATGTTTAACTTCTTCTTCAACTTCCATCATCTCAGGTTCTTCAAAAGGTTCCTCATATTTTTTAACTTCTTTAACAGTTGCTGAATTTTTAAAAATTGTCTTTTTGGATTCTGATTGGGCACTGGTATCTAAAAGCTTTTTCTTATTTTTCTTTGACTTTTTCTCAGTGCTCTTAGCTTTGGATTTTTTTGGTGGCACGTTTATTTTTTGCTTCTCTTTATCAGATTTTGAAATTAAAGTAGATTCAAAATTTAATTCATCTACAGAACTAAAATGGTTTTTCATTTTTTCCACATTTTTTATATCCCCCATATTCTCCGTCTCTTCTATATCTTCGATTTCTTTTTCCTCAATTTCTTCATCATCTGAAGAAAATATTCTCTGTTGGAGTTTCTTTCTCTTTCTTGGAATCATGAGAGAATCTTCAATTTTTCTTTTACCAGAAATTAAAATTTCAGGTTGAGGACTATTTCTTGAACTAGAGAAATATTGAGAATCTAATTCATCTTTATTTTCGCGATAATTATCTTCCTCTTTCTCTTCTTCTTCTTTTTCTTTTTCATATTCATAGTCGTATTCATCTTCGTTTTTGGAAAAGGACTTTTTAATTATAGTTTTTTCGGACTTTTTAAAAGATATGATTTCTTCATATTTCGGTTTGGTTTGGTTTTTTTCAAATTTTTTTTTCAACTTTAAACTTTTTTCAGAATCATCTAAAACTTTAATTTTTTGGGTGGGTGCTTTTTTCATTTTAAAGCCTGAAAGAATAGGCAATCTAACCTTTTCTTTACTAATAATTGAATAAAATTCAGATGCTTCATCTCGCTTTGAATCTTTGGGCTCGGTCAAAGTTGTTTTTACAGATTTGTCTTTATTTTCCAATTTGCTTTTTTTTTGTGATTCGATTTTTTCCTTTTTATAATCTTCTTCCATTAATTTGAACTTATCATCCTTCAAATATTCCAAAATTGTTGGTGCAATAAATCTTTCTCTGACATTTTTCATTAAAGTGGCAGATAATTCTTTTAGTATTATATCAGTAGCCTCCGATATTGGATCTCTCAATTGAGTTTGCTCTGATGGAGTTTTTTTATTTTCTATAACCTTTTTTTCTGGTAGATATAATTCCATTTTCAAGCGATATCTAGTCAATTTTTTATCATTTTCCATTTTATAACACCTTTCTGCTTCTTTTGGATCATTGAATATTATTACAAAACACCTATTTGGCTCAGCCGAAATTTTAGCCCACATATATGAAGATAGTCTTTTTTTAAATAGTTTTATTGGGACTTTTTCTATTGGCAAAAATTTTGTACTTATAAGAATATATGCTCTGTTATTAATTGTAGATTTAGTGTTAGCAGATAAGACTTGAGATAGATTTTTTAATAAATTATGCTTTGGGAGATAAGGTGTCTTAGGAGTTGAGGTTGAATTGATTGAATTTATTTTTTTTTTTAAAAGCGATAAAGTTTCGTCTTCAGGTTTAAAAGAGTTGGAATTTAATACGCTAGAAAAAGATGGTTCTGATTGTTTAATGGTTGAATTGAGAATGGCATGGTTATCTCTATGCAAAGATTTTGATTTTTGAACTTCTAATTTAAGCAATTTTTCCATCTGTCTTTTTTTTTCTTGTTCTAATATTTTAGTTCTTTTAATGAAATTCTGTTCCAATTCTTTTTTTTTTAGTTTTTCGATTTCTCTTTTTTTGGCTAGATCTAGACGTCTTTTTCTTTCCTGAGAGTATTTTATAGCAATTGCAGATCTTGATTCTAAAAGTTTGTTTTTTGAAGTATTTAAACCCACTTGGATTAGGACATTATCGAGGGGTAATTTATTATGAGTTTCTCTTATGGCATTTAAGCAAGATTTGTAGCCTTTGACGAAATTTTTATTACTGTCATTATCAAACTTTAAATGAGCAACAGAGACAGGAGTGGCACTAATGGGATCTTTTACCGTTTGAAAATCAATAATAGTACCGAATTTCAGAAATGTGTTTCTTAGAAAGTTTTGATTAAAATTGTGAGGAAAGTTCCAAATGACTAAATGGTTTGAAAGGGGAGTGTTGATTGAAGTTTTGGGGTCATAGTTATAGATTGGAAATTGTAAGGATTTGAAATAATTTTTTTTTTTTGATTTTTTTGTTATTAGTTTAATGTAGGCGTTGGTGTTTGAGTTTTCGCTGATTTTTTTTTTAATCAAGTCTTTTCTTGGATCAATTCTTTCATTCAGTTTAATGTCACCTTGGAATATGTATTTGTGTTTAAGTTTTCTGGAGGAAATATCTTTTGTTTGGGAAGAAGTGGAAGCTTTGTAGATTTCTGGATCGAATGTTACTCTATAATTTTTTTTTAGTTTTTTGTTATCATTGGGTAGATTATTTTGAGAGTGTATGAGGTTGAAATTGAAATCCTGTCTATGGTATTGATCGGTTATATTTGAATCGTTATAAAAATTTGAATCAATTGTTGAGGAATCCTTTTTTTTCAACTCCACTCTAAAAACTTGAGGTTTTAAATTGCCGTTCAGCATTGCTTTTGGAGCTTTTGGAATTTTGATCGAATTTTGATTATAATTTGAATTTGAAGTGGATTGTGATTGGGAATGGGATCTTGAGTGGGAATTTGAGTGGGAATTTGAGTGGGAATGTGATTTTGACAATGTGTTGGAGATTGAGGTTGAATTATGGCTGAATGGAGTCGATGTCACTGATAAGGGGGTGGCAGGAGATGAGGATGTGATGGTGAGTTTGTGTGAAAAAGAGGTATAAAGCAAAGAGTTGGAACTAGAGTTGGAGCTAGAGTTGGAATTAAAATTGGGAGTGGAGGTAGAATTAGGATTAGAATTAGCAGTGGTAATATTGGTATTAGTGTTGTTGTTGTTGTTGTTGACATTAGAGATAGCGATAGAATTAGAATTAAAGTTGGAATCAGTTCTAGTAAAAGCATTAGCATCGTTATTGGATGAGGATAGGGATTTTGTTGAAAGTGAGGGAATCAGAGAAGTTGCAGTCGTGGAAGAGGAAGCAGTGGTGATGTTTGAGTGTGGAGAACTGGAGTCATCCTTTATCAAAGGCGTAGAAGCAGGCGAGGAGAGCAAAATTGGCGAGTTAGCAGAGAGCTCGTTTTGTTGGGGTGATATGTTGGTGTCTTTGGAGGAAGAAGATGGAGATTGGTTTGGTTGTGGTTTGAGCAGCTGGGACAGGTTTTTGGAGGATGAAGGAATATAAATATCAGGCTTTCTGGAATTGGGCTGCTTTCTGGAGCTGGGAATATAAACATCGGCTCTTCTACTGTAGTAGGGAGATTGGCCATTGAGATAGTAACCTTGCTGTTGCTGGGTCTGATTCTGAAGTAGGTTTTGATTTAGGCTGTGGGTCTGGGTCTGGGTCTGGTTTTGGTGTTGGTTATAGAAGTAAGGATTGTTAGTGGGCTCATAGTAGGATGAGTGATAAGAGCTATGGTGGTACGTCAAGTTGGAATGGGTGCTGCTGTGGTAGTTGTTGAGCTTAACGCCATTAGTGTTGTATCTGAGGGGGGCCCTGTGGTTGTTTGCAAAATGTTTTTTGTAGTTACCAGATTGATCGTAGTGAGTATTGTTATCTTCCATGGGCATCTTGATTGTATTTGTTTATGTTTAACAACAGAGAAAAAAGAATAACAAATCAAAAACAAGTCCAAGACAGGCAGGATGGAGGCAGAGGAAAAAAGCTGGTTTGGAGGGACAAGAAGCAACAGATCAGAGCTGGCGAAGGACATACAGCAAATAAAGCAACAGAAGAATCAACGAGTATCAGCACCAGACGTTTGAGCTGAGTTTGAAGATGAAAAGAAATTCAACTGTGCAAGTCGAAATGGAAATTGACCAGGCCAGCGCTGCTCCCCCCGACCTCGCGCGCTGCTTAGCGACCGCCGTGTCCTTAGCGAGCGCTTCGGGCGCGCTGTTCGTGTAGCGCCACGGCTGTTCTCGCGGTGGCGCATTGCTGCCGCTGGTGCGTGTGCTGCCGGCCTTTCGGTGCGCGGTGGCGCTGCGTCCTACTGCAACGTGTATCCGACGTTCCGGAGGTGCACATCGCTATCCGACACCAAGTCGTCTGTGAACGTCTTCTTGCAACTGTTGAAGAGGCGGTAGATGCTGCTGATGTTGGAGTAGATGGTGCGTAGCTTCTTGTTGATACTTTCCATCTCGCTGTATATTTCCAACTCCACCTCCACCTCCTTATCCGCCATTTCGTCGCCCTCGCTCGTCCCCTTTTCGTACTGTAGCTCAAACAACTTGATCATCTCAAACGTCAACTCAATAAACTCTTTCGAACAGTTTATAAACTGGTACATCAAGTTGATCAACTGGTTGAACTGTTTTATAAACAATTTCTTCGACACTTCCCCAACTTTGCTTTCCAGCGAATCTTTACTCAATATTTTATTTCGCGATATTGATATCAAGTACCTGGAATAGATTTTTTCCAACTCGTCAATAGAATTCTCCTTTATCAAATTCTCCTCCATTTCTTCTTTAGGCATCTTGATGTAATTTCTCTTGTTCCGAATTATCGAATTGAACTTATCGAATCTCTCGTCTTCATGTTTTTCAAACTCTCTTTTGTTATCTTCCATAAATTTCCTTTTGGGCAAAATCACTTGATTATACCTCTTTATCAAATTCTTTCCTTCACCACTACTACTACCAATCTTATCACCATTGCCTTCCCCAATTTTAACCAATGAACAAATCAATTTATAATAATTATCCTCTATTATATTAAACTGAAAAAAATTTATCATTTTATTCAAAAACTTCAAAACTTCATTTTTCATTATATTCAACCTGTTATTCTTAAAAACCATCCATTTTTTATTCATATCGTTTTTATTTAAAATCCCCCCATTTTCACTTCCATTCTTAATCAACTTGTAAATATAACTCTCAACATGCTTAAACATTCGGTTTTTTCTCAACAAATTGCTCTCAACCCAACTCTCATTTAACAAATAATCTATTCTTTTCAACTTCCATAAAAAATTAAACATTCTCAAATACTCCCGTAAATTTAAATTACTATTCCCGCTGTTTAATATCAAACTAATGGGATTGTCATTTATCCTATAATCCAATGTAAACACATCCCATCCAATATTATTTCCATTATCCAATTCAATAATTCGCGCATCAATCCGATTCAAATACTCATCACCATACTTATTGATAGATGACTCATTAATTGAGTTTTTCAATATCTTGGTTAATTGATGCGTCCTCAACCGATCCGATCTTTCATCCAATATTCCAATAGAATTCTCTATCAACAAATTAATAAAATCTCCCTTTCCCATAAATAAAAAATCTTTCATATTCTTAATATGCTCAAACATTTTAAATTTTTTAAATATAATCAAATTGAAATAGTTTAATATCTCCTTGTACTCAATTTCAATAATCTTTCGAAATTTTTTAAACTCCATTAAATTGTTATTATTCTTATTAACCTCAAAATTGTCATTAGAAAACTGTTGATAGACCCTGCAATATTTCTCATTTATTTGCTTCAAATATCCCAACTCTTTACAATTCTTTTTTAAAAAAATTATCGTCTTTCCGATTTGATAAATCTTTTCACAAATTTCAAAAGAAAAAATGTCTTTTGGTACTTTACTTTTATCAAGTATCACATTATTAATATTAATGCTATTATTAATATTACTAATATTAAAAACACTATTGCCATCCTTAAAATCATTATAAATATCTATAAAATTAATAAAAAATTCATTATTTTTATCAACCAACTCTCCACTAATTACCCAATTTATTATAATTTTCAAATACGGTTGATAACATGCTTTAAAAAAATCTATCGAAATCCTTTGGATCAAGTAATCGTTGAATTTGGTATAATTATAAATTAAATTCAAGAACTCAAAATCTCTCAATTGCTTTAAATTTTCATTTAAATGTAAATAAAATCGAAATTTAATAATTTCATCAAATAAAAATAAATATATTTTTCTCAAAGTTAATTTATTATTTGAATTGATTGAGTTGTTATTATTAATAAAATCAGAATTTTTTCTTTGCAAGTCATCTATAACTTTAATATAGTTTTTTAAAATAATTGATAACTGAGAATAAAAACTCATTTTAATTTGTGAATAATTATAACTGTTAATTAAATTATCATTGATTTTTAATGACTCGTTTAAAATTGAATGAATCAAAGCCACTTCTAAAATGTTATGTAAAAGCCCACTATTTGAATTATTAATAAAATTTGGTATATTAATTTTAAAGAAAAATTCGTCATTAATAGAATTTTTAAATTTGGTTAGTGGAAATAATTCTGAAGTGGAGCCAAGTAAGTTGAATAAAAGATGATTTATGATTTCATTTTCATTAATTAGTTCTGGATTCTCTTTTTTAATATAATTTAAAGCAATTTCAGATAGAGTTAAATTACTTAAATTAATATTTGAGTTTAAATTTAAATTTGAATTGAAATTTGAAAAGCCAGTTCTTTGATTATTTAAAGGACTGGGATCTCTAGTAAAAAATTGATTATTATTGTTATTGATTTTGCCAAAATCAATGCTGCCTCTTGATATAGGCCCTCTTTGATCGATTGAAGCTCTTCTACTTGTATTTCTTGAAATTGGAAATGAATTTCTATAATTTTGTTGATTTATTTGATTTGGTTGAAGTTGTCTAGTTGGAATTTGAGAAGATGAAGTAAAATTTTGGTTTGGGTTCATGTATAAATGATTAATATCAGCATTTGAGTTATTGATAACATTGTTATTATTATTTGGAATATCATGAAAAGAATCTAATAAAGATAAATAACTTTCAATTTGGTCTAAGTTTTTATAATTAATTAATAATTGCAATAAATTTTTGAAATGAATCCAATGGTTATTATTATTTAAAGTGTTTGGATTGGTTAAGTTGAATCTATTTTGAAACAAAATTAACAAATCATCTACAGACTTAATATTTGGATTAAGATTTGGATTAAGAATAGAACTGTGGTTATTGTTATTCAAATAGTCAATGTATTGTAATAGCTCATTATAGATTTGATTTAGCTCGCTGCTTGGAAGGTTTGGCAGTAGCGACTTAATGAGAACCTGCAAATGTAGTTTGGTGCTTCGATTCAATTCCTGGGACATCTGGGATAGAATAAAAGAGCTAGTCAACCAATATAATACATCAATAGCCTAATGCTCAACAATCCAGTGATCGATGGATTCAACTTGAATATTCAATTCAAAATGAAAGAGGTTTTCCTAAATACAAGTAATCCTTATTAGGCAATACCTGAACAAGACACTACTTAATAAAGAAATCTTGCATTTTTTCTGTTTTTGACAGTTCTACAACGAAAAGGGAAAGATCCTCAATCAGAGAATAATGTTGGAATCTTATCTATAACCACAATTTGGTTCGAAATTAAAATGGTGAAGAAGTCTCTTTCTTTTGCAAATTATACTGTAATACATTGGGATTCAGGGAAAAATAATAGAAGTTGAGCATTCCATACTACGGTTCGAGTTAGTAATCAAAATTGGCTAAATATCATTAATTTAGTATATCTTTATAAAGCAAAAGAGAATAGAGTATTGTAGAATATTTATTTAATGGTCAATGCTGGAATTAAACTATTTAGTTCTAATGTGTTTCAATTTGTCTGGACAATGCAAGAAATTATTATCGTAGACTTTTTTTCTGAAATGTCTTTTTTTTGGTTCTTGGATATAATATGTCCAGCCTTGACCTTCGGCAAATCTGATAGCAGCATCTTTGGTATCGAATTTTAAGCTTGTTGTTTGCATGTAGTCTCCAGTTGATTGATATCCCATCAAATCATTTTCCCATCTATTGCTTTTCCCTAAAACATCCCAATCTAGTTTCCAGAATTTCCCGTTATTGTGACCTGATTGAGTAGCAGGTTTACACTCTTGAAAGATTCTAACACTTCTCTCTGGGGTACTGAGCTCTTTTGGAGCACCTGTGACGAGCTCTTTTGAAAGAAAAGTTTCCTTGGGAGTAGTAGAAACATCTGAAATAAATCTGACAGATGGGAACCTTATGGCAGAGTTCACAACAGATCTAGCAGACTGACGAAACATTTTTGCAATTGTATTCTGGTTTTATCGACACTTATCACAGACTCATTCAACAACTCCAGCTTCATTGGGTTTGAATCAAAGGTGGATTGATTGGTCCGCGGATTCCAGTGGAGGCATATCCGTGAACAGTGGTGGAGCAACGGCTGATGTAAAATGTATGTCATCCGTGATATTTCCGCAATACACAAAGCTGGCTCCAAATTGTTTTCTCTTCATAGGAAGCAGAAACAGCAGAAACAGCAGGTTTTTGGGAAGCAGAATTCTCAAAAAGAGCAATGGATTCATACATCAAACAAGCATTAAGCGATATTTTGCCTTCTCACGATGAAGCATATCCCAGCGATTTGATCCTCTATTGCAATTCCTATTTGCAACAATCCAAAATCAAACTACCAACACTAGATCAAAATTTGGAAATTTCAAGAACTTATTTCTCATGTTATTTCGCCATAAATTACATTATAAACAATAAAAAAAACTATTTGAATTTGTCAACTCCAAGTTTAAATAGGTTTCCAATCAGCCAGAAAAACGTCAGAAGAGGTTTAACTATTTTTGGTTTGGCTTTTAATAACAATCCAAATATTTCGCCAATTCAAAAAAGAAAAAAAATTGAAACATCCTCAATTTTGCCTTTACCTGCTACCAAAAGAAGAAAGTTGAATTTTACTGATAATAATAACAAAAGTGAAAATAACAACAACAATGATAATAAACCCACACTTATTCAAAACGATAAGACTCTATTAAACACACCCAGAAAACAAAATCGATACTCTCCAAAAAAATCTTCTCCTTTGAAAAATCAGTCTTCTCCTCATAGAAATTCACCATCCAAGTTATCTCCATCAAAATTATCTCCATTGAAAAATTCTCCATTAAAATCAAATCCAAACAATAAAAATGAAGTATCAATCAAAAAAATCATTGAACTATGTAATTACTTCAAAATTCAAAATTTTATCTGTCTAAAACTAATTAAATTCTTCAAAAAATTTCAAAAGAAATTTAAAAATCAAAACTTTTTATTATTATCCTTAATATATATTCTTTACTTTACCATTTATAATAAAATTTTAATCAAAAATTTCAGTTTATTCAATATTTTTAAGAAAAATTTATTTAATAATTTTCAGATATCTTCAGCAAATATCAATGACACAGACTTAAAATTTTGGATAACTTTATCCTTTAATTTAATCAAAAATGAAAAATGGTTTAAATCTTTACAATTCAAATATCAATGCATCAATTTAGACACTATTTTCACTAAAAACTTGAATAATAGCAATCATACAGGTGACAGTAATCACAACTACCTTTATAGCATGGGCGACCTACTCACCCCTTCCTCAACACCAGATATAAAAGACTCTCTTTTAGAATATAAAAACTGGACCATTGAAATAAAAAAAAACTTGCTCTCTCTCCAAAACTCTTTGTAATTATATACTATTTTATATTTAAACGAATAGCAAACAATAAATAAGTTATAGGCTCAAATCAGAAATATTAACTTTTTGGACTGGCCCACAAAGTTGGTCTCAAACTTTATTCTTTTTTTTTTTTTTGAAAAATTCAAACTGAAAATTTTTTATTCAATAAAAACAATTGACTAAACCATCATCAACAGTTCATCTGTTTATACATAATATTTTTCAAGAAAAATGGATATCCACCGTTGTAGATTTGTTCCCTATGAGCCCCATACCATCACATCTTTAGCTTTTAGCCATAAATCAAATAACTCCTTTACTCCAATTGATTTGAGATTAGCCGTTGGTAGATCAAATGGTGATATAGAAATTTGGAACCCAAGGTTTAATTGGTTTCAAGAATTGATTATCAGAGGTGGTAAAAACAGATCTATTGAAGGTTTGGTTTGGGCTTTATGGGAAGATAATATTCCAAGATTATTTTCAATAGGTGGTTCCACCGTAATAACCGAATGGAATTTGTCAAATGGCTTGCCCTTGAAAAATTATGATTGCAATTCAGGTATTATTTGGTCAATAGATATAAGTGATGATTCAAATCATTTAATTGTTGGGTGCGATAATGGTTCTGCTGTTCTTATCGATATTTCTGGTGGTCCTGGCTCATTAGAACATGACTCAATTTTACAAAGACAAAATTCAAGAATTTTATCAATAGCCTTTAATAAAAATAAACAAGTTATAGGCGGTTGTGCTGATGGCAGAATTAGATGTTGGAGTGTTAATGGAATCAACAAAGGCAAATTATTAGCAACAATGAAAGTCGATAAATCAAAAGTTGAAAGCACGTTAGTTTGGTCAATATTAGTATTGCCAGCTAAAAACTATATTGTTAGTGGTGATTCAACTGGTTCAATCAAATTTTGGGATTTAACTCATTTCACTTTAAGGCAATCTTTTAAAATATCAGAATCTGATATCTTAACTTTAACAAAGGATTTCACCGAAGAAAACGTCTTTTGTGCTGGAATTGATAGAAAAATATATTCTTTTGATTTAGTAGAAGTTGCAAGAAATAATCAAAAAAGTCAGTCAAAAAATATTCAATGGGTTAACTCCTACAAAAGATTATGCCATTCAAATGATATAAGATCAATTGCTTCTTTTCAGTCGAAATTTTCAAATTTTTTAGTTTCTGGTGGTGTAGAAAAAACTATAATTATAAATTCAATAAAAGAATTCAATTCAACTCCTTTTAAGAAAATCCCAATTACCCAACAATTGGAACAAAATTTAATTGTCAACTCTTTAAAAAAATTTATCATAATTTGGCAAGATCAAACAATTAAAATCTGGAAAATTTTTTCTCCGGATAATTATAAACTAATATCTAAATTATCTTTATCTGAAGACCAGAATATTTCATCTTGTTCAATAACAAATGATGGGAAATATTTAGCTGTATCAACTTTATCATACATTAGAGTTTTTAAATTAACCGAATTTAAAACAATAGATAATAAACCAAGATTAAAAATTAAGAAATTAAGAGTTTTAAGTGAACAATTGAATGAGTATAGTGGGAAGTTGATAAAATTTTTAAACAATGATAACAATACATTAATAGTTTTAACAACAGATAATGAGATTTATAAAATAAGTTTTAATATTGAAAATTTTGAAAATGAAGAGAATATCGATAATATTGATGATTTGATAATCAATCCAGTTGAATTAGAAATATCTGAAAACAAAAAATTAAAATCGAAATATGAGTATCTTTTAAATATTAAAAACCTAAAAATCTCTAAAGATAATAAATATATAGCGGTTTCAAGATTTTCAGGTGAAATCAATATCATCTCATTAGAAAGTAATGAATCGTTTCAATTGACTAAATTATCTGTTCCTCCTTGTGATATTGAATTTACTAATAGAAATACGTTGATAGTAATAGCTATTGACCATAAAATATATGAATTTAATTATTTATCTATTATATTATCAAAAACAATTATTGAAATCGATAATAATGATAATAATGATGATGATGATGGTAAATCTAACAATTTATCATTATTAAGTGAATGGTCAAAGAATAACTCTGAATATTTACCAACAAGTTTTGTTTTGTTGGAGAATAAATGTTGTGGTATATTTACAAACAGTATTTCAAAAGATCGTATTTGGTTTTGGGGACCAGATTGGATAGTATTTTATGATTTATCATTTAATATTAGAGATGGGTTAGTTAAAAATGAAAAAGGCGTTGAAAAGAGATTTAAAGGGTTAAGCGTATTAGAAAATGAAGAATTGTTGGAAAATGGAGATAAGGATAATAAGAATGATAATTTGGAAAATGATGAAGATATAGACGAGGATATGAATCTATTAGAACTCTTAAATGAGAAAAGCAATAGAAAAGTCTCTAATTCGAGTTCAAAAGCGTATTGGTTCAGTGATAGATATAATTTCATTTTATTTGCAGATAGCTTTGGAGAGAAAGAGATTGCAGTTATTGAGAGAGACGAGAATATATTACGGAAAACACCAGCATTTAAATCTCGTAATATTAATGTATAAATAATTTATAGAAATGAGTAATTTTAATTTAAGAAATTAAGTTATAGTTATATTTTCTTTTTTTATTTTTAGTTTGGTTTAAATGTTTAAATTTATAAATTTGAGTTGACGAATTTATGAATTGTTGAATGTTATCGTGAAATATAATCGAGTCGTAATTGTAATGATTGAACTGGTTTTCAATTGGTAAGTTTTGCATATTTTTCGGGTCAAATATTATGATATTTGAGTCAATTTGATACTGATTAATTTCGTGGAATAAATTGTAATTCAAAGGCATAATTGGATCTAAATAGTCATCAAATTCGTATTTAATATTATTAATTATTGTCTTGTTATTTTTATTGTTATTATTGCAATTAGTATTTTTATCATAGTATTTTGAATAATTTCCATGGCCAAAAAATTGAATAAAATCTTCACTTGACAAGAATTTATGAAAATTGATTTTTGGCAATTCATTATATTTCAATATTCTAGGATTTGATAAAGAAGTTTGAGGATTTGGAGACTTGACATTCTGTTGGACATAGAATTTCCTTAACAAAATAATCGCCTCTTCTTTACCAATTCCAGGATAAGATTGATAAATTGGCAAGTGTGGGTTTGAATGAGAATCAGTATTGATTGACAATATAGAACCATTTCCACCAAACCTATCGTTGGTGCAACCAAAAATAACTCTTCTCAAGCCAAGCTGCCTCAAAGCTGAAGCACACATTATACAAGGCTCAACAGTGACATATAAATCTATTTTGGCAAATAAAGCTTTCACATTGGAAACATAATCAGCTTTGTCCTGAGCAGTCTTATTGGGTAGATCTAGTAGGTTGAACTTCTTCAATATCTTGGTGATCCCAGTCAACTCAGCATGAGTAATTCCAGATAGAGACTCGTTAGTTGAGTTGGAGCCAGTAGCTATCACCTCGTTGTCGTTATAAACAAAAATACAACCCACAGGCACCTCGTTTTGAGAGAGAGCAAACTCAGCTTGGTTCAATGCCAATCGCATGAACTTGAAGCTGCCCACCAACAGGTCTTTTGCTGCAGAAGGCCCACTGTCGACAACCATCTCTAGAACCATGTCTCCTTCACTCGCTTTGTGTGCCATTCTGCCCATGCACCACAGGAAGCAGAAACACCAAAAGCACCAAAGCTGCTGAAAAATTGCAGGCCGAGTCAGACCCGTAGCTGTGGATCATGCAGTTAAACGCTCTTCAACGCGCCTCAAAGCGTTCCATCGAATTCCAGCTCCATTTTTTCATCGTTTTTTAATCGAATAAAAAACCAGAGCTGATGTTTTGTGAGCAATAGCGACAGTGTTGATTCCCTTCTTTTGATTCCCTTCTTTTGATTCCCTTCTTTTGATTCGCTTCTCTTTTATTCTGTTATTTGTCTGCTATCTATAGCTTACTTGTATTTTTTTGTGGGATCCTTTTTGAATTCTTCTCAAATCTTTTCAGATCTTTCATCATCTTTCTTATTTCTGTTGCCGATCATGAGTTCTAACGATAAATATTCCACTCCTTTATCTTCCAGATATGCTTCTGAGGAAATGTCCCATATTTTCTCTGTGAGAAACCGTTTTTCTACCTGGAGAAAGTTGTGGCTAACTCTTGCTAAGGCTGAAAAGTCTTTAGGTTTGGATATCATCACCGATGAGGCAATTGCACAAATGGAAAAACATTTGATTATTACCGATGAAGAACTTGAGGCTTCTAAAAAACAGGAAGCTATTGTTAGACACGATGTCATGGCCCATGTTCATGTTTTTGGAGAAACATGTCCTGCTGCTGCTGGTATTATCCATCTTGGTGCCACCTCCTGTTATGTTACTGATAATGCTGACTTGATCTTCTTAAGAGATGCTTATGATATTTTGATTCCAAAGTTGGTCAATGTTATCGACAGATTGTCAAAGTTTGCTTTGACTTATAAAGATTTGCCTGTTTTAGGTTGGACCCATTTCCAACCTGCACAATTAACAACGGTTGGTAAAAGAGCTACGCTATGGATTCAAGAATTACTATGGGATTTAAGAAACATGGTTAGAGCTAGAGATGATATCGGTTTAAGAGGTGCAAAGGGTACCACTGGTACCCAAGCTTCATTCTTATCTTTATTTCATGGTAACCATGATAAAGTTGAAGCCTTGGATCAAAAAATCATTGAATTGTTAGGTTTTGAACATGCTTACCCAGTTACTGGTCAAACTTATTCAAGAAAAATCGATATCGATGTCTTAGCTCCTTTAGTCTCTGTTGGTGCAACTGCTCATAAATTTGCTACTGACATCAGATTATTGGCCAACTTGAAAGAAGTTGAGGAACCTTTCGAAAAATCTCAAATTGGTTCATCCGCCATGGCTTACAAAAGAAACCCAATGAGATGTGAAAGAGTTTGTTCATTGGCTAGACATTTATCTGGTTTATTCAATGATGCTGTTCAAACTGCTTCTGTTCAATGGTTTGAAAGAACATTGGATGACTCCGCCATTAGAAGAATCTCTTTACCATCTGCTTTTTTAACCGTCGATATCTTATTATCCACCATGTTAAATATCTCTTCAGGCTTGGTTGTCTATCCAAAAGTTATTGAAAGAAGAATCTTATCTGAATTACCATTTATGGCAACTGAAAATGTCATTATGGCAATGGTTGAAAAAGGTGAATCCAGACAAGAATGTCATGAGCAAATCAGAGTTTTATCCCATCAAAGTAGTGCCAACGTCAAACTTCAAGGTGGTGAAAATGATTTAATTGAAAGAATCAAAAAGACTTCTTATTTCAAGCCAATTTGGGATGAATTGGATGTTTTATTAGACCCTTCCACTTTCATTGGAAGAGCTCCTGAGCAAACTGAAAAATTCATAAACAATGATGTTAAAAAAGCTCTTGCTCCTTTCGCAAAATACATCAATGATGAAACTGTTCAATTAAGTGTTTGATTTTAATATTCACACTTGATCAAATTTACCTTTTCTTTATATACTACATAATATCATATCATATCATATCTATAACTATAACTATAACTATTATTTATCAATTCTTTTTCAACTTTATATTCATGCCTTTGATAGTAAACGGGTTTTAACCATTACTTCAAATCCAGCACAACGGATTGCGGATCGCTTAAATTTCAATTTTCTCCAATTTTTTTTTTTTTGAAACTTCTCTGGAAGAAATTTATTAATATGTAGAGTATTTTTATATTAAAAATATCACAATGGACAGTTTAGAGCAGCTTAATGAAACAACAGAGTTTTCAAACAAGTTTACTACTGCATCTGTACAAGAAGACGCTAAGATTTTAAATGAACCTCCTGAAAACCCAGATCAAACAACAAACCCAGATTCAATTCAATTGACTCAAGACCCCCAGACTACTCAAAGTAAAAACAGCTTATCAATATTTAATCAAATTATAAGTGTTGAAACTGAAAATACAAGTAATGGAATTATAAATGATAAGTCTGAAATTTTTTATAAAGATAATAGCAAAATTCATGATAATCAAAACAAGAGCAGTTTAGTTGAAATTTTACAAAATAAACCAAGAAAAAATACAAGTCTTGAAATTGTTTGTGATAACAAAATAACTGGAAATGCCACAGAAGAAAAAATCAATTTGAAAATCGATCGGGTACACAATAAGACTAAAAGTGAAAGCAATATCAATGATAATGAAAGTCAAATACATTATGAAAAAAACCTTGAAATCACTGATAAATCCACTCACAAAGTCACCGAAGAAATAGTAAAAAACGACATATACAATAACAATGATACCAAAAAAGTTGATCCAAAAAGTGCTACTAGAACAGATGTTAAAGATACAGATATCAATGATTTCAATCCAATGAATAACAATAAAGTAATCGTTCTACTAGATAAAATGGAAACGGAAGATTTAGTTAAAGAATCAACTAAAAATTCAACTGAGATTCAAAATGATAATCAGAGCGATAATCAGAATGAAGTTAAGGTTGGAAATCAAATCAGTAGTTCAGTTGGATTTTCATTTGATGCTGAAAATGAAAGTGTGAAGAATGTTAAGGCTGAAAAGAAGACTGATTCTAAAAGTCAAACCCCAAATATATATAAACCTGAACCTGAAAATATAACAAAAATTACGTCTCAAAATTTAACTAATGAATCTACTAAAGGTAAAATCAAAGCTGATGTTGTAGATTCTATTAATGTTTATAATACTTTGAAAGAAGCCAGCGAAGAAAGCATACAAAAAGGTTCTGAAAAGGAGGTGAGCTCAATATTTGAAAATGAGAATGAGTCCAATAAAACTCTTGGGCAAAAAGTGAATTCAAAATCAGATGCAGAATCAGACTCAAGCTCGGATTCAGATTCAGATTCGGATTCAGACTCAAATAATAAAGAAAATGATGGAGAATCTGATGATATTTTTTATGCTGACTTAGATGATGAACCCAATTCTAATTTACCAATAAAATCAAGACATGAGTTGACTGAAGTTCCAGTTGAAATACCTAATACAAGTATTGATTTGAAAGGGCCGATTGAGTATATTGGAAGAATAACATCAATTATAGATCAAAATTTTATTATAAAATACAACAATTCAGGTGAATATCGAATTTTAAAAGAAAACTCTATTCTTTGTTTTGAAGACCGGAAAATTTTAGGGCCTTTGTTTGAGGTGTTTGGATCAGTGTATCAACCATTCTTTAGAGTTATTATTCCAAATGATGAAAATGGTAAGACAATGCTAAAAGAAAGAAAAATCGGTGATAAGATATTTTATGATGTTGCAAATACTGATTTTGTATTTACTCAAGAAATTAAAAAAATTAAAGCAACAGATGCAAGTAATGTTTATGATGAAGAGATTGTCGACGAAGAGTTTTTTAGTGATGATGAAGCAGAAGCAGCTGCTAAAAGCGCCAAAAAAAAAGGTGAAAAAAATAAAAATCGAAACAAAAAGAGAAATCTTGATGAAGTTGGTAAAGAAGCAACACAACTACAGAGCAACAAAAGCATTGAAGATAGCTATAGAGATAGTGGAAGTCAGAAAAATTCAATTGATGGTGGCAAGAAGAAGAAAAATAGTAATCCTTATGCTAATTCGCAGATAAAAATTAGCAATAACTATCACAATAACAATAGTTATAATGGTAATAATAGAAATTTTAATAATAGCCTCAATCATTATAACAATTTTAATAATTTCAACAGTTCAAATAATTTTAATAATATCAACAACTCGAATAATTTCAACAATTCTAATTATAACAATATAAATGATTCTAATGCTTTTAATAATTTTAACAGACAAAGTAATTTCAACAACAATAATTATGGTGATAATCATAATAAATTTTTTCCCAATAACATGAGAAATAACAATTTACAACAATTTAATGGGTTTCTAAATCAAAATTCAATAAATCAGTCAAATCAGCCATACATCAATCAAAATCATGGATCAAATCAGTACAATAATTTTATACAAAATAACATTGACCTGCAATCCAACTTCATGGGAAACCAACCCATGCCATATAATCCAAATTTTCCTGTTATTTCAAATACAAATGGCAATTATAATAATGGCAACAACCAAAATAGCAGTTTCAGTAACTCTTTGAACCATAGCATTAGCAATAATAACATAAGCAACAATTCCACCAACAGTAACATCAAGATAAACAATACGGAAATTACACCAGAACAACTTCAATTACTCCAGCAAATGCTCAATAAGAACAATTCTCCAAATGGCAGCCAGAACCAACATGGCCCCTTTACTGATTATTAAATCGTAGTTTCTTGTATAATTCAATTATAAATTTCTTATTTATTTATTTCTCTCTTATCTTTTGTTTTCCGTGTATTGAAGGCCTTTTCGCAAATCGGAGATAATTAGGGCATTGTTGCTACGAGTTTTTCGGCGGTTTGCGAAAAACATCAAGAAACTTTAAAATACTTCAAATCAGGAAAGTTTTTTTTCGCGTCTTTTTTTTGAAAAATTCACTGAAAATTTTTTATTCCTGTTTTTTTTGTTAACAAAATCAGAAAATTTTCTCTTTCTCCTTTTTTCTTATAATTATTTTCTTTTGGAAGGATAAATTTTATCTTATTTACTGAAACCAAGTTATAAATAAATCTAAGTCAACATGTCAGGTATTGCTGAGGTCGAAGAACACTTAATTGAATCAAACTATGACAAACAAGTAGCTTCTTTCGATGATTTAAAACTTAAGAAAGAAATTTTAAGAGGTATGTGCTGTTGTTTCCAACTATTCTTTTTGTTGCCCTTGTTATTTTTATCATTTTTTTTTTTCAAATTAGCTCAAGTTTTTTTGTTTTTTTTTGAAATCATATCAATCAATCCTTTCTTAATGGATCACAGAACTATTTTGATTTATCAGATCAAACTGAGCTTATCCTTATTAAATATTTATGTTGATTCAGATATTGCGAAATTTAGCAATTTTTTGACAGTATCTAACATTTCTTCTTTTTATTCTAATTAGGTATCTATGGTTATGGTTACGAATCACCATCTGCTATTCAACAAAGAGCTATTTTACCTGTTATTGAAGGTCGTGATGTTTTAGCTCAAGCTCAATCTGGTACTGGTAAAACAGCTACTTTTACTATTTCTGCTTTACAAAACATTGATGAAAAATTGAAAGCTACTCAAGCTTTAATCTTAGCTCCAACCAGAGAATTGGCTTTACAAATCCAAAAGGTTGTTTTAGCTATTGGTCTTCACATGAAAGTTTCTGTTCATGCTTCTATTGGTGGTACCAAAATTACCGACGATATTGATGCTTTTAGAAAGGGTGCTCAAATTGTTGTTGGTACACCAGGTAGAGTCTTGGACATGATTGAAAGACGTATTTTCAAAACTGACGACATTAAAATGTTTATTCTTGATGAAGCCGATGAAATGTTATCATCTGGTTTTAAAGAACAAATTTACAATGTTTTCAGATTATTACCAACAACTACTCAAGTTGTCCTTTTATCTGCTACTATGCCACAAGATGTTTTAGAGGTTACTACTAAATTCATGAGAGACCCAATTCGTATCTTAGTTAAGAAAGATGAATTAACTTTAGAAGGTATCAAACAATATTATATTGATGTTGAATTAAACCAATATAAATTTGATTGTTTATGTGATTTATATGATTCTATTTCTGTTACTCAAGCTGTTATCTTTTGTAATACTAGAAAAACTGTTGAATACTTGTCAGATAAATTGATAGAAAATAAGTTCACTGTATCTAGTATTCATTCTGACTTAAGTCAACAACAAAGAGACACTATTATGCAAGAATTCAGAACTGGTTCTTCAAGAATCTTAATTTCAACCGATTTATTAGCTAGAGGTATTGATGTTCAACAAGTTTCGTTGGTTATCAATTATGATTTACCCAAGAACAAGGAAAACTATATTCACAGAATTGGTAGAGGTGGTCGTTTTGGTAGAAAGGGTGTTGCAATCAACTTTGTTACCAAAGAAGATATTGAAACTATGACTGAGATTGAAAAATTCTACTCAACTCAAATTGTTGAAATGCCTTCTGACGTTACTGAAATATTTGCTTAGATTAACTAATTGGCTAGTTAGTTGGTCGGTTGATTTGACTAATCAACTGATTAGATTTGATTTTAAATCAAATAAAAACTATAAGATAAAAAAAATTCAAAAAAACAAAACAAAAAGAAACAAAAAACAAAAAACTATTATAAGTCATTTGTAATTTACATATTTTTTTTTATATATCAATTTTTGGATTATAAAATAAAAGAGTTGATTAGATTTTTTCCTTTTTTTGTTTGTTTTTTTCTATTTTTATTTTATTTTTATTTTTATTTTACTTTATTTTTTTTTTTTTTGACATTTTTAGTTTATGTGGAGTAAATTTTTTACGTTATTTAGTTTTTATTTTAAATTGTTCATAATAAATACATATCAAACTGGTGAAAAAAAAAGAGAAGACAAAAAAAGAGATAGGATGTAAGGATGTATAAGTGATTAGCTAATATATATTAGAATACGTAATCGAGATAAAATCTAAACAATTAAATTGACAGAATTAATTGAGAGGTAAAAAGGATTCATAAGAGTTCAATCTACTGATAATTGCGTCTGTGAATTCATCAGTTGTTGCAGTGCCACCGATATCTTGGGTCTTGAATTTTCCTTCCATTATAACATGGTTAACAGCAGTTTCGATTCTAACAGCAAAGTTCTTGAGATCCAAATGTCTTAAGAGGAGACAAGCACTTAAAATTGAGCAGACTGGGTTGGCCTTGTTCGCATCAGTGATATCTAAACCAGCATGTCTACAACCAGGTTCAAAGATGGCAAATTCTCTGCCAAAGTTGGCACCAGGAACCAAACCTGGGCCACCAACCAAACCAGTACCAATTGAGGATAAGATTGAACCATAGAGGTTTGGAGTGACTAGGACATCGAATTGATGGGGACGGGAGACTAATTGCATAGAAGTGTTATCAACAATCATATCAAAGACTTGGATATCTTCAGTCTTTGATTGGGATTCAATTGTTTCCCTAACGGTTTTTCTGAATAAACCATCAGCCAATTTCATTATATTAGCCTTGTGAATGATTGTAATTTTCTTTCTGTTATTTTTTAAAGCGAATTCTAGAGCAAAGTTACCGATTCTTTCAGATTTGTTTGCAGTGACGATTTTTAGACTTTCAACGACACCAGGAACAGATTGATGTTCCAAACCAGAATATTCAGCTTCAGTGTTTTCTCTGATGATGACTAAATCTATGTCGTTCAATCTTGTATCAACACCAGGGAGGGATTTGATGTAAGTGACAGAAGCATAGATATCAAGGGCTTTTCTTAAGGAAACAAAGGCAGCATGAGAAGAGTGAACGATTGATTCAACGGTTGAGGCATGAGAATCACCTTTCCAAATACCCTTTAATGCCACTTTATTTCTTTTGATTGATTCGACGATTTTGGACAAGTTTTGTTTAGTTGATACGGAAGGATCTAATACTGGGGTTTCCCAATCGATTGGAACATTTTCTGATTTGAAAATTTTAACAACGGAATCAGTGATACTTTTACCAATATCATCACCAGGAATTAAAGTCACAGTGTATCTACCACCGTATTTTCTTGGTAATTGAGAGTCAGGAACTGAATCGAAATAAGAAGCCATTTATAATTGGAAAGCGGTAGAGATGAGAATAAAGAGTATAAAAGATAAAAGGGATTATTAGGAATATGGAAATACGACCAGATATGGGTTTCGAATATTGAATAATGAGTAATAAATAATAAATAATAAATAAAGAGTAGTGTAAGAGGATATTTAATTATAATATAGTTATATATAGCAAATATAGTAAATATAGTAAATATAGTAGAGTCGTAAGATGAAGTATATGATATTGTGTGGATGAGGGAATATAGATAAGAAAAAAACTGCAAATAAATTCTTTATATAAGTATTTGAAGAGATATAAGTGGACAAGAAAAGAAGAATATTTATATAAACGCAAAAAAAAAAATAGAGGAAACTAAGTTGGTTGAAAAGACCAAAAAAAGTTTAAAAGATGGAATAATGAGTGAGCAGTTCCAATAGCTCCAATTGCAGGCTACATGGGGCTGCAATAGATATATAGACAAATAGTTTGGTGTCAGTGGATTCGATTGGCAGTGGGCTCTCGAAGCACCAGACAAGTTTTATTGTCCTGTAATTGCCCTGCAATTGCTATGGTGCTGCAATATTAATGCGACGGTATCACAGTGCCAGCTCTGCTACCGCTTTTCTATTCTAAACTGTTGGGTGATTATATTTGCGATCGAATCGAGCACAGTCTGGCCAATCACAAGTTGCGCTCGCACTGGCACCTTTGTGGCCGTCGGGGCCCTGAAGACCCAGCACGCTCTTGGTGGATTTCAGCCCAGATCCGGCCCCAATCCAGCCCAGTCTACCTGGAAAACAACGGAAAACAGCCCTAACGGAAGGCAGGCTGCGCGCGCTGTCGGGGCCGGTTCGGGAGCACCGCAAGCACCGGTGGATAACCCGCAACCCGTGCCGGGGCGTCACGGGCTGCGGCACCGAGCCACGACCGGGACGTATCCGGGATTACAAGGGTAAGCAACGGTAAACAACAGGAACTGTTCACCTCGTGGGATTAAAGTGTGCTATGTATGCTATATATGCTATGGAGAACATGGGGAATCTGTCTCTTATATAGCGGTGCTTGGACCAGGGCAGTTTCTTTGGTGCGACTATTTCTTTTTACCAGACTTCTTGATGCCTCCTCCAATTAAGGGTTTGCCCTTCTTAGCTGTTTCAGCTAACTGTTTCTTTGCAAGAGCTTCAGCTTTCTTTTTTTCTTTGAATGCCTTATCCTCATCGTCAAGATCCTGGGTCTTCTTTTTTTGAGACTTAAGTGGTTTCAATTTTCCTCCTTCTCTTCCAGCCATTGTTATCAAATATTTATGTTCTGTAACAGACCAACAAAAAACGGCGTTATTTGATTGAATTAACAGAAGTAATTCAATTTGATGTTTTGATAAGAAGTGTTGGGGAACATGGGAAAAATTTTGTTCGCTGAAAGCAGAGAATCACGTGATATGTACTGTTTTGTAATACTGCTGTGTCACCAGTTCGACTTTACCAGAGAACATTTGTTATACTTTTTTGAAAAAAATTGACACGCGCTTTTCAGATCGGAATAGTCTCGTGACTTTATTCAGCTTAATCTCGGAACTGTTCTCATTTTAATTTTTGGAATAATGTTGGAGAAGACCAGCTTCGCATTATCTTCCCAAACAGGTCAACGATCCATGTTTACATGATTTGTTCTCTAATGGCTATACTTTGGTTTGATATAAAAGACAATTGAATTCCTTCTCTTTTTTTTCGATTTGGAAATTTTATTTAATCTCTCTAATGACAGACTTATCATTTCTCTATTATGATTATTTTCTAACCATTTTCATTTGCACCTCAACGGTCTATATGGTCTTTAACTAATTCAGGCTGATTAGCTGTTGTTCAAGCATCCCTTAGTCACTGCTTAGTCAGATATTGTGGTCACGTTACATATATAGGGAAAAATTGATTACACTATCCGATCCTATTTATTATGTATATCAATACATTGATGGTATTGTCTTGTACCATGAAATTATTATAATAGAATTTTCCACAAAATGGCTGTTCTCTGGATAAAGTATCTTTAAATTCTACAGATTTGCTTGCATCAAAGGACGCTTTTGGATATATTGCACTCATTTATTTCGCTTTGTGGGTTGCCGTTTTCCATTCTGTCATTGAGCCGATGCTCCTTTGACGTTTTTTTCACAGATCACGACTAATCGGGAAACTTCTGTGTTTGCTGGAGATGCTCTTCCACACAAGGACTCCAGCTCCAGACGCATAGCAGATGGAATATGCCAGGGATCATCAACCACGCTCTATATACTGCCTATACTGGGCTACGCAGCCAAGTCGCAACCTCTCTCCAGGGGTCTGACTTCCTTAGACCCAGTGCAGGGTCTGTTCGCCGCGCCCAGCCCCACTCCCCATGCGAAAACAGCGCCAAACGCTCGAAACGCTTCCTCTACACAGCTCGATCTGTGTTGCTTCTCTCTCTTTTACCCCAGCATCCATTTTTCACTCTCTCACCATACATCCACCCAATCAGCGCCCGCCGTATCAAATCTTCCTTTAGTCTATCTCGCTATCGTCTTTGGAATGCCATTTTATATAAACTCAATCCTTTTCCTTCGATTTTGTTTTTTCAATCAGACAACCAACAGAAAAAGAACGAACCACCAACAAAATTACTAAATAATTGGATACTACTCTAGTTTTTATTAATTTTCTACCCACTATTCACTCTTCTTCCTCCTAAATCATTCTATTTTTTTTTCTTTTTGAGCTTTTTTGCATCTCATCTAATTTCCTATATTAAATACAAAACAATGGCTGACGAAGTGGATAGTGTCTTGGCTGACAGTGTATTACTCGAAAATGTCAAATCTTTTGCTGCCGGTGGTTTCGGTGGTATTTGCTCAGTTTTAACTGGCCATCCTTTTGATTTAATGAAAGTCAGAATGCAAACCAATTTTGCTTCATCTACCGTTTCTTGTGTCAAGAAAACCTTTGCTCAAGATGGTTTACGTGGATTCTACAGAGGTGTCATCCCTCCTCTAATCGGTGTTACTCCAATGTTCGCTGTCTCATTTTGGGGTTATGATTTAGGTAAAAAACTTGTTTCTTATGCCTATGATACCGATCCTTCGAAATTCTCCATCGCTCAAATATCAATGGCCGGTTTTTTTAGTGCTATTCCAACAACTGCCATCGCTGCTCCCTTTGAAAGAGTTAAAGTCGTTATGCAAATCCAGGATGCCAAATCCCAAAAATCTTTAATCGGTACTGTCTCCCAAATCTTGAAAGAAGGTGGTTTAAGATCTTTATTTAAAGGTTCTCTAGCCACTGTCCTAAGAGATGGCCCCGGTTCCGCTTTATATTTCGCCACTTATGAATATGTTAAAGGTGAATTAACTAAGAGAACAACTGGTGATTCCGGCGAATTATCATTATTAGCTATTTCAACTGCTGGTGGTTTAGCTGGTGTTTCCATGTGGTTGGGTGTTTTCCCTGTCGATACCATCAAATCTCAACAACAATCTTCTAGTGTAAGCAAATCAATGGCTCAAGTCATCAAGGAAATCCTTAAAACTAAAGGTATCAAAGGTTTCTTCCCAGGTGTTGGTCCTGCTTTATTGAGATCCTTCCCAGCCAATGCTGCTACTTTTGTTGGTGTCGAATTTGCAAAGGATTTTATGAATAAATTATAATAAAATAATCAAATAATTAAAATAAAATTAAAAATTAAAATTAAAATTAAAATTAAATTCAAAAACTAAAAATTAAACTTTAATGTCAAATCTTATTTCAATTTTAATATCATTTATTTCATTAACAATTCTTGTTATTTTTTATCTTTCTATTTTGACTTTCTATTCTCTTGGTTATCTTTTTTGTTTTTTGTCATCATTATTTTTTTCTAACTTTTAACGATATTCATTTTAGTTAATATAAAAAAAAATATAATTATATATAGACTTAATTAATGTATTTTTTTTTATTATATTATACTATACTATATTATATTATTATTTTATAACTTTAAGCTTCATCATTATTCATTATTATCACAATTCGATAACAAATCCATTTGCCTGGTGAAAAAATCTCCATCTCTTTTTTCATACCCTAACTTATCAATTCCATCTTCATATTTTCTCGATATATAAAATTGAACCAATGCTCTCATTGCCAATTCTTGTCCCTCACTATTTAATATCTCATTCTCAATATCCTTTCCAGTTAACCAATTATCCTTCAAATTTAAATCTAAATGCAAATAACATAGCGATATTAAGTCCATACTAATAGTCTTCCATTTTTTCCCATTATATGGTATGGTCTCTTTAATAATCTTTAAAATAGATTTATAAATATCTTTATTATACATTGATCCCAAAATACCTCGAAAAAACTCAGATGGTTGTCGATCTCTTAATATTGTTATTCTTTTAGTCTTCCCAATTATAGTCTTTTGAAGTAATTTCAATAAATTAGATATAATTAAACAATATCTATGATTAAATATTCTCCCACTGTCATCAAACCTATTTTTGATATATTCATTTTTAGGATTACCGTAATCTAAATGTGACATCATATGATTTTTCTCAAGGTTCGATCCATCTAACCCATCACTACTATTAGAATCAATAATTTGTGGCGATAATGAATTGTCGTAAAAATAATAATCTTTGCAATTGGTTATTTCGTCATACAACTCGTCCTCATTCTCGATTTCATTTTCATAGACATTTTCTAACCCATTATATCCATTATTATAACTTATACTAATTGTATTTCTTGGTTTCTCATTTACTTGGTCAACTAACATTTTTCTTTTTTCTGATAACCCTTCGCATACTTTCCAAAATGAATGTTTATTAACATTTACTTCTTTATTCAACATTTTTTCCTTGAAATTCTCGTTAATCAAATACTCAAATACAATGGGTATAAAATTCAAATCAAAGATTAATGTTGTAAAATAATTAAATTTCAAAATATGTGAAACTTTAAAAAGATATGTCAACAATAATAATATGTTTGTAGACGATTTCAATGTAACTTCCTTTACTCTTAAAAATTCAACTTTGTCAATAAATAGTTTTTCATCAAACTGAACATTTTGTGGTCCCTGTTGTTGATTTTTTTGTGTTTGAGGTCTCATTCCATTGAAATTAAAATTATAACTATTGTCAGGATAAAAATGATTGATTATATGATGCTCAAAATTATTTTTCATTTTGTCATAAGAATTTTCCTCCTGCTGTTTATATGATAAATATTGTGTTAATAATTTATTTTCAAAAGTGTTATTATTATTATTGGATAATAAAACTTTGATTAAAATGCTAACCAATGAATTTAAACTTGGAAAAATCGTTTTAAAAAATTCCTCGATTCTATGTATTGACAAAATCTGATCTTTATAACCAGGAAATTTTTTAATCTCTTTTTCAACATCAGTAATATCAAACATGTCATGAGCATCATCATCATCATCTAAATCAGCTTCGTCACTAGATTTTTTTAAAGGTTCTTGTTCAATCTCATTTTCAAAATCTTTTTCATAATTATGAACATACTCAGCAGGTTTAGGATTTTTTGGTCGATTAATTTTACTAACCCAACCTCTTTCTTGTTTCATAAAATTATCTCTTTCATGCCATAATTGCTTAATTCCCAACTTGAATTTCACAGATTTGGAAAAAATCTCACTTGCTTCTTTAATAGAGTAAGGAACATTAGAATCTAATTCATCTTCTAGAGGATATATAAAAGGATAACTTTGATTAGTTTGAAAGGTTCTTTTTTGTTTGGGACCACCATTCATTCCATCCAATCCTGGTATTGATGGTGATAAAGAAGGTGATGGAGCCGGTGTAGCAATATGCACGACGGGAGTGGGTAAAGAATTATTGAAAAACTGTGTGTTTAAGGTTCTAGCTGTTTCAATATATTGTGATAATGAAGAGCCATTATCAAATTGAACTGGATATTCCGATTTGGGAGGTTGTATATTTGGATACCTTGCCATTAAATCCTGTCGAAAAACGTAATAATCTAAAGGAGAAGCAAATAATTTCTTTGGTTTTTTATTAAGCTCAGGATATTTATGTTTTTTGGAGGGTTTATAGAGCTTGGATTTAGTGTAATCATTGATGATTTCTTCTTCAGGTTTTACTCCAAATTTATAGTTTAAATATCTTTTTATTTTTTTTAAATCTTTATCGAAATTGATCACATCGAATTCAATTAATATTAACTTATTTATTAATAGAATAATATTTCTCATTCTATAATAAGATTTATGTTTCCATCTGAATTCTTCTAAAAAATGGACTAAATAAATTAAAATTTTTGATTTTGAAATAACATTGATAAAATTATCATGATAATTTCTTCTTTCAGGTGATAAATCAAATTCATCAATTATATCTAAATCTGAATCAGAGATATCATCATCAGATTTATTGAAATCTTTATTTTTATTTGAAGTGTGATCATAGAATTCAAAAATAAAACAATTTAACATAAAGTAAAAATTAGTTAGATAAAAAAAATAGAATTTTAATATCGATTTGAAATCGTTTAATTTTTGGTAATAGTTTTTAATTATTGGGTCTGAACTATTTAGGTTTAAATTGTTTGGATTATAAGTTGGAGGTAAGATTGGTAATTCGAAATTTTTAATAATTTTGATAATTTTTTTAATTTTAATAATTAAGATTTTCAAGAAATTAGAATTGAATAATAATTTTGAATTTTGTTTCATTTGGTAGATTTGTTGTTTGGTTGAAAAACATTCGGCAAAATTACCCATTGAAATATAGGTTAAACAGGATAAAGAATCTAATTTCAATTCTTTATTAAAATTTGATTTATAGATGGTTCCACCATCATCAATTAGAGAATTTGAAGATGAAGAAAAATTAGAGGAATCCTTATTGTGACTTTTAAAATAATAATCAGCAAAAGATTTATAGCCAGTAGAAGAGGCAGAGGAGTTTGAAGAAGCTGATTGAGGGACGGATGAAAATGGTGAGTTTATGGATAAATTGGGTTCTGTGTTGTTATCATTAGTGTTGATGTTATTATAATTACGATTAAGATTTTTGTAGTCGTTATTGGTTTTGTTAATAGAATTTGAAGACAGATTATTTAAAGATAGGTTTTTAATTAGTTTATTAATGATTGATGTTTTCTTTTGATAAGAAAAGTTTATAAAGTTATTAAATTCAAGATGGTTGTTAAAAGCGTTTTTAATCAAGGGCAAATTTAGATGTAAATCGTTGTGAACAAACCAATCATTAAACTCTGTTAAAAAGTTTTCAAAAAAAATCTTTGAGTTGAAATTTATGGTTGAATTTCTGTTATAAGTTGAGAAATTGAAAGCCGGATCTAAAGAATTTGAATTGTTATAATTATTGTTATAAGTGTTGTAATTATTGGGGTTATTATTAGGATTGTTGGGATTATTAGGGTTATAGTTATTGTTATTAAAAGGATCCAAAAAATTCTGGGGAATTTGTTGAAATGGATTAATGTGATCGAATTCATTAATTCCACGATTCGAACCACCAATGGAGTTATTGTGATAAATTTTTCTTATTGGAGAATCCAAAATTTGATTGTTATTTTGAGAATTATAGTTGAAATAATTCATTGAGTTATCGTCTAAATCTATGTCATGGTTAGTTGAGTCATCTGGTTGAGTATGATTGGAGTGAATCATTGGAGATGAGTTTAGTGGGCTGTTGTGATTATCAATGTTTTTGTTGATTTCATTCTGGACGATTTCATAAATGTTGGAATCAATAGTGTTTATGATATCGTTATGCTCAATATTTGTGTTATCAATGATATCATCAATGTTATCGAGATTGTTAGCATTGGTTTTGTTTGCTGTTTGCTGTTTGTTTTTATAGTCATTATTGATATTCATATGAATGTTGTGGTAATAAGGATCGTCCTTTTGAAGGTGCTGTCTTTGGACGTCTTCAGTTAGATGTAAATTCAAATGGTTATTTGTGAAAATTGGAGCATTTCCAATATTGAAATTCAAGGCATTGGCAATTGGAATTGAATCGCTGTTTTCATTCAAAAAATTTGAGTCGTGGATGGATAAATTGCTTAAGTTTAGATCAGACAGATCAGGATCGTTATGGCTGTTATCAAAACCTTTATCATATTGATACTGCAAATCACCGAATAACGTGTCTTCTAAGTTATCGTTGGAGATGGACAAGTTATCGTCATCGCTATCAACATCGTTGAGATCTGAGTTTCTAAGGGAGTTGTGGTTGTTGTTGTAAATTACAGGATCTAGCAAGAGCTTGTCCATTGAATCGACAATGAACTGGCGAGCAGACAGGTTTGAGCCACTTGGAGAGGGGAGCATTGGACCTGGAGAGACGTAGGAGCTGACAGAAGAGGAAGATGAAGAAGAAGCATTCTTCCTGGTGTTAGAGGCACCTATTTCTGGCTTGTCCATTTCTGCTGTTTCTACTGTTTCTGCTGCTTCTGCTGCGTGGAGTCTCAGCGCTTAAATTGTCGTGCTGTTGCGGACGTAAACCGTCCGCCTGAAGGGGCCGTGCTGAAAATCGCAAACGGAAACCAGCATCCTGTGCACGGACTCCTACAGTGAGGATTTGAGGCGGAGAGGCACGGATTTGGCATGGTGGAATTGATGACATTTAATTCAAATTGATCAAGAGTCCAGAGATAATACTAGAGAATAGAGCGAATCGTATTTCAGTGTTACAACATTAATGTTATTTGACAGGCAGAATAACATTATCTCATATTTTTCTTATCAATTTATTCAATCAGTATTAAATGGCACACAAAGCTCAACAACCATCGTTAGAATCACTATTGGGTTTGAGAATTAAATTAGTTACAATATTGGATACAATTATCATTGGAAAATTTTACTCGTTTTCAAATAATAACAATACTTTAACTATTATAGAAGAGTCTTCGATAACCGAAAATATTGAAGCAAACAGTAATAACAGCATTAGCAACACTAACAAGAATAAAAATAAGAACACGAGTATAGCTAGCAGCAATTCGAATACAATTAACAATACCAGTAAAGACACAGATAAAGACACCGATAAAAATATATTTAATTTTAGAATTATCAAGACGTCATTTATTAAAACGATCACTCCAATTACTGCACAATCGGTTAACAATTTAGGTGCAAACACAAATACAAATCCAAAAGGCAACAAGAACAAAAACAAAAAGAACAACAAAAACAATTTGAATAATAGCAACAACAGCAACACAAATACTAATACTGTTGCTAATAATAACAATAATAACAATAATAACAGTAATAATAATAATATTAAAAATTTAAATAATATAGAAAAATTCACATTCAAGTCAATTGAGCCAAAGATCAATTATATTGATATTGCCTCATACAAAAAGCAAAACCAGGTTCAAAACCAATTGAACAAAAACAAAAATAAGAATGAAAGTGTGGTAAAGGGTGGTTAATTAGCAATATACTGATAGTGATACCTACAATTATATGATTCAAGATGTAGAGAGCCATTCATAGTCAATAAAATTTTAGTAAAACTCATCAAATAATTGTAGAAATCAATTTATTGCAATTATAGGGACAACGACGTGCTTTTACCACAGAAACAGCCGAGCTGAGCATAACAATCCCAGTTTTTGTGGGGACTCGAGTGAGAGAAACACTTGCACTGGATGTGAACAATAGAGGAACGAGAGCTGTGGATGAACGAACTTCATTCTCTTTCCAGATATAATCCAAAGATATAATCCAAAGGCACAACTATCCCTTTTGCCACAATGATTGACTCATTCTACTACTACTACTTTTTGATTCATATTCCTATCACCATCTTGGTCGATGCAAACATCGTGTTGCCTAAACAGTACCAAATTGGCTTCTTTCTCAACTACCATATCAAACAAAATAAAGATTTTCTATTAGTCGACATCCCAACTTGGTTAAAAGCAGCTGGCTGGATTGAGCTCATATTCCAATTGCCTTTTTTCTTCATTTCCTTGCACTATTTTTCATTTCTTACAACTCGACCTAAAAAAAAACTCAAAAAAAGTGATAGCAAGAAAAAGCTAGCAAAATATTACGTTTATTGTTTGATTTATGCTGTAATTGCATCGTCAACCACCTTGTTTTGTATTTACGAAATCTATTCCAAATCCCCATCTGAACAATTCACTTTGCAAGATAAATCAAAATTAATATTATATTACTTGCCAACTTTCTTAATTCCAACTTACATGATGGTTGATATGACAAAGAGAATTTCCAAGGTCATTGATTATAATGGAGATGATAAATAGATTTTGACTTTCCTTACACATGTATACGACTTTATATGTTTCTTTTAAATTATTAATTGGATTAAGTAGAAATATAAATAAATAAATAAATAAATAAATAAATAAATAAATAAATAAATAAATAAATAAATAAATAAATAAATAAATAAATATAGATAGATAGATAGATAGATAGATAGTTAGTTAGTTAGTTAGTTATATATAAAATAATTATAACTATAATTTGATGTATTTAGAACATTCTCTCAAAATACTCGATTATGAAGTATATTTAGCGATTAATTTATCAACCAACTTAATATACAACTCTTCTGCTTCTTCTTGAGAGGTACCTTCTAAATCTTTCCAAGCTTCCCATTTGTATTTGGCTTTGAAATTAAATGCATTAGGCTTATCAGTCTTATTGTCACCAATAGTAGCTTGTTTGTACAAACCATATAATTCTAATAGTTCATCGTTATCTGGAGTTTTTGGTAAAGTTTTAACAGCTTCAGCCTAACATAAATCAAGTAAGATTAAAATTAATATCAACACTAAAACAAACAATATAAATAGACAAACTCCATAGAAAATAAATAAAACATACTTTTTCAGTAAACAATTGAGAAACCATTTTGAAGAACGAATTAATGTAAATATATTCTGAGGTGGAGTGGTCTTTTCTACTTTAGTGATGTTCTACTATTTATACTCCAACAATCTTCCCCAACATTTCTCGAAAGTTAGAACCCTGTTTTGCTCATTAGGGCTCTAAACATAGAATCCAGAAATATGGATCCGCGTATCCGGTTGCGGAAAGACGTTCTCCGGAAGGAATGTTGAAATGTCCCGGAAGACCATGGAAAGCACGGAAACAACGGAGCGTTATCTTCTAATGACTTTTTGAGATAAATGAATGGATAATAAGCAGATGCTCGCGATTAGTAAACACCCTTTACTACACATTGGTTAAAAAAATTAATATATAATAGTTCGTTAGTATTCTGGTGGTTTCCTTCATCTGCTCTTCTTCTCAACGCTCAATTACTTTTTTATTTCAAATTCGCCACTTGGTTTTGATCATTACCTATCAATTTTTGGATCTTTTTTTTTTTTTTTAAATGACATCTGATAATCACAGTACTGATTCTGCTAATAATGATGATTCTTTATCCTCATCCATCGATATCCACAATATTGATCAATTAAACCGAAAAAATCAAAACCGAAAGAGCTTACTACTAAACGTTGAGGATTACACATATCACACCAATGACAAAAACCAACATCTGGGCACTGGGCACACTTCTTCCTCAAATTCTTCATCGTTATCTTCATCATCCTCATCGTCTCTGATTACTCTATCAGATGATATAAAAACAAGTAACAATAACAAAAATAGTGCCGATTTTAACAAAACCGATAATAATAACGAAAAATTCGATCAGTTAAAAAACAAAATCATTAAGTTTAATCGTATACACAATGAAGAAGATATTCAATATCTAACTAACCAAATCTTGAAAACCAAAAAAATTAGATATGATAAAAATGGCCATCTAAGATCCCAATTTACTGATATTAATTTCGCTCGATCGGAAACTATATTTGACTCAAAGGTTGTGAATTCGAAGGATTTTTTCGGGTTTTATACTTTGTTTTGGGTAGTTGTGTTAATCATTTTTACTAATAGGTTATTTCAAAATTTCAAGAATAAAAGTTTTCAATTTCAAATTGTTCAAATTTTAATCAAGGATATCTTTAAAATCGGCTTTACTGATTTATTAATGTATCTCTTAACGTTTTTTTCTCTTTTTGTTCAACATTTAATCAAATTGAATTATTTGACTTGGGAAAAACTGGGTTGGCTAATTGAAAGCGTTATTGAATCATCAATCGTGTTCTTCTCCATTTGGTTTTCAAATTTCAATAATTATCCATGGATTGGAAGAATCTTTCTTTTTCTACATTCTTTAGTATTAATAATGAAAATTCATTCTTATGCTTTTTACAATGGTTATCTTTGGAAAATTAAAAATGAGTTAAAAAACTCACTCAATTTATTAAATCATTATCAAAATAAACTAAATAAACTAAATAACTCAAATGAAAATGAAAATGAAAATGAAAATGAAACGCCAAAACATCTGTCTCATTTACTAAAAGTCAAAAATATAAACCAATTGATTGATTTGTTAAATGAGAGCATCCATTTTTGTGAATTTGAATTAAATACTCATTCATCAAAGGATTCCACTTTTCCAAATAATATCAATGTTAAAAATTTTGTTCAATATACACTCTTCCCAACTCTAGTGTATCAAATCATTGAATATCCAAGAACTCAGAAAATTAGATGGAATTATCTCTTAATTAAAATCATAGCAATATTTGGTGTAATTGCCTTAATGACAACGTTAGCACAAGAATGGATGTATCCAATTGTTTTGAAAATATGTTCTTTGAAAGCGTCTTCATTCACAGATAAATTAAAAGAGTACCCATTTGTTTTTCTAGATATGGTTCCTCCATTTATCTTGATGTATCTTTTGGTCTTTTACTTGATCTGGGATGCAATTTTAAATGCAATAGCAGAATTAACAAGATTTGGTGATAGAGAGTTTTATGGTTATTGGTGGAACTCTAGAGGATGGGATGAATTTTCAAGAGATTGGAACAAACCGGTGCATTTTTTCTTATTAAGGCATGTTTATCATTCTTCAATAAGCTTTTTAGATTTGGATAAAAACTCAGCGACAATTTTTACGTTTTTGCTATCGTCACTAGTTCATGAGCTCTGCATGTTTGTTTTATTTGGTAAGTTGAGATTCTACTTATTTTTCATGCAAATGTTCCAATTGCCATTGGTGGCACTTTCAAGAACCAAATACCTTAAAAACAGAAAAATCCTAGGCAATCTTATATTCTGGTTGGGCCTAGTAACTGGTCCTTCGCTCACCTGTACATTATACCTAACCTTCTAAACCACTGGGAGTTTTCAGAAAGCATATAACATATAATACCATATAGCAAATATCATATCGCAAATATAATATAATATAATAATATAATCCATAGAATTGCGTTTGCACGCACTGTCAAACGCACTTTTATTTGCGCGTCTGTCACGCACTTTGCTGCAACCACGTGCTTGCCCAATTCGATGAGTTGCTTCAGCTTCGACCCAAATTGGGTTTTTCTTCTGTTTTGTCTCTTTACCAGTTTCATTTCTGCATTGCCTTTTCTCTCTTATTGTGCTCGACTCTTAATATATATATCGAATATATTTGTCAGAACGTATTTTTTCAGAACATATTCTTTTACTCGACGCAGGTCTGTTGGTTTTTTAGAATGAAAATGCTTTTTGGAATCAAGCTACAGAACGAATTGTATCCTCCCTGGAAGGACCAGTACATGAACTATGAAAAGTTGAAGAAATTGCTCAAGGAAACCTCAATTGAACAAGACTGGTCTGATGCTGATGAGGCTTCGTTTGTCGAGTTTTTAGATTCTGAGCTAGAAAAGGTCTACACTTTCCAAACTAAACAATATCACCAAATTGAAAAGGATATAGAATCTTTAGAGAATTTAATTACAATCGATATTGATCTCAATGATCTTAATCAAAATGGAAATTCAAATGGTTTAGATTTTTTAAAGGATTTTGATTTTAAATCTTTTCAAAAAAAATTGGAAGATGCTTTAGAAAATGCCCAAGAATTGGACCATTTTGCAAGATTGAATTTTACTGGTTTTGCTAAAATTGTCAAAAAACACGATAGATTACATCCCAACTCGACTGTCAAACCTTTATTAAACGTTAGATTAAGAGCTTTGCCCTTTTATTCTGAAGACTATTCTCCATTGTTATATAGAATATCTATTTTATATAATTTTTTAAGAGAGAATATTGAGGCTAATGGTTTATCTTTATCTGTTTCCCAATCTCAATCTTTATCACAATCACAATCACACACTCATCAACCTTCTTCTTCAAAACAAAGACTAAATTCCGTCGGTGGCTTATCTGTTAACTCAACAAGTTCTTTAGGTTTTGATGAAACTTCTGTTAAAAGGTTCAAATCTTTCAAGTTTTGGATTCATCCCGATAATTTGATGGAAGTTAAAACGAGAATCTTAAGACACTTACCTGTTTTAGTTTATGATAACCAAAACAGTAGCTATAATAGTTCAGATTTCTTATCAAATAATAACGATGTCTTGCAAAATGATCCAACTATCACTTCCCTATATTTTGATAACTCCAACTTTTTACTATACAATTCAAAACTACAAAAGAAAAAGAAAACACCAACTTTAAGATTGAGATGGTCTGGTAAATTGATTGAAAAACCCGATATCTTTATCGAAAAGAGAATTTTTGATTTTAATAATTCAAATGAGGTTGTTGACCCTAAAGACGAAGTTGTTAAAATTCAATTGAAAGAAAAGTATATCAATAAATTTATAACTAATCAATATTCAATGAAAAAAAATATTCAAAAAATGAAAAATCGTGGAACTAATATTAATCAAATTAAAGAATATCAAAACAACGTTAAAATCTTACAGGATTTCATCACTGAAAATGAGTTGCAGCCAATTTTAAGATGTGTTTATACAAGAACTGCTTTCCAAATTCCTGGCGATGATAGAGTTAGAATCATTATTGATAGTGATATCATGTCAATTAGAGAAGATTGTTTTGATCGTTATAGGCCAATTAGAGATCCAAATAATTGGCACAGAACCGACATTGATTCAAAAATTGATGAACCCTATTCTTTACTAAGAAAAGGTGAGTTTAGTAAATTTCCCTATTCAGTAATGGAAATTATTGTTCAAGGATCCGTTCCTTCATCAAACTCAACTGCATTGGCATCATCTGCAAACACTAGCTCGAATAATATTTCCAACAGCATTTCAAACTTTAAATTTCCTTTAGGCAGAAAACATGGAAGATGGATTGAAGAACTTACTTCTTCTCATCTTGTTGAGGAAATTCCCAATTTTTCAAAATTCATCCAAGGGATTGCTTCATTATACACAGAAGATGATAAATTAGACATGTTACCATTTTGGTTGTCTGAACTAGAAAATGATATAAGAAAAAATCCCAAAGATGCTTACGATGAACAAATCTTAAGATTAAAGAGAAGAAGAGAAGATGAGGTGATGTTGAAAAAAATGCAAATGATTTCTCCATCTTTACAACCTCGTGAGGCCTTTAAAGTCAATGCTAATAAAACAGGAACTAATTTGTTGAGTCAAATTATTCAAGAAGAAGAATCCGATGATTATGAGGATGCAGATATTGAGGACCATGAATCTTCAGATGATGAAGATAACGATAATGATGAAGTTGACCGAAGTAATGATGCATCTGGTTCTGGGTCGAGCAGTGCTAGTTTAAGAAAAAAAAATTTTAGAAGCAAGTTTCCGGATATTTTATCTGGAGGTAGAAAAAAACTATCTAAATTGACAAATGTTGAATCAGAAGATGAAGAATTTATTTTACCTGCAGGAGTTAAAAAGCCTGATAAATTGATTAAAAACGCTAATCCTGTTAAAGTTGAGGCTAAAGTTTGGTTGGCTAATGAAAGAACATTTAACAGATGGTTACATGTTTCAATTGTTTTGTCAACATTAACTTTTATAATATATTCTTCAGTTAAAAAAGCAAAATATGAAGATTTAGCAAATAAATTAGCATTTATTTATTTTTTTTTAACAGTTTTTAGTTGTATTTGGGGGTATGCAATCTATATAAAAAGATTGAATATCATTCAGCAAAGAGATGGGAAACATTTAGATGCTCCATTTGGACCATTAGTTATTGGAATGGGATTACTAACTGCATTAGTAATAAATTTTGTTGTTGGGTTGAAAAAAGCATCGGAACAAATGAACGGGCTTGGTCTTGAATATCTTGAAAATATGAATCCACTTCATAGGGATTATCAGTATTTTTTCTTTAAATTAGTTGGAGGGAATACTGCAAATTATGATTCTCTATAGTAAAAAGAAATTCTAGTTTTAAATTTACAAATTGTGCTAAATTCTTTGATATTGCTGACGAAAACAAAAGAATACTAAACACTATGAATTTATTCTAACATATTTTTTGTTCTAACCATTTTTATTTTATACGTATTAAATATTATTGACATATTCCAAAATAAATTTTTTTTTTGAAAATTTGATCGAATTAGCTCAATATAACTGCAGATTAATGATCTGTCAATCATTGATTCCACAACGTCTAAAACATCATATTTTATTAGAACAATAGTCTCAAAAATATCTCTGAACAAAAACTGAGACACAAATAACGGAATATATCGATATATGTATAATCATCAGCAAAACAACTTGATCATCCTTCTCTATTCTTTCTTCTTCTTCTCTATCTTTTCTTTATTTTTTCTTCTTTTTGTTCACTGCATCCACATTTCAAATCCAATAAGGTTTCGAACCTTATTCTGCCACCGATGTGACAAAAACAACTCAAAACAACTCAAAACTTAACTATTTTCTAGAACCACAATCCCATGGAAGGATGGAATTTGATCATCAGTACGTTTTGTAACTGGTTACTTACTTGGTTTGATGAAAACACTGGACTATTTGAATCCAGAAATAAGAACTGTGCACACCACTCTCATCATCGATCATATTCTCACCATCGATCATATTCTCACCATCGATCATATTCTCACCATCGATCATATTCTCACCATCGATCATATTCTCACCATCGATCATANTCATATTCTCACCATCGATCATATTCTCACCATCGATCATATTCTCACCATCGATCATATTCTCACCATCGATCATATTCTCACCATCGATCATACTCCATCTACTGAAACATAAATCAAAATGGCAGCACCATCTGAAAACAAAATCATCAGCAACTTTGAACAAATATTGATGACAAAAGCAAAAAATATTAACGAAATCAACAGCTATCGACAACAAAAATGTGCTGCCATTATCGATTTCATATTGCTATCAGGATACAACAAGCGGAAAGTTGATTTAAAGTCATATCAACAAGATAATATCAAAGGAGATTCTGGCCCTAATACAATTATGAACATTCCGTTATTCGTTATTCTTTATTCTACCTGACCTCCAACAAATTATCAGTCAACATAAACTCAAACAATCAAATAAAAATCCTATTAATAACAATAATGCCAATGTTGATGAATATTGGGCGGTCGATCTTGAAGGACCATTAAATGTTATTAACCCAATGGAAAATGAAGAGGAAATAATTGAAACATCATCAAAATATAAAACAAAGCTGCCAGAAACATATCGTTTCAATAGCATTATTAACCAACTATATGAAATACTTCCAGATCCCCAATCAATAAAATTGGATATCAATGATATGCTTGACAATTTAGGACCTCAGCTTGAATCAAATTTAAAATCCAAATTATTTTATAGTAATATAACTACATTGATAGCATTGTCCCTTTGCAACATAACAGTAATCAAAGCAGAAAGTCAACTAATGTCAATATTAAATAAATTGTATTTTGAGCCCGTAATATCATTGTTTCCTGGAATTAACTATGAACCAAATTATAAAGTTCTGGACAACAAAAACCTTTCCATCGATGGGTGCTTCATGAACATCGATGATCTTCTCTCAAAACATATTTTAATTGTTGAAGCTAAGGCAGGTGATCCTATTAAAAGAATGGGGTGGGGGGGGGGGAATACTTGGTAAATCTAAATAAACTTCATCAAACTCATTATTCAAATAATCCATTTGCTATAAGTCATACATCCCACCAACTAGTATCAAACTCATTGAAACAGGCATTTGCTAATTGCATCATATGCAACTGTTCCAGGGTATTATTCGTGGACCAACATGGATCGATATTTCTTCAAGTGCAATCAGAAACAGCACCGATTCTTAATAATGACATTCATAATTTCTCAGAGTACAAATCAATTAAATTCAATTACTGTGTCTTAAGTCAGTCACCTGAAATTTCATTTCCAACGATGTTGGTATGGTGCTTAGCGAATAGCGATAGTGCTTAGCGAATAGCGATAGTGCTCAGACCAATGGTAAAAAATTGAAAGAGCAGTTGGAATATAGCGACTTTCACCAATGGACCACAAACACCAAAGAAAATAGTTATCATTTCTATAGTTCTAGATATCTCAATAGATACAATAAACCTCTCAAAAAGTTTCAAAAAATAATATTGAATGATGTTATTCCAAAACAATTTTCTCCTCAAAAAGTGTACTGGTCTCAAGTTTTCCAAGCCAGCAAATCGCTTTATAGCCAATTTGGTATTGCCGGTTATAACAATAATGGAATCATCAAAATATACGATGCTAGATATGTTGCAAATAGCGATCTGATAACAACCACCGAAAGAAGCTCTGCCATCCAGCAATGTAAAAACTATTACTCAAAAGGCATCCAACAATTTATAATTGAACGTCGGATCTTCAATGTAATGAACAAATACCAACCAGAGTATCTTCCAGCACTCTTGTGCGATAGTCGTATGGAGGGAACATATAATTCGAACAATAAATCATATTCGCCAAATGGACCATTTTTATTCATGGAGCATTTGGAGGACCACCAAAATTTAATTGAGGAAACAGATTTAAAAAGAGTTGCTAACCAAGGGTTATGTGTTTTGAAAACCTTTTACCAAAATAACATTATACATGGCGATATAAAACGTTCAAATTTGATTGTCAATTTTCAAAACAACAAAAATACAATCAAATTCTGGTATATTGACTTTGGGTTTTCAAAATCTTTTAAAAAAACTAACACATCTTATACTTTGGGAGAAAATGACAAGTATAAAGACAAAATTCAAATGAAATTAGATGACATAAATGGACATAAATGGACATAAATGATCTAAGAAAGACTTTTAAATTCAATAAATCCAAAACAACAGCGGACGACACAATAAGCAACAATAATTCGTTGCCATATCAAATCTAATGCTTTCTTTTGTCAAAATTAGAATTGCTTTTATATTTTATATATAATGGTTTTGCCATTATTATTAAATCATCAATTTGGCCAGCCTCTCATGTGACTCAGGGACCAGTCAGCTGACTGAATCTTAAATCCCGTTCCGCCACTCTCCAATCAGACACGCTCCCGTAGTGCTGGCTCTCAACTCCAACTCAACCTCGGCCCAAACCACGCCGTTTTCTTCTCCACAGTTTGCTGTTTATTTCGGCATATGACATAAAAGCAAGATGAAGAAGAAACGAAGAAATGAGAAAGAAGAAGTGAGAAAGAAGAAGAAACGAAGAAGAAGACGCTTTTTCTAGCAATTAGCAATCACCAGACAGTTTCATTGATTGACCATCCAGTACAATTACTCACCACTCACCACTCATCATCTCCTGGCTATGTCCTCTCACTCAGACCCTGACTTCGACATCCACTGCTGGAACCCCCAGCTCTTCAAGGGCAAGGTGGTCTTGGTGACTGGAGGTGCTGGAACAATCTGCAAGGCCCAGACTAAGGCCATGGTGTTGTTGGGCTGTGATGCTGCCATTGTGGGCAGAAACGCTGCAAAGACTGAGGCTGCTGCTGCTGAAATCGCCAGGACTCGTTCTGGCTCCAGAGTTGTTGCGTGTGGCTCCACAGACGTCAGAGACATCCACTCGTTGAAGAGGGCTGTCGACAGAGCTGTGCTGCGTTTGGGGCGTATCGACTACGTGGTGTGTGGTGCTGCTGGTAATTTTCTTGCTGACTTCAACCACCTCTCGGCCAACGCCTTCAAGTCTGTGGTGGACATCGACTTGTTGGGCTCGTTCAACACAGTCAAGTGCTGCTTNGACCAGCTTCGACAACACAGGGGCGTGGTGTTGTTTGTGTCTGCGACATTTCACTACTATGGAGTGCCCTTCCAGGCCCATGTTGGAGCAGCCAAAGCTGGTGTTGATGCGTTGTCGAATGCTCTTGCTGTGGAGCTTGGGCCCTTGGGCATCAGAACCAACTGCATTGCGCCTGGACCCATCAGCAGCACCGAGGGCATGAGAAGGTTGTTGATGGTCGACAGGGAGGCTGCTTCCAGAGCCATTCCTCTCCAGCGCTTGGGCACACTCAACGATGTGGTGCAGTCGACCATTTTTTTGTTCAGTGATGCTGCCAGCTTTGTGACAGGAACAGTGCATGTTGTGGATGGTGGCAGCTGGCACAGAGGCTTTCCCACAGGCCCTGGTGTGTATCCCCAGACACTCAAGAAGGCTCTATTGGAGAAGAGCTCGAAGCTATAGTGTGTTGCATTGTGTTGTGTCTGCCAACTGAGTATTTACATTTATTTGTGTTGCAATCTTGTTGATTATGTCAACGGTATTTATAAAGTAACATATAATAATACACCAAAAGAATCATCTTACTATCTGGTAATAACTCATAAGTTTTTTCATTTAATTAGATATAATTTTTAATTTGTAATGCTCTTATGTGGTATTATCTCCCCTTCTACTTTTGGTAATCATTTTTTTTTTTTAATTTTGAACTTTATAATTTATGAGTTCATGTAAAGCTCTTAATTTTGTTTTTCTTAAAGACAGAACATAATTGAAAAGTAGTCATTTCAAAAGAATTTGATTTTATAGATTGTAGTGAGTATAATTAACCAAAAATTGTGGATGGAAAGTGATTGAAACATGTCAAATATGGTGCATTGAAATTGTGGATTTGTAAGTGGAGACCATTCATATGGGATGATGCTTGTTTAGGCACCCTTTTCGCCTGCTTTGGTTTAGTATTATTTACTATGATCAAGACTATAGATAACGAACAAGATATTGATATTGCTACTAATACAAAAGTATTTATCGAAAGGCCTTGTTTTCGGTCTATTTAAGTGTGCTGTGTTTATATAATGGATTATCTTAAGAAGGCAATTTGGGGACCAGACCCCAAGGAGCAAGTACGTTATGTGTTATTGTTTTTTTTATAATAATCCAAAGTTGGATCATAGACTAATTTTGAATGGCAATTAATTATTATTTTGTTTTCATTTTCATTAGATGAGAAAATGTAATAGTTTGTTACGTAAAAATAAAAGACAGTTAGATAGAAGCATAAACAATTTATCTCCATTACAAAAGAAGACTGAATCATTAATTAGACAGTCAGCTAAGAAGAATGATTTAAAAAGTGCTAGAATTTATGCGAAGGAACTAATCAATATTAAAAATCAAAAAAACAGATTGTACAAAAGCAAGGCACAATTGGATAGTATTACGATGAAGATCAATGAGAATTTTTCAATATTGAAATTGCAAGGGAAAATAGGAGAATCTGCTATTATAATGAGAGAGGTTAATTCGTTGGTTAGGCTACCTGAGTTGACTGCAACAATGAGGGAGTTGGAAAAAGAGTTGGTGAAAAGTGGTGTAATAAACGAGATGATAGAAGATAGAGTTGATTCGTTCGAAGTTGATTTTGAAGAAGAAGAAATCGATGAGCAAATCGATCAAATTATAAGTGAATTGACATCCGGTCAATTAGATAAGGTTAACAATACACCAACACATGCATTAGAGGAGGTCAATAATGAAATAATAAACCAGGTTGAACAACAACAGCCCTTACAAAAAGTTAAGAGCCCAGAACTTGTAGCTGAGGGAGGTGTTGGTGATGACAGTGACGAGATTTTGAAACAAATGAGAGAGAGATTAAAGGCGCTACAGGATTGATGAGAATGGTGGGAATGATTGGAGCGACAAGAGAAGTTTTTCAGCGAGATATATAAAGATACAGAGCTATATATGGTCTCAAAGATATACAATTAAACAGACAGCATATTGAGTAGGATTGGCTGGATCGTAGTGTTTTTGTACGGGTCGTAATGGAGCAAATTAGGTTGGAGAATCAAAAGCATGGAATGCCTGCCACGAGGAAATGCAAACACTGGCGATCTGCACTAGTGCAGAAGAAAGAACTGGTAAGCCCATCAAAGCCAGATGCAATCACCAGAAAAATAAGAGCAGCACACCTGGGGATATAGCTGTCCAAAGCTATCAAGAGATACTGCAAGATACTACTAGATACTAAAGATTGAACCAAGCCAACTAAACGAACTGAGAAAACTGAAGCAACTGAACAAGGTGGCATAATAAAATGATTGGGTTGTCAAAGAGATGGCTCAGGCAGCTATCATATTTAACGATATTTTTATTTTTTTTCATATTAATGCTTTCGTTAGTTGATGTGTTTTATTTTAAGCTTTTGCCATATTCAATTCATCAATTATTACCGATTCAACAGCCTGAGAATGTTATACTAGATATAAGTTTTGAGAAATGTTTCAAGTATTCGAACCCCGATGTTAATTGCAAGAAGTTTGAGAAGTTGAATAATGATGAAAAGGAGGTGAAGAATAAGAAGAAGAAGATTGTTGAATGGGAAAAAGTTGATAAGGATTTGTATTTAAAGGATTCATGGACCAATAAGTTGTATTTGTTTAGTAAAAAAATCGAAACAAGAGAGTTTTTTAATAATATCGAGTTGTATTATAAAGCAGTTGAGAGTAAGAATGTTATTATTGATTTAAGTGTATTGAATTTATTGGAGGATTTGAAGATTAGTGGAAATTCCAAATTGAAATTTCCTAGAAGGATTATTGATGATTATAATGAGAATTTGAATTTATATTTTAATAAGAAGTTAGTTAAGAAAGATAATGAGAAAGAGAAAGAGAAAGAGAAAGAGAATGAGAATGAGAATGAGAATGAGAATGAGAATGAGAATGAGAATGAGAAAGAGAATGAGAACGAAAAAGAAAAAGAAATAGATAATGAAAAAGAGAATAAAAAAGGAGATGATGATGACTTATTATTTGATCCAATTAAAAATCTTAAAGATGAAAAATCCAAGAACAATGAAAAAAACAATGAACCAAGTAATAAAAATGAAGTTAAAGAACTTGTTATACCTAATATGCAAGAGGTTAAAGAATTAGGATGGGTCAAAAAAGAATTTGGAGTCTGGATCAAACTCGGAGAATACGATGAAAAAACATGCATAACTGATATTGATGTATTGTTTGGTAATGATGTAATTGAGCCTCGACCCCAGTGGGAATTGATTAAAACACCATTATTGACAGGAAACTCCAAATATGAAAGTTATATTACATTTAAACGTGGGAATAGAAATGAGATTGAAACGCCGGTTTTAAAAGTAAAATCAGATGGAAAGTTCAAGATATTACAGGTAGCAGATTTGCATTTTTCTACAAATGTTGGAAAATGTCGAGATCCATATCCAGAAGATTCAGGCAAGAACTGCAAAGCAGACCCTAGAACAAGAAGATTTATCAATAAAATATTAGATATTGAAAAGCCCGATTTTGTTGTTATGACGGGAGATCAAGTATTTGGGGATGCATCGCCAGATGCGCAAAGCTCATTGTTTAAAGCTGTTGATTTGTTTATAAAGAGAAAGATTCCATATGCCATAACATTGGGGAACCACGATGATGAAGGAAACTTGAATCGATATGAGATGATGAAGCTAGCGTCGTCGTTGCCCTATTCGTTATCGAAAATCGGACGAGAAGACATTGCTGGATACGGGAATTACTACCTATTGGCAGAGGCCCCCAACAGCAAACACCCTGCGATATCGATGTGGTTTTTGGATACGCACAAGTACTCGCCCAAGCCCAAGGTGAATCCTGGGTATGACTGGATCAAGGAGAACCAGATCAACTGGCTCATCAACGAGAACAGCAAGCTCAAGGAAGCGAAACAGCTGTACTCGCACATCCACTTGTCGATGAGCTTCTTCCACATCCCCTTGCCGGAATACCGTAAGGTGCACGAGGGGCTCATGATCGGACGCTGGAAGGAGGGGGTCACCGCACCGCGATACAACACCGGTGCCCGCCGCGTGTTGGGCAAGATGGGCGTGAGCGTCGTCTCCGTGGGTCACGACCACTGCAACGACTACTGCTTGATGGACAGCACCCGCGTGACCACCGCGGACCAGGACACGGAAAACGCGCTCTGGCTCTGCTACGGAGGAGCCGCGGGCGAGGGCGGCTACGGTGGCTACGGCGGCACGCCCCGACGGGTGCGGATGTTCGAGCTCAACACCAACTCCAACAACATCTACACGTGGAAACGCGTTGAGGGCGAGGAGGAGGACGTCTTGGATAAGCAGTTGCTCGTCAGCGGCGGTGTTGCGTCCGAGTAGCCGCCGAAACAGAAACCGCAGCGCCAGCAATAGGGGCGGCTCAGCCCGGCTGTGCCCCTATGCAGTCCGCACCGCTCACAGACACGGATCACACACCGATAACGCTCGAACCCACGCAGCTTTTCCGCTTCCCAGCCTGAGCTGATTTGGTGTTGCTTCCCACTGATCTTTCTTCTGTTCTGTTTCTGCTTCTCCTGCTGTCTCGCTTTATTCTGGTCTGGTACATGAAAGAACTCTGCCTCCCAGTTTTCCTCCTTTTCCTCTGCACAACCATTACTTTCCTGGATTTTTGTCAATCTTCCACCTGAATCTTGCTCAATTTCCAATCGCCCTGTCTCTCCTATACCTGCTACGACTCTTCTTTTTGGTTTTTACCACTTCACTTCTCTGTTGCCAATTGGCGCCTATTATTAATTGATATCAATTTCTTTGCTTCTTCCTTCCTTCTTTCTTCTCTCCACGTTTCCAAATGGGTTTAAACAGAAGAAATAAAAAGAAAACCCAGGGTCTTTTCTCTTCAAATAACCAAAAATCAAAACCAATCAAAAAAGCAACCTATTTTGATTCAAAAAAAAAAGAAGTTGGCGTTTCAGACCTAACTCTCTTGAGCACCATCACTGATGAGGCAATCAACGAAAATTTGAACAAAAGATTTCTTAATAACTTCATCTACACTTTTATCGGTGATGTTCTTATCAGTATAAATCCCTTTAAGGATTTGGGCATATACACAAACGAAACAATTGATTCCTACAGAAACAAAAATCGTCTTGAAGCTCCTCCCCATATTTTTTCAATAGCTGAATCAATGGTCTACAACATGAAGTTTTATAACCAAAACCAAGCTTGCATCATCTCTGGTGAATCTGGTGCTGGCAAAACCGAAGCTGCCAAACAAATCATGCAATATATTGCTGCTGTCTCTGGCTCTCCCTCAAACCAAAATCTAAACCCAAATAACCCCAACAATTCCATTCAAAAGATCAAAGAAATGGTCTTAGCTACAAACCCTCTTCTAGAATCCTTTGGCTGTGCCAAAACTTTAAGGAACGACAACTCCTCAAGACATGGCAAATACCTTGAAATTAATTTCAACACTGCTTTTCAACCAATATCCGCTTCAATCACAAATTATCTTCTAGAAAAACAAAGAGTAGTTCAACAAATCAACAATGAAAGAAACTTCCATATTTTCTACCAATTCACCAAAAGTTGCTCCGAGGAATATAGAAAACTATTCGGTGTTCAACAACCTGATCAATACTACTACACAAAAACCTTAATCTCCGTAGATTCCGTCGATGATCAAAATGATTACAACCAAACTCTATTAGCAATGCAAACCATAGGTCTAAATAAACAAGAACAGGACCAGATTTTCAGATCTTTAGCTGCCATCCTCTGGATAGGTAACATCACCTTTATCGAAAACAACGACGGTAACGCTGCTGTAGCCGACTCCTCCGTAACTCAGTTTGTTGCTTACCTTTTAAACGTCGACGATCAAGTTCTAACAAAAGCTGTCACTGAGAGAATCATGGAAACAAACCACGGCATGAGAAGAGGCTCAATCTACCATGTTCCTCTAAACATCGTTCAAGCCACCGCTGTTCGAGACGCTCTAGCCAAGGGCATTTACAACAACTTATTCGAATGGATCGTTCAAAGAGTTAACAAATCCTTGCACACTTTAAACCAACCAACCCACAGATCAATTGGTATTCTAGATATCTATGGCTTTGAAATCTTCCAAAACAATTCCTTTGAGCAATTGTGTATCAACTATGTCAACGAAAAACTACAACAAATTTTTATCCAATTGACCTTAAAAGCTGAGCAAGAAGAATATGTCAACGAAAAGATCAAATGGACTCCAATCGACTACTTCAATAATCAAATTGTTTGCGATCTAATTGAAAGCAAAAGACCCCCCGGTGTCTTTGCTGCTTTAAACGATGCCTGTGCCACTGCTCACGCCGATTCAAATGCTGCTGATCAATCCTTTGCTCAACGTTTAAATATGGTTGCTCAAAACAAACATTTCGAACTAAGATCTGGCAAATTTATCGTCAAACATTACGCTGGTGATGTTACCTATAGCATCAACCAAATGACTGATAAAAACAAGGATCAAATGTTAAAGGATCTACTCAACTTGCTACAAAGCTCTACTGATCCATTTTGGAATGTTTTATTTCCCCAATCCCAAAACACTGATTCAAAAAGAAGACCTCCAACTGCTGGCGATAAAATTAAAGTCAGCGCTAATCTATTAGCTGAAACTCTATCAAAGGCTACTCCATCCTATATTCGTACAATCAAACCAAATCAAAATAGAGCCCCTCTAGAATATACTGAAAAACAAGTCTTACATCAAATCAAATATCTCGGACTAAAAGAAAACGTTCGTATCAGAAGAGCAGGTTTTGCTTATCGTACCACTTTTGAAAATTTCGCTGAACAATTTTATCTACTATCTTCAAAATGCTCTTATGCCGGTGAATATATTTGGAATGGAGATTCTCGTTCTGCTTGTATTCAGATTTTAAATGATTCTGCTGTAACCTCCGATGATTTCCAAATGGGTGTCACAAAAATATTTATTAAAAAACCTGAAACTCTATTTGCTTTAGAACATCTAAAAGATTCTTATTGGGAAAATATGGCTAAGAGAATACAAAGAGCCATTAGGAGATATCTAAAACAGAAAATTGACGCCTGTATAGTTCTTCAAAGAAAATGGAGAGAAGTTAGAAAAGGTGGAAATCAATATGAACAATTAAGAAACTACGGTAATTCATTATTGCAATCTAGAAAATCCAGAAGAAGAATGTCCTTGTTAGGCTCAAGAGAATTTTTAGGAGATTATTTAGGTTTCAATGACTATACTGGTGGAATAGGAAAATTTATTAAAAACCAAATTGGAATATCTGATAAAGTCATTTTCTCAATGAAAGGTGAAATCTTGCATAGAAAATTCGGTCGATCTGCCCAAAGACTACCCAGATATATTGTCATTACTGAATCTGCATTTTATTTAATCGTTGCTTCAATGATAGATAATAACCTCACACACACCATTGAAACTTCAATTCGTATTTCTGACATTGCAAGGGTATCATTAACAAACTTACAAGATGACTGGATCGCTCTAATATTAAACTCTTCACCTATTCCTGATCCTATAGTAAATTGTGTTTTCAAAACTGAACTAATAACTCATTTAAAAAAACTCAACCCTTCCTTAGAAATTAAAATTGATACTGCTATTGAATATCATAAAAAACCTAAAAAAATGAACAAAATTTTGGGTGTCATTGATTCCCAAGCTCCTGAATACGGCGATATTTATAAATCTTCAAAGATTATGGTTCAAGAAGGTATTAGTGGAAAAACACCACAGAAAGAAAAACCCAAAAAGAAACCTTCGGAACTAATAGTTAAATACAAAATGGAAATAGAGCAAAATAAAAGTCAAAGATACAATCAGCCACAAATATCTAAACCTGACAATAATGGATACAGTAATGCTAACAATAACTACAATAATCAAAATTCTACATTTAATAAAACTCAAAATGACTATTCTAATACTAACTATGATAATGATAATAACTATAATAATAATAATAACTATAATAATAACAATAACTATAATAACTACAATAATAACAATAATAATAATTTCCCGAATATTCAGAATGGAAATTTTATTCAACCACACAAAACAAGAAAAGTGCCACCTGCCCCACCAGCTGGTAATGGATTTTTAAACCAAAAAAAAAATAATATTCCTGCAGCCCCACAGGTGGATATTAGACCTATTCAGAATAATCAAAATTCACGGGCACCACCTATAAATAATGGTTTAAATAACTTGAATTCAATGGGAATACCACTGCCCCCAGTGAAAAGAAAACAAGTTCCACCTCGACCAATGAGGCCAGCTAAACCTGCACAAAGACCAATACCTAAAACAAAAAAAGCTGCGCCAAAACCTCCTACGAGAAAAAACGTATCATCTGCAGTGCCACCACCTCCTCCTCTACCAGCAGTTTTAGAGCCTAAATATCCTACATATAAAGCTGCATATGAATTCAAAGGTAGTTCTGCCTCTGAAATGCCTTTACAGGTTGGAGATGTTATATATTTTACTAAAACTGAACAAAATGGTTGGTGGCTCGTCAAATCTTTAGATGAAACAAAAGAGGGTTGGGTTCCTGCAGCTTACTTGGTTCAATGTGATCCACCGTCAAGTCTTCAATTTTCAAGCGCTTCAACTGTTAATTCAATTCCCCAGGCTCCATCTCTGCAGCAACAGACCAATGATACGCCGGTTACTTCATACAATTCTAGTTCTAACACTCAATCAACCAATTCAAATCCTCTAGCAAATAGTTTAGAAGAGGCTTTAAAAAAGAGAAGAAATAGTTCGAGCAGCGAAGAAAAGGATGATGATGATTGGTAAAATGGCTTTATACTTTGGTTTTACATAGTGGTTTTCATTTCTAAACTATAAATTAATTTTAATTTTTCAGTTTTGAAAATTTTATAAATTTTGATACAAAAATTTTATTTAACTTTAATAAAAATTGCAGTTTTTCCCAAGACATTCAACTATATTTTTACTAGTAAAAAAATAAATTCTTAAAAAAAGCAAAGAATTAATAAAATGATAAAGCTGCTAATGGCAATAAAACTAATGAAAAATAAGACCATGACAATGTTCTTGCAGAAGTACTTTTTGATATCCGAGTATGGTTAGAATTATTATTTTTATTTTTATTTTTATTTTTATTTTCGCTTTGCTTGTTTTCATTCTTTTCACTTTGTTTATTCTCAATTAGTTCATTTTGAGTTTCAGGTTTATCTTTTATTTCTTCTTCATTAGTGATTGCTTTTACTTCATTTATAATTTCTTCTTCCACATCATGGTCTTTAATAATCTCATAATTGTTAATATAATAAGCATCAACATTCACATCTTCATTATTAATTGCAGAAAACAACTCTTTATATTCAGCTAAAGCTAATTTTTCCAATTCTTCCTTTGGTATTTCCGAGTCAATGATGTCGGAAATTGGCTCAATATCTCTATTTTTTCTTAATCTTTTTTTTTGAAACTGTATATCAGGTCCATCTTTCAAATATCTATCAATATACTCTGTAGCAAAAGTCAAATTTGTTGATTGTTGATCAGTGGCAATTTTGGAGTTTTGAAATGTTTGAACAGCAGCACATTTGTAATATTCTTCGCAATCACACCAGCATTCATTTTCTGTTTGAAAAAAAGCCTTTATATTCTTAATTCTATCTTCTTTTTCAGTGGTTTTTAAAACAGAAGCAGCTACAAGGTTGTAAACAAATGGATGAATAACCTTTCTTTTCCTTGGACAATAGCAATGACATGTTTCTTCCTCGGGATCTTCTTTGTGGATACTCAATAGATCGCAAATACAATATAGAACCATTTTCAATCCATTGAGCCCACATTTTATTAACCTATGGATTAATACAACAATACATTTTAACACACGACAGGCTTTAATACTAAGGCATAGAATCAAATCACAAAGTAAGCTTATACCTCTACGACCACCTTCGTTGATGTGGCATAGAACAAATACAATGCATGCAATTATTTTTTGTTCCTCTTCACTTAGTTCTTCTAGTAACGCGCAGACGAATTCTTTTATTTTTTTTTTATTGCACTCACCCATAAAAATATCAAACTTTTGATAATCATTCCAGTCTAAATTTCCTTCAATTTCACCATCATAAGTGACATAATTTTTCCATTGATCTTGATCTATTTTATCAAATGATTTCCCGTAATCAACATTATCGTCTTCAAAGGTTATATCGGGGTTATTTGAATCAGTATTTAACATTTTTTTGAAATCTTTGGAATAATTTTTTCCCTTGAAGTATTTGTTTTCTAGCTCCTCAATAATTTCAGTGATTTTCTGATGCTTTTTAATAGCTTTTAATTGTTTTTGAGATAAATTTTTTTCATATATTATATCTTTTGGAAAAATAAGATGTTCTGAAGGATTTTGAGCTTTGTTGGTATTCTTTTCTTTTAATTTAATAGTGTTTTTGCCTTTCTCTTTAATTTCATTTTGAGAATTAGGAAAACTTTTGTTTGGTTTTTTAGACAATTGATCTTGATTAGAATCGTTTGAATTTTTAGAATTTTTAGAATTTTTTCCATTTTGATTCTTTCTACCATTTTTCATTGAGGATTTTAACTTACTTTGATTTTTATTCTTTTCAAATAAAGGTTTATCGGAACGACTATAACTTTCGAGATTTATTTGGTCTGGATTGATGTTTGTGGCAGAAAAAACCTCAGTCAACTCTTCTTCAACTCGGCCAGCTTCGTGGGCATTAATATAGTTGGTTGAATCGGCTTCCAAAAAAGAGTTATCGTTGTCATTATTATCATTAGTATTGTAAGTAAGAAGATGGTTATTGGAGTCTTTCTGGTCGCTTTCAAAAATTCCAGATAATTTATTATTTGCACTATACTCAGTATTAGTTGGAGGCTCATTTTTAAGAATATTTTCTGTTTGAATGTTATTGAAATCAATTTGTTTTTGATCATCAGAATAAAAATTTGAGTTCACAGAAATTTCTGGAGAAGGGTTTAAGTCTTGGTTAATATTGGTTGAAGAGAAAAGTATAGAACTGTCTAAGATATCTGAACCTTTTGAAGTAGAGCGATTATCAATATTTTGAATAGTGGGATCATTTTCTTTGGGAAGATTTATTTCTTCCTGAGAATTTTCAGGAATAAATGAACCTTTGGAATAAGTAAAAAACCAGACAAAAAATAATAAGCAACTGAAAGTAGACGTTGAATTAAAAAATATCATTTCGAAGCCAATACATCAATAATTGAGTAAATTGAATAATTTGATATTTGATAACAGCAAACCTTTTTAAGAAAATCTTGAAACTAGTTATTCTTAACTATATTAAAGCAAAGGATTCTGATGTGTAAATGGCTTTAAAAGCATTGGGGAATTTGATGTCACAAAAAGAAAAAAAATAATCAAATTTTTTGCTTTGCATTTTCACAAAAAGCTTTGAATCATTAAAGCATTCAAACATCGTTTATTATGGATTAAAGAATAAAAATCGTTAGCCTACTATAATTGAGTGGCTACAGCAAATAGGGATTTCCATATTTCTATCTGGAGTATATTGAAGATAGTCGCTTTGATTTCAAAAAAATAAAAATAACGATAAACTGCTATTATATCCAGCTTCTATATGTAGCAAGAGAACTGGATTTGTAGTAGCTGTAAATTCCCAACAATATAAAGCATTAATCTCCCTTATGGTCAACAGAGGGTCTGTGACCAGAATTAAAAAGCAAACCGCCAGCATTGTCTGGTTTTTTAGCGTCGATGATTCTTGAATGGGGCTTCGAAATCTGTCTGAATGGAACTCTTTTGTTTGGAAATAGAGCAAAAACTTCCTCAGCTTTGTTTCCCTGGTCAGCATTGGAATCATCTTTCAGTTGGTTTGGTGCATCTTGAGTGGGTTGCTCTTGGAGTTGATGGGCCTTCTGGTGGGAATCGTTGGGAGAAGCCATGGAGTGAGAGCAGAAAGTGGCAATGATAAGAGGAAACAACAAACAGTAAAGCAGCAAGACAGAGAGGTTGCAACTGGGTGATCTGGACGAGTCGAGGTTCATCTATCAGTTGGAGCAGACGACTTGGTTCTCTTTGCGTGGACGAGACACAACAAAAGGAGTCTGAGGAGTCAGCATTCTCATCGAGGAACATATCCTCACCTCCCACAGAAACACTCAGAGCAATCATGGAGTCGTTTCTCGAGACTCTAGTGTTCTTCTGAATCTGCTATTACTACTCCAAAGACAAGCAACGCCAAAATAACTCCAGCTGCCAGAGAGCTACACAATGGTTGTGCTAGGAATCTGCTTCTCGATATTCGGCAACTTGTTGATAGCTGTATCTCTCAATCTCCAGAAGCTTGCTCACACAAAATTAAGCCAGACTCAATACCACTGCAACGATGCTGACAGTCTGTGTCGAAACTCTTCTGTGCATTGTTCTCACTGCTCTACTCCTTTGTTGAGCCATCACCAGCAGCTTCCTTACTCGCCCTCGTTGAACTCAACCTCCAATGTTTCTCCCGTATCAAGCTCAAGCTCCACTAATATAACTTCCAAGAATGAGCATTACTTGAAGAGCCCTTGGTGGTGGGCTGGGACCATGCTCATGACTGTTGGAGAATGTGGTAATTTTATTGCTTATGGTCTTGCTCCAGTCTATATCGTTTCTCCATTGGGAATTGTCACCATAATATCCAACACAACAATTGCTCCTTTTGTTTTCAAAGAACCTATAAAATCAAATGAACTACTTGGAACTATGTTCGCTGCCATGGGGGTACTCTTTGTCATATTATCCTCTCTTAAAGTCAATCGTGAAATCTCCCCTGAACCTGCGCCAGAAATAGACCCATTGGACTACATTTCTTCAATAATTTTTTCAATCACCTATTTGCTTTATCTTCTTGCAACTTTGGTATTGATTGTCAGCTTGGTTTTTGCTGTTGATATTATGAACCGCAAATTCTTTAAGAGAAAAGATCTCTCATATCACAATATACCTGCATCTCTTAAGAATCAATATGTTCTTTTAAATTTATTTCTTGTTGCTATCTTTGGCTCTCATACCGCAATATCTACCAAGTGTCTTTCTACAATATTGAGCTTTTCTAGAGATTATCGATCCATTTTTTCAAATTTTTTGGTATACTATTTACTTATAAATCTTCTTTCCACAGCTCTTCTTCAAGTCAAGCATTTAAATGACTCCCTAAGAGTTGAAAGCTCCAGCAAAATAGTCCCTTTACATTTTGTTTGTTTCACTATAACCGTTTTAATCTGCTCGACCATTTTATTCAAAGATTATAAAGATAAATCTATTTATCAATACTTGTTATTTTTACTAGGTTGTCTCTTAACTTTTTTTGGTGTTTTTTTAATATCAAATGGCACCAATAATTTTGAGATTGAGCATAAAGACTCTGATGCAATTTCCCTCCAATCTCAAGCATTTACAGAATCCAATTTACAAAGAGATGTATTTACACCATCTGCATCGAATCAATTAAATAATAACACAAATTTCTCCAGGAATATAGATATAGAAACAAATCATATCCATATACCTACATCAAAAGATGATAATTGTATCAATGAACGCTATCTCATTGTCCCTCAAACAATACCAGGCACTGGAAGCTATATTATTGGAAGTGTTTTAAGTAATTTAGACATAAACCACAATTAACCCTATATATTAGAATTATAAAAAAATTTATTAGAACGTTCATTTCTTACAATATATTCTTTTAATTCTTTTTTGTTTTCTGTTTTGCTTTGTTTTATTCTTTTTTGGTTTCTAATTTTCAACATTTAAATATTACTGTCTTCAAATATTAATGTTTTTAAATAACACTGTTTTTAATTTTTAGTCTTATTTTCATTTGTTTTTCTTTCTTTCATTTAACTTACTTTTTTCCCCTCTTAATATATCTACATAATACATGGCATATTTTTTTCTTTTTTTAATAATGAACTTTAAGAAAATCCTAAAATTGATTGATAGTATTTGTTTTGTTATTGAAATTAAAAAAAAATATGTTTGTAAATATCAACTATTTTGAATGTTTCATATTACTCTTCATTTGTGCCTCATTCTTCTTTATCAATTTCTTTCTTTCAGCCCTGTTTAAATTTCTTGGATCTATTAATTCGTCTTTGGTATTTTGAGTTTTATCGTCAACTTCAACTAACCATTGATCGTCCAAATCCTTATTTTTACCTTTATAACCCCATTTTGGTACCCACTCGCCCTTCTCTTCATCATAAACAAACTTTCCCTTTTTTGAATTGGAATTGATACCCTTTTTAGCAGCAAACAATTCCCATTTGGTTGGTGGTTTGGGTTTTGGTAAACTTTTTTCTCTTGGTAAATCGGTTGTTGGAGATGGTAGCTGAAGTAAAGTCATTGTAGAATCCTGACCAGTTGAATTTCCTGATGTTTCAGTAGTAGTCTTTATGGGCAAAGATAATAATTGGTTTATTAATAGCTGAACATTATCTCTTGTCACGTCTTTAAGATGGGCTTCTTTTATATTACCAGAAGAATTCAATTTCTCACTATCTAATGGATTTGGATCAAAAAGTGCTAAATGTCCCAAATCATATACCACTGGGATTGGTTTGTCTACTGTCACTGGTTTTCTAGAAAATATGTTAGCTATTAATAAGTTTTAAATAATACTCCAGAATGTGAAATATAACATACCTTTGTTTTTCTGTTGTCATTTCTATATTACTAATATTATGGTTATATATTGTTTTCTTAACCAAGCAAAAAAAGATTGAAAAAAAATTTGATTTTCAAGAAAAAAAAAAACTCCACTCTGATGGTCCGCAGATTTATACATGATCCGGATTTTCTCATGATCCGTCACCATGGATTTTGTTAGTGATAATATAGAAATAACTTTTCAGAAAAACATTCAACAAAAGAAAATTAATATATTCTAATATAAAAGAATGATATACTGGAAGAAATTTTATTTCTCTTCGATTTAATAAAAACCAAATCATATATAAAATAACCAAATTGTTGGATGTTGTCTGATACAACCCAACTTAAAATTGTTGCTTGCAATATTTAAAGCAACTTTTTATCAATCACACAATTTCGAAATCTTGAAGAAAAAAATAATAAATATATTTAAAAATTTCAAAAAATTTGGAATAAAAGAGTTTTTTGATTTGATTTTTCTTTATTAGAAGTCAAAACTGATTCTTTAACAAATGCTCAAGACTTTACATAAATAGTACTCTTGGAATATAATTGGACAAAACAATATTGAGTGCTTTTGATGCAGTTTCATTAAAGAAGTCTTTTTTTTATTAATTCATCAACTTTATATTTAAAAAATTTGTTTTTATTGATGCCATCAGTGTTTGCTCTTGTTTCTGTTGATGTCTTGCAACTAAAAAGACAAAAATCTTTAACAAATTATAAATTAAAATATTTTCAAGTATAAGATACTTCAGAATGTTTAATTTTAAATCATTTATATTGATTTGATTATTGATTTGTGTTTGAAAAAATGCCCGGTTATTTTAATGTTACTTTCCATTTTAGGTTTGACATAAAAATTCCAATTAGGGCAATTTTTGGTTTGTCACTACCATCATAATAGAGACTAATTTTTAGTATAGAAAGGCAAGAATAGATTTAAATTGTTTATTTCCAGTTTTTTTCAGCTCTTGTTGAAAGAATTTGTTGATTTTGCTAATCAATTGTAGTGAATCTTAATAAATTTAGAATTTTAAAGAAAGTTAATTGCAAATATTTTTAAAAAAATTGTTTATTAATAAAAATCATTTGTTATAGGTGCATTTTATATTTTTCTATTTCATTCGTAGTATAATTAAACGATGGTTTTACTGATGGATGACTATCATCAAAAAAATGCACAAATCATATGAATGGTTAATATATAATAACAAAAACATCTGTAAAGAGGTTTTATGGATGATCATCAACTAGCTTCCAATAATTTTTATTTATTTTGCAAAAGAATAAATCAACAATAAAAACGATGATTTCTGAGATTAGCTCCTACGTCAGATCATGCGCATGTCATATTTTTATTAACAGAAGTATGCAGATAACGCGTTCTGCAAAATACGCATGAGTCAGCATTAATCTATATTGATTTTAAAATGGATAGATATAATGGAAAGATGGGTTTATTTCAATTAAACCTGTTTGATTTCCAAACAATTATCAATTAAATCTATATGATTATTAAGAGTGTTTGTATTTTTAAATTAGCTCTGTTAAAATCATACTATAAAAATGGTTTTTTTATCAAATTGAATCGATTTATAGAGCTTTAATGCAATTTTAAACTAGAAAATATAGTAAAAAAATCAACCAAATGATTTTAGTAAAAGAAAAATAGTTGAATGTGAAAGAAATAAATACAATTAAAAACAAAATCATTTTAACAAGTAGTTTTCATACTTTTTTATTTATTTATTAGACATTTCAAACAAATTCAAATAATGTTTTTTTTTAAAAAACCACTTTATTAACTAAATATAATAAGATACTTCAAAATATTTTACTGAAATTGGTATTGAGAAATTTTTTTATTTGTTAAATACTATTATTTAGTAAATAATATAAAATAAGAATAATATTTTTTATAATTATAAATTGGCTTGAATTAATGGATAATATATAATTGATATCATTTGATGATAATCACACAACCGACCTGGCTCCGATTATGTTCAGTCTTCATTAACAAATTTTTAAAAATTGTAACTGTGCTTAATAAAGAATAATTTTATAAACTTTTCAATGGTTTAAAGAAATAGTTTGTTTATTCGTTTAGACAGTAGATATTGTAAAAAGCTTGCAAAATTTCTTTAGAAGAACTGTGTATACAAAAAGCATATTTATGGTTTTTTTATCTGCATATATGCAAAAGGCATGCTGATTTCTGCTTATGTGCATGCATATTTATATATATTCCAAATGGCGAGAAGTGTTTTTGGTTGTTTTTATATGTTTTGAAAGTAGAAAAATGTAATAGAACAAATCATGTTTAGAGTCTATTTAGATATAGTAGAGAAATCCATTTCTTGGTATTTAGAAATATAATTGGGCTTAAAATTACAACCAAAATAGTGATTTTATGAAATATATTCTAATTTCAGGTGCGTAAAAGGGTGAATTTCTAATTATTTTAGCCCCATTCAATTAATTAATTAATAATCTTATATTTGTTTAACTTTGTAAGCATTAATCACAAAAAAAGTTATAAATATGAATGGCAACTATTAAAAAAACTCTACGCGTTAACAGGATACGACAAATCCCTATATTTATTATGTTTACAAAAATTGTAAACAGTGTAGTTTTATGAGTTAACCAGTCTGGTAGATGAACAATTTGTTTTAATGAGTGGTTAATTTCTTTTAAAAAATAGTTTTCAAACTCAAATCGCAATTACGTTCAATGCAGCAGGATAAATAGTTCCATTTTTTTTATTGAATTCAGTACTTCCCATGTATTTTGATACATTTTGAATCCAGAAGAAAAAAATACTTTTCTTAAGATATAAAATTTTTGTTTTGTTTCAGTGTTAATTAATTTCTCATATTCATATAATTGTTAGGAATTTGCCAAATATAGATGTTTTATTGGAAATATTCTGTTTTGGCGAAAAAATATGGGAAAGTAAGAAAAAATAATGTGGTTTTAAGCAACTCTTAACCATGTGCTATGAAAATCGATTGGTTATTGAATGGGAAAACTAGTAATCATAAATTTACTGCAGCAAATTTTATATCCACTTGCACACAGAGATCTGGAATAACAGGGCGAAAAACTATTTTTGCGAAATAACTCATTTGCTGAGTTGTTTTTGCAAAAATACTTTTAAATTGTGAGTAGACTAAAAGGCATCTGGTTTATTTGTGAGAAAATCACCTTACCAACATCCGGCGAAGTTAAGCCGAGATGGATTCTCTCTGGTTTGCGGTAGCCAGTGGGTATATCGTCCAGCCGTAATGGCCCTTGGCCTAAGGAGCTGCAAATTCAAACCACAGTCCACTGCGAAGCACCGGCATAGTATTGGCCCAACAAAGCTGCCTTCAGAATGCTCAGAATGTCTGTGCAACATCATCAGTAGAAGCTCAGGAGAAACTCCGGCTCGTGTTGCAACCACAATGCATGTGCCTATGTCGGAACTTGCCCTCGGTGGCTCTGACCGGTCGGCGTGGAAACACAATTCATCCAGCATGAGCCACCATTAAGACCCATCAGCACCCATTATTTGGACATTGGAAATGTTTGGAACCACTTGGAATATTTACAGGACTTAGAATGTTTAGCATATTTAGAGTATTTAGAATTGTTGCGACATATTAAAAGAGTTTATCCAAATATATCTCCACTTGCTGATATAGGTCAAAGAGGTTTACGAAATAACATCAGATTGTTATTTTCTCTCCATTCGACATGATTCCTTTGTGTTCTTCTTTTTGCAACTCATCGGAACTAATTGGTTATAATTAAACGTTACTAAGATGTTTAATTCTAAAAATTTTTTTTTTTTGAAAACTCAAAATTAGATTCATGAGCCCGAATGAACTGGGAAATTCTAGGAAGCTTTTGGATTATATGGTTATAGGTTTTTACCAAAAATTGGCTAAAATGATGAAATTAATTTCTATGCCATTTTTATCAGAGAGTTGAAGGCAGTGAGTAGTGTGTGTTAATAAAAAACAGAACTGAGAATTGAAAGAAAAAGAGTGTCAGTGTTAAAGAGAATCACTGAACAGCAGGATATTTATCTCATTGGCATATAGTGATAAAAAGATGAATATAAATACATGCTCAGTCCCATTTGAATTTTAGGGCTTTTCTTTTATAAAATAATAGAAAATTATAGATTCTGGTCATCCACTTCATTATTAATATCTATCCAAATCAATAAGCACTATTGCATTACTGTTTATAGTTCTTTATCATCATCATTATCATCACCATCTTCAATCCCTGAATTTTTTTTTTAATTTAATCTAATTCATCTATATATTTCAATTCAAAATGTCTCTCGAAGCTCATGTTGATCCCGAGTTATTGGTCAAAAAGTTGATCATGGAAAATAACATCAAAAAAAATCAAAAAATATCTGCCCAATTTCACCAGGCTTATAGTGTTAAAAATCTTAAATTAGTCAATTCATTAGAAAATCCAACTAGTTTTACTGCTTCTAAAACTGAAATGCCTGAAAAAGGTTTGCATCCCAAGATCACTTACCAGTTAATTCATGATGATTTGGACTTGGATGGTAATCCAACTTTGAATTTAGCCAGTTTTGTTAATACTTATGTTCCAGATGAAGCTAAAAAATTGATCAAAGAAAACATCACCAAGAATTTTGCTGATAATGATGAGTATCCAATTTCAATGGATATCCATAAAAGATGTATTTCAATTTTATCTTCATTATGGCATGCCCCTGATTCTCTGGAAAGTGCTGTCATTGGTTCAGCTACAACCGGTTCCTCAGAAGCTATCATGTTAGGTGGTTTGGCACTTAAGAAAAGATGGCAAAAACAAATGAAAGCTGCTGGAAAAAGCACTGTTAATCCAAACATTCTCATGGGTGCAAATGCTCAAGTCGCCTTGGAAAAATTTGCCAGATATTTTGATGTTGAAGCAAGAATTATCCCCGTTTCTTCAGAAAGTGAACATTTAATGGATATAAGTAAAATAGAACAAAATGTTGATGAGAATACTATTGGTATTTTTGTGATTTTAGGTTCAACCTACACTGGAGGTTATGAAAATGTTTATGAAATCTCTAGAATTTTGGATAGAATTGAATTGGAAAGGGGTATAAATGTTCCAATTCATGTTGATGGTGCTTCTGGTGCTATGATTTCCCCATTTGTATATCCAAACTTGATTTGGGATTTCAAAATTCCAAGAGTTTATTCAATCAACACTTCTGGTCACAAATTTGGCTTAACATCTGCCGGTCTAGGTTGGATTGTTTGGAGAGCTAAAGAATATTTACCAAAGGAATTAATCTTTCAATTAAGATATCTTGGTGGATTAGAAGAAAGTTTTACCCTTAATTTCTCAAGAACTGGTTATCAGGTTATCCATCAATATTTCAATTTCTTATGCTATGGAAAAGAGGGCTATAAGAAGATATTCAATAATTGTTTGTCAAATGCAAGATTATTGTCCAAATTTTTAGAAGAATCCGGTTACTTTGAATGTGTTTCTAGTATTCACAGGCCAAGAGGCATTTGCCATTTGATTGATCATGGTGATAAATCTGTTGACGACAACCTAACATTAGATGATGATAATGAAAAATTCAACCCAGGTTTACCTGTTGTTGCCTTCAAATTTTCCAAACAGTTTGAAGAAAAATACCCGGAAATTCCTCAATCCATGGTTTCCACATTATTGAGAAATAGAGGTTTTATTGTTCCAAACTACCCATTGCCAAAGAATGAGCAATCCACCGAAGTTTTGAGAATTGTTGTGAGATACAACTTGAACTTGGAATTGCTAGACAAGTTGATGAGTGATATAATTCAAATCACAGAGGTGTTGATCAAATCAGCAGAAATTGTCAAGAAGAGCACCAGAGAGTCAGGAAATAACAACACTGAACTCATTTATGATATGCTATTGTCGGTTTCAAGTGGTGGTTTTCACGATAAAATGAGAGTCAAGCCCAAGTTATAATAGGATTATTTCTTGTTTCAACAATGGCTTATAATGGCTAATTGCATATATCTTGTTACCCTATGAAATTCTACCCTATAAGTATATTTAAACAAGACCTATTTCATTTTGTTTGATAGTTTGTGGTTATTTATCTATTGTTTTCCAAGTGTTTTTAACGAGTAGTTTGTTAAATGTGTTTTTTAATAGTTTTCAGAGTCTTTTTATAAAACTTTTTCGATTTTTTGTATTTTATGTATAGATTATTGGTTATATCAAAAAATTTATATAAATTAAATAAAACAAAGCATGAAAATTCAACAGAGCCTTAGCGAAAGTGAGCAAAATATAGAGAAAGAATGAGAAAAAATACGTTCCAGCATACACATAACAAAAAAAACACTAAACCATAAGAATAAGCAAACGTTATAACAGTTAAAAATAAAACCAAAAACATCATCAGCTTAAAATGAACAGAGAAAAAAAAAATTTCGTAAAATGAAAATGAAAATGAAAATGAAAAAATTGAAAATATTAAAAAAGAATTGTTTAAATTTGGCGATTTTGTTCTAATTTCTTTCTACAAAACCAACCAAGTCCCGGAATATAAATTCTTCGAAGAAGTTTTCCTGTTTTTTTATCGAATTTGGTAATGTTGAGCTTCCTTATGAATATTGAAGCGATACAGATTTGCAAGTCTCTATTTGGTTGTTCAATTGAGGAGACAAGATTAATAGTCAGAATTGAATTGCTGTCATGGTCATCGTTACTATTATCATAATTAATGTTAAAGTTGTTAAAATTGTTAACATTATTATTGGTTCGAAAATTTTCTTTGGTGACTATGCTATTATTAATGATTGAATTACTTAGGAAACTTTTGAAGTTGTTATTGTTAAAGAGATTAAAATTTAATGAATTATTTCTGCTTTCAAAACTTCCCAACAAACATTTCAAGTAATATAATCTAATATAGTTGTGCCATGATTTGATTTTAATAATTTGAGATAAATTTTCAAAAACAGACAAAGTATTTTTAACTAGACGATCGTTGGACAATAAAGAAAATTTTTCAAAAATTGCACCTTTTTTCTCAATGGTTCTTCTTATACTATTTGTTGCAAAACATTTTATTGAAAATAAAACTTCTTCAATGATCAAATCATTTTCCGATTTGACAACGTAGTTTTGATTTATTGAAGGGAAAAAGATTTTAAAATCATCAACTAATCTTGTTAATAGCATTGATAAATCATTAGGATAAGGACCCTGGGTATCATCGAAATCTTGGTTTTCATCATAATGCCAAAGTTCATAGGATAAGGCAATTAATTGGGCAAAAGATTTAATAATTTCATTGTTTAAATTATTAATAATTACGTTATCATTTGAAGGAGAAATTGATTCAATATCAATCAAGAAATCAGTGAAATTCATATAAATTAAATTGTTCAAGTCACCAAAATCTTTGATTAAAGTTAGCAAAGCAGAGATAGAATTAATCACTGATACCAAGTTTTTGGCAATTAAAGATTTTAACATTAAATTGTCTTGAATGTTCAAAGAGATTATTAGCAGATCTTTCAAGGAAATTAAAAAAGTTATTTCATTAACAATGTCAAGATAGTTACTAACTTGATTTTGTGTTTGTGATTGATCATTACAATTAAATAGCATTAAAATGACATAAGAATTTAGTATATTTAAAGAAATTTTTGAAGAATGGTTTGATAATAATTCATTTGGTAGATATGTTTTTAAGAAGGGCAATATTTCAGCTTTAATCAAGTCTTTGAGAGATGCAAAGCAAAAAATTGACATTAAAGTTAAACAATTTAGAGATTTGAAAAGCAAGTTTAATTTGAAGTTGTCATTACTTGCAGTATTATTAATATTGATGATATTGTTACCAATCATGGTATTATAACTGGTATTATTAGAAATGGTGGTATAATTATTAGTGTAATTATAATTATTTTGATTAAAATTAATATAATTGTTATTATTGGTAGTAATTGAACCATTGAGCAAATTGTCAGAATCAAAATTCGACAAAACCTTTCTAAAAAAAATAAACAAAATCATAAGATGATAGTTTGTGATTTTAGAATTTAAATTATTAAGATTATCATAAGAGGAAACCGATTTGAGTAATTGGTATAAGTTATCTAAGAGCTGAATTAAAGAGTAATTGTTTGGTATTGAAGAAAGGTTATTATTTTGGAGATGAGAATTTAATTGGTGAATAATATTAGATATTTGATTAATAAAATATGCACCTTTATTCCTATGAGTATTATTATTATTATTATTATTATTGTCGTTGTTGTTGTTGTTGTTGGCAGAAAAAGCGTAATTGTTATTTGAGGTATTAATGTTATCAAAGAGATTGATACAGTTATTGGTGGTATTAGTAAGATTAACATTGGTGTTAATGTTGGAGCTGGAGCTGGAGTTGGAGTTATTGTTGTTGTTATTACGAACTAAATTATTATTATTGAAAGAAGATAAAGAATTATAGTTGTTAAAGACATTGAAATTATTAAACTCATTTGAACCATAGTTTCCATGATTTACCATCCTTTTTGAGTCTGAAAATTGGAGAATAGAAGTCATATTAAAGATGGTCAATTAATCAAGATTTTGATTCAAAAAAAAAAACCAATAAAAAAGTTAAAACAAGTTCAAAGTAAAAAGAAAAAGAGATGAACCGAAAAAGATTTGGATCTATGGTATTAACAATGAAAGCAAGAATCAACAATATAAATGACAAGAAAAAAGAAGAGTAAATCAGAATAACAGCAAGACTACTAAGTGCAAAAGCAGTGGACAACAAATAACGATAAATTCAAAGACAATTAGAATAGTGAAATGAAAAAGGATTGATCTAAAAAAAAAAAAAATCAGCTGAAATCAAGCCTTTAATAACGAAGATAAAGGGGGCAGTTACTTTTGAAAAGAAATAAATGAAAGCCAACCAGATCATTTACATCAACAAGCAACAATATATTAACCACAGATAGCTGAAATGGATTAAGAGATATTCAGCAAATTTCACAGCAGACCGGAAGAAAGCTTTGGTTTGTCATTTTTATTTTTAAACCTTTGAAAATATTATTTACAGTTTTGTTATATATGCTTCGAGTGTTCTAAAAGTTGTTTCAATGGACACAGCCATCTCCATGAGATATAAATATATTTCCTCAATAAAAGACTCCTTAGAGCCCTAATTCGCCGTTCTTTACGTCCGCGATCAGAAAACAATAGCTACGAGCCGCAAAGAGCCGCGTTCAAATGCATGCGGCTGCATACACAGTTCTAGAGCCAGACACTCCCGCACAGGTGGTCTTGAACCACCCGTAAGGGTCCATGCAAAATAAATTTTTTTTGAAAGTTCGTTTTTTCTGAGAAGAGGCTCAGAAAGAAAAGTAAAACCAGAACAGAACAGAACAGAACAGAACAGAGCAGAGCAAAGCAAGCAAAAGAGAACCCAGAGCAGAGCAAAGCAAGCAAAAGAGAACCCAGAGCAGAGACTGTCCACACCATGTCGACCAACACCTTTGTCAAGAAGCTAGCTGCCAACGACCGTCCTACAAGAGAGGCTGCCTTCAAGGTCTTGAAGAAATATCTCGAAACCGCAAAGCCCTTGTCGTTTGTCAATTATCAACATTTATGGAAAGGGTTGTTCTACTCAATGTGGTTTTCTGATAAACCAAGACCACAGCAGAGACTAGCCAGATTGCTAGGTGATTTGTTTTCCGAAACTATTCCTAAGCAATCCTTTGTCAAATTTGTCGGCGCATTTTGGTCGATAATTATAAACGAATGGCCTAATATTGATCAGTGGAGAATGGATAAATTTTACTTGCTATTGAGAAATGTTGTCAATTCCTGCTTTAAAAGATTAAAATTAGAAAACTATGATAGGAGCTTAACTGTGGATTATCTAAACACTTTGTTCAAAAATGACAAAAAAAATAACAAACTTGGTCCATTATCCGGTTCTCCAAAAATTTTGACTTCAATTCCTTATCATATCATCGACATTTATGTTGATGAATTAGAAAAAGTTCTTTTTCAAGATATCGATATCGACGATCTAGAATCAAGATCCCAAATTGCAAATGAAACTTCAATAGCCCTCTTGATTGAGCCATTCTACGACCTTTCCAAGAATGCTATTTTTAAACCTTTAAGAGTAAAAACCATCAAGGAAATCCTCAAGAGCCCAAAGTTGATAGAATGGGGTGTTTTGAAAAATGACGAAAATGATGAGGAAAATGACGAGGATAGTAGTGAGTGCGAGAACAAAGAAAATAAAGAAAATAAAGAAAATAACAATGGCGATGACATTCAAAGTCATCAAAATGAAACAAGTAAAAATAGCGAAGACCCTAGCCCTGTTTAATAATAATTCCTTATCTATCATTTTTGTATCCTTTATCGTCTGTTTTTTATACTATATAATTCTCTTGAAAGGAAATTCAACTAGAACTTTTCTCGTTTCGTATTTTTTCCCTCAGTTTTTTATGAAGATAAACTGTTATAGCCCAAAGATACAAGTTAAAACTACTGCAAACAAAACTGCTGCAAACCAATCTGTATATTTTTGATATTTTAGCTTTATGCTTTTATCTCGTTAAGCATCTATTGTAATCTGTTGCATTATTTGTGCTATATGCAGTATATTCTCAACAACAGTCCAGTCGAATTCGGCTACTATTCACTCGATAAAACTGCTAAGCCTATTATTTCTGTCTTTCGAATTGAATAATTTTCTTACACACTTGTTTGTCGAATCAGCTTCTAATAATAATATATACGTTTACAGTGTATCTTATGTAAGTTTTATAAATTGTATAATTTCATGGTCTGAAATTAAAAATAGTTTTAAAATAATATATTATATACAAAATATTAATATTCTAGATTCTCAGCCTGGTCTTGCACGTAATTTTAATATAACTTCAAAAAATAAAAAAATTATCTCTATCCATCTTTTTTAAAAAACCAATTAAATTAAATAAAATACATAAAATAAGTAATCTATAAATAAATATAATGATAGCCAATAAATAAGACAAATATTAAATCAATAAAATTGCAATTTTTCTTTTATTTATTTTTAAGCTTATACTATAAAATTATTTTATTTCATTTCCGTATCGCCATTCACATCAACATTAATTTCTTTGATCTCTTCTTTTTTATCAGTATTGTTGCACTTGATTGAAAGCCATTTATTTTCTTTTGTGTTTTTCTTAAGTTCAAATGTTGGAAAATAATGATAATTGGTCTTTATAGATAATGCAAATGGGATATTGTCAAATGATATCAATCTTACTTTCACATATGTATTGTCCGGAATTTCTTTTATAATTCTCAAAAATTCTTCCATTGTAGATGTCTTTTGTTCATTAACGTGTGTAATGAAGTTTGTTGAATGCAACCCATAATGCATGGCAGGACTACAGCCTGATAAACTTGATATATAAACTCCTGATGGTAATTGTTTCATTGATTGTCTGACTGCATGAAATGGTTTTTGAATTAATGCTCCACACCACATAACTATATCATCAGTATTTTCAATTTCAACTGTTTTGACATTTATATTAGAAACTTTCTTTTTTCTAACAATTGTGAATTTTAATTCTTCGGTTGTGAACATAACTTTGAAATCTGAAATACTAGAAATTAATTTATCATTTACTGCCAACAATATATCCCCTATTTCTAGTCCTGATTTTATTTCACTTTCTTCAAAATTTGGACAAGTGATTGATGAAACAGTCAAAAAATTTATTCTATCAATTCCTTCAACGTTTTCCAATTTACTTATCCATTCTTCAGGCACTCCCATAATTCTTGATTTTGAAAGTGGAATTTCTGTAACCTCTGCATCAACGATTCTAACTTTAGGAATTTCATCACTGTTTTGAAATGCTCTAATAACGTCCAAGGCATCGGTTGCATCAATTCCTGCATGGTATACAGAATCAGATCCATCATCTCTCGTCTCTCCCAAGCATGAAAGCCATAAACCACGAATAGTTCCATCTTTATCCGATAAAACACCAGACCCATATTTGGAACTTAAATTTGTATCAATAGTAATGGCTTTGATATTTGATGCTCTGTAACGTGGAGCAGAAGAATTTTTGGGCATATTATTAGGGGATATATCAGTAATTCTTGTTTCCTGGGAAGCCACTCTGCTGAAATTATTGCCAACAAATAAAACCTTTTCACCTCTTTTCAAAGGTTCATCACTAAATTTTGGAGTTTGAAGTGGAGCTAAAACCAATGAAGGGTCGTATTTTAAAATAGCATAATTATACAAAGGATGCAAAAATATAACTTTTGCAGGAACAATAATCGAGCCTGCAATAGTTATATGGAAATTACCCAAATCATGAGGAACAAAATATCTTGAGGTTAAAACGTAACCTTTTTTAGCATCGATTATTAGACCTGAGCCATTTCTTCCAGAAAAATAGTATGAATCAATTGTTATAGGAAATTGAGAACTTAGTCCAACAATTGATCTTGATAAATTTCTAGCGCCTTCTTCATCCGATGGTAAGTCGATAAATTTTGCATTTAAAGGTTTTAATTTTTCCATTGGTAGTGGATCACCCAAATCAACAAAATCCCATAAACCAGATTCATCATTTCTAATTGCTAGCTTAAAAGTTTTATACCAATGTCTATCAATATAAGTGGTTCTGACTTTTGGAGAATGCATATCTGTTACATGTCTGCAAACAAAGGGAACTCTTGCACCATCCGGTATAGATTTCATAACTTCAATAAAAGTATCTAAATCAGGGATTTCTTTATTATCAATAGAATCGATTAACCAACCAGTATCATTGGATCTCCTAAAAGAACCTGAAGCATAACAAATAAAAACACCCTTAACAGGTAAGCCAAACATTCTAGCCATTTGATAGGACAAGGTGTGAAAAATAGCGCCTGAAACTTGGACGTATCTATCTGGAGTGATTGAATGTAAATTTTGAACTTTACAATTGATAGAAAAATCTTTGCCACTTCTTTGAACCACTATGTCAATATTTTGATCCACATTTGAATCTAAGATTTCATCAACTGAAATAAAAGAGAAAATAGATTTGCCATTTATTGAAATCAAGGTATCACCTTCTTTGATTAACTTATCAGCAGGACCTTCAGGTAGAATGATATCAGCAACTAATAAACCAATAGCGTTTGGGTATAAGCTTCTCATTCTGGCTTCAGAATCAGGAGATAAACCTAATCTTCTGCATTCATCAAATGGTTTAAGAATCCAAGTTACTTGGATTGTTCCTCTAGTGATTGGGATATTCTTTTGAATGCAATTTAAAGCTCTTAGGACTCTGTTGACAGGTAAAAAAAAATCAGTAGAAGCATTTGTTGAGCCCCCAGCTTGAAGTGCAATAGCGTGTCCATCAATATTGACAACAGGTGAACCAGATGAACCACCAGAAGCGCTTGCAGCAGCTTGGATATATTCAGTATTAAAATCGTTATATGTCAAAGAACCATAGTCAGGAGCATTTCTATTTAATCTTGAAATAAAACCGGATAAAATGGATAATTTCTCACCGTTATCGTTACCAACGACTCTTATTTCCACACCAACTTTTGCTAAGTCAGGTCTCAAAGTGAGATGCTGAACTTTCATGTATTTGACCAAGTTTGGATCAAACTGTAAAAAACCAAAATCATGAACAGGATCTCTATAGATGGGTTTGACTGGAATTTCTTCGTGATTATCAAAAACTGCATAACCAGAGAATGGGCCAGGTCCCACAACATGTCTATTTGTTAGAATTATACCACGTTTTGAATCGACAATGAAACCTGTTGCTTGAGAACAACAGGCAGATTCAGTATCAAAAGCAGAAACTTGGGAGAATTGAATTGAAACAACACTTTTGACGATTCTTTCAATAGTTTGTTGCCAGTGGGGGTTGTTATCTATTGTGGTTGCTGGCAAGTTATTTTTTGGAGTGATTATGTTAGTATCATGGTTTATTGGAGTGTCGTTTTCATTAATGATGATATTGCTATTGTTGTTGTTGTTGTTTGGTTCAGCGATATCGATGTCGCTTATATTAATATTTGAAGATGGCGGGTTCAATATCGGAGATTTGTGTAGTTGTATTGAATTGGAATCAGATTCGGTATCTAGAGTTGAGTTATCGATAGTGGCATTGCCATTTATCTTTTCGGATTGCAATTTCAATCTCTTTGAAGTGGCCAAATCGCTTTCAGTGGTTGACAAAGGTCTTTTAGATTGATGGTTTAGTTCCATTCTGTTAAAAGGAAAATTGGTGTTATAAGTGTATTTTAAATTATGAATAGAACTGTTATTAATCTTGGTAAAACTTGAAGACAAAATATTTGAAAATAATATTTTTTTAGTTAAAGGAGATCTATTGAAACTTTTAATAGTGTTAAACATATAGAATAAAAATCAAGAAATCAGCAATTCATTCTACTTCCACCTAGTTGCAAATCAAACTACCCATATACGAGAACGAAGACTGATCAGTTATCCAGAAGCTGAGGAAGCAGAAGCTGCTCAACACCAAAAAAAAAAGTGAAAATTGCATCAGGTGAAAAAACCCCGGATGTGCGGGCTCATGCAAATCTGGGTTTGCTGACATAAGATCCGCATTCGTGGCTACATCCAGAAAGCTGGTTCTTTTTTTGCTGCTTGTGCTGCTTGTGCTGCTTATATACTGTAATGCTGGAATTTGGTGAATGAAGCCGGAACTGGCATCACTGGCTCATACTTTCTTCAATCCACTCTATCCATCCTCTGCACAATGGCTTGGAGTTTGGAATGAAATGTCCTCCTGGCTGCTCGAAAAGTGTTGCTGTTCCCTTTTCGCAATAGTTATTGGCCAACTTGATAGATAGCTGCGATTTAATAACATTGTCATTTTTTCCGTAGATGTGCATACTTCGTAGGCCTAATTTTTGCAAATATAAATCTCTGTAAAGATTAGGATCTAGTTTCGAGAGGTAGTCGTCATCATAAAAAGAATAGCTGGAAAACATCATTATGAATTTCAATGAGGGAAACTTTGAATGAAATAGGTTTGCAAAGACAAATGCTAAAGCAGCACCTTGAGAGAAGCCAATGATACCATCAAATGGGCCCTTTTCTTGAAAGGTTTTGTTGATGAGATTGATTGAATCCTCGATTTTTCCTTCATTTAACCGGTACCATGCAAAACCAAAATTCTCGTCTTCTGGTATAGTCGTTGGAGTGAATGGCAACTCATTAATTTTCAATTTAATTGGAGCATCGATATATATTGTTTCATAGTTTTTCTTTTTCAATAATTTTCGAATACCTGAAGACTTTTCAGCAAAAATTTTTCCGGTTTGGGCAAACCCATGTAAACATAATATTCTTCCCTTGACTGACATGCTATTGTAGTATAATGGCCTGAAGTTATATGTATATACGTGTGTTTATATACGAAAATCAAATCTGAAAAGTAACAAAAATAATAACAGAGCAAATTGAACGAATTTATACGTTGAAATAAGTGTTTTTTCCAATTTTTTTTTCAATTGATTTGTCATAAATCTTATTAAGGTTACTGAATTTGGTATTTGGATCCCATGATTAATAGATTGAATGAATGAATGAATATTTGATTAACTGATTAATTTCCAGCCTTACATCGCAAAAAACATTTACAATATATAGCTCTTTTACTAAAATAATAATAATATAACCATTTTGACAATCATATTAATAGTATTAATAATGAAAAAAAAAACAACTTATAATATACATTTTAGAAATTTAAAACTAACTGAAAAGAGGCAAAAAAAAAAAAATAAACCCATATAAATAAGGATAAAATAAGGATAAGACAAAAATAAAAATAAATGAAATAAAAAAAGATTATTGATGATTTTACGATTTTCCATAATTGAAACTTGAAATTATTAATAATTTTGGTAATGTTGCTAATATTGATAATTAAAAAATCTTAATTTAGGATTAGACAATTAAAGCACGAATTGGAATATGAATTAATTTGACACCATAACCTACAACACCCATCATGATAAAACCAATACCAACAGCTTGTATAATTTTCAAGTATTCTTTCTTATCAGGTTTTGTACATTTCTTGACGAAAACTATTCCTTCTTTCACAAAATCAACTGGAGCTTCAGTAAGCTTTCCAAAACCATCGGCCATTTTTGAAATGATTGGTAATTGTAGTTATAGTTATAGTTATACTAAGTAGAATGGGAAAGAAAAATAGATAGAGAAAATGTAAATATCTTAATACAGAAACAGAGATAAAGTAATATATGATATGAAGAACAGATTACCAGGTTATATATAACGCACTCGCTGAGGTGTCATAAAAGTTCAAAAAGCTGAAAATTCCTAATAGAATACATGATGGCACGTGACGCTATAAACAAGTTTTTATTACTATGAAGAGGTAATATAAATAATATAATAGAGGAAATAGAGGATATAAAAGAAATGAGGAAAGGATTATGGACAAATCAACAATTGGAAGTCATTGATCAGTAGGGCATGAGCCTTTTCAATCTGTTAATATGTCTACCATTTGTGCCTGCTTTCACTTTACGATCTTTTTTAGCTAAAAGATTTTGAGTCCAACCTGCGTTACCATGATTTCTGGCAGAAGGACCTCTTTTGAACGTGCCAGAACCATTTTTGATCCATCTTTTTTGAGCACCCTTATGTGTTTTGATTTTATATTTTGAAGCGTTTCTTGTGATTAGAAGAAAGGGAGAAGAGATGGAATTAAATTTGAGAAATGAAGTCGAGAAAGAAATACCAAGCATTTTGGATATGGTGTTGTTTTTACGATTCTTTTTGTAATAGTTGATTAGCAAAGTGGCAAAGTGAGTAGTGATTCCAAGTATATACTCATCCACTGTTTTATTTTTTGGATTGGTTTAACTTTTAATTTCTGGTATAATGAAAAAAAAACCAAAATAAGCGTTAAGGGTTCTAATTGGCTGATTTGAGTCACGAGCTAGAGCGCAAAGAATTAATAAGTAAATAAAATAAAGGTAGTTGATTGAATACACAGATCTCTATATACCAGTTAAATAAACTATACTAAGGTATGATATGATATGATAACAAAATAGAAAAATAGAAAGAGAAAAATAGAAAGAGAAAAATAGGAAAAATAGAAAAATAAAACAAGGAAGACTGAATGAAGTGCAAAAAACAAAAAATAAGAAAATAAGTTGGGAAAAACCGGATCAACAAAAAAACAACCGAAAAAGAAAATAAAATAGTTGATATGAAAAAAAGTAAATTATAAATCAGTTATGAACTAATTGTGGATCATTTATTAAAAATGAGTATGGCCTTGATTTTGATGTTGATTTTGATATTGAGCTCCAGGTTGATTTGGAAAGGAAGCCATTTCTACTGGAGGTTGAGTGTAGTAATCAGAATTCAAGCCTAGTTGGGCATTATTGTTATTGTTATTGTTATTGTTATTGTTGTTGTTATTGTTATTGTTGTTGTGAGAAGGATAGTTTGGATTTCCAATATAAGAAGTATCACTTTTTTCATAAGCGTTATTTGGATAGTTATTAAAAGAATTTTTATCATAAGGATCATTCAAATCTTGAGGAGCATTTTGGGAATCGCCATTTAATTGTTCATAGTAATTTGGAGTTTCTTGTTTTGGAGGATACATGTTCGGATTAGCCAATGGAGAAAATTTGGCGACTTTTTGTTTATTGAAGAAGTTTGAAAATTGTTGGTTGCCATCACTAACATCACGATTTTTGGATTTTGAGGGACAACAACATGAACAACATTTGAAGAAACAGCAACATAAAGCGCCTATACAAGTTGCACCGCAACAGATGACTTGGATCAAAGTCGATAAAAGCCATATCACCAATAAGGATGCCAATATAATCCCAACAATTGCAACCCATTTGCAAACATTATTATCCATACATGTGTCCCAACTTTGAAAGGATTTAGCAGTTGAAACAGTGTCATTGTAAGCATCTTCAACACCATCAACAGCATCCGCTACATCTCTTGCCAATAATAACAATCTATTAGGACATAGTATTTCCTTTGAGCTTAAAAATTCACTTGGAATAATCATTCTTGTTTTCTCTCACTTGGACAGTTGACTGTTTAATTTTTGGAGTGAAAAAGATTCGCTTTATAAAGTAGTAAATAATAAAGTAGTCACGTTGAAATTGAAACAATTGTTTCTGTAATGATTTTAAACCGATTTCAAACTAGTTTAATTTGATTTGAAATTGATAATTAATCCTGTATAGAGAAAAGAGAGGAAAGGAGAATGGAATAGAAACAAGTCAATAAATATGTTCGCACTGACAAAAGTCTGGATGTTTATATATACAAAGAAGGAGAATTGCAGTTTCTACAGTAGTTTCAACTCTAAATTCAGGGAAATCCTGATTCTGGAGTGCGAGCGCAGCAGATGCGCATCACGCAGCGCGGGGGGGGGCTTGTGGAAGGACCCTCCATCACTGCAATCCAACAGCAAATAGCAGCAGATGTTCCTCAGTTCAAACAGTACACTCACGGGTAGATTCTGTAGAAGTGGAATCCAGCAAATCATTTGAGCAAGATCTAGACGGTCTAAAAGCGAGTTTGCAAAAGTGCAGCTGCAGCACTCCTGGTGTTGTAGGGAGCGGACTCGTCAGAACAGCCTCTTTTCAAGGCCATAGAAAAGGATCACCTTTCCAAGACCAGAAGAAAAGCGCTGAGAAAGGCGCACGAAAACACAAGACCGTTTTCTCTGCTATTTCTCTGCTATTTTTACCCGCTTTGCCAATGCCGTCACGCTGACGCAGTGTTGCAGATTCAAGTAATAAAATGCATTCTATCACGTGAAAATGTAATTTGACATATTTCCGCATCAGGTAATGTTTGAGCTGCCTCTTTGGGCGAATAACGCTTTTTTGGGTAGAAGACTTCTTTGGGAATGTTCTTGTCGAGAAACTGCGAGTGAAACAGAGCAGAAAAGATAAGACTCTTCACAGACAACTGAATGTTTCTTTCTCTGCTGCTCGTACTGTCTCCTTTATCTGGTCCTTGTGGTGAGTAACAGATCTTAGCATTTTTGTTCTTCTATTCACTTTGTTGCACTTATTTCTCCTTACTGCTGCTTCATTATGTCCTTTGCTGATTTAGATATTGAGGCCCAGCACAAACCCTTGGGAAACAACTCTACTATTTTAAGCAAACAAATCATATTCAATAGCAAGAAATCCAATGCTGCTAATCCACAGACCTCAATTGATCCGGCTACCCAAAACACCAACGCTAATGTTGATAGCAATGCTTTTTTAATCAATAACAATTCAAACATCATTTCAAGAGTGTCAAATTTATTAAACGAGTTCGCCAATAATATTACTCATCTAGAAAGATTGAATAACCAATTGGGCACAAAGAGAGACAATATCAATCTTAGAAACTTAATTGAAACTTACTTGAAAAGCTCTGAGGAAAATCTAAATAATTGTAAAAAGCTACTATTTGATTTGCAAATTATCAATAATAACAACAATAACAATAAAACTGCTTCAAATAGCACAAACTCTCAGCTACTAATAATATCAAAATTGCAAAAGGAATTAACGCATTTAAATCAAGACTTTAACAAAATCAAAAGAAATTATAATGAAAGAAAAAATTCAGTAATATTAAACGAAATTGTAAATGAAAACTCAAAATCAAAATCAAGATCTTTACAAAATAATCTTCTAATACAAAACCAAAATGACCTTGAATCAATTAAAACTTCAAACACTGAATCAACTCCTTTATTACAAGAACAGCAACAACAACAACAACAATTGAAACAACAATACGATCAAGATGTTTCCCAATATGAATTAGATTATCACTCTTTATTAGTCCAACAAAGAAACGATGAACTATCAACTATTCATAACGGTGTACAGGAAATCAATGCTATCTTTAAAGATTTATCTTCTCTAGTACAAGAACAAGGTTTAAAAATTGATACTGTTGAAAATAACATTATAAATTACTCTGATAATACTCAAAATGCTTCAAACGAATTAACTAAAGCTGATAATTATCAAAAGAAAAAGAAAAAATTCAGTTGTATAGTATTATTAGTATTATCAATCATTTTGTTCTTGTTTGTTCTAGCAGTTGTATCTTAACTTCTCAATTTCTCAACTTACTTTTTCTTCAATTCTAAAATTCCACAATCTTACTATTTACTTACCACTTTATAATCCCAATTTTTAATTTAATCTATTTACCATTTTTTTTTTCTGGTTTCATTTTTTAGCTACAATCTATTGCCTACTCTCTTTTTTTAATTACACCCCAATTATATAACACAAAATTACAATAAAATAAAAAAATATTAAAAAAATTTAAATCCAGTTTTAATTCTTACCTTTATTCAAATCATAGAAATAAGTAATGGCATTTTGAAAATTATTGTTATCAGTGAAAGCAATGTCCTCATGATCTGGATAGCCATCTTTTAAACATACCTTTTTTTTGAATTATCTTCAAAAGAATTCAAAAAAAACAGTAAATCAAAAATGGAGACACTCTCATTTATTTCTGCTCTAAAGACTATTCCAAAACTCCAATTTAAAAGTTTAAAACTTCAGAATTACCATCAATATGTCATGAAATAATCTTTCATAACAGCATCTAAGTTATTTGATCAGCTCGCTGAGACTCAAGGGTCTTATAAGCTTCTTTGGATATCTCAATAACATACTCAGGCATTCCAGCATCTTGAGCAACTGTATCTGCATAGGAATATTTGCAAATACCATCTTTCAATTCTCGATCGTAATATCCCTTTCCATTGTCATTTTGAACATAATTAGTGTGTTTAAATTCCAAACTTTCCTGTATTCTTTCTTTGTTGTTGAGATCTTTTTTAATCAAATAATCAATTTCGTTCACGAAATGTGATGCAAACAAAAAACGACATTTCTTGATATTGACCAAGTATTTCAATATTCCATAAGCAATGGAAATGCCTTCATTGGTTGTAGTGCCTCTGCCAATCTCATCTAAAATAATTAGTGATCTAGGAGTTGAATAATTCAAACTAAGACTTGTTTCTCTCATTTCAACCATAAATGTGCTTTGGTTGTTAGAAATATCATCTGCTGATCCAATTCGAGTAAATATTTTATCTACTAGTCCAATCTTAGCGTAATCTGCTGAAACAAAAGAACCTATTTGTGCCATAATACAGATGATAGCAATCTGTCTTAAATATGTGCTTTTACCACCCATGTTTGGTCCAGAGATTATATATCCTAAACTGCCCAGTTTTGTATCTAAAAAACAGTCATTTGAGATAAATTCAATCGACTTTTTTTGTAAAGAGGCCTCAACTGATATATGTCTTCCTCTCCTAATATCAAAAACATTTTCATTCACGATTTCAGGCTTGATTAGCCCAAATTCTTTTGCTAATCTAGCAAAAGAAATTAGTATGTCAATTTCATCGATTATATAACTGCATCTTTTAAGATCTTCGCTTTTTAATAAAACCTCTTTCCGAATTTCTAATAATATTAACTTTTCTTCCATTTTAATATCTTTGACTATTTTGATAATTTTGATTCCAATATTTGACCATTCTTCAGTAGTGAACCATTTAGTTAACTTAAAATCCTTAACCAAGTGTTCCATTTTAAATTCCTTTTTAGTTAATTCAAATTCTAAAGAACTAGTTGAGATCTTTCGATTTTTAAATACCATTAAAACAATTGGTAAATCTTCCTCAATTTTTATTTCAATTTTTTTAATGTTTTCATAATTATGCTTTAAATTTGAATATTTAAAAAACAATTCATCCTTTTTATTTAACATCAATTTCAATTTTTCATGTAATTCAGACAACTTTGATAATTTCTCATTTTTGAAATTAGGTTTAATTATCCATAATAAATTTGAAAATTGATCGCCATTATCATTTTTACCCAATTTTGCCTCTAAACCAGTTTGCAGATTTGAATATTCATTTTCAGTTTCAATATCATTTTGAATCTTGTTTTCACTTTCATTTTCATTTTCAATATAATTATCAGTTTCTTCAATAAAACTATCGTTTTGATTTTTTTCTTCTATTTGCTTTGTTTTTATCAAACTGTCAACATCAATAATTTCTTCAATTAATTCAACTAAATTTTCAGGAATCTGAATATCATCAATTAAACTCTTTAAAACTTTCCCATCCTTTTTCACTTCTTTTGAAAAAGAAATTAAATGTCGTTTAATTTCACTTATATATTTCAATCCTGTTAGTAATGAAATAAAATTTGTACCTAATTTGATATTTGGATCAGAATTTAATGAGAGATTTGAATTTAATTTCGATAAATTAAAATTCGAATTTATATCGTTAACCAATCCGTTGCTAAAAAAAGTTAAATTAACCAAAATTCTTGAGATATCAGTTCTGCCATATTTTCGTAAAATTGGCAATATTGAATCCAATAAAAGATTTCTTTTATAAAAACATTCTACTAAATTTAGTCTTTTTTTAATCATTTTTTTATTACATAAAGGAGAACTAATCCAATCACTTAGCAATCTTGAGCCTGATGGTGTTATGGTTTTTCTAATTGTAAAAAATAATGAACCCAAAACTTTTTGATCTCTATAAGTTTCTTTCAATTCTAATGATTTCCTAGCTCTTGAATCAATCAATAAATATTTATCAGGAATTTGTTCAATTGGTTTTGATAGATTGAATTCATAATCAATTGGGAAGTGATATCGAATATAAGATAATAAAATTGTTGAAGCGTATTTTAAATTTTGTTTAACATCTTTGAAAATAAACGCAATTGAATCATCATTAGTTGAAGATAATTCAAACATTGAATAATAATTCGATACATCTTTAACGTGTTTGTGGGTATCAAAATAACTAATATTATAACGATTTAAATTATTTAAGTCATTTAAAAAAACTTTTCCAGATGCAATTTTGAATTGTTCTATTTTTGAGTTAATTATAATCTCCTTTGGATTAATTCTTTCTAACTCATTAATTAAATTGCCAAAATCGGTTTCTTCAAAAAAAAACTTTGAAGTTGAAATATCACACCAAGCTAAACCGATTTTAGTTGTAGGGGATATATCATTTTTATTAAATGTCGTTTCTGAGGGAAGCTTTATTGCACAAATATAATTATTTTCATCTTTTTTAATCAAACTTTCATCAATGATTGTTCCTGGAGTTATAATTCTGTAAATTTTTCGATTGATTGTCTTAATGTTTGTATTTCTACTTAGATTTATATCTGTAATATACTGATTCACTAGAACAACAGTTTTATTTAGTTCATTTACTAAAATATCCAAATACTTATTCAATGTAAAAGCAGGAAAACCCGATAAAGCAACTTTTTCAACTTTTACAACTTTATCAGTTATTTTATCTTTAACTGAGTGAGTTTTAGAAGCTAACTTCAAATTCAAGATTGATGCATATTCTTCAGCACTTTCAAAATATATCTCATAAAATGAACCAACTTCAGTGAGAACAATCTTATCTGGATGCTCATCCATCATATCTCTAATTGACTGCAAAGTAGCACTATAACGCAAATTAGTTGTATTTTCTGAACTATAAACAGTTCTATCATCAGGGATTTGAGCATCATTTTTTTCATTAGGCTGATAAGCACTAGCACTATCATTAACATTTTTGGTGTTAAAAACAAGTTCTTGAATTTCGCATGCTAATAACTCTTGTTTGGAGGAATCTAATTCCTTCTGTTCTTCCATAATTTCAGGTAAATCATTAATGGAAATCCATACTGTTTTCTTTTTGACCTTCCGTTTTTTCAGATCAGCAGTGTTGGAGTTATATCTAAAAACAGAAAACAGCGTGGGATAAGATTTCCGATAAAAAATTCCATGAACTGTAGCAGTTAAGCAGTACAACAACCTTAAGCTATTGTTTCCTCGAGATAGTCTGGAAATTGAGCCTCCAGACCTTAGCATTTTGGCACTTTCCCAATTTCAGATATATCAAATAAAGTCGAAAATGTTTTTGATGGTTTCTTTTAGGCCAGTTTTCTTGTTGAAAAAACCCACAGATTTGGTTTCGAATCAAGAGGTGGATCTAGCAGCTGGTGGATGGCGCTTTTACTGAGGTCTACAAAGCAAAAAAGAGGTTCTCTGTTTTGATTTATAATACCACTTAAACCATTTTGGAAACATCTCCCATCACTGACAGAATAGCTTGTTATCATTAGCCTCAGTTATTTGTCGTTGTTTTTGTTTTTGTTCATTGGAAAATGACACAGGAAGTGCAGGAAAGGCAGGACTCAAAGCCAGTATATGGCTCTTCTGGGAGAAAAATCATATATGATGAGAATGGCAAACCGTAAGTCGACTAACAATCGAAATATCAATGATAAATCAACAGCAAAAACACAAAGACAACTAACATTTCAAAAACTACAAAAACTGTTGCGTATATCATTATCCAGATGTCGTACTTGCAACACTCTATTGGACTTTCAAATGGCAACTCATGGAACTAAAGTGAATATTCCAACTCCAAAGCCCTCTCTGGCTATACCTAATGATTCACCAAAAGAGGCTAGTAAAAGTGCAGATTCACCATACCCATATCAGAAGGAATATCCCCCAGATGTGACAAAATTGGGAAATCATTCATGGACTTTGTTGCATACCATTGCTGCAGCATATCCTGAAAAACCTTCAATTGAACAACAAAATGAGATGAAAACTTTTTTGAATATATTTGCTAAAATCTATCCATGTTGGTATTGTGGTAAAGATTTCCAGTCTTTTATTAAAAAGAATGAACCAAAAGTAATGACTCAAGATGATTTTGGTAAATGGTTATGTAATGCCCATAATAGTGTGAATATTAAATTAGGTAAACCAAAATTTAAATGTGAATTGTGGAAAAAGAGATGGAAAGATGGATGGGATGAATAATGAATTAATTATACTCAACTAAATTGATACCATTTCGATTCATTTTTTATATATTATAGATGTTTTTAGTGTAAATATTAGATCAGCCATTTTCTGAAACCTTTAAAATAAATGATGAGTGTATATATGCATTTATTAATTACTAATACAAAAATTTTAATATAAATTAAAATAAGAAAGAAATAGAATAGAAAGACTCTAAACATAGCTATTAAAATAGATAATAAAAAGCTAAAATGACAATTGTTGAAATTTGTTATTAAAAATCAAAGATGAAAACTAGGACTTTATGGTGCATAACCAATAAGCTACTACCACAATCGTAATTATAATCGGGATTATTAGAGAATCAAATTGCTATTTTTTCTTTTCTTTTGATAGCTTTTCCTTATTGTACTTCTCTTATTACTATCATCATTTTTTTTATTATTATCAATTTTAGCTTTATTCCATTTGGTTTTAAATTTATTTTTAACATTGGTAAAAATCTTGATAAATTTATTCTCAAAGAAAACCTTATTAAACTTCTTATTGTCAACACACAAAAATAGTATGTCTTTTTCATTTAAAAGAATTATTAAAAGGTAAATTAGTCCCAAAAAACCACTTTTAAATAAATTTCTAAAATTTTCTGTAAACGATAAAATTTTATATTGAATTAAAAAAATCATAAAAGTAAACAAGCTGAACTTTTTAAAATTATTAATTATCTTGTATGATTTAACAACTAAAGAATCAGGATCATAAATTACATCATTATTACTATAACTATTATTTATCTTGTTTTTAGTTTCTATTTTGAAAGAATTGCGCATATTTAAGTTGAGTTTAGAAGTATGGTTATCAGTCCTAATAAATCTATTTTTTTTTCTAGGAGAATGTATTTTTCTTGTAAATTCTAGATTTGATGGAGTTGAAGGAACAGAAGTTGAAGATGATTTGAAATTTTCTAAACTATTTTCATTTAAGTGATTTTTTTCATCAGTATAATAATTTTCAATTGATTCCTCGGTGATCGAACCAATTAAATGCATTGAATTCGAATTTTGGTGGACATGGCTATTACTATGGCTATAGTTGAAGTTATTATGGTTTGATTGTTTCTCTCTTAATGATTTATTAGTATTGTTATCATGACTAATACTAGTAATACTATTTGCTGAAAATCTTTTGAAAACAATGTTTAATTTTGATAAGTTTAAATTATAATATTTGAGATGATTTTGAAAAAAATTTAAAATAAAAATTGAACAAAAAAGGATTCTTAGAGACATATTAAAAATGTTGGCTAAAATTAAACCAACTAATTTAAAATCTAATATAACGACTAAAAAATAAGCAAAAACAAGATAAAGGATGGAAGAAAGTAAAAGAAAATATGAATAGTAATTAATTTTTTTAGAGTTTGCAGTCGATTGAAAAAAAGCTTCAAATATTCCATTAATTGATAAAAATGGCAAATATAAGCAATAAATAGGCATTGCCTTTGAAATTGAAGAATTTAGCCAGGAGTTTGAATCGTCTTTATTGGAATTATTACCTGATAAAATTAGTTTTAATAAGAAAAACGAATTAAAATACCCAAAGATTATTATTATGAAAGATAAATAATAATAGAATTTCAACAAAATTATTAGTAGTCTCCAAGACTCTTTTAAATTATCTAAAGGAACAATTGGTTCATCATTTTTATTAAGATTCTTATTAATCAGATTCAAGTTTGGGTCTAAATCGGAATCAATGGGCATGGGCATTTCGGTATCAGTATCAGTATCAGTCTCAATGTCAGTCTCAGTACCAGAATCAATATCTAAATCCAAACTTTTTTTATTTATACCATTAATAATATCATGGGTTTTATTGGTGTTGACGGTTTTGATAATATCATTATTTGAAGTATTTATATTAGATTTTAACAATTTAGTTAAATAGATTCTTAAACTTTCTTCTATCGGTAAATAAATAAATCTTGTCAATAAAGAACCATAATTTAAGATTAAAGAATAGATACCTTGATCATTCAAGGAACAAAAAGAGTTTATAATAAAAGTATCACCTTCAGTCAAAAAGTGTTTGAAACAAAATTGAGAAAAAACCGATTTCCAATGATTGAAAACCACCGGATCAAGGTAATAAAAGGATTCTGAATATAGCTTGTTATTTAAGCTATTGTTCAAATTCAAGTTTGGATTTGAATTTTTTTTATTTAATTTTTGTTTTTTGGTTGTATTTTTTGAAGAGTAAGAGCTAATTGAATACATTGAAGGATAACTATCAATTAATTTTGAGTTTAGTTTATAAATTCTTGTTAAAAAAAGCGAGGGGAATTTGATGCTTCTGTTATAATTAGGAGAGTTGTTATTAACATTGATATTTTTAAGATTATAAGTATATTGAATGTAATTATAATTTTTAGTAAAGGATAATTTGTAGTTGAAAAAATAGAGAGAGTAAATTGACAAAGAATAGACAAACTTGCCTAAAACAAAACTTAAGACCACATATTTCTGAAATTCACCATTATTGCTATTATTGTTTTTGTCATTGAGAAGATCATTGGGTAAATAATAAAATTTGAAATAATAAATCAATATGTAATTAACTAAACAATTTAGAGTTAGAGAAGTGCTTTCAAATTTTGATTTGATTTTGAAATTCAATTTAAATTGATTTAAATTATAAAATGGTTCCGATAATAACTCTAGTATTGAGGAAGTGAAAATTAGTATAATCAATAAAATAAAAAAAGTCAAATCGAAATTTAAATACAAGTAAAGCTTATTACTTTGCCATATTAAGATTATTAGAGTTAAAAACAAACCAATGAATAATGGGATGTAGGATAAGTTTATTATACTTTGATAAGTTGCAAATTCAGTTCCAAAATATATTTTTTTATTGTTTTTGTTATTTCTGTTATTATATGAAGATTTGACATTGGTGATATCATGAGTTGTGGTGGTAGTACTGTTATTGGTATTGGTATTGGTATTGTTGATGGTATTGCTGCTGGTATTATTGTTAATTCTTTGGATTGAAATTCTAATAGCCTCTCTGCTAAAAAACAAAATTGATTTTATTAGGAATTCCAAGTAAACATTAAAACCCAAAGAGGTTGGAGTTATTAGTTTTAATATAAATTGATTGAAAGTAAAGTTGATGACTTTGAAAAAAACATTGCTAAAAATGGTGTATTTTATCAAATTAGAAAGAGCATTAGTTGGTAGAGGGGTTAGACAAGAGTCTTTGTTATTATGGTAGTTTATATTAACATTTGAATTAACATTTGAATTAGATTTGTTGATATTAGAGATCATTATGGGTTGTTTTATGAATTGATTGCTGGATGATAGACAGAAGAAAATGCTAGCAGATAGGCAGCATAATTAGGAATAAAAAAAGCAGCTGATTGTGAATCAAAATCACTATTAAGACTCCCAGGCAAATAGATAAAGTAAAGCACCCAGAAACAGTGTGTTGAATGTTTATAACCTCTATGATTTTGACAATTTTATACAATTTGTTGAAAGTGCAATGATATAATCAGCCAGATCGACCTGGTTTGGATTTTTAGGTTCAAACACGTAGAAAACCAGCAGTCTGGAAAAGCAACTGGTTACAAACCGCAGCGCTGGTAGTTGTACGGCAATACCATTCAGCTACATGTAAAATACTGTATATATATTTGCACAGTGCATATGAAAGCGTAGAAGTGTAAATATATACAGTAACGTGCGTAGTACCATGTGGGTGATTACTGCTTTGCTATTACGAAATTTGAAGCATCATAATGTAACATCACCTGACCAAATATGACTTTTCTTTTTTTGTTTATCACCAAGAGGATGGCAGCTGAAGAGATTAACGAGGAGGTGGAGTTAGAGAAAGCAGCAGAGATGGATTCCAAACCTTCTTCTTCAGGTTCGGCCGGCGCAGGCCATGAAACAGAGCTTAGAGAACAGGACAGATGGCTTCCCATTGCCAATGTTGCCAGATTAATGAAGGGCACTTTACCTCGAACCGCTAAGGTCTCGAAAGACGCCAAAGAGTGTATGCAAGAATGTGTTTCTGAGTTTATCAGCTTTATCACTAGTGAAGCCAGTGATAAGTGTTTGGCTGAGAAGAGAAAGACTATCAATGGGGAAGATATTTTGTTTGCCATGACCAACCTTGGTTTTGAAAACTATGCTGAAGTTTTGAAGATTTATTTGGCAAAATACCGAGAACAACAAGCGATAAAACAGGAGAGAGGTGAGACTAGAAAGAGAAACAAGAGCTCTAATAACAAGGGTTTGAATAACAGCATGATGAATAATAGTGGTGGTAAAGTTGCTACAGGATCTTCTCCGAACATTACAAGACTTATTAATTCAAATAACGACAATGACAACGATAATGATAATGATAATGATAATGATAATGACAATGACAATGACAATGACAATGACAATGATAACGATAATGATAACGATAACGAAAATGATAATACTTCTTTGAACGGTGCGGTTCCTGGAAGTAATCACGACAATCAGATGAACAATATTGAAACGGGCGATAGTATTGATCTTAATAGCGATAAACAGCTTGATATTCAACCAAGACCAGATATAATAGGCGACAACATTATTGGTATAAATGAAGATGATGATAATATCAACGATAATACTCTTCATAACATCCATACTATGAATACTATGAACAGTATTAATGATAGTGATAATGAAAATAGTATTTCAATGAAGAATAACAATCACGAGAGTATGAGTTCACATACCACTAATAACAATAATCGTAATAATATTACACACAATAGTAACCTCAATGATCCAAATAACAATCTTAATAATCTTAATAATCTCAATAATGCTAATAATGCTAATAATGCTAATAACAGCGTTAATCATAATTCTAGCACTTCTAATATTCCTACTACTGCTATTGCTGCTGCTACTAATAATAATACTAACAATAACAGTAATAACAATCGTAATACTAATAGTAGTGCCGGTAGCAATGCTCAAGATTTCAATGCGTTTAATTCCAATGGCAATGAATTCATTAATGTCAATGACTTCAATAACAATTTCGACGTAAACAATTTGTCAAATTTGAATATGCTAACTGAAAACTATGATATCAATAACCTTGCTAATATCAATAGCATGGGAAATATCAATAGCATGGGCAATATGAATAACATGAACAATATAAGCAACATGAGCAATATTAGTAACATGAGCAATATTAGTAACATGGGCAGCATGGGAAACATAAACAATATGGCCAACATGAGCAACATGGGCGGTATCAACAATATAGGCAATCTCGGCAGCATGAGCAACATGGGCAGCATGAACAACATGAACAATCTCAACAATATGGGCAACCTTGGCAACCTCAACAACATGGACGAGATGGACGAGATGGGCGAGATCAATCCGATGCCCGACAACCCCAACGACCACAACATCTACTATCACTGACGCCACGCGTCGCTATATACGTTTCTATTCTTCTTCCGGCTATAATTTACATCTCAGACCTTTAGTGTATACTTTTACCCTGTACCTTTCCGGTGGTGGTACCTCTGCCGTGGTGCCTCTGCGGACCAGCGCTGAGGGTGTCGCTACGCGCGAAAATGTAGCGGGCGCGGCCGGCGCCGAAGGTGTGTCGGCAATGTGCGCCCGCCAATCGCGGCCTGTTGGCAGTCGCCACTTTCTTCTCGTTCGACACCATTTCGCTCTGCTTCTTCTGCTTCCTTTGCCTCTTCTGCTTCCTCTGCTTCTTCCACCTCTCCTCCAACAGCTCAGCTCCCGGTGTAGTGTCGATTGTACTGCTTCTGCTTCCACAGCCCTGCTGCCCGTCTTGCTTCTTCTTTCACCATGTTTACTACCAAGAACTGCTCCCATAAGAATTCCTTGATTTTGAATAAACTACTTTCTTCCAGGTTTACTTCAAGATTCAGTAGCACTTTGAATCTTGCTTTATCGAAAGATTCAAATTGTATAAATCTCAACAACCCAAACTACAATTACAACCAAAGCAATAAACTCTTGCTCCAATCCTATTATACTACCAAGAACAGCCAAAATGTCGTCAACTCTAACCATAGTAGCTTGATTAATCGCTTTAAATCAAATCAGCTATCCAATCTTAAACTTGATAACCGAAACAATGACAATATTCCAAATGACAACGACAACGACAACGATATCGATCATGACAATGATATCGTAAAAGATAGCCATAATAATATCAAAAATCACATTGAAATTGAAAATAACCCAGAAATCGATAATTTAGACATTGAAAAAAATATAGAAAATCACATTAAAGACCAAATCAATGACCAAATTCAAAAATCAATCAATCCAACTAACAATATTAAAAAGGGCCCAGGTAGACCTAAAAAAAACATAGAAAATAATTCAAATATATCCACCACTTTAACCTCAAATTCCAGTTCCACTGCTTCCACCCCAGATTCTTCCTCCTCCTCGCCCTCATCTCCATCTTCTTCCTCCTCCAACGATAATAACTCAAACTCTTCATTTGACATTTACCCTCAAATGTTAGCTGTACCTATCGATGGAAGACCTTTATTACCTGGAAGTTACACAACAATAATAATCACTGATCCAAAAGTTATAGATGCTGTTCAAGAAATCCAACAAAGGAAGAAACCTTATATAACCTTATTTTCTTTTAGAAAGAATTCCTATGATAACAACAGCTCCACTTTTGTCAACAACAATAATACTTCTCAAAGAATGAACAACTCTCTGGCCTCTAATAACAATAACATTTTTAACGCTTTAGCAAATAATTTAACAAACAATAGCGGCAATAATAATAATAACTCAAACATCGATTTAAGTAAGGATACTATCAACAGTAGTGATGAAATTTATCACATTGGTACTGTCGCTAAAATTACTCAAATCATTTATTCTAATCACTCTCAATGTCAACTAATCCTATACATAAATGCAAGGGTTAGACTCAACAACTTGTTTCCTATTAAAACCTTAAATCAAATTGAATTACAAAAATTCGATACCTTAAAATTAATCGAAAACCAAGTTATAAAAGATTTGAAAAAAGAAGGCAAATCTTTAAAAAAGTTAGACCAATCTTCAAATATTGTTGATAAATCCTCTATCCACTTGACTGGTATCGAGGACCATAATAATAACTTTATTGATGAAAAGAAAAAAAGAATCTTGAAAAAATTAGATGAACTAGAAATCGAAAATCCTTCAAGATTCTTATCAAATTATCCAGTCTCTCTAGTATCTGTTTCTCCTTTAAAGGATTTTGAATTCAATTCAAATTCCCCATTAATTAGAGCTTATATTAACCAAATCGTTAAAGCCATTGAAGAAATTTCAATTTTTTCTCCCAACAGGCATACAAATTTGTTTGTAAATTCTTCTGAATTAAGAAACGAGCCTGGAAGATTTGCTGATACTATTGGAAACTTAGTTTCTGGCGATAAGACCGAAATCCAAGATATCTTGGAAACTTTAGATATCTATGAAAGATTGAAAAAAGTCTTGATTTTATTAACTTATGAAATAACTGTTGCAAACAATGAATTGGAAATAAACAGGAAAATGAGGGCAATAATGGAAAGCAATTTCAATAAAAAACCTATAAGCATGAAACGTTCAAGTTCAAATGATCCCGAGGTTCCAGCTGATGAAAAAACAAATCTAATTGAAAAATTCAGGAAAAGATTGGAAAAATTAACAGTCCCAGAAGCAGTTCAAAAAGTCATTGATGAAGAGCAGCAAAAATTAAAACTAACTGACTCCTCATCCTCCGAATTTGGACTTATTAGAAATTATTTGGAATGGTTAACCCAAATTCCATGGGGTGTTACAACACCCGACGAATTTAATATTAAATCTGCAATCACTTCTTTGGATAAAGATCATTATGGTTTGAAAAGTGTCAAAGATAGAATTTTAGAATTTATTGCTGTTGGTAAACTTTTAGGTTCTGTTGATGGGAAAATTATTTGTTTGGTTGGCCCTCCAGGTGTTGGTAAAACATCCGTTGGTAAATCCATTGCAAAAGCATTGAACAGAAAATTTGCAAGATTTTCTGTTGGTGGTTTATATGATGTTGCTGAAATTAAAGGTCACAGAAGAACTTATGTTGGTGCTTTGCCAGGTAAAATTGTTCAGTCGTTAAAACAAACACAGTCTCAAAATCCTTTGATTTTAATTGATGAGATTGATAAATTGGGCTATTCAAATAGTCATGGTGATCCATCTGCTGCATTATTAGAAGTATTAGATCCTCAACAAAACAATGCATTTTTAGACACTTATCTTGATTTGCCTGTTGATTTATCCAAAATTTTATTTGTTTGCACTGCTAATACTTTAAGCACTATTCCTCCAGCATTATTGGATAGAATGGAAGTTATCCAATTATCTGGATATATAGCCGAGGAAAAAATACAAATCGCCAAGGATTATTTAGATCCAATTGCCAAAAAGGAAGCAGGTTTAGAAAATGCTAATGTTAAGTTGACAGAAGATGCTATAAGGACTATTGTGAACCATTATTGTAGAGAAAATGGTGTTAGAAATTTGAAAAAGCAAATTGAGAAAATTTATAGAAAATCCGCTTTGAATATTGTTAAAGAAATTGAGCCTGAAATTGAACCGGAAACTGAACTAGTTGAGGAAACTGTTGAAAAATCTGAAGTTAAAGCAGTAGATGAAGAAGTGAATGAAGGAGGTATTGAAAAAATTGATTTTGATAGGGAAACCATTGAAAATAACAAAAATGAGCATAATACCGAAACAAATTCTCTTAAGGATAAAATACTTGGAGAAAGTTCAAGTTTAAGCTTTTCTGGAGGAGATGGAACATCTGCTGCATATCAAGCACAATCTCAAGATGCTGTTAAAATTGAAAGTTCTGTTAAATCCGAAAATAAAGCAAATGAGAAAGAGGAAACTACTTCGAGACTTTTAGTTCCAGATAGTGTCAAAGTTGAAATTAATAATGATAATCTTAAAGATTACGTTGGACCAATTAAGTATTTAAAAGATAGAATATATGATGTTACACCTCCAGGGGTTGTTATGGGATTAGCATGGACAGAAGTTACTGGATGTGCATTATATGTTGAATCTATTTTAGAGCTGAAACTTGATAAAAACTCACGACCATGTTTAGAAAAAACAGGATATTTAGGAGATGTTATGAAGGAATCCTCACAGATTGCATATTCATTTTCTAGAATGTTTTTAAATTCAAAATTTCCTGAAAACCGATTTTTTGAAAGAGCAGCAATTCATTTACATTGTCCACAAGGTGGTATATCTAAAGATGGGCCATCTGCAGGAATTACAATGGTTTCAAGTTTGTTGTCATTAGCATTAAATCAATCATTGGCACCAACAGTTGCTATGACTGGTGAAATCACATTAACGGGTAAGGTTTTACCTATTGGTGGTCTTAAAGAAAAAGTTATAGCGGCTAAAAACTCTGGTGCTATAACTATTGTTTTCCCTAAGGATAATTTAGGAGATTGGGCAGAGATTCCAGAAATTGTTAGAAATGGATTAGAACCATGTCCCGTTGATTGGTATAGTGATGTATTTGATAAGATTTTCCCAGCTGATACGATTACAAGTGGAAATGATGTTTGGAAGAAAGAGTTTGAATTGATAGATCAAGAAGAAAAAGCTGACAAGTTATCAAGTATTAATGCCAGTGCATCTAATTGAAAAACAGTATAATATTCTATGTTTTTGTTTTATAGTATTCAACATTTTAATGATTAGGGCAATTCGATGTAAATATTTTTAATTTTTTTATTAAAGGAATAAATTTTTTTCTTAAGAAAAAAAACAAACACAATAAAATACACTAAAGTATACCAAAATACTAAAATATACTAAAATATGCTAAGTTGCACTAAAACGTACTAGGTTACATTAAGTTTCATATAATAGAAATTAAATAAAAAATATATAGATATAGAAATATATATATTTTAATATATTTTTTAATGAGAAAGATTTCGTTACTTTAATCATGAAAAAGATGGGAATTGAAGAGATTATTCATCATCCCAGTACCATTTAACACCAATGATACCAGCAGACTTTTGGGCTAGTTCACTAAAGGCCTTTGGACCAAGATCCAAACTATACTTACCACAGGAGGCACAGGCATCAATAACTTTGACTTTAACAGCTTTATTGCCGTATTGGGCAATCAAAGTTTTGCCACAGAGATCACTTTTGTAGTATTGATCGATAGTTTCTTCATAAGTAGAAATACCAACAGCAACAACATAATCATCAGAAGAGATTCCGGTTAAACCACAAGCATTGTAGTCAGAGGGAGACCAGTAGGTACCACGACCAGAATAAAGGTTTTTGGTGCTGACAGATCCATCAGGTTCGGCAACAGGAGTAGCTTGAACGGAATCGACGATTGAGGTTGGAATACACTGAGCGTAGTCAGCATTTGCAGTGGAGCAGTAGGAACCAAAGTTACAACATGAGGCGCCTTTAGCACCACAGACACCAAAGGCTTCGGTGCATGAGTTGTATTCGTTATCTAAAGTAAAGACATCACCAATGTTGTATTTTCCGGAGCCTGCTTTAGCAACTTGAGCAACGGCAGAAGTGGTAGTGGAAGTAGCGAGAGTGGAAGTAGCGAGAGTGGTAGGAGCAGCAGTTGTGGTAGAAGTGGTGGCAACTGGGGCTTCAAAAGAACCAAGGACGGTGGTTACGACTGTATCCAAGTCGATTGGAGCAAGAGTATCTTCGGCTTCGACAACAGAAGTTTCTTCGGCTTCGACAATAGATGTTGGAGCATCGTAAAAAGTTGGAGTAACTTGACAGTCTTGGACCACACCATTGACTTTGCAAACAGTTCTATACCTGGTTTTCCTGGAGGTAAAGTAACGAGTACGGTACTTGGTATGGGTTACTCGAACTTTGGCAGCAGAAACAACATCGAAGCCCAAAACGGCCAAAACAGAACAGAGAGCGAATTTGTTGAAAAGCATTTTGGATTGACAAGTTTAACTAGTGTGAGATTTCAAAAAAAGGAAAGAGTGAAAAACCGAAAATAAAAAACGTTATATAGTAATAAAAAGAGGTTATAATATACTAAAGGAGTGACTAAAGAAGGTAATTGCAACAGCTATGTTTGTAAAAAATGGATTCAGCTGAAAAAACAATAAATTTGGTAAAAGAAAGGCATAATAGGAAAGGAAAGCTCATTCTTTATATATTGTCCTCTCCCTTTGATTTGCTACATCTGAATTCGCAGATTTTAGCACTTATAACCAAAAGTGTTTAGAGTTCAAACCCAAAGAAGATCCCAAAGTGGACTATTCAGTGGATTTCGTTGAAAAGCATTTTATTGTTTGGCTCAGGGTTCGGCTGCAGCAACTGTGCGCACCTCAAGGCTGGTTCTGAAACATTCTGCGCACCCACGCGTAGGTTATGTAGCACGTGCTTTTCACACTGGAAACAAAGCCCAGACTTTTTCTGCGGAGCTGCGTGCCGGTTCTGCAGGGCCGGGGTAGGATGTTGTGCCCGTGCAAAATGACGCAGAGCGGGAGGAGGCTCCACCAGAAAAAATTCGCTGGATGAAGGCCTGGAAGAAAGCAGTTGAAAAGGACTGTAGCAGGTATCGGGCAAGCTGTGGTTCAAATACAAGTACATTGTCATAAAACCCAATACAATACTCGACAAGTTCTTTCTGCCCGATGCCCACTGGTCTGAGCGAGCGCAGATCTTCAGACCCCAGTCCAAAATTCATAAGAAATTCTAGCCTGAAATTTGCTGGAGAGTAACAGAAAAATCCACTTCAAATCCGCTTCGTAAATTTCAACCTGCAACAAACCTTAAGGGTTTTTTACTTGGGCAAGAAATCTGTATTTTTTTTTGCTTCAACACCCAATGACAATAGCTCTATGAGACATATCCTCACTGCCAAAAACCACTGTTGTCCTTCTTGCCAATGCGCAATCAGCAGATTTTGCCACCATCAATCAAGAGTCCAGAAAGCTGAGAGACAAACAGTGTAAAGGAGCACAGAAGACCAGAAGAGATCAAAATAATCCACCAAAGGCACGCTTATTACGGAAAGCTTCCGTCGAGGTACTGGACGGACGGATATACGCCACAGACAATTGTGCTTCCATAGCTTCAAACATGCATGTGAGTGCGGCAATTTACAGGAAACATATCTGCGGCCGAATGCATCGAAAAATTCAATGCGTCCGAAAATATAAAATTGGTCTTTGCTCACGAAGTGATTTGGTAAATTCTTTTTTTTGCACCAAGAAACAGATAAAACTATTTGATGAATTGCATTTGAAACAGAACTATTGAAACCAGTTACCAAAAGACAGGCTCCGAACTGGCAATTTTAATTTGCTCAGTAGAAACCCAACAGAAAAAATAGTGTTTTATCAATTGGATCGATGAAGTAGAAATGTTAGTAAACGATCATCATTTTCTTCATCATCATTGCTAGTACTTGGGTAATCTTTAATATTCACTATAAACCACTTCAATAAAATGTTTTAAATACACCCCTTCCACCTTCTGTTTAGAAATGACCAGATGAATTACTTTTTCTTATTCACTTATCATTATTTCATCCTAAAATTGTTTCAATGATTCTGTTTCAATATTTATTCTACCATCTTTGAATCCTTGAAAATAAAAATTAAATGAAACACAAAACATTTACTGAACTGATTTGTATATTTTATCAACAACCTGGTTTCAAATTATATCAGTTTTCTTTTTTATTATCTCTAGAACTAATACCACCAATATTCAAAATCTATTTTTCAAAATCTGCTCATCTTCTGGTAGCCAAAAATATAACAAATTCTAGTAAAGTAACTATTCAAATAATTTAAATTAATCAAAAAAAATGGAAAAAAAAAAATTCACACCCACCAATAGAACATTTTATGCAAATTCAAAGAGAAAGAAAACATTTTTTTTTTAATTTCCAATATCTAATTTCTTTCTTATCACTAAATAAAGTTCTACATTGATATCACCTGAAACTTTAAGATGATGTATTTTCATTTTCTATATTCCCTATTGACTCATTTTCATTCTTTTGAGTATCAAGATACCCTTTAACTAATTCTTCCAACTCCTCTTCAGATGTGATTTCATCTGCAAAAGTTATAACAACAAATTTATTACCATTCATTAATTTTTGCAAAGTCAATAGCTGGTTGGGCGACACTTTCTTTTTGAAAAATAAACTAAGAAGTCTCCTATTAGCACTTATCAATGTTGTTTCATTAACAATTTCTGCATTAGAATTAGATTTCAAATTTGGGTTGGAGTTTGAATTGGAATTGGAATTGGAATTGGAATTGGAGTTGGAGTTGGAGTTGGAGTTGGAGTTTGGATTTGAATCAGAATTGACATTAGTATTAATACTTGTAGTAGAATTAACACCAGTGTTAGCATTGGAACTGGAACTGGAACTGGAATTGGAATTGGAATTGGAATTTTGTAATAATAATTTTGTGCTTGAGTGGGGCAGATTTTTATTCCTGCTCATAAATTTCTTTTTCAATTTCATTGATGAAATTAAATCAAAATTGGTATCAATTGATGCCTTTCTTTTAAAGCTTTTATTACCATTATTGCCGTTATTAGAATTTCCATCAAATATAATACCATCATTCTCATTATTTAATGGTGAGTTTGTTAAAGAAGATATAGGAATCAAATCCCCTGTCCTTTTGTTGTTAGATACTGTCAAATTGACGGTTTTTAACGAAAAATTTTCATTCGACGAAAGAATATCATTGTTGCTATTACTATTTGTACTATTATCATTATTATCAGTCATATCGTCACCACCTTTACTGCTACTACCATTGCTTTCAACACCACTGTTACTATTACCTTTATTCGTATAATTATCGCCTTGACCAGAATCAATATTGCCATTATTACAAAAAACAATGTTTTCATCACCTTTATTATTATCAATTGAGTTTTCAACACTTTTATTATCACCATCAATACTATCTGGATTTGAGGCAACTGTTGCAGCTGCAACAATACTTACAGTGCTCATATCAGGTGAATTGAGTTTCATATCATTTAAAAATGTATTTAATATCCCTAGAACATACAATTCAATGTATTGGTTTCCAGGCTCGCATAAATTTTTAACTTTTGCAACTGTTACGTTGTTTTTATTTTTAATTGCTCTTGATTCTTCAACAAAATAAATAATATCTTCATCCCCCATTAAAAACTTTCCTTCATTTTTAACCCATAAATAATTTTCATTTAAATCTTTCCAAATGTGTGCAATTTCCATCAAATATTTTACTTTATCTTTTAATTGAGTTGGTGATACTTTGATCTCTAGCTGAGGATAGGTTTTAGAAATTTTATTAGATATCTCCTTAAAAACAGATCTTCTGAATGAAACAGTGGTTCTAAATTCTTCGTATCTAACAAATTGATATAAAAAATGAACAAATAACACATTTAACTTCTTGGGCCATTTAGCTCTTGCATCAATATTTAAAATAGATAAATCAATATTTTCCTCATTTGTTAAAGTGAATTTATATAGATCGGGTAAACTAGATAATAAAACATCAAAATCCGAATTATTCGTTACAATGCTGTTGTTAAGTTTACTATCAATGTTGCTACTATTATTGGTATTTTCATTATTATTAATTCTAATAGCAACTGAATTATTATTTTTACTATTAATATTGTTATTTAAAATATTGCTATGAGTATGGGTGAGAGCAAGAGAAAGATTGTGGTTCTGATTCTGATTCTGATTGTTATGATTATGATTATTACTATTACTGTTGTTATTTTGGTTGTGGCCATTACTGTGATTATGATTATTAGTAGTGGAGTTACCACTAATACGAACAAGAGCAGTACTAGTGTTATTATTATTATTATTATTATTATTATTATTATTATTATTATTATTATTATTATTATTATTATTATTATTATTATTCGAGTTGGTATTATTAGAGTTTGTATTATTAGAGCTTGTATTATTGGAATTATTAGGGTTGCTGTTGCTATTTTGATTGTTCATATTTATAGAATGACCTTTTGTAGTATCAAGAACATTTTTAATAGATCTTATATTGTGAATTGACCTATGATATGATTTTAGGGATGTAAATTTTGGATTTAAATTTGAATCTTGGATTTGCTCAGAAGTATTTGAGTTTGGATATGAATTTAATAAACTTGGATCAGTGTTTTCATTAGACTTATTGTTGTTAAATTCTAAGTCATTAATGGTTCTTATACTTATGGTATTTATTTCGGGTATGTTGATGTTGCTAATGTTATTAATATTTTCCAAATTATTAAGATTGTTGATAGAGGTTATTGTATTTATATTATCAATTGTGTTTATGTTACTTATATTGCTCATATGGTTGATGCTGTTGAGATTGTTGATACTATTGATGCCATTAATATTGATGTTACTTATATTGTTGATGCTGTTTAGATTACTTATATTACTGATACTATTCATGTTATTCATATAACTCATTTGATTCATATGCTTGATTGTATTTAAATGGTTTATATCATGCAAATGAGAACTATTGTGATTAACAAGATTATCTTGCTGCCGAAAAGATGAGTTGTAGCCATTGCTATTATTGTTATTAGTATTATTGTTCTTATTATTATGGCTGGTGCTATTTTTGTTATTATCAATGGAAATGCTGCTAACACTGTCGTTGGAGGTGTTATCAAGATTTTGTTTTTCAGTTTCAATAATTTTATGATTGTCATTGTCTGTGTTATTGTTGCTGGAATTGACATTATTCTTGACACTGCTGTTGAAAAGATCATTCTCGTTCTCATTTTCATCCCCATTTTCATCCTCATTTTGAGCATCGAGGTTGGGATTATTTAAGTGATGCCTGTGGTTTATCAAATCATTCTGAATTGAATTCAAATCACGAATAGTTAGTGAGTTATTGTTGAGAGGTATAGGGTTATCTTGGTCATCATTGTTTTTGAGGATTTCTTTTTGAGGCTCCTGATTTTTAATTTTTGATTGTTTGTCCTTCAAGTCCAAACCTTCGCTCGACTTTGGGAGAAGACTCTGCGGTTGGGAGTGAAGATGGGTCTCTGAAAGAGCGTTGTTGATATTGTTTGTGGAAGAGGAATTGGTGTTTGAGCCAGTGCTTTGAGAATCATGGGCAGCAGACTGGCGATGCTGTTGATTAGATGGATCAAACACATTCAGGCTTTCGGTGCTATTCCCAGAAACAAAAACCTGAAGCTGCTCAGAGATATTTGGGGACGAGATTTTAGGTAAATTGACCATTGTAGAAAGAGTATTGAAAGTTAACATTGAATGGTATTTTGCTTGGATTTCCAATTAGCTCCAAAAACTAGATATAAGACTTGTTTTGACGCCAACAAGTACACTTGAGGAACGAAGTTGAACCAGAGAAGCTTCCTCTATCTGATGCTCTTTTTCTCGATCAAAATGGTTGATAATGCAACGATCTTAATTCAGTTGTTAATAAACCCTCAGATATAAAAGGAAAAAAGACTAAACCCCTTCTTTCTCAACAACCCACCGCACGTGATCTCTACAAACAGACGCGTGCAGACGCTGTTCCACGTGGTAGTGCATTCTCTCTCGTGACAATCCACAAGTATGGTCGCATCCGTACAAATGGTCGCATTTATGCATGTACTGCAGTTGAATACATCAAGACACTGTTTCCATCCTGCTGGTGTTTTCTTTTCTAGTTCACGTTTTTTGTCTTGTGGAAAATATTTGGAAATTTTTCAAATCTTAATCAATTAGAGATGCAAACAAGCTGATCCAGTTTTATTTGTAGCTGACCAGAATTCACTGAGATAGATACCAGTACTGCAGCAATTATCAGAACAACACAAATGAGATTTCTGAGAAATCGTGGTCCTAGACGTCCAAGACAAAGAGTTACCAATTGGGTCGAAATTGCAAAAGAAAACGAAAAGTTTGAAATCTACTATAAAGCACAAAATATTATCTCCGAAAGTAAATGGAATGACTTCCTCAGTGTTTGTAAGAACGCTCTACCATTAACTTTCAGAATTACTGGTTCTAGAAACCATGCCAATGAAATATTATCTCTCTTCAAAGAGAGATACTTGCAACCTCTTTTAAACGCAAAACCTTCTTCGGATCTTGAAGGCGAAATTCAATCAATGTCCTTACCATGGTACCCCAATGAGTTTGCATGGCAATTGAATGCAACAAGAGCTTCTATGAAGACAATTCCTGAATACAAAAAAACTCATAATTTTTTGGTATTTGAAACCGAAGTTGGAAATATCTCTCGACAAGAGGCTGTTTCGATGATTCCCCCATTGCTACTAGATGTCAAACCAAACCATTATGTTCTTGACATGTGTGCAGCTCCAGGTTCCAAAACGGCTCAGCTAATCGAATCTTTACATTCCAATGATAACGATGAACTTCCAACTGGCTGTATTGTTGCTAATGACTCAGATTACAAAAGAGCTTATATGTTGGTCCATCAAATTAAAAGATTGAATTCTCCAAATGTTTTGGTTGTTAATCATGATGGTCAATTGTTTCCTAAAATCAAAAACTCTTTGTTAACAAATAACAAAAAAAGCGGCGAATTCATAAAATTTGATAGAATATTGTGCGATGTTCCCTGTTCTGGTGATGGAACAATGAGAAAAAACATTATGGTTTGGAAAAACTGGGGAGTAGGTAATGGTATCGGGTTGCACACTTTACAACTAAACATTTTAAATAGAGGGTTACAGTTATTGAAAAAAGGTGGAAAATTGGTTTATTCCACTTGTTCGCTAAACCCAATTGAAAATGAGGCTGTTGTTGCTGCTGCTTTGAGGAAATGGGGAGCTGACAAAATTAGAATTGCTAATGTTGACAATCAATTACCAGGTTTAATTAGAGAAAAGGGTTTAAACACTTGGAAAGTATTCAATAAAGAAATGAAAATTGTTAATGACAAAGGGGATGAAAATAATATTAATTTACAAGATTCTTTATTTCCTCCAACGGAAGATGAAATATCCAAGTTTAATTTGCAAAACTGTGTTAGGGTTTATCCCCATTTCCAAAATACTGGCGGTTTTTTCATCACTCTTATTGAAAAAATTGATGACGATGAAGTTTACAAAAATAATGTCAATGAAGATGAATTTTTAACTGAAGACTCCAAAAAACGTTCTTCTAGTGACAGTGAATTGCCAGAATTTAAAAAAATTAAAATTGATGAGGATGGGTTGGAAGTAGATAAAGAGAATAAATCTGTTGATAAAACTGACAAAGAAAATGAAAAAAATGATTTGAAAATTCAAAAACCCAAAGGTAGATTGGCTAGAAATGGTAATAACGAAGAGCCATTTATATTTCTTGATAAAAACGATGAATTGTTGAAAAGAGTTTGGGGTTTTTATGATATTAATGAAAAAGTTTCAAAAGATTGTACATTGGTTAGAAATGGGTCAGGTGAAGCATTAAGAACCATTTACTACGTATCGCCATCATTAAAGGATATAATTACTAATAATGAAATCAAATTGAAGTTTATTCATGGCGGAATCAAACTTTTTTCTTCACAAAGACTAAAAAATCAATCTGAAGATTTTATTCCTTGGAGAATTCAATATGAATCGTTATCATTTTTACTGAAATATCTCGGATCCAAAAGAAGAATTGTTTGCGATGATGTTACACTAAAATTCTTGATTGATACTAAATTTCCAAAATTTGAAAACATTGCAGACCTTAATCTGGAATTTGTTGAAGAGATTAAAAAAATAGAAACTGGATGTTGTTTCTTAGATATCATTAGAGAGGAAGGTAAAGAAAATTTATGTTTACCATTTTCTAAATCCGATAATTCAGGACATTTGATGGTTAATAAAAAAGATTTGATTGATCTATTATACAGAATTTATGGAATTGAAACCGCAAGAAAAGATAACAAAAAACAGCAATCTAAAGAGGCCAATGAAAATACAGAAAACTCAAACAAAGAATTGGAAAATAAGGATAATGACAAAGATAATGACAAGAAAGACAATGAAAATGACAACGAAAATGACAATGAAAATGATAATAAAGATAAAAAAGAAAATACTGATATTAAACTGGAAAACTAAAAGTTTTCTGCTTAAGGTAGTTAGCTTGGTTAAAGGCTATGGTAACTTTGATTATTTCATTATTCTTCTCCAGACTTTTGTAGTATAAATTTATTCCTTTATACATATTTTTTTAAGGGTATATTTTTAATTTACTTTTATTTTTCAAAGAAATTTTTATATCATTCCTATTAAGATGTATTAAACAATAAATATATTATAAAATTTAAAAAATTGCCAAAGAAAAACAGAGAACTTTCAAATATTGAATGAATGATGAAAATAATTGCAGTTTGTTTGCAAGAAATTGATGGGAAACTCAAGCAATTTTTGAGGCCATTGATTCCTTTCTCGAAGCGTCTTGCAATAACGTAGTATCTATTGCACGTTTGGGAAGATGGACATATCTGATGGTGGAGCCTCTTATAAATAGAGTCTTGACAGCATTTAAATGAGGATATTTGACCTCATTGTTTGTTTGGATATCGTAAAGTTTTATATTCAAATACTGATCAACAGATTTTAACGTTCCTGTTATTTCTATATCATTTTTTAATTCGACAGTGACCTTTATCAGAAGACAGAAGAGTTAGTACTCAATAGTATGTTTGGGGGGGGGACTGTTTTCCAATTGAATGGACTTACTTGCTGGTCAACCAATGTTTTGAAAAAGCTGAAAAATAGCATTTGCAAAAAAGAGAATACGTCTGGATAACAAAAAGAGTCTGTTGATAGGTATCTGATGTTGAGATGATTTCGTTGCGAAAAATATTTTTGTCACCATCCGGAAAAAGCTGAAAACCGGTGTGGCCAAAAGTGAAACAGCGGTTCGAATCTCGCATAGAGCTCGTTCCTGTGTTTTGGGTGTTTTTCACCAGTTTCCAACTTTCCTAATGCGGTTAGTAGATCCTTTTCTATTTGGATAAGAAAATGTGTAGCAGAGATGAGCTCTTGCTCGAAACAGAACCTCTATCCAATCAACAGGTGAAAAATGTTTTAGATGGCGAAATTTGTTTGGTTTAAAATTCGACTAAATCTCGTTTTCTTTTCTCATTTTCTGCTCAGTTTGCAAAGATAACCCTCATTCCGTTTTTTTTTCTCAGCTGTATAATTCAAATATATACTTGCCTGTTCCATCTTCCTCTGACTCTTGAATATCTACCTTTGTATTTATATGTTTATATTGAAATCATTGAAAAAGAACTTTGAATCAAAAATGTCTTCTGTTGGTACCCTATATTCTCCTGCAGCATCTCCTCGTTGTCCAATTTTAAACTACATTATCGATTTTTATAATCTTCCTGTTAAAATTGCCGAAAAGGACGATCTATTTGTTAAGCACTTTCCATTAGGAAAGGTCCCAGCTTTTCTTGGTGCTGGAGAAAAGTTCAAATTACATGAGACTTTGGCTATATTATTATATGTTGTTTCATTGATTTCAAGACCCGGTAATTTGTTGGGTTCTACTAAAAACGAATATTTTGAAGTTTTAAAATGGTTATCTTTTATCAACTCTGATATTACAACTGAATATGTCAATGCTGTCTTTCCAGTTATTGGTGCTTATCCATACAATGAACAAAGGGTGTTGGATGGTAGAAAACAATTGAATAAATATGCTAAAGTCTTTGAAGATTATCTTGGTGAACAGGAATTCTTGGTAGGAACTGATGTAACTTTAGCAGATTACTTTGCTGCTGTTTTCTTTAAACAATGTTTTGAAACATGTTGGGATAAATACTGGGCCAAGTCTCATCCAAATATCACCAAATGGTTTACTGTTGTTCTTGAAAAACCATTATTGAAAAAGAATATTCCTGATTTTAAAATTATCAAGGAAAAACTTAAACCAAAATTATAAGTTTTAGAAAAAAATACATAAACATATTCATTTTATAGTTTTAATTCATATTTATACAGCTTCAGTAGAAAACTACAATATTCAAAATTAAGTTATTTTTCTTTAAAATCCAGATGGAAATAGACCATACAAATAATTGTTTGAAAACAATAGCAAAAATATCTCCCGGGGGTGAGTCGAACACCCGATCTCAAGATTACTTTGGATTTCAAAGTGAAACATTACAGTCTCGCGCCTTAACCAGCTTGGCCACCGGGAGTTATCTGTATCCTCGAAAAACAAGTCTAGTCTATTATAATATAACTTATATCCAGACTGAAAATGTAGCTGGATGAGATAACAATAACTTTTTTTGTGTTTTCTAACGTTAAATCATGATCAATTTTAGGTTGATGCTGAAAGTACTAATTTTTATATAATGGATTTTCCAATTAATTATGTCAAGGATAAACTGGGTTCTATAAATGATGAGAAAACGGCGGATGATATTGGTCATAGTAAAAATCAAAACAAGCCCAAGAGCAAGAGCAAGAGAGTCACCGATGATGATTTATATAGAAGATCTAGTCAATATCGATTATGGTCGTTTAATCAGAAGCACTTGATGGAAAAAAGACAACGAATCAATGAAAATGGAAGAAATTTTGTTTTAAACAAGTTACGAGATTTAATATTTAATGATGATAAAATCTTGGGAGATAATGATTTCAAAGAGACCAAATTTAAAGAAATTAGTTCTAAAATTGAATTTGTTGATGTTGAGGAAGAAATTAAGATGATCAATTATTATTCAAGAAGAGTGGAGGATATTTCGAAGATTTTCAATTTATCATCAGAAGTAAAGGCTACAGCATTAAGTTTTTTGAAAAAGTTTTATTTAGAGAAAAGCTGTATGGAGTACCATCCCAAAAAAATATTATATACATGTTTATTTTTGGCTGCCAAATCTGAAAATTGCTTTATTTCTATTGACAAATTTATTGAAACAATTGGAAATATAACGAAAAAGTCGATATTGTCATTAGAGTATAAAATCTTGAATGTGTTAAATTTTACATTAATGGTGCATCATCCATACAAGCCATTGTATGGATTCTTTTTGGATATTCAATACACTTTAATTCGGAATAAGCCTAATGGGATGACAGTTTTGAGAGTGCGAAAAAGCAGAATAAATGAGTCTAATATTAACGTTAATGAAGAAGATTATCAAAAGAGAAAGTTTTTTTATACAGAAAATTTATTGAATCGAGATTATAGCAATGCGAAAAATTTGGTGAAAGAGACATTGATATCTGATGTTCAGTTTTTATTCACGCCACCACAAATAGCACTTGCATGTTTTTTACAAGTTAATGAGGAGATAACAATAGCATATTTAAAACAAAAGTTTCGAAATAAAAGGGCCTTTTTTAGTAATAATAATATTGGTAAAAATCGAAATAGAAATAATAAAGAAAAAGAGAATGAAAATAAGAATGAGAATGAAAATGAAAATGAAAATGAGAATGAAAATGAAAATGAAAACGAAAATGAAAATGAAAATGAAAATGAAAATGAAAATGAAGATGAAAATGAAGATGAAAATGATCATGAAAACAGTGAAGTAAACAATAATGAAGTTGAAGACAATGCCACTATAACTAATACTCTTAATAATAATAAAAATTATCGAAAATTGCTTTCTGTAATTCGATCATGTCAAAAGCTTATGAAAGAATCGTTTGATCCGAGCATTGAAGAAGCTACAAACATAGACAAGAAAATATATTACTGCACCAATCCAAAGAAATTAATTAATAAAGAGCGTAAAAAAGAGAATAGCAATAATTCCAATGGCAATAATAGCAATAATGGCAATAATACGAATATAAATACGAATATGAATACGAATACGAATAGTATTGTTGGTAGTAATGAATACAATGCAAATGGAAATGGAAATTATAAAAGAATTAAGTTATCTAAAGAATAGGCTGATTGAATAAGTCAATTGATAAATTCATAGCAAAAATTTTGAATATTGAATGTATTACACTTTATAAGTTAAATAGGTTATATACTTATATTGAAATATTTAAAAATGACTGATTTAGTGACTGACTTTTAGTGAAATTGATAAATTAAGATAAACTGGATTACATAATAACAAGTTTACCGAATTTGTCATAATAAGCAGGAAGTTCCCATCTACCTTGTTTAACCATTTGAGTGACTTTTTCATCAATATCAGGTTTTGCGGCAACAACATCATCGACAGTCAATTGTTCAAATGGTCTTGATTTTTGGATGTTTTCTAAAGTCTTATTCAAGTCTTCGATTTCTTTTAAAATAAGAGATTCTGTTTGTTCAGCACTTTCCAAGGCAGTTTGTTTGAAAGTTTCAATAGCACTTACTTGGTCAGAGATATCGTAAGTGATTGGCTTAAAATCATTGATTGAACTTTCAATTTTGCTGATAATGTCTTGGTTTTTCAAAACCGATTTGTAGTAGGCAAAATCAATTGGTTTGTCTTGTAAGTTTAGTTCATAGGCGACTCTTTTGGCTTCGTCGTTTCTCTTTTTGAAAGCTTGCAAAGAGGCAGCAGATTGACCTTTCAAACCTAAAGAAGAGACAACTTTAGCCCAGTCTAATTTAACAGCAGCTTTCTATGCAAAACAAGAAGAAAACAAAAGTTAGTATTGAATTGAAAAAGAAGGAGCAAGAACAAAAAACTCATAGGCAACATACAAGAGACATAGTGGTGGAAAAAAGATAATCGGTGATGAGTTTCGAGAAGAAGACAGTCCAGATCCAGCAGCATATATGAGCTCCAAATAATCCCACCCCAGTGAAGTGAAGAAACTGGAGTACGTGATTAGCCAGATTCTGAATCCGGGTAACTTCACCGGAGCTGTGTTTCAACCACGTGAGAACCAACTGCCGGTGTCCGGTTTTGCCTTCCTAAACGGGTGCTCCTTCAGATATAATCAGCGAGACAATTCTGCTGTCTCCCAGCCTGTGCACTGTTATCTCCCAGCTCTTTCTCTCAGCTCGCTGATTCCTCTGCCCACTGGCTATCATCATGGTTGCTCACGACACTGCTACTTCTCCTGCTGCTGCCTCTGCCGCCTCTGCTCCGGATCGCTCTCCTGCCCCTTCGCCGGATCAATCTCAGCACAAATCTTCAGATAACCCTCAGCTCCAAAGTCAAGACACCAGCTGCCAGAAAAGTTGCTGTATCAACAAAGGCTTCTCTGGTGTTTCCCACGAAGATCAGCATTCTGGTGGCTGCGCCAAAGCTATTGCCGATCAGGCTTCGACCAGTCCCACTTCCAACACTTCTGCAAACCAGCCCCAGGGCAGGAAAGCCGCTACTTCTCCCACCACCGAATCTGTTCCTGCTCTTCCTTCCTGCTGCTCACAGGCCTTAGTAGCCAAGAAGACAAAAAAGAGGTCCTCCATTGCTTGTGCCAGATGTCGTCGGCGCCATATCAAATGTCCAGGTGGAAACCCATGTTCAAAATGCACTCTGACAAATTCAATCTGCGAGTATATCGAGGCCGATAAAAAAATCATAATCTCGATAAAGTACTTGCAGAAACTACACGACGACATATCCAACTTGAAAAAGGAAAATTGCTCCTTAAGAAATAACTTGAAAAACTTTAATATCAACAAAATGAACAATTTGAATAATTACTCAATTAATAACTCTACAAAAATTAAAGTTTCCTCTCAATTCCACAACCCTTCTACAAATAGTAATACTAATAATAATCATAGTCATAGTCATAATACCACCGATAATAATAATACCCAATTTTCTAACTTAAACAATAAAGATACCAATTCTTTAAAGAAAAAAAATTCACAACAAAATTCTGAAAGTGGTGAAAATGAAATCATTCCTCCATTTTTAGATACCCAAAAAAGACTAATTTACACAAGAACTGGCGAAAAATTCTACGTTGGTTCCAGTTCTATGACTTTATTTGGCCTAGAAATTCAAAACTTGATCCCCAAAACTTTTCTAAATAATTCAGCAAATTCTTTCAATTCGAATTTAAATCACTTGAAACCCTCAAACTTCTCAAATAATTCTCTGCTGCTACTACTAGCTCAAAAAAATAGCTTAACAAATAATATTAACTCTAATTTCAATATCAGTAATGTTAATAATATCAATAATATTGATATTAACATTAATAACCTTAATAGTCATAACAATAATTCTTTTAATGAGAACAATATCGCTAGTTCTAATAGTATAAATACAAAAAACAATTTTATTGAAACAGTTCTTGAAAGAGAAGGTAATGCTTACAAGATATTAATGGGCAAAACAGATTCAAGACCTGGAATTTCCGTTAATTTTACTTTACCTTCTTATTCTTATGCAATGCTATTAGTAGACACTTTCATAACTTATAATGATGGCTGCTTTTATTTTTTCAATGAAGGCTTAGTCAAGGAAAATTTAAGAAGAACTTATAACAATACCAATAACATTTCAGATCAAAATTCTTTAAACAATAACAATAATGATTTATCTTTGTCTTCAAGTCAAAATCCTTCATCGTTATCAATAACAGACGATCCAATTGTTGAAACAATTTGGTTTTGTAAAATATTATTGATTTTTTCAATAGGTGAAATGTATTTAGGCACAACAAATGACACTGATCATAACAAAAATTTGAACAACAATAGTACAAATACTAATACACAAAATAATCTTAATTGGGACAACAACAACAACAACAACAACAATAATAATAATAATAATAATAATAATAATAATAATAACAACAACTATAATAGCGATATAATGAATAGTAATAAATCTTCCCCTAAATTGCCAGGTTCAGGGTTTTTCAATCAGGCATCAAAACTATTTTCCGGTTTATTTGAATCTTCAAACATCGACCATTGTGCAAAAGAAGGCGGTGTGGAGGTTATGTTACTATATGCTTTTTATTTGCAAGTAGCTGATTGTACTGTTTCATCTTATTTTTATTTTGGTTTGGCTTTACGATCAGCTTTAATACTAGGAATGCACGTCGATGCTGAAAAAAATACCTTAACTAGATTTGAATTAGAACATAGACGAAGATTATGGTGGACTGTTTATATGTTTGAGAGAATGTTAAGCTCTAAAGTTGGCTTGCCTTTATCCTTAACAGATGATTCTATCTCCGTGGAGTTACCAAATGATTTTAATATGTCAAATCCTCCATTGGGATGTGAACATTATATTTTTCCCGAAGCTGAATATATTAAGAATTGTGTCTTAATAACTCAGATCAACTCCAAAATTTTATCGAATTTATACCAAAAGCCTCCAACTAAAAATATCTTACCGATATTGTTAGAATTAATCGAAGATTTATTAAATTGGGAAAAAAATTTACCAAATTTTTTAAAACCTGATTTTCAAAAAAGTGACAAAATATTGAAAATTTCAAGATTAATTACAAATTTATTCACTGAATATTTCCAAGGGATCAATCTAGCTGTAAGACCCCTATTGTTTCATTTCACTAACAAACAACTAAGAAAAAATCAGAATAAAAATATTTATATAGATTTAACTTTTTTTTCCAAACCAATTTTAAATTTGTTAAATTCCTCTTTTCAAGCTTCAATTAATACTATTAGATCATTGTGGTCGTTGATGCCCGAAAATATGATTGCATTGTTTGGTTATATGGATAGAGAATATTTATTCACGAGTTCTGCAACATTGATTCTATTTAATGCTGCATTTGGAGTCCATAAAGCAACTTTTGAGCACCTAGACCATGCTTTAATAATATTTACAAAAATGAGAAACCTAGGTAATCATCCTGCAAACCTAAGAAGGTGTCAATTGTTAAAATTGCTAAAAGTTTTAGATTTCAATGGGGTTATGCACGATTTGATTGTCAAACATGATGATGACATTGAAATGAACAACTTTTTTAATGACGTTGACAGGCTAAGTTCAGCTCAAGACAGCTTGATTAAAGACTCGAATATAAACTCAGATATAAATCAAAATCCAAACGAAAATAACCAAGATAACCAAGATATTCAAAATTTCAATCAAAACTTTAGTCAAAATGTCAGCCCAAGTCTTGATCAAAATGTCAACCAAAACGTTCATCAAAACATGAACCAAAACTACCTTTATGATCAAAATCTTTTCCAGGACCAAAACCAAAACCAAAACCATAGCTCCAATGTTCCCTACCAGCTTAGTAAAGGAAAGCAACGTGAAAACATAAATGGAACGAGCCACAATTTCACAGATCATCAATTCAATTCCAAACTGAGCTACAAAAAATCCCAGCTGATGCAACAATCTTACTCAATGATGGAAGACACTCTTCCAATGAATTTCCCTTCTTACTCCACAGCCGTTGATTCTAATAGAATTTACAGAGGATCTAATTTATCTTCTGTTAGATCAACTACCCCAACATTGACGGATTCTAATATGCTGCATAACTTTTCTCACCAGAATCCCTTTGAATCTTTTCATATTTTCTCAACCTCGAACGCAAATACCGAGAATAACAAAAATTCAGATTTTAATACCAACACTGGTAATGTTAATATCATTGCCCACAATAACATTGATACTATTAATAATGCCACTGCTAGTTTTAATAAAAGAAGGTTTTCAAACTCAGTGTCGGATCTTATTAATTTGGGATCAAAAAAAAGAAGAAGTTCAAATTCAAGTTCCAAATCATCATCATCAAACAGTCGTCTTGAAGCATTTTTACAGCCTCCTTTGGTTTCGCCAGATTCCCTTAAAATTCTATTAAAAAATTGCGAAGCCAGTGAAAGTGAGAACGCTTTATGGAATGAAATAACAGATGAGGCCATGTGGTTAGGAGATTTTAGCGAGGAGTTTAATAAATTTGTGGGGTAATTTTTTTCACTAAAAACATTGTAAATTTCAAACCAAATCTTTTTGAGGTTTTGTTTGTTCGGATTTTTGTTTGAAATGTCAAATTTAATTTGTCGAGATCCAAACAGCTTTAGTTCTAAGTCTCTGTGTCCATAATATCACGAGAGCTGTTACATTTTAATTTTAATTTCATTGCTATGCTTTTCGTTTCTATTTTTGCTTCGGGTTCTCATTTTTATAACACTTTTTATTATACTTTTTTTTTCGTTATATTTAGATGCTATTATATTTTTTTAATTTTTTTTTTGTTTTTATGTTTTATTCATTTCTTCTTTTTTCATATAGTTCAAGAACTTTTGAGCTTGAAAATAAATACATTTGTTTTTTATTATTATCATATTTATTTTGGGCTTTTATATATTTTATTGAAAAAAACCTACTGCAATATTTCAGATAAATCAGGATATCTAATTTCTGCTTCTTCTTCTGCCCAGTTCACCCATTTTTTTAAAAATTTATTATTGCTTCTTGTTAATGTCTCCATGTCTCCAATCACACACAACTGTCTTCTTGGTCTTGTGATGGCAACATTTAGTCTCCTTTCATCCTTCAAAAACCCAACTTCTGCTTTTTCATTACTTCTGACCAACGATAAAATTATAACGTCTTTTTCTCTACCTTGGAAACCATCAACTGTTGAAATCTCGATCGCAGGATAATTAGAATGAATTTTGAGTTTTAGTAATGAGATTTGGGCATTGTATGGTGAAATGACCCCAATAGATTCCTGAGAAACTTTTGATTTTATTAACAAATTAATATAATAATAAACTAGATTGACCTCATTTTCATTATATTTTGATGAAAATATGGAATCAATCTTTTTATTATCGTTTTTATTTTCAACTTTTTCAAGATCTTCCTCTCCCTCAGGAAAATCACCTCCCTGAGTGTCATACCAAATGACAGGAACAGATGTGTCTTCATTTTTCTCAACATACGGCAAATCACAAACCAAGTGATCTTTAACAGAATCATCAGCAATCAACTTGCCTTCATACAAGAATTCCGAACTAAACTTCATAATTTGGCTATTCATTCTATACTGAGTATTCAATAGATACTTGATATCATCAGAGTTATGAGTTTTAATTAATCTATCAAACAACGTTGTCTCTAATAACTTCATATATTTATCATTTTTTTCTAATTTTATAGTTGGGGGCAACTGTTTATTATCGCCAGCTATAATTAATTTTTTCAATGAATCTTTATGGGAAATTATTGGAATCCAACACTGAGGTTCTAAAGATTGAGATACTTCGTCAATAATAAGAGCGTCAAATAGATTTTGATTGATAAATTCGCCTGTATCTGAACTTTTTAAATATAGATTCATTAATTCTTTTGAGCCCGAGCCATGTAAAGTGGCTACGATTATTTTTGAGTTTAAAATTAATTCATTTAATACTTTTTTTTCTCTTTGTCTCAAATCGTATCTTAAAGATTTGATATCACTATAATATGGTTTTCTTTCGTTATAATTTTTCGATTTTTTAATTTTTTTAAAAGTAGATTCGATTTCACTATAAATTTCACTAATAACTTGACCTTGATTTGAATTTTTGGAGACATAATCTAATGAATAATATTGAATTGAACTTAATAATCTTGCTGGATGGCCGATTCTTAAAATCTTATCCTTTGGAATTTGATCTATATGAACCAATCTTTCCAAAATAGTGTCAATAGAAATATTTGAGGGACCGCAGATCAAAATTCTTTGATTTTTTAAGAATAATTGATAGATAATTTCAATTAGTGTAAAAGTCTTTCCTGTACCTGGTGGACCGTGGATAATGGATAAATCTGAGTTGAGAGAAAAATTTATGGCTAATTTTTGAGAGTCGTTTAGATTTTTATTCAAAAATTCTAAATTTGATAAGGACAGATTTAAAACCAATGAGGAAGGAGGTATAAACTTTGAATTCCCTATAATTAGTTGAATTAAATTCGAAGATTTAAAAGAATTTGTATTCATTAATTGTTTCATTTTACTTAAAATCAAGTTCATCCTTTTGTAGGTAATTGAGTTTGATACTTTAACTAGCCACAATCTTTGATTTGATAAGTTCAATAAAATTTCATCAATATTCTTTTTATTATTTAAATCATTGTTATCGTGATCAATCGATACCGTTATTGAAGTTGATTTAAACCTTATTATAATACCTTGAATTGAAAATTGATCGATATCATTATCAATATTATTGTTATTGTTGGTAGTGTTTGCATTTTTTTTATTCTTTGAAGACTTGCTGCTAAGCTTTGAGACAGATTTGGAGCCAGAAACGTTCAACTTTTCGAGTTTGACAATATCACCCACTTTTAAATCGTTTGAGTTTGATAGAAATTTTGCAGCGTCGTTATTGCTCTTTCTATCAGACTTGCTGTCCCTGGATTTATTAGATGATCGTTTCAGAGCTTTTCTAGAAGAGATGGAATTGGAACTTGAAGCTGAATTCGAATAAGCCTTATCGTTGCTCAATTCAATTAGTATTCTGCCATTCAAACCAGTTTTAATGTTATCAATGGTCAAGTTGATAATTGCCAACCCTCTCTGCGCCAACTTTTTGTATGACAAGGAGGAAAGTAGTTCAGAAGTCAATTCAATGTCAGACTTCTTCTCCAAGTCGATAGCCTGCAAAAACTGGTCGACAAATTTCTCATTTCTGTGCTCCACGTCTTCTTCTTCTCTGGTGTCAGCCATTTTGCTGCCCATTTTCGTAGTTCGTTTTCCTTTTTTCTTTTTTCTTTTCATGGTCCAAAAAGAGACTGATCACATGATAAGTACCGCCACACTTGGTTGAAAATGTTGGTTGAAAATGACTGAGCCACACAACGCTACTTTTGTGGATGTGGAAACAGGCTTTGGAGAAATGTTAGTGTTAACCATTCTGGCAAAGATAGCAGAGTGGGAGTAATAATACAAAGCAGTCGAAGTTTTATGTATGAATTGTCCAAGCACCTAGGGTGTTGGGAGATTTTTCAGGACCTTGTGTGAACTCAGTGACAAAAACTTGACATCGTTCAATTGCCACCATGTTGGGGTTCTTTGCAGATGGTCCAATTGTTATGATTCTTTTAAAAAGTTTTGGCCAAACATATTATTTGGTTTTGAAGTTCGAGAAATGTCCTTTGATTGAGATCCCAAAATATTTACCTTGTGCATTATAGAGATGGAATCAGAGCTCTGTTGTATTGAGGGTAGATTTAAGGATTTGATCGATGGCAATGTTGTAGACATCTCGGCAGTGTTTAGTCCATTTGAAGATGGGTTTTGGAATTGAGAATTTGGAAAATTTAAATCGATGCTTGGCTTGTTTTGATTAGTGTTGATTTTGTCTTCATTTGTATTAAGAGGATGTAGGTTTACAAGCGCTGTATTTAATTTATTATTGTCCATTTCATCATCCAAATTTTGATTGGGATCTAACATAGTAGTGTTTCTATAATTTAGAGCATTTGATTGGGTATCATAAGTGGTTTCAATTGGAGAAGGTAGGTCATTATTGTTTTGGAGAGCATTGTTGCCAAACAAGAAACTTGCTTTTGTTAGTTTAGGACTTTGTAGTGGTGTCAGGGTAGGAGAATTTAAGGTGGAACGAAACCTGCTATCAATGTTAAAGCCCAAAGGAATACCATTGGGATTTGAGTTGTTTGAGTTTTGAAGGGGCTGTTGATTAAATATATTGTTTATGGAGAAGTTTTTTTCCAACAGTGTGGGCAAGCTTGAATTTGAGTAAAAGTTAGAGTTTAAAATGGAAGTGTTATTGTTATTGTTGTTATTGTTATTGTTATTGTTGTTGTTGTTGTTGTTATTATTATTATTATTATTATTATTAAGATTCGAGGATTTAAAAGGACCAAAAAAAATGCCACTATTTGCCTTTGTTATGGACTGGTTTTTATTTGAACCGTTAGAAAAGGTTCTGCTTAGAGAGAAGGAGGCAAATTCATTTAAACTATTTGAATTGTTTTGGTTGTTTGAAGGTAGAGAAGGCAAATTTGGATTCAATACGGGGGAAGTTGGAAAAGATAAAGGATTTGAAAAGGATGGGAGTAGGGAAGAATTTGTAGAGGAGAGGTTTGGTGATTTTAGTAGTTTTGAATTTTGATTGGATAGTGTTGGAGAGGCTGGTCTTGTTCTTGTGTTTGAGAATTGGAAGGAAGGTGAGGTTGGTCTTGTTGGGATTATATTTTTTGACAAGTTTGAAGATATGAGGGAATTGAAGCTATTGTTGCTATTAATTTTTGAGAGTCTATTGTTTAGATTGATTAAGGATATAGAATTGAGGTTTGAGTTTGAGTTTAAGTTTGATGTTGGTGTTGATGTTGATGTTGAAGAAGATTGGACTGAGTTGGCTAAATTAGCCAAGTTTGTAAGAGAGCTTATTTTTTTTGAGGAGGAAAAAGAGGAAGGGGAGGATTGCCTGGATATTTTTGATATTTTTGGGTAGTTATTTTCAAGAGAGCATTGTGAATAGAGGGGAGGAGAGCATGGTCTTGATTTCTTTTCAGATAATAAGGAGGATAGGTTTGAGTGTTTAATGGGAGTGGGAATGGGAGTGGGAGTGTTATTTTTAAAGAGGGATCTTTTTGGAATTGGCATTATGAGGATGTCGGATTCGTCGTTGTCGTGATTTGAGAAGGTGGAGTTGTTAGATTTTGTTCTATTTATTGATTGTAGTTTGTTTGAAAATGGGATGGGTTTTGAGTTTGAGTTTGAGTTTGAGTTTGAGTTTGAGGATAGGAAGTTGTTTAAATTGTTGTTTTTGTTGATGGTATTTAAAAAGTATGAGTTTGAGTTTGAGTTTGAGTTTGAATATGAGTTTGAGGATGAGGATTGGGATTGGGATTGGGATTGGGATTGGGATTGGGATTGGGATTGGGATGGGATTAAAGATTGAGTTGAGTTTATATAATTGGAGCCATTTGAGAAAGTTTTGTTTAGTTTATTGTTGAAGAGGATTTGATCAGAGTTGTTATCAAAGAAGTTTGATAGAGAAGGCAAAGATTTTACGTTTTTGGGATTATTAAAGGCGGTAGATAGTAGAGAAGAGGAAGAGGAAGTGGAAGTTGAAGTGAAAGTGGAAGCGGAAGAAGAGTCGAAGTTGATGAGTGGTGAAGATTTGTGGAGGAGGTTTTGATTTGGATCAGTGAGGGTGTTTAGAGAAGAGGAAGAGGATGATGAGTTGGTTTGAGAGGAGGCGGTTGAGTTGATATAGGTATAAGTTGAAGAAGATATAAAGTAGTTTTTTCCAATTTTAGATATATTTGAATCGTTATTTATGGAAAAGAGGTTTGAGGATGATGATGATGATGATGATGATGATGATGATGAGGGAGAGCAATTTGAAGTTGATGTTGAGGAGATGTTGTTGATTAGGAGTTTTTGCCTTTCCTTTTCTAGTTCTAGAGTGGCAGCGTTAGCTAGAAGGTTCATTTCGTTGGGTATTGAGTTGTTGAAGGTGATGTTGTTTTTGAAGTTTGAATGAAGAAGTAGGTTTGGAGAAGAAGAGGAGGCTAGTGATTGTGATTGTGACTGTGATTGTGATTGTGACTGGGATAGAGAAGATTTTGGGAGTAGTTTTGTTACCTTTGAGGTGGAGGATATTATTTTGTTGTCTTTGAAAGAGATATTTTTTGATTGGATTGTTGATTTGAGGGAGATCTTTTGGGTAGATTTAGGAGTTGTTTTTTGGATTGATTTCAAGTTGTTTTTCAAGTTGTTTTTCAATTGAGATTTTGATTTTCTAGAGTTTGGATTGTCGTGGATTCTCTTGTGTCTTGTAAGCTCGTCGCTTCTGGAGAATTTTTTAAAGCAACCTGGGTGAGTGCAGTCGTGGGGTTTCTCGCCAGTGTGGGTTCTTATATGTCGTGTTCGATGCTCTAGACGATGAAAGGCTTTGGTGCACATGGGACAGCTGTAGGGTCTGGGGGCATTTTCGTTTGAGGTTGGTTTCTTTCTCAGTTTGGCGAGGGAGCTGGAGGGCTTTTGTTTGTTTTGTTTGATTTGCTTTGTGGAAGATAGAGAGGGGGAGGTATTAGTGCTGTCTGTGGTGTTGGCAGAGGGTAGGATGCTGCCTAGGGAAGTGGAATCATTGTGATTCATCATCCAGGAGAGGTAGGAGCAGAAACGCAGAAACGCAGAAACGCAGAAACGCAGGAAAGCAGGAAAGCAGGAAAGCAGGAAAGCAGGGTATAGTATAGAAAAGAACACACCGATGGAAGTCAAATGGACACAGGAGAAGATGGGGAAGGTGAAGATGGTGAAGATGGTGAAGATGGTGAAGAAGATGAGAGAGAAGAAGCGACGCCCACAAAAGTGGAGCGGAAGGAGTTGCGCCACAACGCTCTCCGCAAAAGGCTGCTGTGACAAGCACGTGCGCGGCTGTGGCGTATTCTGCACACTGCGGCAGGACAACGCGGCGCGCGAGTTGGATCTGTGCCGCTGCAGGCGCACGCGCATAGCTGGGTCCGACGCCGGCACGTGCGTCCGCGGCAGTGAGTCCGCCCCTGGATTATGCTTTTGGGTTTCAGCGCTGCAGGCCGAGGCAGGCCCACGCATGGGCTTTTCGAAAGCGATAATTCTATCTTTGGGTCCTGATTGATGAAAATTTTTATATAAATGTTTGTTTCTCTCGTTCTCGTTGCTTTTATCTCTATCTCCATTTATATCTCCATCTCCAGCTCCATTTCATTCAATTCACTCCTCAACAACTCTCCCTTGACAATCCTTCTCTGTGCCCAACACTCCCAATCTCTTTTCTCCAGCTCTCGACTCGACTCAAACCGTAACCTTCATCTACAACCTTTATCTGCTTCACCACTCCACCATCCTCAACAGCATCCTCAACAGCATCTTACCATCTCCACCACCAGAACCACCAGAACCATAATCATCTTCGCCACCACCACCGTCATCACCGCTATATCCTACTCGTGTCTCTTCTCTTTCCTCCTCCTCCTCCTCCTTCTCCTTCTTCTTCCTTCTCCTTCTTGTTCGACTCCTACATAATCTCTTGTTTCTTTTGGTCATTGTTTTTTGTTTGTTTTCTTCTTCTGCCTTTTTTTTCTTCGTTTTCTTTCTTTATTCATATATTATACTATATTATACTACATCCACTATATTATACTATACTGCCTCTTTCACTTTCCATTCCCTTCTTTTTTATCTTCTTTCTTAGCTTTTCTTAGCTTTTCTTAGCTCTTCTTTTCTTTCCTTTTCTTCCTTCCTTTCTTTCTTTCCTTCTTTTTCCACTAGGCTCTATGTCTCACAATGTCCTTCTCCTTCTTAAATCCCATCTCAACCGATAACCCTTCAATCATCTCAATTGACCACTTATCCATCCTCAATCTAATTATAAACTTCCTAATCCTCCCCTTTGCCATTTCCTCTCTACTCATCCTTTTAAAATCTCACACAAACCCTAAAAATACACAAATCCAAATCCAAAACTTCTTTCACCTCTCTAACTCAAAATCTTTTTTCCTTTTGCTTCTACTCCTACTTCATCTTATACTATACTCCTCTCTATTATACTCATACTCGTACTTTCCTTTATCCTTCTTCAACTACAACCTCCTACTCAACCTCCTCTATCTCTTCCTCATCGTTCTCCCCTTCAATTACACTGACCTAATCCTCTTCAATTCAACCTCTCCCTCACAACCATCCTCTCTTCTACTATACTACCTCTTCAACATCCCTCTCAGCTTCCTATCCTCCTTAATCCTTCTTATCTACCACCTCAATCCTTCCTCACCATCCACCTCAATCCACATTTCCTCTTCCCAGCTTCTTATCCAATCGCTTTCCTCCATCTCCCTCTCAGCAATCTTCCTCCTCTACTTGAACATCATCTCAATCACAAACAAAAATGACTCAACCAAAACAAACTTAATCCAAAACATAACCTTCTCCTGGATGAACCCTCTAATCATAAAGGGCTACTCCCAGAAATCCCTCTCTTTATCTGACCTACCCATCCCTCCAATCGATTTCAACGCAAACGACTCAACAACCCTTCTATCAAAAAACTGGCTCTCCCAATTATCTTCACCCGAAATCGAAATCGAAATCGAAATTAAAAACAAAAACAAAAACAAAAACAAAAAAAAGCCCAAAAAAAAACACCTTCTTTTCAAAGCCATCATCAACTCCTTCGGCTTTCCCATCATCCTAGCTGCCTTCTACGAGCTATCTGAATGCTGTCTAAGCTTTCTTCTACCTCAGCTCCTAAGAATCCTAATCAACTTTTTCTCCAACACCCCCAACAACATCATTCTCCCCAACTCAATTCTCATCACTAACGGCATCATCATCGCCCTCCTCATGTTCCTCATCTCAATTCTATCCACCATCTGCTTCAACCAGTACTTTATCATCATCTTCAGCGTTGGCCTCAACTGCAAAAGCGCTTTGATGGGCCTCATCTACAAAAAAACTCTAAAATTGCACTCAAACCACTCTCTCTACTTTACAACAAGCGACATTATCAACTTCATGTCCGTCGATGTCAGCAGAATTCAACAGCTAATCCAACAGATCCAGCTCATCATCTCATCCCCCATCAGACTCATCCTCTCCCTAATCTCCCTCTACTCCCTCCTAAACTCCTCTATTTTCTCCTCCTTACTCATCATCTCCCTCATCATCCCCATCAACACCTTCCTCTTCAAAAAAATGAAAATCCTACACAAATGCCAAATGAAATTCAAAGATAGAAGAACAAGAATCATCTCTGAAATTCTATCCTCAATCAAAAGCATCAAGCTATACTCCTGGGAAAACCCAGTTCTAGCAAACTTAAAGGACGTTAGAAACAACCAGGAATTGAAAAACTTGCAGAAAATTGGCATCTACTCAGGATTTATCAACTTCTCCTGGTCCTGTATTCCCTTTTTCTTATCATGTTTCACCTTTGCATTGTTTGTCTTAAACAAAAAAAACCCTCCTTTAACCCCCGATATCATCTTTCCCTCCTTGACTCTTTTCAACATGCTATCCTCTCCATTGTTTCAACTCCCCGGCCTAATCACTGCCATCATCGAAGCTTCAATCGCAATAAACAGAATCACAAACTTCTTACTAGCAGACGAACTAGATTTGCTCTTTCTCCAAAATTTATCCAAATTTAACACTCAATCCATTACTCAATCCATTACTCAACCAATTCCTCATTCTGTCAATATCAACAACCTCTCCTTTACAAGAAATAACCTAAATTTACCCGAAAATACCCTTCTTTCATCAAACAACTTAATTCTAGATCAAGAATCAAAATTATACAACTACCCAGACTTTGCCATCAAAAACATCAGCTTTGTCGCCAAAAAGGGCGATTTTTCCTGCATTATTGGAAAAGTAGGCTCTGGAAAATCAACCTTTCTAAGATCAATTCTAGGCGAACTTTATCCCTTCCCGAACAATAATGGCATCCCCAACTTTAAAATCAATGGCTCTATCTCATATTGCTCCCAGGTTCCCTGGATTATAAACGACTCTGTCAAACAAAATATTCTATTTGGTCACAAATATGAACACGACTATTATAAACTAACCATAGACGCTTGTGAACTAATCCAAGACTTTAAAGTCTTGCCTGATGGCGATGAAACTCAAGTGGGTGAAAAGGGCATCTCCTTATCTGGTGGCCAAAAAGCTAGAATTGCCTTAGCAAGAGCTGTCTATGCAAGAACTGATATCTACATACTCGATGATATTTTAAGTGCTGTCGATGTCCACGTAGGCCAAAATATTACCAATAAGCTCTTTGGAAAAGATGGCTTGTTATCCGATAAAACAAAAATTTTGGCCACCAATAACGTTTCAATCCTATCTCAATCTACCTCAATTACTTTATTACATCAAGGATCAATGGTCGAACAAACTACCTACTATGATACTCTAAATAACAAAAACACAATGCTTTATGATTTTTTAATCAACAATGATGAAAATTTCTTGAAATTATCTCAATCAAATGGTGATGTTAGCGATTTAGAAAGCACAGAAACTTGTAATGATTCAAATCCATCATCCTACTCATCCTCAATTATCGATTTATCACCATACGACTCAACTACTAATTTAAATAAACAAATTCACATATCAAAATCTTCGTCAAATGATTTCATCCCAAACGTTCAAATGATTTCATGCGATGATCTTTCTACAATGAATAGTAAACTAAACTCCCTGACTGAAACTTTTAGAAGAGCAAGCGTTGTTTCTTTTAATACAGAATTTACTCCTCTATTGAAAATCCAAAATAAAAAATTAAAGACAATTCAAACCTTGGAAAAAAAAAGAAAGGGAAAAGTTGATAAGAAGGTTTATTTCACATATGCTCGCGCTTGCTCCTTTTTGGGAATATTTTCTTTTTTAATTATGATGATCTTTACCAGTGGCACAGAATTGTGCGCAAATTATTGGCTAAAAGCTTGGTCTCAATCAAATCGAGAATTGAATAATAATTCCAATGTTTGGCAGTTTATTATGATTTACTCTTGTTTTGGGATTGGTTCAGGGTTTTTCACTCTAATCAAATGCTTCATTCTTTGGGTCTATTGCTCAACGAGAGCATCAATGTATTTACACAATTCAATGGCAACATCAATTCTCATGTCTCCAATGCAATTTTTCGAAACAACACCAGCAGGAAGAATTTTAAATCATTTTTCAAGTGATATGAATAAAATCGATGAAAGACTACCAAGGATTTTTAATGAGTTTTTTTCATCGATTATTAGTACTATTTTCACATTATGTGTTATCAGTTATTCATTGCCTATATTCTCTATTATAATAGTTTTTTTATCAATCATTTATTTTTATTACCAAAAATTTTACATCACATCATCAAGAGAGTTGAAAAGAATTGTTAGCACTGCTAGAAGTCCAATTTTTAGTCATTTACAAGAATCATTGAACGGAGTTGAAACCATCAGAAGTTACAAGCAACAAGAAAGGTTTGAGTTTATTAACATCACAAATATTGAATTTTACTCTAAAGCTCAATATGTTTTTCGATCGATTTATCGTTGGCTATTATTCAGACTTCAATTTATTGGAGCTACAGTTATCTTCTCAACCACAATTCTTTCATTATTAACACTAGATAGTTCAAAACCATTAAGTGCAGGGTTATTTGGGTTGATAATGAGTTATGCTTTGCAAATTACCAATTCCCTAAACTTGATTGTCAAGACCACAGTGGAAATTGAAACAAATATTGTTTGTGTTGAAAGAGTTTTAGATTATAGTAACTTGCCATCAGAGAAAGCATATCATATTCCGGAAACTGCACCGGCACGCAATTGGCCCATAAATGGGAAAATTGAAATTAATAATTTATCAGCCAGATACAGAGATAATCTTGGTTTGGTTCTTGATGATATTAGTCTTTCTATAAAGAGCAGACAAAAAATTGGAATTGTTGGTCGAACTGGAGCTGGAAAAAGTACATTGGCATTAGCATTGTTTCGATTAATTGAAGCATGCGATGGGAATATTCATGTTGATGGAATAAATATTAGCAGTCTTGGATTATATGAGTTACGAAGCCGTTTGAATATTATTCCTCAAGATAGCCAAACACTAGAAGGAACAGTTCGATCAAATCTTGATCCATTAGATAAATACTGCGACGAAGAGTTGTGGAAGGCATTGAGACTATCACATTTATATGAACATATTGTGAAGATGTCAAAAGAGAATGGGATTGAAGATGGTTTACAAGTCAAAATTTTAGAATCTGGAATTAATTTGTCAGCAGGCCAGAGACAACTAATGAGTCTTGCACGAGCATTATTAAACCAATCGAGTGTTTTAGTTCTAGATGAAGCCACGGCAGCTGTTGATCAAGAAACTGATAAAATTATTCAAGAAACCATTCGGAAGGAATTCAATAATAAAACTATTTTAACAATTGCTCATAGACTTGAAACAGTGATGGATAGCGATAAAATACTTGTCTTAGAACAAGGGAAAGTCAAAGAGTTTGATTCACCAAAAAATTTACTAAATGACAAAACGAGCGAATTTTTCAAGTTATGTCAAGAAAGTGGCTCCAAAATGCTTTCATGAAAAAATACTAATAAAAAAAATAAAATTTTTTATCTTTCAAGTTTATATTAAACAAAATCGTCATTAATCACCTTTAAAAATATTTTATTTTTTTAACCTATATTATAACTACAATATTTATGAAGCATATGTTTATATTATATTATATTAACTTATATTTTAGTTTATTCACTTATATTTTAAATTTTATGTTTTATTTAACAGTTACTAATTTGTTTTTGTTTTTGTTTTTGTTTTTGTTTTTGTTTTTGTTTTTGTTTTTGTTTTTGTTTTTATTATATTTTAGTTCTGCTATATCAAAAAAACTGTTGAATTGTACCAAATTTGGAGTTTTATTTTTGTGAACTATACATTTTGTGATCAAAATTATATTTACAAAATTATATTATTAAAATTATACTATTGAAATTATATTATTAAAATTATATTATTAAAATTATACTATTTATATCTATACTATTTATGTTTATACTATTTCTAATTGTTTCGACTTCTACACATTTTTTTTATCACCACAGTAAATACACAATGCTAAACAATACACACCACACCGAGCCGGATCAGCAGTTTGTAAGATGACAAACCTGGACAAAGAAACTTGAAATGGTTTCAATTTTAAATAGATTTTATGAAGTCACAAGAATCTGATTAAAAAGAAAATCATTGATAATAAAAGGGTGTCCTGATATTACAAAAAGGGTTCCAAAAATTAAAAGCAAGCCATTTGGCATGAAGACAGTCCCCGGATGGCTCTGGTAAAAGGCAAGAGCCATGTACGACTAAGAGACTGATCTTCTGGCTGCTGAGAAGAAAAGGAACAGGAGGAGGAAACACAAAAGAGCCAGCGCAGACTTTTATACTCGAGCAAAAGTGGGTCACCCGGACGGGGAGAGGGCTCTAAGGCAAACAGGGCTCTGCATAGGGCTATAGCAAGGCAGGGCTCGAAGGGCTCCGGACCAGAACGTTCGAGAACGTTCTCGAAGGCTGGAGACTGTTCCATCGTGCTGGTTCCAGCTTCGGTGCTTTGTTGATTCGGCAAATATAAATACCTCTTCCTTTGCTTCACACTTTCTTGATCTGCTTCAGCTATACTTGCTACATTACTGTTTCATATCAATTGCTATTCAAGATTTCTCATTATCAATCAACTACTGATTTGATACAACCCCTACAATTGCTTACACTTATTCAACCTACTTATATTCACATCCTATAATCTCGTTTTTTAATATTCTTATATTTTCATATTCTCATTTTTTTGCACATTCTTAGATATCTTTCAAAATTAAGATGGAAAGTTCCAATTTTACAGACAGAGTTTTAACAATAATTGAAAATGCTCAAACTATTGCTCAAGATCAATCTCATACCCAACTCTTGCCTTTGCATGTTCTAGCTGCAATGACTGAGCCCGAAAAGGATGGTTCACCATCCTATTTGAAAACTATAATCGAAAAATCAAGATTTGATTGGCAAGTCTTTTTAAGAACTGTTAACAAAAATTTGGTTCGTTTACCTTCTCAATCTCCTCCTCCTGATAAAATAACTCCCTCTTACTCCACTGCCCAAGTATTGCAAAAAGCCGAAAAATATAAAAAATCTCAAAAGGACTCTTATATCGGTCAAGATCATATACTTTTAGCTTTACTAGATGATTCACAAATCGCTCAAATATTTAAAGAGTCAAACATATCAAATTTGGAAACAATTAGAAACGCACTACTAGATTTAAGAGGCAATAAAAAAATTGATTCAAAAGTCGCTGATACAACTCAACAATACGAATTTCTCTCTAAATACGCTATAAATTTAACTGAACAAGCAAGACAAGGGAAACTAGACCCTGTTATTGGTAGAGAAGAAGAAATCAGAAGAACAATTAGAGTCCTTTCAAGAAGAACTAAGAGTAATCCTTGCTTAATAGGTGACCCCGGTGTTGGTAAGACCTCAATTGTTGAAGGTGTTGCCTTAAGAATTATTGACTCAGATGTCCCCACCGTTTTGCAAAATTGTAAATTATATTCGTTAGATGTAACTGCTTTAAGAGCTGGTGCTAAATTTCAAGGTGAATTTGAAGAAAGAGTTAAAGGTGTTCTTAAAGACATCGAAGATTCAAAGGAAATGATCATCTTATTCATTGATGAAATTCACATGATTATGGGTGATAACAACTCAGCCGCTAACTTGTTAAAACCAATGTTAGCTAGAGGCTCTTTGCACTGTATTGGTGCAACAACAATCACAGAGTATAGAAAATATGTTGAAAAAGATGGTGCCTTTGAAAGAAGATTTCAAAAGATCGATGTTAAAGAACCAAATGTTAGAGAAGCGACTGCCATCTTAAGAGGTTTGGCCCCAAAATATGAAATCCACCATGGTGTTAGAATCTTGGATTCTGCTTTAGTAACTGCCGCTGTTCTTGCTAAAAGATACCTAACTTATAGAAAATTGCCTGATTCTGCTGTTGATTTAATCGATGAAAGTGCTGCAACTGTCGCTGTAGCAAGAGATTCGAAACCCGAAGAATTAGATATGAAAGAAAGACAACTACAACTAATTCAAGTTGAAATCAAAGCACTTCAAAGAGATATCGGAACAGATGCTTCTACCAAAGAAAGATTGGAACAAGCAAAACAAAAAGAAGCCTCTCTAGAAGATGAATTAAGACCGCTTCGAGAAAGATTTAACCAAGAAAAAGCAGGCCACGAGCAATTAACTTCTGCTAAAAGAAAATTGGATGAACTAGAAATTAAAGCATCAGATGCTGAAAGAAGACATGATACCACTACCGCTGCCGATTTAAGATATTTTGCAATTCCTGATGTTAAAAATCTTATTGCAAAATTGGAAGAAAAAGTCGCAGAAGAAGAAAAGGATTTGGGTGCAACAGCAATGATTCAAAACGTTGTTGGCTCAGAGCAAGTTGCTGAAACCGCAGCAAGATTGACTGGTATCCCAGTTTCGAAATTGACTCAAACTGAAAATCTAAAATTAATTAATATGGAAAAGGAATTATCTGCACATGTTGTTGGTCAAAGTCAAGCTGTTAAAGCTGTTGCTAATGGTATTAGACTTACAAGATCTGGTTTAGCTAATCCAAATCAACCTGCGTCATTTTTGTTTCTTGGATTATCTGGTTCAGGTAAAACTGAACTTGCTAAAAAATTGGCGGGATTTTTATTCAACGATGAAAAAGCAATGATAAGAATTGATTGTTCAGAACTATCTGATAAGTGGTCATCATCAAAATTATTAGGTAGTGCACCAGGTTATGTTGGATATGAAGAAGGTGGTATTTTATCAAATGGATTGGCAAGACAACCTTATTCGGTCGTTTTATTTGATGAAATTGAAAAGGCTGCTCCAGAAGTGTTGACTATTTTTTTGCAATTATTAGATGATGGTAGAATCACTTCAAGTGCAGGAAAAACAATTGACTGCTCAAATTGTATTGTTATTATGACATCCAATTTGGGTGCAGAATATATTCTCTCATCAAGAGGTTCAAAAGTTACACTCGAAGTAAAAGAACTAGTGTTAAATGTTGTTAAAACCCATTTTAGACCAGAGTTTCTTAATAGAATTTCTGAGACAATTGTTTTTAACAAATTGTCAAGAAAGGCAATCGAAAAAATCATTAAAATCAGACTTGAAGAAATTACTGAGAGGTTTGTCGAGAATAACAAAAACATCAAATTGGACGTTAGTGAAGATGCTATTGAATGGTTATGCCGACATGGTTATTCCGAAGATTTGGGTGCTAGACCATTGAACAGATTGATCCAAACTGAGATATTAAACAGACTAGCTATCTTGATATTGAAGAACCAGATACTCAATAAAGAGGTGGCAGTGGTGGAACTAAATCCCAACGGTAGAGGATTGATTGTCTTACCAAACCATGAGGTTCAAAATGAAGAAATGGATGTTGATGTCGATGAATGGAACGATGAAAACGATGAAGATTGGTCTGATGATGGCATCAATCTTGACTAGATGCTAAATGTTTCCGGTTAATAAGATTATAAAATGTTTTTTGTGTTTTGTTTTTTACTTGTTTTTATGTATTTTTGATTATATAGTTTTTTTTAGTTATTCTCTGGTATATATTGGCGTAATTTAACACGACCTTGGTAGATTAAAAGAAGATTATGTAGTATTACATATAGATTTGTCGAGTAGAAATGGGTTGGAGCCTTTTTGCTCGGCTGTAGAAAGCCCTTGAAAGAGATTTAACCATGGTTGAAGAGCCCAAAAGCACTCTAAAGCTGACTCTTGTGGCTGACAAAAACTCTGGGTCTCAGTTCAAGTGCACTAATCGATTGTTTTTTGCTCCAAGTGGAAGAGAGCAGTGCTGTGAGGAAGAAGACCGAAACTGTATTGCAGAATGGGAGATATCTGGAGACTGGTGTTTCAGTGCTATTGGAGATTGAATTACAAGACTGTGGACCTCTTCTTTATGGCTAATATACATTATCCAATTGGAATAAACGGCTAGTGCTGGTGAGTTATCAGGGAAGATGGTTCAGAAATGTCCTAAATAACGCTTTTATCTAATGGCAACGAATAGAAGTCATGGAAATTAGGCTGTTTGAATCCATATCCAGTGGTTCTTTGATTACAATAAAGTAAAGAAAGTCAGCAATGTATAAAAGCATGGGTTTTTACAAAAGAAAGGAAAGAAAAAAAAAAGACAACAAATAAGACAAATCCTTTCTTGGTTCAATTTATTTTGGTTTATCAAAAGAATGGCACAAGTACCCAAGTTTCAAAAAGCATATGTTTTGGATCATAAAACATTGAAATTAAATCTAATCGAAGATTTACCAATACCTGAGTTACAGCATGGGCAGGCGCTTTTAAAGATCAAAGCAGCTGGATTATGTCACTCAGATTTGAACATCATAGGAGGATTACCACCATTTCAAGAGGATTTTATCTTGGGACATGAGATTTGTGGGGAGCTAGTCCAATTTAGAATTGACAAAGATAAAGAGATTAAAGAAAATGATAACAAATTTAAACAATATGAGGAGGTTTTAAATAGCATTGGAAAATTATATACTGTTTATAATGTTTCGCCATGTCGAGACTGTTCAGTTTGCAAACAAGGCAACGAGGTTTCGTGTCCAGTCAATCACTTGAAGCATTATGGAATCGGAAGAGATGGTGGATATTGTGAGTATGCTATAGTCGAGATCAAAGATTTAGTGTTAGTTCCAAAAGAATTGCAAGATAAACCAGAGATCTGTGCAATCGCTACAGATGCAATTCTAACACCATACCATGGAATTAAAAAGTTGAAGAAAATCGATGAAAACCACAAAATCTTACTCATTGGTGTTGGTGGATTGGGATTGAATGCATTGCAAATCATCAAATCCTTCAATGGATACGCCATTTGCTGTGATGTAAAAGAAAGCCAAAGAACTCGTGCAAAGGAATTTGGAGCAGATGAAGTTTATGAAAAATTGGACGAAACCAATTCGTACCAGGTTGATTCAGTTATCGATTTTGTGGGAAACGATGAAACAGTCAAGCTCGCATTATCTCATTTGAAGCCCAGTGGAAAATTGTTGTTAGTTGGAATTTCAAGCAAGGGATTGAAATTGGAACCAAGAACCATCACAAGAATGGTCTGGAAAGAGTTGGACATTCAAACGACATGTATAGGCACTCAGCAAGATCAATTTGAGGTGTTGCAGCTAGTGGGTCAGGGAAAGGTTGTTCCTAAATTTGAGGTTTTCTCGTTATTTGAGGATTTGCACAGCTGTTTGGAAGACATGAAAACAGGAAAGCTCTTCGATAGAGCTGTTCTTGTGCCATAACCACCACTAACCACCACTAACCACCACCAATAGACCACATAGACCCAGTAAAACGCGATATATAGCAATGCAAACCCATCTCGTCCTCAGAAGAAGAAGCAGCCTCCAGAAGATTCCAAACAGCTCCTAAACCACTGCTCATAAACAAAACTTTCTCCAAGTGGTTTATCCATAATTTTGTTCCAGTCTCGCCGAAGAGCCGTAAAACCTTCCATTTCTTCTCCGGCACAAGCTACAATCAAATGGATATTGGCCCAACTGCATTGTATTTCTATCATAAAACAAAAACCATGATGCAAAACAACAAGAAACATAATGCTAGAAAACAACAAAACAGCAGAAACACAAAATCTGGCCAGCTAATTGCTTTCAAAAGCAACTATGGTTCGGAAACCCTGTTCGGAATGGGCTTCGGAACGGAACACAAAGGAGTATAAATACACTTGGATTTTCCTTCTGGGGTTTTGAAACTCCTCTTCATCAGCTCTATCACATTCGATTAACATATTTAACTGCCTACTTCTGCTGTGACCTACTACTCTGTTTATATTTGCAATATAATGAGCCATCTCACACCAAAAATCGTACTTGTCAGCAAGGATGGGAAAATATTCACTGTTGAGAAAGAGGTTGTCATGAAGTCTGTTGTCCTTGCAAATATTATCTCTGAATCTCTTAATATCAATGAAGATGATCAAGATGATGATGACCAAATACCTCAAGATATCGAAATCCCTGTGAGCAATGTTGACTCTGTTACTTTGAAGCTCGTTTTACAATGGTTGGAACATCATGTAAACACCGATTTTGATGGCAAAGATAAAGAAATCGGTATCGATGAAAGTGATGAGGAAAGTGATGATGATTATGAGTCCAAAAACGATATTAGAAAAAGAGATACTACTGTGCCTGCCTGGGACAAGAACTTCTTGCAAGTGGATGATTCCACTTTATATGAAATCATGCTAGCTGCAAACTATCTTAATATCAAACCCTTATTGGATATTTGTTGCAAATTAGTTGCTGAAAAAATCAAACAAATGAGTTACTCAGAGATCAGAACTCAGTTCAACATCACAAAACAATTCAACAAAGAAGAAGCTGAAGCCATTAAAAGAGAAAACGAATGGGCTGTTGATGTTATTTAAACTAAAAAAATCTCAACATTAATTCCAATAATTGATTTTTCTATTTTATATCCTGTTGTGTTGGGTAATTAACTTTTCTATCTTTATTTTTGTATTACTCTCAATCTTTTGTTTAATCTTTTTATCTTACTTTTTTATTGTTAATGCTGTTATTGCTATCGTGGTTTATTGAAATTTAAATTTTATCATAGTTTTTCTTATATATATACTTTCTTTAAAAAATTTGATGTGTCTTTTAAGCAACGTTACTCTGTAGTACTAGAATTAGATTAGATTCAAATTGAAATGCGCATAATTTTACTAAATCATTAATACAATAAAAAATAATAAACGTAAAAAAAAAAAATAAATATACAGATAGATTTTAATTAACTTCACCCATTGAAATATCTTCATCTTCATCATGGTTTGCAACTTTCTCAATTCTTTCTTCCTTTTCATCTTTTTCATTTTCCACTTCACCACTATTCACTATGGCATTATCATTGGCATTATCATTACCACCATCATTACCATCATCACTACCCTTATCTTCATTTTCATTTTCCTGGCCATGTTCTTCATTTCCATCACTTTTCTCATTCAATTGTAATTTTTCCATTATACTATCATCTTTATTTTCATCTTCACTTTCATTAGAATTATTAGTTTCATCAAGATTTTTATTATCCTCTTCATTATAATCATTTCTTTCTTCTTCTTCTTCTTCTTTTTCTTTTTCTTCTTCTTCTTCCTCTCTTTTTCTTTCCTCAACATCCTTGTCCTTCTCTTCCTCTTCATCATCCTCATCATCATCAATCTTCCCTCTTCTTCTTTCTTTTCTAGCTGATGGTTCTTTATCTTCTATGTTATACTCAATCTCCTCATCACTATCTTCAACAAATTCAGTCGATTTTTCATTTTCAATTCTCTTCTGTGTTAATCTTCTCTTCAAATGTCTACCTGATTCTTCATCGCCTTCAGCACTCTCTTTTCTCTTGCCGCTTCTTCTACCTTTGCCTTTTTCACCTTTGTGTCTCTTTTCTTTTTCTTTTTCCCTTTGTTTTTCGTTTATATTTTCCTCATCGTCTCCAAATAAAGATCCATTATCTTCTGATTCATTTTCAACAAAATCATCATCTCTTTTCTTTTTCTTTTTCTCTTTTTGTTCTTCCTCGTCAATTCTCGCTTGAATCATTTGCTCTTTCCATTTTCTTGCTTCATTATCTAATTCTAATCTCTTTAAATAAAGCTCTCTTTCATTTTGTAATTCTTTAGCTCTATATTCTTCATTTTCTTTTTCAATTCTAGCCCTTTCAATTGCTCTATAATTTTTGGCTTCCTCAAATTTCTCTTTAAATTCCTTTTCATATGATAACTGTTTATTTAATTCATTCTGCACCTGGACTTTTATAGTATTTTTACCCATTGTGGCTCTTTGGTTCAAATTATCTGGGGAAAATGGCGGATTAGGCTCTCTAGCCAATTGACTTAAAGTTGATATTCCTTCTTCCAAATCACTCAATGCAGATTGAAGTTCATCTGCTGTTCTTCTACTTGGTGCTAATTTTCTTATAAAATCTGCAATTTGAAATTGAATAAATGCAATATTAAACTTTAATGATGGTATCATCATTTTATTATTGTATTTTTTTGCAATTTTTAATGCTTTTTTTGAATATTCCAATGCAGCCATCAAACTTGGTAATGATTTGTCACCCATTCCTCTTGCATACCATGCTCTACCTAATAATATAAAGTACTTGGAATCAGTAATAACATCATGCCCACCGTTAAACCTAGTGATTGCAATTTCATAGCATTCAATTGCTTTAGAATATTGTTTGATATCAATTAAAACATGCCCTAAATTGATAAAAATTGAAACATCATTTAAAGAATCTCTAATTTTTCTGAAGATTTTTAACGCATAATCAGAATCATTTAGCTCGGCAAAAATTATTGCAATACCTTGAGCCGCAAAAATATTATACGAGTCTAATGATAGAACTTTTTGGAATAATTCTGCACTCTTAATATAATAGCCATTTTTTTTACTTTCATCACTTGAATTTCTGACTTTATACTCTCTTGCTAATAGTAAATAAACATTGGCTAAAGAAATTAATGAATAGCAGTCATGAGAATCATGATCGTTTAAAGTTTGAATATAATGATTACTTTCAGGATTTTCATTTTTATTTGGTGCATTTTGAAATATGGATAATTTTTTATTAAAGGTTCTTAAAAACCAACCGTAAAATGCTCTAACTTCAAGATTTGATTTATTTTCATTTAGTAGAGTAGTAATATTTTTTTCTAGTGTTCTAATGTTACTCAAGCTAGCAACATAATTTTCGTCCTTTGATAGTAAATAAATTCTTCTAATATTTGCATAAATATAATTTGGAACATCAATTAAAATATCATTGTAATCATTTGAAATTTTATTAATGTCATTTGAAAGTTTGTGAGAATCATCTTGAAAAAAATTAATGTCATTATCATTGACTCTTGTAATGTTATATCTAATTGTAATATCTCTCTCCTTTGATAAATTTGTAGGTTCAGATAGTTGATTATTTTTCAAAGCAATTTCAAAAAAACTTTTTGAAGATTCAAAATTTCCATTCAAATAATACAAGACTCCGATATTATTTAAAATTTCAGGAGGAATTTTATCATTGTCATCGTCATTTAGAAATTTGATTAATTCAATAGCATTTTGTAAATATTTGAGAGATTTCTTTTTATCAATTGATTCATAATTTTTTGATAAAGTCAAATAGGAATTCAATTCTGGCAATTCTTTTGCATCTTTTGTTAGTTTGATATACTTTTCTAAAAAGGAAATTGATTTATCTAGACAGGATTTTATATTTTTTTTGATTGAATTTGAAGTCAAAGAGGAAGAATTTAAGGAAGATGAGTTTGAAGACTGATTTGTATTATTTGACGCATAGTCAGCCTTTTCAGAGTACAAGAGACCTAATAGATAGTTTATTTCCAAAGAGTTTTGGTTTGATTTGATTAGAGGTTCAAAGGTTAAAATTGATTCTTCGATATTGTTATTGATTAATTGAATTTGACCAATACCGAATTTGGACAAAATATTATCGTTATTTAAATTTGCAGAATTTTGAAAATATTTTAAAGAATTTTGATAATTTGTTTTTGCAAAATAAATTCTAGCTAACCAAAAGTTTATTTGGGATTTTATTTGGGATGAAATTAGATTATTTTCTGTTTTGTTAAAGTTTAGAATAAGATTTTCAGCTAAGTCGTAGTTCTTAGTTGAAAATAAATAAGATACAAATATGATTAATAAAATTGGGTTATTTTTGTTTTGGGTGAAATAGTATGCAACTAGATTGATTAGGGAAGTGTAATCATTTACGAAATTTTGATCTTGTAAAGAGTTTTTAAAGATTGATTCGAATTTTAAGATCATTAACAAGATGTTTGAAGTCAAGTTATTTGGATATAGTTGCAAAGATCTTTCCCAAGATTTTTGAGCCAATTCTTTATCATTAAGAAACCATGAGCATAAACCTATACCTATTCTAGGATCAGGATTGAAGATTGGGTTATGAATTAGGATGTTTTGATAAATTTTGATTGCAGAATAATAATTTTTTTTGATAAAAAAAATGTTTGCTTTGTTAAATAAAGCAAAACAATTGAAGGGGTCTTCTTTTAGAATTTTTTCAGTAGTTGTTAAAGACAATTCGTACTCTTCTTTTTCGAAATCGATTATTGATCTTGCTAGTTGGTTTGGGACAAAAAACGGGTTTTGATCAGATAAAATTTTAGTTGCAATTCTTAAGGTTTCGAGTTTGTAATCGATGTTAGTTTGTAATCTTGATTTCTTAATGTATAGCCAAATCAAGAAGGATTTAAAAGTTTGTACGGTATCCAAATTGGATGTGTCATCATTGGTATTGTTTGGGTTGGAGTAATTTTGGTAAGATTGGAAATATTGGATAGCATTATCGGTGATAAAGATAGCATCGTCGATTTGATTTTTATTTGAAAAGGCATTTGCGATTAACAACCAAGCTTGCTTTGAAGCTTGTTCACTTTGTAGTAAGGATAGTAAAGTTTCTCTATCTTCTAAGGATTCGTTGAGGTTTATTGTCACCTCCTCATCTTCGCCCTGGATTGGAATTGATAATTGCTGTTGATGGGTCAATTTAATGTTAAAATAACTTTCAATCTGGAAGATGTAGTCCATGTAGTAGGAAAGATCATCTTTCAAAGATTGAGAAGAGGTGGAGGAAGTAATGGCGGCAGAACCGGCAGAGACAACAGAAGCAGCAGGAGCAGCAGAAGCAGCAAACGCAGAAGAAGAGGGAAGCGAAGGTGGCAATGGAGGCGAGCGAAGAGACATGAGCATGAAGTGAGTTGAAGAACGAGAGACGTAAAGATCTTGAGAAGATGGAAAAGGCCATAAAGAAGAAAAAGCTGAAATGAAAAGTTTGACACGTGATACATGCACATGACCTAAAGGAGCAATCCCGGAGAATTGCTTTAGAATTTTCATTACGTCGTTGAAAATAAGCTTAAATAAGGCAGATGTAGATGGGGCAAGCTTAAAATAAAGGAAGAATTTATTGATAAAACACCAAGTAACTTGAAAAAAAACCATTACCACAACAAGACAACAAAAAGACTAGATCGTATATAGAAAAGATAGAGATAGAAACAAAAAAACAAACTGGAACCAAAAGGGAGTAGACACTGTGAAAAACTACAAAAAGAGAAAAAAAGTATAAGATAGTGAGGAATTAAAAGAGTAGGGATTATTAGGAACAAAAGAACATTGACATGTTGATTAGTTTAGCATAGGCTTGATTCAAATTGAGGTTTAGTCAAAGTCAATTAGCATTTCATGGATTTCATTAGAATGATTGAATTGGGTATTCTGTAGATTGTGTCCAAAAAATAAATAAATCAATCCAATCAATTTAATTAGTTGTCCTGCTTTGAACCAACTAGACTTGAGACATTGTTGGAACACCAACTTTTGGAGCATTATTGCTGTTATATTTGTGGCCAAATGGACCACCAGACATGAATTTTCTCGCAATGAAAAACAATAAACCTAAAGAACCGAAAAAACAGAAATAGAGGAATGTAACCAAAGCTTGAGATTTTCTGCATCTTGACTCACTTCCCTCGCAAATTGCGTTTGAATTAAGATAAGATTGATTTGAACATGAATGGGTTCTGATACCAACAGCCAAAGCGGTTGCAGCACTGAAGGTGAAAATTGCATTCAATAGTTCGAATGTCAACAAAATAACAGGCCAGGCCAATGAGGTCATAAATTCAGCTAAAAACCCGTAGACACTGGAGAACAAAAGACCCCATAAAGAGGCCCACAAACAGATATTAACTCTGGCATGAGATGAGTCCTGCGTAGCAATTAAGGAGCATGCCAAACCAAGAGAAATAATGTACCAAACAGTGTTCCAAGTACGAATTCCAAGTTCGAGAAAACCCATATTCAGAAGGTGATTGTGAAAAAATATAAATCAGATATAATAAGACAGAGTACAAATTGATGTGAAAGACGTTGATGAATATAGTGAGTAAACAAATCGCAGGTATTCTAAGTGACAAAATTAACAGATCGATGAAGAATAGCAATAGCAGACGTGGAAGAGGATGGAACACAATTGTATTTATATGAATCAAACAGGGCTTTTATATTTGCTTTGGGATCACAGCACTAGTCGGGAAATTACAAAACAAGTCAAATCCGATCATTCCTCGCTCCGTCGCAGTTGCTGAGCTGAGCTCTTGTCCGCCCTCGATTGCTCTCCGCCCGCAGCGCCGCGCTGACACTCACGTGCTTCCAGCAAGTGCGTCGCCCACGCACACGCGCCAGGTCACGGGATTTGGTCACGTGTACTATTTGCCGATTCCTCGACGGCAATCTTAGTCCACTGAGTCTTCACCAGCACCAGCTCCACCAGCTCCACCAATTCCACCATCCACCAACAATGTCCAAAGTCGTTGATTTCCTAGCCAGAGTTGCCATTCCCGCTGGTATTGCCTTGTCCAGTCTTCAGTATGCCATGTACGACGTCAAAGGGGGCTCCAGAGCTGTTATATTTGACAGGCTCTCTGGTGTTCAGCAAAACGTTGTTGGCGAAGGTACTCATTTTCTAGTTCCCTGGTTGCAAAAGGCTGTTATATTCGATGTTAGAACAAAACCAAAAAACATCACTACCACAACTGGCTCCAAGGATTTGCAAATGGTTTCCCTAACTTTAAGAGTCTTGCACAGGCCCGATGTTATAAAGTTGCCCAAAATTTATCAAACTCTAGGTCTAGACTATGACGAAAGAGTTTTGCCCTCAATTGGAAACGAAGTGCTTAAGTCAATTGTTGCTCAATTTGATGCTGCCGAATTAATCACTCAAAGGGAAATTGTATCCCAAAGAATCAGACAAGAATTGGCCAACAGATCAACTGAATTCAACATAAAATTAGAAGACGTTTCTATAACCCATATGAGCTTTGGTAAAGAATTCACTAAAGCCGTTGAACAAAAACAAATTGCTCAACAAGATGCTGAAAGAGCTAAATTCATTGTGGAAAAAGCCGAACAAGAAAGACAAGCCGCCGTTATTAGAGCAGAAGGTGAGGCAGAAGCTGCTGAAACTATTTCAAAGGCTCTCGACAAAGCCGGTGATGGTTTATTGTTGATCAGAAGAATCGACGCTTCAAAAGACATTGCAACTACTTTAGCTGCCTCTCCAAATGTCACCTATTTACCAAGTAACTCGTCTTCAAATTCAAGTTCCCACTCAACTGGCACTCCAAGTTCTTTATTATTGAATTTAGGTCGCTAACCAATATTATAAATATCTCACTTTTCATATTTATATTTATATTTATATCTTTATTATATTTATCATATTTATGTATATAGCACTAAAGTTAATTCTATTTTAATTTTAATTTCAACAAATTCATAATAAATACAACCGACCATTATACTTTTTCACCCATGCTGATTCATTTTTATTTTGTATTTTTTTTGCTTTATTATATTATATTATACTATATTATAACTTTTATATTACATTATAAATCAGGCAACATCAACCATATCATCATCCATATCATCGTCATCATCGTCATCGTCATCGTTATTTTCATCTGACTTATTATCGTTCAAATCTTCCCCATTTTTCTTTCTTTTTTCTTCATCCACCAATTGCTTGTATTCTTGTTTTAAACAATACTTAGATGAATAAGGCCCTTTTTTAATAAATATAGCAATTTTTTCTAAACTTTCCTTTAAATAACTCTCAGGTTGATTCGTTTTATCTTTCAATCCCTTTAATGTCCAATAATCAAGCTCACTGAATAATCTTATTAATAAATCCAATAAATCTTGCTGTGGCATTCTAATTGCCCTGCCTTCTGATTTCTTAAGATTCTCCTTCAAAATATCTTTATCAAATAAGGACAGCTCTTTATCTCCCTTAAGACTTGGCCCTGTTGATCCTGTCTTAGCTTCCATCTCGCCAATTTCCTGGACCCTTGGTCTATCTGGTCTTTTGGATGCAATTTCTTTTCTTCGCTTAATAACATTAACATAATTTCTATCATTCATCGAAGGCATCACTTTGCAATCATGACATATTTTGCCAACTAGTGCTGTTCTTTTGGGAATAGTTTTCACAAAAGGTGAATACCTTCTTTGATCATTGTTATTGTTGTTGTTGTTATTATTATTATTGTTATTATTGTAGTTATTTCCAAACCTATTTCTATAAAAGGATTTTTTATCAATTTTTTTATTATTGATTATATTATTAGAATTGTTGTTAGAGTTAGTTGAATCATCTTTTGAATGCCTTTTCAAATCACTTTCAGTGAAAACATATTGGTTCTGAACATCTTTGTTAAGAACTTGTAAATCATATTCATGTGGCAAATCCTTTAATTCTTGATTATCTTGGTCAATTAGTAATTTGATATTGTTTAAAGGATCAGTTTGTTCAATTCTTAATTTACCAAATTGTTTGCCAGCAAATTTGTCTATATCGACTAATTGCTCAGATAAAAAAGTGGGTAATTTGACCAACCACACTCTATTCGATGCCCTTAAAAGATTTAAATCCAATGAATCACTTTCATTAATGTCTTCAAAATTATTGTTCATTAAAGAAACTGGATTTTCTCTTTTTACAAATTTACCATCATAATTAATATCGCTATTACTATTACTATTACTATTACTATTTTCATTTTTAACATTAATGTTGGGATTTATGTCGCTATTGATATTCCTGTTAGCAATGTCATTTGGAATTTGAGGCACTAATTCATCTTTAATATTTGGGTGTGAGCCTATATTCATAATTGGCTGACAAAACAAAAAGACTAAAGAAACGACGAGTAAGAAATAAGGTGTGAAATAATATAGGCAAAGAATTAAAAATCAAATCAAATCAAATCGCAAAAATGATTGATTGGGCTAGTTTCTTTATTTCTTTCAACACAAGTGAGTATCTCCTACTAGCTCTTGCTATCTTTATCGGTTTATGCCTTTCAGTTGAAATACGTTTTTCTGTTATCGTCTCTGAGAAAAGCAAGCACAGCACGTGCTGTGCCGTTTTGGGAGAGACACCCTACATACAAAGAGAAGATCAGAGAAGATCAAAACTAAGACAGAAATTGAATACATTGTTATATATTAGAATAATAGAATTGAATCAACAGAAGATGGTCAGCTGAAATGTAATGATCAACGTATTATTATACAATTTAAGCAATAGTAACAATTTTTAAATCTGGTGGTAAAGATTGTTGCAATTTGGAAGCCTTGTCATCATCGCTTAAAACTAAAGTGTAAAGATTTTTTGAAGCTCTGATTTTAAATTTGGTTTCTTTGTATTTTTTACCAACACCATTGACTTTGAGATTAGATTTGACAGTAGCTAATTTGACGTCTTTTCTTCTTGACAATTCAAGAAATTGTTTGATATCTTTGATTTCACGCTATTGTTAAAGAATATGTTAGTATTGTTGCTTTTACCTCTCATTTATGAGGGCCAATGATATCTTTTACTTCTATTGATAATCTGAAGCCAGTTGATCTAAAGCATTACGAGTCTTTTGTGCAATATCATTTAAAAGAATTGGTTATGAGAAGTCTTCTAGAATATGACTTTTTCTGTTTCTATAATATTGATAGGATTGGAATTAATTTCTTGAAATTAGAAATATTGAAATTAGAAATATTGTAATTGGAGATTTAATTTTTCGCTTGTATTACTTTTATTTTCAATTGCGTTAATAAACATCTCATACGATTAACCAAATAATTTGATTCTGCTACGGTTATTGATTTTTTGAGCATAAAAACTGAATAATTAAGCGTTTTGTGTTATGGAGTGAGAAATATCAATAAATGGATTATCTTTAAATATCATTTTCTCTGGCTTATACAAAATAGAATAGACAGAAATAAAGGATTTAACTCAGGTTTGAACATACAGCCATCTTAAAAATATTATTAGTTCTTGAAAGTAGAAACTGTTTATAGTATCGGCAGTCAACGACAATTACAAGCTTGGTCTTCAGTGATATAATCTTAGATGGTGGTTTGAAAAAATTACTCCAAAACTGCGGCTTGAAAAATATAATCAGATCACGTGAGTGTGTATATATCAAAAACGTGTTTATAAATAGGGCTTTTTATGAAGCCCTAGTGAATTGCCAGATTGGGAACAGCTCTGTGGGAAACCAAAGCGCTCAAACCGCGGTTCGATTCTCCCCAGGGTCGTTCTCCTCAGGGTCGTTCTTCTGTTGGGAATCGCTTTTCAGCAAAGGTGATGAGTCTTTTGATGGACGTTATCCACTTTCTTGTCTTCTCATCGCTCATTATATTGGCTATCTGCTTCTCCCCAGTGATCTTTCCCTGCGCACTTCTGGCATGGATTCCTACCTGAATAACCCCAATTGGCCACGCAACGTTCCCAATGCTCAATTTTAAATAGTAATCGTTTGATAGCTTGTAATTTCGCTGTTGCAAATAGTACAACACGCTGAACAACGATGGGATCAATTCGTTGTTATTCTTCAATGTTTTTTTGCGTAGCTGCACCAACAATGGCACCAAATTTCGTTTCGTCTCAACTACCATTTTCTTCTCTTCCTCTACCTTCTCAATTGTTAAATTGTCACTTTCATTGTTGGTTTTCCTAACAAGATCACTCAAATTCTCCTCGATCTTCATATCCCATTGCTTTACCAAAAAGATAATGTATCTTCTCATTTGAATGTAAATCTTATCAATGCAGTCTTCTCGACTTACGTCATTGATATTCAATTTGAAATTTATCGAGCTGTATATCGAACCCTCTTTTAGCAAATATCTTGTTATCCTCTCTTGCCTTTTATGTGTTTTCTCTGCTTTTAGTAGTCGAATCAAAACATCAAGATCATCTTCATCAGTCTTCTGCACCGGTTCGTTGTACTTTTTTAGCATTGAGTTAATCTCATCTTTTTGAAGACTTTTGTAGTCTAATTTTGTCAAACACACAGATCTGTCTTCTTTGCTGTTATCCTCTACCATTGTCATAACCAACTTACCTATCACCTATTTCCACTTCATATTACACTGCTTTCTCATCGATGCCTTTAAATAAAAAACTTAAAGTTTGCATCTTTTCCGCGAAACAAACTTTTTTTCTTTTCCTCTCACTCAAATGGTTCTTGAATCTCAACATTGTTGTTGAATAAACTGAATGCTGATTTACGTTTAATTTCTGATACTTTCCTATGCAATCAACTGGAGATAGCTCAAAACTTTTAAAAATTTTCAGTTTTTAAAATTATAGTGGCCATGAAGAATACTAATGTGGAAATGTGGAAATGCCAAAAACTCCACTAATAAACTTCAAAATAGTTGAACAGTAACTGACAATAGCTCGCAGTAGCTAACAATATTTAGCAATGAGCAGGAATGTTTGAGAATGATTATCTACGACATAGAGAAAGCACAATTCATATTTAATTCACATTCAATTCATATTTAATTCATCCCCTTTTTTAATCATATCATATGCTTTTGAATGATTGTTAAAATCAGCAAAGCCCAAACTTTAATCTCGGATCTTTCGTTGTTTCTTATTTTGTTTCCTTTCGGCTATAAACTGTTTATATATCTGAATATTAATTTACTTTACGGATGAATCTCAACCACAAAATGATAAAATAACTATCCGTTATCCTGAGTTTCTCTTTAATTTCACATAATTTGGAATTTCAACCAATCCTTTATCATATTTGCTGCTTTGGTCATTAAAATAAGACTCCACCTTAACTATTGAAAAGAAATCACCTTTTTCTTAAATTATTCTATGAATGGTCCATTATTTCCATTTTATTTTTTATTTTCTTTCTCAATTTATTCATGACGTTCACCATCAAGAGGTTAATCTAAGAACTTTCTCTTTCCTTAATCCGATCCGAATATAAACTTTGCTTTTCTCTATACTAGTATAACGAGCTTCTTCAATTCCCAATTTTTTTCTATTAAATTACATTTCCAATTAAAATGTTGATTCTCTGGAACCATTGGAGCCAATTGTTTCCTTAATTCCTTAAACTCTATCTTTTTAAATTATATAAATCAATCATACTATCCTTCTTTAAAATTTGAATTCTTCTTATCAATTTTACAGTTCTTGATAATTAAATATTTCTAAAATCTATTATTATTATTATTATTATTAATCTCTAATTCAGTACTGTTTTGGAAATAATTAATTATGAGTTTTAATAACTCTGTATTGAACGCTTCAAAGCTTGTCAGATCTGTTAATGAGTCTACTGAAAAATCTTCTGATATAAAGGATTCTGAGGAAAGCATTAACACTGAAAGCACTCCAACACAAATTTATCATGGTTTTGACAGCAATACTGAAAACCAAATTCAACAATTAGCTAGACAATTTACTCATCAATCATCTATTAGTAAAACTAATACAAATAATGATTCCACACATAACAACAAAAATGATTTAAATCTAATAAAAACCTTGAGCTCAATGTCTCATCAATATGATGCTCCAGGTATTTCTACTTTCAACGCTGATAACATTGATGAAAGATTAGATCCGAATTCTTCAAACTTTAACTCGAGATACTGGGTCCAAAATTTGAGAAGATTTACCGACAAAGAACCTGATTATTACAAACCAATGACTCTTGGTGTTGCCTGGAAAAATTTAAAAAGTTTTGGCATTGTTTCAGGTGCTGATTACCAAACAACTGTTGGTAATGGTATTTTTAAGTATATTGATAAAGCAATTCATTTACTTCCAGGAACTTCTCTGAAAACATATTTTGATATTTTGAAACCAATGGATGGTATTGTTTATCCTGGTGAAATCCTAGCTGTTTTAGGAAGACCTGGTGCTGGTTGCAGTACTTTTTTAAAATCAATTGCAGGCCATACTTACGGTTACCACATTGATAAAAACTCGATTATTTCTTATGATGGAATAAGTCAAGATGAAATTAGAAATCATTTTCGAGGTGAAGTTATTTACAATGCAGAGACTGAGAGCCATTTCCCTCACCTAACTGTTTGGGAAACCCTAAATACAGCTGCGAAATTGAAAACTCCTCAAAACAGAATTCCTGGTATTTCCAGAGATGCATACGCTAAACATATGACTGACGTTTATTTGGCTATGTATGGGTTGTCTAGTGTGAAAGACACTAAATCTGGAGATGAATATATCAGAGGTATCTCTGGTGGTGAGCGAAAACGATTAAGTATTACCGAAGCTTCGTTATGTGGTGCTCCTTTTCAATTGTGGGATAACAGTACAAGAGGTCTAGATTCTGCTAATGCTGTCGAGTTCACCAAATGCCTTCGAACTCAAGCTGATATTTTAAACTATACAACTTTTGTTTCAATTTATCAATGTTCAGATGAAGTTTACAGTTTATATGACAAAGTTTGCTTATTATATGAAGGTCATCAGATTTATTTTGGTTCTACTGATAAGGCCAAAAGATTTTTTCTTCAAATGGGATTTCTATGTCCACAACGTCAAACTGCTGCAGATTTTTTAACCTCGTTGACTAACCCAAATCAAAGAATTATCAAGAAGGGTTACGAAAATAAAGTCCCACGAACCCCAAAGGAATTCGAAACTTATTGGAAGAGTTCCGAAGAATATAAAGAGCTTATTGAAGAGGTTGATGATTATGTCGAAAGGCAATCCGGCGATTCAACAGATGCTGTTGAGTTTAAAGAGGGTCATTATGCACGCCAATCAAAAATAAGCAGAAAAGCTTCTTCTTATACTGTTTCATTTTGGATGCAAGTTAAATATATTTTGATACGTGATTTTCAAAGAATTAGAAATAATTTTAGCTATACAGCTGTTAGTATTTTTGGGAATGTTTTAATGGCTTTATTAATAGGATCCATTTTTTATGACTTGCCTTATGATACTGGTTCATTTTATTATCGTTGTTCTGCATTATTTGTTGCTTTGCTTTTCAATGCATTTTCTTCTCTTTTAGAAATTCTTTCATTATATGAAGCAAGACCAATAGTTGAGAAACATAAAAAATATTCGTTATATCATCCTGCTGCGGATGCAATGGCATCTATTCTTTCAGAGCTTCCAACCAAACTACTTCAAGCTCTTGTTTTCAATATCCCGTTTTATTTTATGGTTCATTTTAGGAGAACTGCTGGGGCATTTTTTTTCTTTTTTTTCACTGCTTTTCTTTCCACTATTTGCATGTCTCATCTCTTTCGATGCATTGGTGCTGCAACAAAAACTTTATACGAATCTATGAGTCCTGCTTCAATCTTATTGCTAGCACTTACCGTTTATATGGGATTTGTTATACCCACAGACTATATGCTTGGTTGGTCTAGATGGATTAATTATATTAATCCATTGGGCTATACATTTGAATCATTTATGGCCAATGAATTTCACAATGTCAAATTTGATTGTTCTCAATACGTTCCCGCTGGTCCTTCATACACTGATATTGGTAGTGAAAATGTGGTCTGTAATGCTGTTGGATCTGTGACCGGTGTTGATTACGTTCTTGGTGATGATTATTTAAGATTGGCTTTTAAATATTATAATTCCCATAAATGGAGAAACATTGGAATTATTCTTGGTTACATTATATTTTTCCTTGCTCTTTATATAATTCTTTGTGAATTTAATGAAGGTGCAAAGCAAAAGGGTGAAGTTTTATTGTTCCAAAGAAAAGCATTGAAAAACTTGAAAAAACAAAAGATGTTAGATGTTGTTCCAGATATTGAAACAGGCAATACAAATGAAAGAGTTATTTATGATGAAAGCGAATCTAGTGATGATTTAAAAATGAAAATTGATTCGGGGTCCAAAGTTTTTCATTGGAAAAATGTTTGTTATGATATACAAATAAAAGGAAAAACTCGAAGGATTTTAAACAATGTCTCTGGTTGGGTAAAACCAGGCACAGTTACAGCTCTAATGGGTGCTTCAGGTGCTGGAAAAACCACATTATTGGACGTTCTTGCAAACCGAGTGACAATGGGTATTGTTCATGGTGATATGTTTGTGAATGGTCATTTACGGGATAAATCGTTTCAAAGGTTAACTGGCTATGTTCAACAGCAAGATTTACATTTAACTTCATCAACAGTGAGAGAAGCATTGAGGTTTAGTGCATACTTAAGACAACCTTATAATATACCGAAGGAAGAAAAGGATGAGTACGTTGAAAATGTCATCAAAACATTAGAGATGCAAAAGTATGCAGATTCAGTGGTTGGTGTTACTGGCGAGGGATTGAATGTTGAGCAACGTAAAAGATTGAGTATTGGTGTTGAATTAGTTGCCAAACCTGAACTACTTTTATTCTTGGATGAGCCCACATCTGGATTGGATTCTGAAACAGCATGGTCCATTTGTCGACTAATTAGAAAACTAGCAGATCAAGGCCAGGCCATTTTGTGTACTATCCACCAACCTTCTGCCTTATTGTTGGACAGATTTGATAGACTACTTTTGTTAAAACCTGGTGGTCAGACAGTTTACTTTGGGGATCTCGGTGATAGGTGTCAGACATTAATTAACTATTTTGAAAAATATGGTGATAAGAAATGTCCAGCTACTGCCAATCCAGCTGAATGGATGCTAGATGTTATTGGAAGTGCTCCAGGATCTCATGTTGATAAAGATTACAGTGAGGTTTGGTTAGATTCATCTGAATATCTAGAGGTTTTAAAGGAATTGGAATATATGGAAAAGGAGCTAGTTAAGATAGATAAACTGGAATCATTAAATATGCAAGAAGAGTTTGCAGCACCACTTTGGTATCAATACAAAATTGTTCTCAGAAGAATATTTGAACAATTGTGGAGAACACCTTTGTACATTTGGTCGAAGATTCTTTTAACGGCTGCGACTCAATTGTTTAATGGGTTTTCATTTTTCAAAGCTAATAATTCGCAACAAGGGTTGCAAAATCAGATTCTTTCAGTTTTTATGAACACTATATTATTTACCACATTATCTTTTCAAATGTTTGATTCGTTTGTTTCGCAAAGGGAAATATACGAGATTCGGGAAAGACCATCAAAGACGTTTAGTTGGAAAGTGTTTATTGGAGCAATAGTGACAGCAGAGGTACCATATAGTATTATCTGTGGGACGATTGGGTTCTTCTGTTGGTATTATCCATTGGGGCTTTATCGTAATGCAGAATATACCGATACAGTGGCAGAAAGAGGAGTTTTGGTGTGGTTGTTTCTCATTACATTTTTTCTTTGGAGTATTGGATTTGGACAAGCAATTTTGGCAGGAATTGATCGAAAAGAGACAGCAGGAATTTTCTCGAATCTTTTGTTTACAATTTGTATGGTGTTCAATGGGGTTATGGTTACAAAAGATAAGATGCCTGGATTTTGGATATTTATGTATCGAGTCTCGCCATTAACTTATTGGGTTCAGGGAGTGATGGCGACAGGCGTTGCAAATGCACCAGTTGTTTGCAATGGTGTTGAAATGTTGAAGTTCAAGCCAACCAGTGGATTGACCTGTTCGGAGTATATGGAAAGCTATATGGAGGCAGTTGGTGGGTATTTGAGAGATGAAAACTCGACAGAGGAGTGTTTTTATTGCATAATGTCAAATACCAACAGCTATTTGAGCACAGTTGACTGTAAATATGATGAGAGATGGAGGAATTTTGGAATATTTTGCGTTTATGTTTTTTTTAACTTTTTCTTGACGGTTTTTTTTTACTGGATGTTCCGAGTGCCCAAGTCAAACGATAGAGTAGTTAAGGAGAAAGATGATAAGGAAGGCAAAAGAACTACATCAAATGAGGAAACATGAAATTGAAATCAATTCAAATTAGTATTACTATGTAAAGATAAATACCCATATAATAATAGTTAAAAACAACTAGTACATTAACACCAACAAGCTTAAACCATTAATAGTTTACCAATCAAAAGAAAAAATTAAAAAAATTATACAGATTAACCGCCCACAGAAGAATTTAAGTCAATATTTAAATGATACTAAAAAGAAAAATAGCTAAAAATTTTGATAATTCTAGTACTTGAGATGGAATAAACGTTTTATAATTAATGATTTAGTGGATTGAATAAAGATAAAAGATTGTATAAAAAAAATCATGATATCATTATTGCTCTACTTGTGGAGAGAAACAAAAAAGTTGAAGAAGAGAAGGAATAGAGTATTGTAGGGTTGAACAATATAAGAACATATAGGATAGAGTAAAATAAAGAAATATAACAAACTGTTATAACTTGATCAACCAGGATAGACATTGAAGTAATACCTTAGGATATAATAAGAATTATAACCAACTAAATATAAACCTGAATTAATATTTGAATAAATAATTTGAAAAGACAAAATTATTTTGATTTATTTTGATTTATTTTATTATTTTATTAATTTTTAATTTTTAATTTTTTAGTTTTTTAATATTTTTTTTTGGAGTGTTTTTTTAATTATAATAAAAGCAAAAAGCAAGAAAACCAAATCATTTAATAAGTTAAATTAAACAAAATAAAAATCAAACTTGAAGGAAAAATCAATGAAAAAAAGAATATAAAAATAAAGTATAAAAAAAATCATTAGACAACAACAAATCTTCTCATATCTCAGGGAAATGAAATCTATTTGAAGCTGAGATATTAATATGCGCTTTAATTAGTGTATCTTAAGAATGTTTTGAATAAATTCAGTATCATTTTGATAATATATAATAGAAGACTTAGAGGAGGAAAAAGAGAAAGAAATGGAGTAGAAAAAAAATAGGAAAAATGGGCCCTTTTATATTCAAAATATTCTTATCTTTTTGTTTGTGTTGTTTTTACAAATTTTGAAAATAAAGAGGATTTGTTTTAATTTGTTGGAGCCAAAGGAATTCGAAACTTGAGATAAACTTTCAGGAAAAACGCCAGCAAAAGCGCAAACTGAAAAGTTTGAAACTCTGCCAAATCAGAATGTTGAAGATGAATTACCGCTTATCGATGGCACAGCGAGTGGTCTGCTGCAATATGTTTTATGGGAAAAGTAGCGCTAATGGTTTCATGATTTGGTTTGGAAGGCAGATGGGGACTGGGGTGTCTGAGCTTGCAGAAAAATGATAGCGAGATGTGCAAACCGGATTTTTTTTGTTCTCTCTCCTCTGTTTGCTTGAAATTAAAGTTTCTTGGCATGCAGAAGGTGCAGGAGACAGTTTTGCTAAGACAAGTGTAGGTTACAAAAACGGTTTTGTCGATGAAATTATTCCTTGATAGCTGTGTTCATCCAAGCTCAAGTGGTAAAAATAGCTGCAAGTGCAATTGGCCCCCGAGCGATTTTAGCAGGCCGCAGACCACAAAACCAGAAAGATGCTACTAATTATGGACGTTCAAAGTAGCCAAACAGGCCTAGTCTTTTGGAGCAGGCAAGGATAAGACCTCTTCTGGAGCAGGAAGTGCCTTGGGAAACTCCCTGACAATAATATCGCACTTGACCTCGTCACAGAGGTTTTTGATGTTGCTTTTGTTGGAGATCTGGTGGAAGAAGGACAAACCGGTGCTTCGCTCCAAGGCCTCGACAGGAACCTGGAAGGATCGCAAGGGCACGTCGTTGCTGATTCGATCGTTGGGCAAGATAAAGGCGGCTGCCGAAATTGGTTGCTCGTTCACGTTGGTGATGTCTGTTCTCTCTCCAACAATCAATTTGAAAAAGTGGGTGGGAACAGCAACGTTGGGTGGGTTTCCAATCACCTCGTACGAAACTCTGTACTTTCCGTCTGGATACTTCTTGGGCAAGTACAAGGGCCCAGTCACAATCCGAACATGTTTGTATTGCGAGGTGAGTCTCCTGGCAAAATCCTCAAAGTGGGCCCAGTAATCTCTGTTGAATCCCTGGCCAACCTGGGGACACATGTTGCTGAGATAGAACGTCTCGTCCATCGCTTCCTGGCTGAACTTGGCATCTGCTGCTGGAGCCTGATGGCCTCTGTCGTACCCACTACGGAAGTAGTTTCTCAACAAGCCCCGGTACTCCATGGGGATCTTTTCATCTTCTTTGAAAACCGATTTGCCTCTATTGGTGTCTCCGTTTCTCTTCAACGAATCCGCCGTGATGTGCTCAACCACCCAGTAGGGGTTCTTTGTTTGTCTGTCGTAGCAGGAAATGAATTCTCTGTAGGCTCCCAAGTCATGGACTGGCCCAGGATACCCATACTTGAAAAAGTCGCCGGGCTTGATGGTGTCCTCAATGTTCATCAACCCACTGGAACTGTTCGAATTATCAACCACGTATTTCTTTTCCTTTTCCTTTTTCTCGTCGTCGTCATCGTCGCTGGAGGAAGGCGGAGGAACCAATGTATCATTTGGAGATGGTGCAACTGGTGCTGCCGACTTACCAAACCCAAGAAAGAAGCTAGCTACTGCTGCTCCTCCCAAAAACGAACAAACTGTTGGATTTTTAATCATCGGAAATTCTCTGTGTAACCTGAAAACCAGAACTCACTTGCTAGATACTAATGCACAAGAAAGAAAATTTCACTGGACAGAAAACACCAAACTTTCGATTCAACCTCGGTCACGTTTTTATAATCCCAAAAGAAACAGTAAACAACAACCACCTCGAAACGGCAACAACGCGAAATTTTCTTTTTATTAGCATTGGCAAGTGACAAAACTTATAAATCCCAGATAAACAATAGTGAAACATTTTACTTATCTTTATTTTCTTTTCTTTTTATTGATAAACTGATACTTCATGCAACTCAAGCAAGTTGCATGTTGTTTGTCAAAGCAAAAGATTTGATAAAAAATGAATTCTTCTGACTAAATTACTCTTTCATTGTCTTCAAATACATTGCATTCAATATAATTTGAATATAATTTAAGAACATTCCGATAGTGTTTTTTTTTATTGATACTAAACACTGTTCACACCAATAGAGAGACATAGTTCCGTAATTTCAAATTCTATCTGGCATCTATTTGAACTTTGAGTTGACTTATATTGTCGGGTTTTTTTCGCTAACCTTTATTTTGGTTATTTGGTTTACCATTCAATCGTTGGCTCATCTTCTGGTTCATCTATTAAAGGGGATGGTGGCGGTGTGATATCAGCTAATGTTAATTCTTCATTCTGTGAAAAGGATATCTGAGGATTTGGAAACCGAGGCGTCATAACTGAATTGAAAAAAAAGGGTCTGACAGGCTGAGGTGATGAAAGAGATGAAAAAGATGAAAAAGATGAAAAAGATGAATCAGATATATCAGACGAAAGTGATGAATCAAATAAAGTTACCGAATCTGTTGAAGCGGATGAGTTAGAGAAGTATGATGTATTATTTGGATCATTAGAAGAATCATTATCACCAACACGATCTGCTTGTTGAATCAGATATAATTGTGAATGATTGCTGGTTTGGTCATCTGGAAAATCCAATGTATAACCAGTGGTTCTATTTAACGGATGTGAATGATAATCATCATAATAATCAGTTCTGGGATCTGAAGGTGCTAGAAAAGGTGGCAAAGCTCTATTAGAAAAATCGGGCGAATAATTATTTTGAATTGCACGATTAGTAAGAAAATGAGGTCTAATAATATCATTGTTATTATTGTGCAAATGGAAAATTTCTATTAATCGATTCTCTGTATAATCGCCTTGAGAATTCAATTGATTTGGAGGAAAATGGGTTATTTGATCCAAGATATAATTATTTCTAATCAGGTGAGATTGGGAAATGTTATTAGTTTGTGATTGAGAAAATGAATAAATACTGGGCTCAGGGCTATTTTGATCTGAAAAGGAATAGCAGGAGTTGGGACTATCTGTTTGGAATTGATTTATATCATCCCTACTGTCAGTATCACTATGTATGTGATTATGGTTTTGAATAAAGTTTTCAATTTGATCCATTTTATCGGACCCTGCAGAATTTTCTTTTTCTTTTGGCATGAGTATTAAATAACAGTGTCAATGAAGTTGAAATAGCTTATTAAAAATTACTCTGTCAAGATATTCTTTATTTTTGGAGATTCAATCTTCAAGTGATTAATTAACAGGACAGTGATTCTAAGCAGGTTTTATACTTACTGATCTTGACCCAGTAGCTTGCTTTATTGAGGTGTACAGTTCATTTTCCGTTAACTATTCTTTTTTATAGGTAATTTATTGTTTTATTCAAAAGAAATAAAGCAAAGCTCAAATACAACCAATTGTAATAAAATAAATAGTACACTAGTTTTTGTTTAATTTAATATTTTTCATTATAAAGTTAATGAAAATGCTTTGGATTGGATCTTGAATAAAAGATGTTTTTGTTTAATTCAAAGAAACAAAACAATGAATCAATAAGCCAATCTAGTTAGTTATGTATTTGTATAAATACTCTATTTATTCACAGGTATCAGGTGTCTTGTTTTGCTATTATGTTTTTATTGGTGAATTCAGATTAGTTGAAGGAAAATATAAATCAATATATAAACCCGTCATACCAAGACAATTAAGTTTTCGGCAATTAAAAATATAACCCAGTTTCCTGGTTTTATTGTTGCTTTTTTAAAAGATGTCTCAAAATCAATAAATAACAAACTATTAATAAAAAAAGCCCATTCGAATAATTACTGTTTGCAAATAAAAGCTGTAACAATAAATTTAAACAGTTTTGGTAAGAAAAGCTAGCGTATTAAACTAAAAAGGTCAGTATATGGATGAAGATAGTATATAAATAGAGGATGTCAGTGTATTTTGAAATTTGAAAAAAAAGAAAAAAAATTCAAGATTATTGGTTCTTGCAGTATTTGTTTTTAGTTATTTTAAATCAATTGACGGATTATGGAATATTTGGTATCTTATAAAAATACCATGTATCAGTAATAATAAATCACGTAGAGATTATGAAATTTACCACATATTGGTTTATTCTGACAGAGTTTGTTTTATGTCTTGGTGGGGAAAACCAAACAAGAGAATGCTATTATTAATAGGCACCCAAAACAAACAGAGCCAGTCATAATTTTCAAGATTGATTCTTTCTCATCCACTTTCCACTTTGTTGGAATTTGTTTTTGATCGACAATGTAAAACCGGTATTGCAATTGAATGAAAAGCTAAAAGAGAAAGCAGAGATGTTGCAATTAAAGCGGAACAAATGGCATTAATTGCAACTAATTTGCATACACGATAAGCTTCGAAAAAAGTGCAAAAGCCTTCGCAAAAAGAGATAGTCCCCAGCTCCAGGGCCATGCACACATGTCTCACATTGGACGATTAGACTCAGCTCTCCTCTTTAGTTTGCTTGAGGAGGCAGATGTTAGACCAATAGCAATGCATAAAATCGTGACAATAAATCCTTGGAAAGACAAGAAACATGCTTCTCTTACTTTCTAAAGCTTGGCAAGGCTTAATTATGTAATGCTTTTAAAAATATGCTCGGCAAACCAACAGTTTCCCAATTGAAACATATTGCACTTCCCAACGAGGTATGGATTTGCAGTAAACGTGATTTGAAAAGGATTATTAATAGATTCACTGTTCAGTGATCAGTTTTTCCTGGATTATTATTCAGTTCCAATAGCTGTCGTTTATAGAGTACTGAACAAAGGCACTGAGGAAAACATAAAATCAATATAAAAGAAATGCAGAATGCCTTCGTTTCATTGTTTGTTTTGATTATCTATTTTCATTCACTATTATAACAACACAATAACAATACATTATTTACTCTCGCTCATATTTTATTAAAAGTTCAGTAATTAGAAATGATTTCAGCTTCAATTTTAGTATTCTCATTATTGAATCTTTTAAGGGTTACTCAAGCCGCTCAATCAGCTGTTAAATTGGTTGTTGAATCGGAAAGTTCCGAAATTGATACATATGGCATCGGTTCTCGTCATGAAGGTGCTGGTATTAGCTATTTTTTTATTGGCACAACCAGTGATTCCGAAGACCTTACATATGATGATTCCACACAGAAACTCACTTCAGACAGATTTGGACAATATCCAAGTTGGGTTGGATTTACAGGCGAAATTCAGCTCTTACAACTAGCAGTGATGGAGACAGAGGATTTGTACGGTTTTGACAGCGACAACTACTTGTTACTAAACGGGGCAATTCCAGGGTTGTGGGCTTGTAAGAATATTAATGATCCTTATAGATATTCGGAAAGTTCTTATGCTATCTTAAAGACTAAAGCCAATGATGATTGTTTATCATTGAAATTGAAAAACTCAGTTGGTGGATCATCAGGTGGTAGTTCTTCTAGCAGTGTTACTGTTTCTTCTTCTGGCAGTATTACTTCTTCTGTATCCAAGCCATCATCAGTAAGCGAATCGTTTAGTGGATACAACTCAACTTCATCTGAACTATCAGGCACCAAATCTTTATCAAGTTCGAAAACATCGGAAACCGGTGCACCAAGTGTGACTCAACAAGAAAACGCTGCTGGTGCATTGGCTTTTCAATCAATTGGTTTAACCTCATTGTTATCATTCATTGCAATGTTTTTCTTCTAATTTAATTTAGTTTTCTAATTTAATTTTAATCACATTTTCAATTTAAAGAAAGTGATTATGCTTATCAATTTTTTTTTATTTTTTACATTTTTTATTTTTTACATTTTTTATTTATGATTTAGTAGTGTATACAGTTTGGATATTTTATTTTCCTTGCTTTCATTATTCAATAAAATATTTCAGATTATTATAGTAATAGACGTGGTTATTTTCATCACGTACAAACAAAGAAAAAGAAAAACAAAAACAATCCTGATAGTAGGAACAAATCTATCATAAAACTGTGTCAGTTCAGATAGCAGAGCCCCGCAAAGTTTAATTTTTTATGTTTTCTTTGGATGAAACTGTGCTAACTTGATTAAAAATCAAAACGAATCAACAGCTTGAAAAGAATCGCGATCTTGATCAAAGCAGTACGTATAATCTATAAAATATCTTCACAACATTAACAATGTAACCAAAAAAATAAAATGAGTCTCTAACAGGATCGAACTGTTGATCTCTCCGGCAACCAGCAGAGTGCCTTCACCACTTGGCCAAGAGACCAATTTTATTGGCTGCGTTGATTTCCATCGCATTTTATCCTACCATGTAGCATATCTCTAATTGATACACTATTTGAATAAAAAAATTATATCCAACGAATTGTGAATAAAACAAAAAGAAACGACCTCGGAGAGGATCGAACTCTCGATCTTGAGATTAACAGTCTCACGCCTTAACCAGCTTGGCCACGAAGTCTTGTTGTTATAAATGTATTTTGATTCAAAATAAGAATCGAGTCCTAATTATATTTGTGTCAGTAGTAATGTTCAAGTTATGTTTGGAAAATTGCCGTTTTGGGTAGATACCGCATTTGGTAAAACTATTTTGATGGTTGTGTACTGAACGGGAAACATCAAATACTGGTTTGAATGTTGCAGATTGAAACATTTATACGGTGAGGCACGGCCAGAGCCAATTGAAGATGTGAAAAATGTAACACATCTCCAAAGCAAAACAACAAGCAGCCGGCCAGCGGCATGGATGAAGCAAAACAAATGGACGGGGTCTAAAAATAGAACAAAAGGAGTTTTCAGAGCTTGCGGCAGACTCTGCAGAACGAAGCGGACGAACAGCCAGCTGGCTGTTCTGAGCAAGGCTGATGAAGCAGCACAGGAAGCAGAAGAAGACGAAGCTGGCCGCTGGAGAGGAAACCGCGCTGCTCCCGGTGGATTACATTTTGCTGGTAAGTTTGGGTGAAACACAGACCGCTGGAGAATGCTCAGCTGTTTGCGGTACCTGTTCATTCTCAGGGATGGGTCCTCTGCGTCGTTCCCGCCCTCCACCACCACCGCCAGGCTCCATGCACGTGTTCCAGGTCCCCGCCCTGACGGCGACCGCAGTGGCCGTGGGAGACTCCGCAGCAGTCTCGACAAGATATTAATAACCAGAAGGATTGTCACATAAACTTTTCTGCGCATTGTTGGCTAATTTTCATCCTGGAAGGAAATCTCCAATTCCTTTTCTACCTCTATTTATTCCATCACTATCCTCCATCCACTCATTACCACCATCTATCTTACATCCTCTTATACCTTATACTTCCCGGCTCTTCTATCTTTATTCCTTATTCTCTTTCAAACCTTATGACTGCTCAAGAATTTCAAAAGTAGTTTTATCTTACTCATACTCTTTTCCCAAATAACCACTCGTCTTTTCACGACCTATATATCATCAATCATATACCACTGCTCATTTATCTTTAGCCACTAAAACAGCTTTTATATACCGTCTTTTTCAAAATGAACAGGTCTTCATCTTTGAAAAAATCTGGAAACTACTCTGAAATTGATCCTGAATCTGGCTACTCTTTAAACTCAGGTGGTAACTTGGGTAGAAAAAAGTCTTTGATTAGAACAGAAAGAGCAAGACTAGATAACCCTGACCATCCAAATTACTACTATAACCAAGTCGTTAACCAAGAAATAGACCACATCTCTGTTCAGCCTTCAAATTCTGGCCTAGATCCTTCAATATCAAATCAAACTGATATTTACAGATCCAACTCAAGAAGGTCAAAACATACAATCAATAACTCAAACAACAACAATGACATCTCGGAAATAAACGACATCTCTGAGATAAATGAGAACTATCCTCTACAAGACTTATCAAAACCAGCTCCAAACCCTTCCTCTAACACCAAAACTTTAAATCCTAGCGCTCAAAAACCAAACTACTATCCTGATCTTGATGATGCAAACGAAAACACTGATCTCAAAGGTGGTAAAGAAATCTATGGTTTAAATGATGAAGTCGAAAACAACGATAATCCAAAACCAGAACTAAAGAAAAAAAAAAGCAGCGCCTACTATTCTAGACCAAAATACGTAGTCTATGAAACTAAAAAAATTAAAATGGAAAAGAAAAAGAAAACAACCTTTGTCACTTTATGGCAGATTTATTGCTGGATAGTATCCTTCTGGGCTCCTCCCTTTTTATTAAAAACTTTCGGTGGTATGCCCAAAGCTGATCGTCAATTCGCTTGGAGAGAAAAAATAGGCCTAATCTCAATTATTCTATACTGTGGTGCCGGTGTTGCTTTCTTAACCTTTGGTTTCACTAGAACTGTTTGTAGCACTCCTCCAATCTCAATTCCCAATACCAACGTTAGTCCTGCTTACATGGTTTTTAATGGTAAAGCCTATGATTTGACAAGATCAACCCACCCAATCGCTGAAGGTATTAGTGCAGGCGCAAACGTCTTATATACCCCAATTGATGGCGCTGGTATGGATGGCTCTTTCTTATTTCAAAACGTCAATGGAAATTGCAAAGGTTTAATAACTCCCAAACTGAATTGCTCAATTCCCTTCAACGGTGAAGATGTTGGCTGGTACATGCCTTGCAAAATGTTCAATCCTGATGGTTCAACTCAACCAAATTTTACAACTGACTACTACGAAGGTTGGGCTTGCCACACTAGTTCTTCTGCAAGAGAAGCGTTTTACAATTTGAAAGAAACTGGTGATGTCTATTTCACTTGGGATGACATGAAGAACACCTCGAGAAACTTGGTTGTATATAACGGTGATGTATTGGATTTGTCTTTATTAAACTGGATTCAAACTGATGATTTAGATTATCCCGCCTATTTTGATATCTTAAAAGCCGACTCCAGTTTAATAGGTCAAGATCTCTCAATTGCTTTTGCCACTCCCCAAGAACGTAAAATCGGTAAATGTCTTCAGGAAATTATTAAAGTTGGTGTAATAGATTCGGAAACTGTCGGTTGTATTGCATCTGTCGTTGTCTTGTATTCCTCATTGTTTCTTATTTTATCCGTTGTTGTTTCCCAGTTTTTAATTGCTTGTTACTTTAAATGGTTTGTTGCCACCAAACAAGGCGCTTCTGTTGAAACCGCTGCTCAAATGAATGAAAGAGCTAGAAAAATTGAACAATGGTCCGAAAATCCAAATAGCCAAGGCCCAATCAAAACTGTTGACCCCAAGTATAGACCAACTGCCCACAACAGATCAACAAGTAAATTCTCCTTTTTAACTCAAAAGAGACACTCAAAGTTAACTTCCGGTAACTCAAGTTCAGAAATGCTATCTGCAAGTAATGTTGTTGATTACCATAGCTTGTTTAATGGAATGACTACAATGTGTATTCAAGAAGCTGTTAAAAAAAGAGGCAAAATTATGCAACATGGCAATGGCTCTAAAAGATCTGTTCTGTTAGGTGATAACTATACTCAGCCAGCTGGTTCAATTTACACTTCAAACCGTTTGTCACATTCTCAATCCATTTTGAATCCTTTTGATACTACAACTTTTGGTGACGATGAATATATTAGTCGTTTGGCCTCCGATTTAGTTCTTGATAATATTGTTCCTCAACCTCCAATTGAAAAACAATCCCCTTTTGGTTATCCTGTTGCCCATACCATTTGTCTTGTTACATGTTATTCCGAAGATGAAGAAGGTTTAAGAATTACGTTAGATTCTCTTTCAACAACTGATTATCCAAATTCGCATAAATTGCTATTGGTTATTTGTGATGGTATTATCAAAGGTTCAGGTAACGATGTCACAACACCAGATGTTGCATTAGCTATGATGGAAGATTTTGTTATTGATAAAGAAGACGTTCAACCATTCTCATACGTCGCAGTTGCTCATGGTGCCAAAAGACACAATATGGCTAAAGTTTACGCTGGATATTACAAATATGATAATAATACTGTTCCAGAAGATAAACAACAAAAGGTTCCAATGGTCACCATTGTTAAATGTGGTACTGAAGCCGAAGCAGGTGCAGCTAAACCAGGTAATAGAGGTAAAAGAGATTCACAAATTATTTTAATGTCATTTTTACAAAAGATTACATTTGATGAAAGAATGACAGAATTAGAATTTGAAATGTTAATGAATATTTGGAGAGTCACAGGGCTAATGGCCGATATGTATGAAATTGTTTTAATGGTTGATGCAGATACTAAAGTTTATCCAGATTCATTGACTCATATGATTGCAGAAATGGTCAAAGATCCCGAAGTTATGGGATTATGTGGAGAAACCAAAATTTCCAATAAAGGTGATTCATTTACAACTTCAATCCAGGTTTTCGAGTATTTTATTTCTCATCATCAGTCAAAGGCCTTTGAATCAGTATTTGGTAGTGTTACATGTTTACCAGGTTGTTTCTGTATGTACCGTATTAAATCACCAAGAGGAAACAATGGATATTGGGTACCAATTTTGGCTAATCCAGATATTGTTGAGAGATATTCAGATAATGATATTTCATCATTGCACCGTAAGAATTTATTATTATTGGGTGAAGATAGATATTTGTCAACATTAATGTTGAGAACTTTCCCAAAAAGAAAGCAGATTTTTGTTCCAAAGGCTGCTTGTAAAACATTGGTTCCAGATAAGTTTAAAGTTTTGTTGTCACAACGTCGTCGTTGGATTAATTCAACAGTTCATAATTTGATGGAATTGGTTTTAGTTAATGATTTGTGTGGTACATTTTGTTTTTCAATGCAATTTGTTATTGCAATTAATTTGGTGGGTACATTGACATTACCAGCAGCCATTGTTTTCACAATTTATGTTTGTATTTTTGCTATTGTTTCAAAGCCAACACCAGTCATGTCGTTAATTTTATTAGCATTAATTTTAGGTTTGCCTGCAGTTTTGATTGTTGTCACTATCTCATCATTGTCATATTTATATTGGATGATAATTTATTTATGTGCATTGCCAATTTGGAATTTTGTTTTGCCAACCTATGCATACTGGAAGTTCGATGACTTTAGTTGGGGTGATACTAGAAAAGTTCAAGGTGAAGCTAAAGGTGAAGGGCATGGAGACGGAGATGACGATGAATTCGATGCGACACATATTGTTATGAAACGTTGGAGAGAATTTGAAAGAGAAAGAAAAAGAGCTAACATAAGCATGCCAGATGCCACTTGGGATCCAAGTGCTACAGACAATAATAAATTGCTCGATCCAAATGAATTACTACAGGTTCCTGCAGATTATTAGTGGTGGATCAGCGTGAATAAGATTATATGTTATGTTGTATGTATGTTATATGCTTTATCTATAGAACTCATGGAGAATTGTGATTTTTAAACACATTCTGTATTTAAGCTTATTTTTTTAGATTTTGAAGTTACAAATCAGATAGGATATTTAAATCAGTATCGTACCGCTTTCAAAACGAAGCGGATTAACCAGAAGAATATAGGTTCCGGCAGAGGCGGATGGGTTCCGGTGTTTGTCGAACCGAGCAACGGTGGCGTCGGCATTCATGGTGGTCGTGGCCTAGGTCGAAATTCCGTGTGACATAGGCAAATGGCAGAATGGGGTGCGGATGCGTGGGGGACCCAAAGCAGTGGATGAGTGTATATATACCAATAGTTATCTTAGAGAATATCGAGAGACGAAATGATTTGGAAGTTTTCGAGAAGATACTGAGCAAGTTTATTCCTTTAGAGAATTACTTTTTTGTTAGAGTACATCTTGTTTGCTATTGCTTTTTGGGTCTGTGAAAATGTTTTCCCATAATGCAAGAACTTTAGGGTTCACTTTTTCGAGAAGTATCAACCACTTTAATAGATTTTACTCAAACAAAACTTTAAAATTGGCTGTTAAAACTCATAGTAACAAGAATAGTGAAAATAATAGCGGAAAGAAAAAAGATTTTGGATTTTCAGATACTTTTAAAATTGTTTCGACAGTTTTGCTATCTACATTATTATCTGCAAGTGTAACAACATACTATTATGAAGATCGTTTCCAAAATTTTAAGAATTTTGAATCAAATAGTGTTACAAAATTGAATGATTTAACAACATCACAATACGGTTCCAAACAGGATTTTGATAATGCTATTGCTGAAATTAAACAATTCATACCCGAAGATAATATCTCGCAATCTCCATCCGAAATTTCTACCCATTCGGATAATTATTGGAACTCTCATCATCCCACTGAAGATCAGTTTCCAAAAATTGTTATTTATCCCGAATCAACAGAAGATGTTTCAAAACTTTTAAAAATATCAAATAAACATAATATTCCAATTGTTCCATATTCCGGTGGCACTTCTTTAGAAGGTCATTTTATCAATACTAGAAACGGGATTGTCATTGATTTAAATCGAATGAATAAAATTATCAAGTTGAATGAAAATGATCTTGATGTTGTTGTTCAACCTGGTTTGGGTTGGCAAGATTTAGATGAATATCTAAAGCCAAAAAACTTACTATTTGGGCCAGATCCTGGTCCAGGTGCTGAAATTGGTGGAATGATTGGCACTTCATGTTCTGGTACAAACGCCTATAGATATGGTACAATGAAGGAAAATATTTTGAATCTAACTGTTGTTTTGGCTGATGGAACTATCATTAAAACTAGAAAAAGACCCAAAAAATCTTCTGCAGGCTATAATTTGACGAGTTTATTTATTGGTAGTGAAGGTACTTTAGGCATTATAACTGAAGCAACATTAAAATTACATAATAGACCAGTCAACGAAACTGTTGCAGTAGTTTCGTTTGATGAGCTTAATGATGCAACTAATACTGTTCAACAGATTTTACAAAACAATATTCAACTAAATGCAATTGAGCTTTTAGATGATGAAATGATGAAATGTCTTAATAGTAGTGAAGCAACATCCAAAAAATGGTTGGAAAAACCTACTATATTACTAAAGATCGTTGATCCAAGCATTGATGATGAAAAAAATTTGAAAAACTCAAAATTAATTAGCAAGGTTAAAAATATCTGCCAATCCAATTCGTCTATTAACTTTGAATTTGCCAAAAATGAAGATGAAAAAACAGAATTGTGGTCAGCAAGAAAGAATATTTTATGGTCATCCATTGATAACGGAAGAAGATTATTGAATAATCCAAATGCTGCTGTTTGTACAACCGACGTTGCTGTCCCCATAACTAATTTGTCCGAAATTATCAAAGAAATTAAAGTCAAATTTGAATTGCCAAAGTACAAATCCAGAATTTATAGCACAATTGTCGGCCATGTTGGTGACGGAAATTTTCACACCATATTGATATTTGATGACACAAATAAGGAAGACAAATTGTTGATTAAAGAATTGATAGATTACATGACCCAAAGAGCGATTGATTTAGACGGGACATGCACAGGTGAACATGGCGTTGGGTTTGGTAAAAGAACATTTCTCTATAACGAGCTTGGAGAAGATGCTATAAGCCTTATGAGAAGAATCAAGCTAAGTTTAGACCCCAAAAGGTTGCTTAACCCAGACAAGATCTTCAAGATCGATCCTAAAGACAAAGACGAATAGCGTAAATATATATCTGTTGTACGAGTTAATTCCACATCTATATTCCATCCAAAATACCGTCCACAAAGCTGATTATATCGTGTTCCGTTTTAGGAAACATCTATTTAAAAGCTCGCACGTGTTTGTGAAAGGTGTTTTCTTTGAAACCTCAACGCCTTATTTTCTGTTGTTAATACACTGCCTTTGAGTATTGCTGCCTGTTGGTATCTTGTTGGTATCCTCTCGATAGTTGATAGTGTCTGCCTGTTGTGCTGCGTAAATAACTGCTTTTTAGTTGTTTTGCTTTTCAATGGCTGTTCAATTGACTGATAACACCATCAGAAATCCAACTTCTGCTGGTGTTCTTGAGAATAACGATAACTTTGACAATCAGAATAACCACTTTCAACATACCATTAATAGCGATGGTTTTGATAATTCCAACTATGGCTATCCAGTCAATCCTCAAGCCCCAAATCTTGGTCTGTTTCCAAATCAATTTCCAACCCCAAGTCAGTATCAATATCCAAACGTTCCAATATATTCCAATTACCATCCTCCTCCATCACAATATCAAAACTATCCTAACTCCTATCAGTTCCAATATGGGTATCAATACAGCAATCAATATCCCAACCAGTATCCCAGTCAATACAATAGCAATTTCGCTTCTCAACATCAATATCAGCAAAATGCTCCTTCAGTTTCTAATCAGTTGCTCCATTCTTACAACTATTACAACACTAATGTTAGTGCTTCAAAAAATATCATGACCAACACTAGTGCTACTTCTGGTAATTATATAAATGAAACTTTCGACTCCATCAATGAGCATAATACTACTTATAGACCAGATAATGCTAATAATAATAAAATTGACAATTATTCCACTGGAACTTCCAATTTTACAAATAATAGATATAGCAATTTTCCTACTACTATGACTAGTAATAATAATAATAATTTTAGCGGTATGAGTTATAGTAGTAAGTTCAATACCAATAATACCAATAATACCAATAATAACAACAATTTCAACAATTTCAATAGAAATTATAACAATAATGGTTATAATAATAAAAAAACTTATTATAATAACAATAACAATAACAAAAGTAAAAAAAATTATAATAGATACATTGATACTAATAATAACGTTAACATCAATATTCTTGGCAAATTTATTAATAATAAACAAATACCTGCGCCAAGAGATGAAAAAATTGAATATCAATTATTTGGAGGTAAAAAAATAGTTGATCCGGATCAAAAATTCAATCTGATTCAATCTCATGATGGTTTAAGTTTATCCGCTATTAATTTTGATCATTATGATGAAATTCCCATTGAAGTTACTGGTGAAAATATCCCACTTCCAATCAATTCGTTTACTGATAATATTGAATTAAATAATAACTCAACCAAAACATATTTAGATCCTTTATTAATTCAAAATATCACCCTATCAAGGTTTAATAAACCAACTCCAGTTCAACGATATTCAGTTCCAATTGTCTTGAACCAAAGAGATTTAATGGCATGTGCTCAAACAGGTTCAGGCAAAACTGGCGCCTTTTTATTTCCAATTTTATCGGAATCCTTCAAATCTGGTCGAAAGCCATTAAATCATGATAATATTGAAAATCATGACAACAATATTCCTTTTCCAACTATTCTTATTCTTGCACCAACAAGGGAATTGGTTTCTCAAATTTTTCAAGAATCTAAAAAGTTTTGTTATAGGTCCTGGTTGGTTCCATTTTCTGTTTATGGAGGTACTGACATTCAAGTTCAAATAAAGAAAATTCAAAAGCACGGTTGTGATTTATTAGTTGCAACCCCAGGGAGATTAAATGATTTATTGAACAGAAAAGTCATCTCTTTGAAAGGCATAAAGTTTTTAGTTCTTGATGAAGCTGATAGAATGTTAGATATGGGGTTTGAGCCGCAAATAAGAAATATTATTCAAAACAATGACATGCCTGATGTTTTGAATAGAACAACTTTGATGTTTTCGGCAACTTTTCCCAAAGACATTCAACTTTTGGCCAAAAGCTTTTTAAAAAATTACGTTTTTTTGAGTGTTGGTAAAGTTGGATCTACCTCTGAAAATATTACTCAAGAAGTCTTGTATGTTGAAGAGATTGATAAAAACTCAATTTTATTAAACATCATTTTGAATTGGAAAGCTGGTTTAACTTTGGTTTTTGTTGAAACCAAAAAAATGGCTGATAATTTATCTATTTTTTTACAATCTGAGAGTTTTCCTGCCGCTGCTATTCATGGTGATAGATCTCAAAATGATAGAGAAAAAGCATTGAGAAATTTTAGATCCGGCAGAAATCCAATTTTAGTTGCAACAGCTGTAGCTGCGAGAGGTTTGGATATTCCAAACGTCACCCATGTTATCAACTATGATTTACCAGGAGACATTGATGATTATGTTCATCGAATTGGTAGAACTGGAAGAGCTGGAAATGTTGGTCATTCAACAGCATTTTTTAACTATAATAACAAGAATATTGCTAAAGGTTTAGTTCAGTTATTGACAGAATCTAATCAAACAATTCCTGACTTTCTTTTAAATTTCCTAAAGATCAACTTCAATAATAAAAATAAACGTAATGTATCTAAGAATTCTAATTTTATTGCAAAAGATCATCGCTCATTTAATAATAATTATAATTATAATAATTATGCTATGAACAATCAAAATAATATCAATATTATTTCCAAAAATTTTGCAGATTTTAATATTTCAAGCAACAACTCGGATGATTTTAACAGTTTTAACGTGTCTAACAATGATAATTCAGTTAGTAAATCTTTTTTCTCAAATAATGAGTTGAATATCAACAAAAAAGATAATGTTGATAACATTAATTTAAAAACTGCTAATAATTTTAATTTATATGATTTTTATCAAAATCGTGAAAAGGCAGAATACTTCTTAACTCAAGATGATAGAAACGCAAAAGATATTTTAAATAAAAAATCCCAATAAAATTTTATATATCCTCACTAATTCAGAAGGGAACCAGGGGTTAACTTCAGATAGAAATGAACATTTAAATTCAAATGAAATGGGTTTGAATGAAAATGTCCAATTTAAGTTTGCTGACCATTAAATCATATTCATTATTATTGTTTTTTTATTGTTTTTTGCATTAATATATTTATTTTTTTTCATTGATTATTTATTTCTTACATTCTTTTTTACAATCTTTCTTTGGTGATGAAACTTTAATTTTTCATATTTTGGCTAAACTTTCTTATACTTGCACTATTCTCTTATTTTTTGAATTGATAATATTATTAAACAATTTCAAGATTTTGGAGAAAAACTATTTAGAAGAGCTATAAAATAGTTTTCTAACTAGAGGCATTATTTAATTTTTTGAAAAATTTTAAGCAGCCAAAATATTATTTTTGAAAATTTACTGTGTTTATTTTTTTATTCAATTTAGTTAATTATCCTTAAAAACATGATATGATTTGCAGGTTTTTTTATTTTTTATTAAAATTCAACATTAATCAAACATATTATTATATTATCATACTATTTTAAGCTTTGTTAATTTTGATTATTGCTTTTTGGAAACATAAAACGGTTTTTATTAGTTTTTCAACATTTCGCTTTAGGTTATTTATCATATGTTTTATATTTTTTTTTGGAATTTAGTTTTTTTGTTAACAGTGTTTTTTTTATTCATCAAATCTTTTTGAGAGATATAATAGTTAATATTTGTTGAGATTTATACATTGGGGGTTATTAATTTAATTTTTGAAATGTGTTAAATACAAATATGTTTTATGAATATCAATTAATTGAACAAAAAGGGAGCACAAGAGAAAGTGAGTATTTGTATTAAATTCAAAAACATAAATAGTAAAAATAAAGTAAAACACTTCGTGATAAGTTGATATATAATTATTTTAATAAATATGCATTTATATTAATACTTTTTAAAGAAAGGAAAACTTTCGTTTTAGTTATTTTTTTTTCGGACCTTTGGTTTAGAAACGTTCATGATTAAATTTAATCATGAGTTTCTTTTTGTGTTTTGTTTTTTGAATTATCCCGGTTTTACACCTGTTATTCATATAAAAAATGCAAAAACATATTTGTTGACGAAATAAAAAATTTAAGGTAAGAATGCTTCAAAACTCTAGTAAATACGTTTATTAGATATCACTAATCAATGAATTTAGAAAAATGCCCGCAATTGGTACCTATTAATTTATGGAAATAAAACAAAAAAGCAATCAATATAAAAATAAAGATTTTAGATAAAAACATTATGGTTTTCTATGGATGAAAAACCTCTACATTTCAAACTGCCCATATTTCATTTTCGTCTTCAAACTTGTCAGAAAACATAACTTCCTCATCACCACCAGCTGCAATTTTCTCTCTTTCAGCTTTCGCCAAACGAGTCGCAACTCTTTTTGTGTAATCGCCAATAGACCTTAAAAGAATTTTGCTTCCTATAATAGTCGAAACACTGTCTTGATTTTCACTACGTAATTTTTCAAACCATTCTTGGAAAAATTTAGAATCCTCATCATGAACTAAATTAAAACATTCAATATAAGCTTTTTCAGCAGCAAGTTTAATAGGAATTATAGAATCCCGAACACACATAAATATCGCTAAGGAAATTTTTGTGATGTTTTCTTTAATAATTTCATTATATTCAAACCTTGAGAGAGTTCTTAAGACTACTAATGATAACCTTCTGGCCTCCAATGAATTAGATTTGGGTTTGTTTGCCGCGATACATAAAGAATTAATTAGTTCCTCAATAGTTTCATCAAACACAAAGAAAGGCTCGTGGTTTGTTTGAGAGTTGTCTAACAAAAATCTTTTAGGAGGGCCAACGTTTCCATGGAGCAACAAATATTTACCTGCTGCAATAATGGAATTCTCCGAAATATGTGGAATCTTGCTGTTGATTCCAGCATTTATGATATCACCAATATCGCGATTTAGAGCATCATCAGCAAATATATGAACTGGTGCATTTTGCAAAAACGAATTCATTGTTAGTATTGAAAAATTAGCAGTTTCATCTTCAAAAGGAGCCAGTAAAATCTTGGTTCGTAAAATCTTAGCTGCACTATCACTATTAAGAATTTTGGATAACGATCCAATTAACTTTGCGTACATTGTTATCAAATTCTCATTGCTATTAGATGAATCTTCTTCAATTAATCTCAAAATATTAGATTTGGAAGCGTCACCCATTTTGGATCCCGATTTATTCACGACTTCTACTATAGCATTTACTATAGCGAATTTGATCCGTGGATCATTAGTAGCTTTAGCGCTATTCACTAATTCAGTTACTAAAGGATCGACTCTTGGTTGATGTTCAATAAGTGATCCCAAAGCTTTAGCTGCTTTGGATCTCAATGTTTCATTGCTAGAATCCAATAAAGATTTAACAAAAGTTCTTTGCAATTGAGGAATGAAAGGTCTTAAAAATTGAGGAACCTTAGAGAAAAGAATGTTAAGAGTGGATAAAATAGATGCCTTTACGTCACCATTGAATCTATCACCTATTACACGAATTAAAGGACCTGTTATAGCTGTAACATATGTTTTTAATATAATTGGAGGAGTTTTTGAAACAATTTCAGCAATACCATCTGCAGATAGCTGTCTTTGTTCTGATGTCCCATACATAAGACCACGAATAAATACTGGTAAAATACAACTGGGTCCTTTTGGTAACTTGAATCCAGGTAAATCTACACCATTTACACCTGTTAAAACCAATGACTCCTGAGCTGGTTTTACCAATCTCTCTAGTGACTCCTTTGATTGCAACGAAATCAACATAGATAATGCATGCCATGCATGATAAACAACATCTTCGTTTTCATCATCCAAAGAGCTTATTGTGTTGGTTACAATATCTTGAGTGTAAACTGAATAATCCAAATTTGTTTCTTCAAAAAAGGTGCATAGATGTTTGTAAACAACAGCCTTTTTCTGCGGATTTTCACTGTTAATAAAAGAAAGTAACTGTTGCAATAATGGATGCAAACCGCGCTCATCTTCAATTGACAACAAAATCTTTTGAAATGCCTTATCAATCTCTTCTTGTTCCTTTTTATTGTTTTGATTTTGGATAATAGCTTCAACCAAAACATTAATTATAGAAGACAATCGTCTATAGAGAGCATTTCCAGCAACTTCTGCCAATGAACCAAGAGCTGAAGCTTTAAATGCATCAACTGGCGGAGATAATAGAGTTGGTATTAAAATTGGAAAGATATCATCCGATTTAGTGGCCATAATTTCTTGCAAGGCATAAAGAGCATTATCAGAATGATCACTTGAAGCTAGAAGATGAAGAAGATGTGGAATTATACCATCAATTGCTGCTTTTCCAATAGTATCCTGCAAGACTTCAAATGCAAGACCAGCAGATGATCTAACATCATCGTCATTGTCAATCAAACAATCACGAATAATTGTAATAAAAGATTCTTGATATTGGCTTACAACCTCTAAATCACTTGTTTGAATTAACTCTCTAAGAGCAATACAAATTCCCTGTTTGACATCAGAATCGTCTCTTGATGAGGATTTTTCGTAAATTGGTAACAACTCCTGCAAAATCAAGCTTCCAACACGACGAGTAAGATCTGCTAGAGATCTAGCAGCAGTTTCGCGAAGATCACCACTATCATCAGCCAAACGACAAATTGTAAGTGATATGATTGTTGGCAAAATCTCTTTTAATGTACGTGGAGTATTGTACACAAGAGATTTCCATATGTCAAGAGCAGCATTACGAACCACGCCATCAACATCAAATCGGCAAAAAAATAAGGAAGATAAAAGCACATTCCGACGACCAATTCCAAGAACTTCAACAAGTCTTTTCCCAACACCAGAAAATTCAACTTCTTCAGAGGTTTCAGCATTACGATTAAGTCCAGTAACTTGGTATAACAATTCTCCAATAAGTTGAATTGAACTAAGACGAATTCTGTAACTGGAATTACAGAGACCATTTTCAAGTTCAGGCAAAAGTAAATCAATAGCTTTATTTGCGTAATTTTTAACAAGCAATTTACCAGACCTCATAGCAGTTTCACTGATATTAGGATCTACATCAGCCAATCCATTAAGAATTGATGGAATAATTTTGGAAATATAAGGGGCAAATTGATTTCCAAAACAAGCAGGCAAAAATAATAGCAATGGCATAAAACCCTCCCGTATAAATGAAATGGAGCTTGTTGTACCAGATAAAATTATTGGTAAGCATTCATCAAGCTTCGAAACACCAAGTCCAGAAATTACTTCTGCAAGAGCCTGAGCTGCACCGAGTCTATCTCCACGTTTATCAGGATCTTCAAATGTGCTAAACAATTTGTCAACAAGCCCTGGGAAATTATCTTCACCAAGTTTTTCAACCAAAGAACCTAAGGCTCTGGCAGCAGTGGCTCTAGTAGTACCAACTGGATCTACCATTGCGACTTCCAATTCATTTACCAAGGATGGCAAATATGGATACAAATCCGTATTGTCTACTAAAATTGCCATATTTCCAACAATTTGACAGGCTTTACGTTTAGTTGAAGCAGATCTGTCAACCATACCACGATGAATAACATGTATGATGAGAGCTAATGAAGGACCATCAATATAATGAACAAATTGGGTTTTAATCAATTCATCTAAAGATTCATCAGTGTATTTAGTAGGATTTCCAATTGCTTTGATTAAAATTGGAACTAATTTTTGAATTTCAGGGTTTCGAATTACTTCACCAAATCGCTTTAAAGACTGATCCGCGGATTTTCTAACTTCTTTGTGAGTATCTGTAAGAACACTAACAATCTCAGGAACAATAGTAGAAAGAGAAAAAGACAATTGAGTTGGATCCAAGTAAGCCATAGAACCTAATAGCTCAACAGATGCCTTTTTAGATCTCCATGAAATATCATCCAAGTTATCAATAGCTAAGGGAATTATCTTTTTGACCCCAAAACCTGTTGTGCTTTTCATGATGGTTTTAGCTGTTATATCAGTATACAACCGAACATCAGCAGAAATATCACCTAGGTTTTTCAAAATAACAGGTAGAATTTCCAAAGCATAAGGTTCAAAAAATTTATCTAAGCTTTCAGATAAACAAGAGACAGCAATAGAAACACCTTCTCTTTTGATAGGATCTTTTTTATCTTCTGCCGATTCAATCAAAGTTCGAACAATATCATATTCGAACAACGCCTTTATCCCAGCTCCTTTTACAAAACCAGCCAATCCAAAACCTGCACCTCTTCTCTGATACAAATACTTTGCTTCAAATAGTTTCTTAAACATAAGGTCAATATAGTCAGGTAAAGATTTTGGTATTAGAGGCACTAACCCAGCCAAACAATTGGATATAGCTCTTTGAACGTTCACTGAAGGAGTGTCTAATGTCTTTATTAGTCGGTCGACAACTTGAATAAGTCTTTTATCAGATGATTTAAGATGCTTTGCTAATGCTCCATATAAAATAATAGTAATTTCTTTAATATTGTTTTGAGTTTTACTATTTTTTTCAGTTTTTGAAGCCAAAAACCGCTCAAAAATTGGAATTAATCCTTCAAGATTTTGAGACCCAAATAAATTAATAATATCAATACCAGCATCTTGAAACTCTTGTCTAACAATACTTTCTGAGTCGCCCAAAGCACCTTCATTAATAAAGAAGTTAAAAAGTGAAAGAACTGAAATTTTATTGCTAAACAAAGGAGAACAGTACTTTAAAGTTAAAGCGATTCCACTTCGTATTTCCCAAGGATCCTTTTGATCAGTAGAGGACTTAATTACCAATCCATACTCGTCAAGAATTGGCTCTGGTGGTTTTGATTTAAGTTTATACAAATCAAGAAGTGCTTCTAAGGTGGTCAGAAAGATTGCAGGTTCATCTTTGGAAAGTATATCAATAGCAGCAAAAATAGACTTGGAAACAGACAATCGAATTCCGCTGTCTTTATTTGCTAAAAATTCCATTAATTGAAGTGGAGCAGTTTTATCCAAAACAAATCCATTTTCCCTCCAAATTGTCAGCGCAATTTCAGCATTGTGATCATTATTATCAAATGTAGATATCCATATTTCATTTGAATAACTCATATCTAAAGACAAATCAAATTCTGAGTCTAAACAATCTAAAACCGCATTTCGAGCAAATACCTCAGGAGTTAACAAAGAACTGAGAATAATCGAAACATCTTCTTCACTTAAGCTATCAGAAACACTTTGACAAAGAGAGTTAAAACATTCTTTTGCAATCTTAGCTTTAGATGGTATCATCATTAACGACAATAAAACTTCCAAAATATATTTTTTCACAATATTCTCATTATCTAATACTTCACTATGATTTGCAACTATTTCAACTGCCAACATTAATAAATCTTCTTCTTTGTCTTCTTCTGCAAATTCTGCTTTCCTAGCAACAACATGTTTGTTAGCATTTTTCATTGCAACCAATTTCCCATTTTGTAAAACTTTGGTTAACAAAGGCAAAATATATATTAGAGAAAATATGTCAAGTGGAACTTGGTCGGACAAAAATTTTATTCTGAAAAGAATTCTAGATAGTAATTCAAGCACGGGCTCTTCTAATAAATTACTGGGTAAATTTCCAACTTCATATATTCTCAAGGTTGCAACACCCACAAAAAGTTTTGTTGCACCTAATCTGGGACTGATGATGTTAGAAAGTGCTAGAAATGCATCACTAGCCTCGGAGTTTAAAAAAATCGAGCAATAATTATTTTCCATTATTGCTAAAAGAGAATTTACAGCAGTTGAAAAATAATACTCATAGCCATTATTAACATTTTTAGCACTATTACCTAAACCATCAATAATAGATACTCCACGTTTTAAATGAAGGTAATTCTCCTGAATAGTCAGACGAATTGAAGATTCTTTTTTAAGTTGTTCATTAATTAATTGTTGATCTTCCCAACTGGTTTTTTTCTTCGAATTTGCTGATAAATTTTTATTGTTTAGTAAATTGTTTGAACTATAAGCAGCAGTTTTTGGGCTTTTCTGATTTTTTGATTTAGCATCAGTGATGGGATTGATTACCACAGTTGAGCTATCAGATTTCCATATTTTTAGATTAATATCATTAAGCAATTTCAATTTGTTAATAGAAACATCTTTTTTAATATTAGATTCAACTATAGGTCCTATTGTATCTGGAGATACAAATGCTAATAAATTAATTGATTCAACAGCTGCTCTGTATAAAGATTTTTCAAGGCCAGAAATTAAAAGCAAATCATAGCATTGTAAAAACATTTTTTCAGAATCGTCTGCAACTATTTTTCCAGGGTCAAGATTGGCTTTTTGACAGGCACCTACCCAGCCATTTTTAATTTTCACAGACAGATGGTTGCAAATAACTAATAAATTTTTCAAATGCTTGATTATGATTGATTTTTCAGAAGGATTAGATGAAGAAATGATAATAAAAATATTTGGGATTAATTTAAAATCAAAATTGAACTTTTCAGAATCAAAATAGGTGTTAGAATTGCGTAAACTTTCAAATAATCCATCGATTAATAAATCCCCAACAAGTAGTTGATGATTTTTGAATAATTTAGTTACTAAATCATAGCAAGGCTTTCTTATCTCAAAAGAGATGTTTTTAGATAAAAGTAAATAGAGCCAGGAAAGGCTGTAACAAACAGATTTTGAGTTCAAATCCTCAGTATTGTTATCCAGGGTTAGGTCGCTTAAATTAGAAAAGTAGTTGATAGAATAAAATAAAGCGTGAGACAACCATTTAACTTCGTCATGATTATTGAATTTTGAATAGATTTTTGAGTTGACTAATATAGAAGGCTTTTCATCATTTTTGTAGGCATTTTGAAAGATGGAATTAATGTCAAAAGAGTTTTGAAGGGATTGGGATTTGAATTCATTTGAAATGATAAAACAAATTGATAGAACAACGTAGGAAGATAAAATATTTTTATTAACTAAATTAGACAATGGGTTGTTAATAATACTATCAAAATTAGTTAAAAAGGTGGGCAAGAGTTGAGATAAAATATTAAGAAATTCTGGTGAGGATTTCAAGTGATTATAATTTGATAAAAAATTATGACCGAAATTCAAGTACCAGTTTTTGCGTAAATTTAATTTATTGTCATTAAAGCCTTTTAGAAGAATTTTTATAATGGAATCATCGAATTTATGATTTAAAGTTAGTAAAATGAAAAAATGATTGAAGAATGAAGATAGGTTATAGTATAAAGAATTTTCAATTTGATCTTTTGAGATTAAAGCTGATAAATTGTTAATAATTTTAATTGAAGAAGTTAATTGAAGATCGAAAGAATTTTGATCAAATTTCAAGTTATTTAAAATAGAAGTGAAGATAAATTTATGATCTAAATTTGAAGCCGATCTTAGAGAAACAAATAATCTATCAATTATTTTTGATATTGAGGTATTGTCATTTATAATTGATAGTGAGTTTATCAAAGAGTTTTTTGAGCCATTTCGAATAAAATCTTTTGAATTTTTAAGATTAGTAAATAGTTGATCATATAATTTTGAAAGGTCGTTATATGATAAATTGATTTTGAGATTGAGAAATAAGTTTGAAGAAATGTGACCAAAGATTAATTCAGGGGATCTCAATGAAGCTTTGATTAGAACAGGTAAAATTTTTGATTTGAAAAAAAGTGATTTGGGATCATTTGTAAACAAGTTGATGAAGTACAGATCGAATTTTTGATAAACTAAAGGTAAAAGAGCAAATTTATTGAGTAGAATGTTGTTATTATAAAAATCGATAATTAGATCTAATTTTGTATTGAAAAAATGGAATAAATTAGGAATAGCAGGAATTAAATTTTGAATAGATTTAGATAAAATTGAAATTGATAATAAAATGGAAGAGTTTGGAAGATTTATTTTTGACAGTTTTGATTGTAAAATTGAGTCCAAGTAGATCTGAATAAATTGGAGGCCCTGAAAACTCAGTTGAGGGTTTTGCAAATTCTTGAAAACAATTGATAAAGTATTTATTGAATTACTGAAAATGGAATTTTGAATTCTCAACTTGTGGTTAGCGTTGGGGCTAATAGGAGGAGGAAGTTTGGGATCAAATTGGTAATTTGATGCAAGAGAGCTTGTAGAATAGTATGTTGTATAATTAATTAATATGGAGTGTGATATAATTAAGTTTTCAAACAGAAGAGAGGAGTTTCCGGTGTCAACCAAATGAATTGAATTTAAAATCAAGGTTTTATTAATGATTTCCAATAAAAACAAGACATCACATATGGGTAAAGAAGAAGTGATTAGATTTGAGGAAATTAAATCAGTAAAGTATTTGATTATAATTGAATTGAAATCCATCTTTTCGTCTTTTGCAGTACTATCATTATTGAATGATAGATTTAAAAAACTGGGGATCAAGTTGTTGACATAAAAAGTTCTGGAGTGTGCATTGAAGGAAAACTTGTTATAATTTACCAACAAAATCTTCAAAATTAATAGAAACTGCCTGCGGTGATTGACATCTTTCGAATTTGAAACCAATAAATTGTCCAAATCTTGTAACGTCTGCAACTGTAGGGCAGTTGAACCATTCAATAAATGGTTGGTCAAGTCTGCCGAAGATAGGCTAAGCAAAGCAGAACTCTCAGCCATTTAAAAATATAAGTAAAAACCAGCCAATCTATTGCAATCGCTATCAAACAGCACTGTCTTGTGAATTGGAGGATCTTCTAGTAAACCATCCACAACATCACTGCTGAGGGCAGTTTCTGAAAATTTTCCACTGATTTCAAATTAAATACAAATCAAGCAACAACGTCACGTGCCAAGTACACCACCTGACTTCAAACTCTGGTCAGATGCAGATCTGCGTCTGTGGCCGAGCGGGCTAATGCCGTATAGAACTGCAAGCACCGGTTCGAAGCGCGTCGAGGGCTGTTTTGGTGAAGGTGCCAGGCAGTTTCAGATGTGTCGGCAATTGCCCGTTTGGGTGCCTCATTTATTGTCTTATTTTCTGGATGAAACTGGAGCAGAGGCTGGTCGTTGGGGCTCGAGTGCTGCTGCCTTTGGTGAAGATATTTAACTCAGTGCTCTGCAGTTGCTCTTCCACTGCTGGTGCCTCTTTTCCATTTGCAAATGCACTCTCTAAGACTACGGGATTTGAACAGCTCTCCGGTGCTATCTCCCACTTCCTCCGATGCTGCTTCCTCTGCTTCCATTCTGGCCAGCGACCTAGAGTCCAATTCACCCAACTCTTCTACTCTCTTCGATTTTTTTCAGCACCCCAGCAGGAAATCAAAAAAACAACTTGTTTTGCGTTCTTTAAAGCTTTTTCTTGCTTTTATAAATTGGTTCTTCCTTATAATAATTCCGTTGTTCACGGTTTACTACTATTTATTTGTCAATCATTACATCACCTACAATTTGTTCGACTCAATCAACACCATCACTCTTCATCTCAATCCCAACTCCAATTCCAACCGTTATACCAGTAACCCTCATCAACCAACTGGCGATAGCCATGTATTAGATCGCTTGAATATTCCTGATTTTGGCTCTGAAAGTTTCAAGGACTGTAATGTTGAGTTTTATGACTTGAACGATTATCAGTCAACAGCTGAGGGCTGGAATAACAATGAACGAGTCTTGTTCTTAGTTCCCTTGAGAGATGCCTCTAAACATTTGCCAATGTTTTTCTCTCATATGGTCAATCTCACCTATCCTCACCATTTAATCGATTTGGCCTTTTTAATATCCGATACTAAAGACTCAACCTTAAAAGATTTGAAAACCCATTTGCATCTAATTCAAAACTCTCCGAAAAAATCTTTGCATTTTGGTCGAATCGACATCTACGAAAAAGATTTCGGCCAATCAATTGGCCAATCTTTTTCCGATAGACATGGCTTTCAAGCTCAAGGCCCAAGAAGAAAACTCATGGCCATTGCAAGAAACTGGTTGCTATTCAACGCCTTGAAACCAGATCATTCCTGGGTCTATTGGAGAGATGCTGATGTTGAAATCATTCCTAAAACTATTATTGAAGATTTAATGCACCACAACAAAGATATCATTGTTCCAAATGTTTGGAGACCCTTGCCAGATTGGTTAGGTTATGAACAGCCTTACGATTTGAACTCATGGCAAGAATCCGAAGGTGGAATTGATCTAGCTGACTCCTTGGATGATCATGACTCTGTAATTGTCGAAGGCTATCCCGAATATCAAACTTGGAGACCTCACTTGGCCTACCTAAGAGATCCTTATGGTGATCCAGAAGTTGAAATGGAGTTAGATGGCATTGGCGGAGTATCAATCTTAGCAAAAGCAAATGTCTTTCGCAGTGGTTCCATGTTTCCTGCTTTCAGCTTCAAGAAACATGCTGAAACTGAAGGCTTTGGCAAATTATCAAAGACAATGGGCTTTGGAGTTTTTGGTTTGCCTCATTATACAATTTGGCATATCTACGAACCAAGTAAAGATGATATAAAACACATGGAGTTTATGAAAAAAGAAGAAGAAAGAAAAAAGAAAGAATTGAAAAATAAATTGATATTTAACAAAGCCTGGAGAAATGCTTTTGAAAGTGTCGATGACGAATGGAAAAACGAAAAATTCGATGTCTTCAAAAACACAATAATGAAAAATAGAAAAATTGATGTTGACTGGTCCGAAGTTGATGAAGTTTTACAACTAGTAGATAAGAAACCAGGTGAAATAGATTATAATGATCATGAGGACGTTCAACAAAATGTCTTTAATTATCAACTTGATTTCACAAAAATGTTTGAAAAAGAAAAAACTTATCAAAAAAAATTAAAAAAAATATTAAATCCCATCAAAGAGTACGGTGATCATCCAAATGAACAAGTTTTCGGCGATTGGGGAGATGCTTCTTTCAAAAATAAAAATAAAAACAAAATATTGAAATTTGTAAAGTTTGATTCAAAGTTAATTGAACACCCAGAAGATGAAGACAATAATATAGACAAAGATGATAACCAGATTGCTAATAATAATAATAATAATAATAATAATAATAATAATAATGATGATGATAATGATAATGACAATGATAATGATAATGATCGTGAAATCTCTGATTCGAATTTTATCACTGAAGACAACCCTGAAATTGAAGTTTCTGCTGATGATATTCTAAACTATGTCCTCGATTTTGCTAATCTTGACTCAGACAAAAAGAAATCTTCTACATCCGATAAAAAAAATATTTATGTTGAAGCTTTGCAATTGAATCAGCATATTGTTCAAAATTCCGAAAAATCATATGAAGAAAAAATGAAAGAATTGAGAGGTTTGCTAAATAAATATAAAAACGATATAAAAATTAAGGAGAAACCAAGTAATACCAAGTATTCTGCCAAGTCCATCAAAAATCAAAATGACCAAAAACTTTCAAATTCTGAGCCAAAGATAAGTCAATCTCACTTGGAAAAAATTGAACTAAATGACAGCCCTTCAGTTTTTGAAAAAGATGAATCGAATAATGACGAAACCAATACCAACAACTTCTTATCACAAGAAAATTCAGACTCGAAATTAAATGATAAATTTGAAAACCAGGAAAATGGTGATGATTCTTCTGATCGTGATAACACAAACTTTCTTGATGAATCCTTGTTTGATGAAATTAAAGAAATTGAGAATGATCTCACTCTTCAAAGTGAAAGCAATGAAGATATATATAAAGATTTAGAACTTCATATAAATAAAAATGAAGAAAACTTAAACCAGGATTTTGATATAAATGATGATAATAATCAAAATCACTTAAATGATTTGAGTAATCAAGGTAATGATGAAAATGTGATTGACAATAATATCAATGAAGATGAATCCATTTACAAAACCGAAAATCAACATGAAAATCATAATTCAGACAAAAACTATGAGACATTTGAAAATAGTATTGATGATGAGATTGATAACAAAGTATATAATGATCACTTTTCTTCTAATGAAATAGATGAGAAGGAAATTATTGCCAACTTGAACTACCGATTGTTTGATGATATAAGTTTTAAAAAGGAAAAAGAAGAAAGAGAAAAGAGAAATTCTGAATATTCTCGGAATAATGAAAAAATTGAGTCATTGAACTCAAACGAAGAAAATAGTTTAGATTCGAAAATTAATTCTAATTCTGAAGACCAAATTCTAGAGTATGAAGAAATAATTAATGAGGTGTAGATTATAATTTGCATTTCAATCAATACAGAAAATTATAATATTCCAAAAATTATTTTAGATTTTTATTTTATAGATTTTTACACTGTTTTTTGTGTTCAATTTTATGCGACTTTTGGGTTCTATAGTGTTTCTTTGTTAGAATTCCAAGGTGATTTTTATTTTGATTAGAAAATTAACAGGAGAAAAATATATGCTGTATAGTGTGTTCATAATTAAAGTACAATCAATATTAAAAAAAAGTAGGAAAATAAGTTAAACAAATTCAACTTTTCTTTTGCTTTTAACTATATCACCAGATGTATTTTTACTATCATCATGAGCATTTGCAACTTGTTTTTTTGCTAATTTTGAGTTTTTTCTTCTCAAGGTTCTAGCTAAGTTGGCCTTTTGTTTCAATTGCAACTTTTTATCATTTAGTTTATTTATCTTTTCATTTTCTTTTACCTCCAATTCTTTTCTTCTTAAGTCTCTAATTTCTTCTAATCTTTTGGCTTTTTCTAGTTTGGATTCATTCACCAAATCATTTTTATCCATAATTGTCTTAACGATCTTATTCAATACAATTGTGTCATTATCACTTATAAATTTTTTGCCCTTCTTTTTACCTTTTTTTATAATTTTACCACCAGGCCTTAGAGCTGTATTCAAGGTTGGTATGTCCAAATCTTTTTCATCTATTTGAATAGAATGATGCTTTTTGTTACTGTTCAAGGAGGATTTTGGCACTTTTGAAGCGTTTTTCCCATATAAACGCACTTTAGACTGATCTTTCTTCACTTTATTCTTTGATACAGATGGAGTATTGGATTTTGGGGTCTGAATAGGTTTGGAAATCAAAAGATTTCGAGCTTGAGAATCACTTTTGAGGTCTGAATTTACAGACCTAGTGAGATCTTGTTTTCGTGCCTGTTTTTTAGCTGATCTGTAAACCATCTTAGATTAAAATATATCAATACAATCACACACTTCTTACTGTAGATAAAAAGCAAATTTAAATTTCTTTCTCTTTGCTGTGTGAAAATTAATCTGAAAAAAAAAAATTTACTTGAAAGGCCTTTTGATGTATAATTATGCACATATATGCAAAAGTGCGTTTTTAGAAACCGGGCAACCTTTGGGCTAAAATCCATTCGTTGGATTTGCAAAGAGGAACAATTTTCAGCTTCAACTTGCAAAAGACAGTACTGTGCCAGTGCTTTCGGTTTGAATCTCACCATGCTCTTCAACAATGTCAAGCAAACGACCTCAAGGCTGTCAAATTACATGAACTTGCTCTTGAATAGGGCCTCTTTACACCAGCTTCCTGGAATAACAACATGCAAAGCAGCCGGTTCTTTTAATAACTTTCATGTGCTGAAGTACTTCAGTTCATTTTCAATTCAAAACGACGAAAAAAAAAACTCGATATTTAGTGACTTGACTACAGTCGATAACAACACAAAAACTGAAGCATTGACAAATCGAATTGCTGAAGGTTTTGATGCTATTGGATCACACGAAGAACTGCCTGCTTCTAAAACTGAAAACAATCTCGAAGATATTGATGAAGAAACTGCTCAAAGAATTAAACTAGTTAAAGAAACTGAAAAGGCCAAAAAACGCATTCAGAAAGTTGAAGATGATCCAGAATTAGTGGAATTTAATAAAAAGTTCATTATAAATCAAGCTGCTGATGATTTGCTTTCCCCATTAAAACGAAAAGTATATTTGGCTAATGTTGGAAAGTTTGGATTTTTTAAAAATAATCAAAATATTCAAGTCGAAGGAAAAAGTTATGTTTTGAATCTTACAAAAGAAGAAATTCAAAGTTTGGAGCCTTCCATCTATTTAAAATCCTTCAGACTAATTGGTTCTACAAAAAAAGCATTGCATATTGTTCGGTTACTAAGAGGACTAACATTAAAGGCAGCTATTGCTCAAACTCAATTTATTGAAAAGAAGGTTGCAAAAGAATTTTCTCCAATTCTAGAAAGTGCCATTGAAACCGCAAAAACCTATAATTTAAATGCTAACGATCTTTACGTTTCCGAAATTTGGGCTGGATCAGATGGTGAAACAGAAAAGGGACTTGATCCAAAAAATAAAGGGAGATTTGGTATAAAACGTTTTAGAAGACATCATATCAAAGCTGTTTTAAGAACATCTCAAACACTTAAAAGACTAAACTATGAAAAACTTGAGTTGCAGAAAAAGAAAAAACCTGCCTTTACTCCTTTAAGAAACCTTGGAATCACTACTCGTCAATCTCAATTCATGAAATGGTGAAACAAAGTACATTACAAAAGATTTTAACATCTCATTTACATGTAAATAAAATATATTCTATAATTTCATTCAAAAAGTTTATTGATTGTAGAGACTTTTGCAAGGTTAAAACAGTAGGACGATCACCTGATTTTTCAAGAGTGAGAATGTAAATAAAGTTTATTGATGAAAATGAGTAATACAACAATCTATTTGATAAGTTCAAATATATGAACTAAACACCAACTTTAACAATTAGAAGCAAAAAGTAAGCAATGTCAGCTGAGAAATTAAATAAAGATCTTTCGGATTTATCAGTTAAAGAGGAGGCAAAAGAACAGATAATCACACCTTGGGAAGTTGAGGGTGCAGTGGTTGATGGAAAAGCCCAACTGATTGATTATACCAAACTAATTAAACAGTTTGGTACCAGACAGATTAACAATGAAACACTAGAACGTTTTACTAAAGTTACAGGACACGAACCTCATATTTTTCTCAAAAAGGGAGTCTTTTTTTCGGAAAGAGATTTTAATAAAATCTTGGACTTATATGAACAAGGTAAACAATTTTTCCTTTATACAGGAAGAGGACCTTCTTCATCATGTATGCATTTGGGTCATATGGTGCCTTTTATTTTCACAAAATGGTTGCAAGAAGTGTTTGATGTGCCATTAGTTATTGAGTTGACAGATGACGAAAAATTCTTGTTTAAACCAAAATTAACAATTGATGATGTGAAAAAGTTTGCAGTTGAAAATGCCAAAGATATTATTGCAGTTGGTTTTAAACCTGAGAATACATTTATATTCAGTGATTTGGAGTATATGAATGGAGCATTTTATGAAAATGTTGTTAGAACATCAAGGCAAATCACCACTACAACGGCCAAGGCGGTTTTTGGATTTAAAGATTCGGATTGTATTGGAAAAATTCATTTTGCATCAGTTCAAATTGCAACAGCATTTCCATCAAGTTTTCCAAATATTTTAGATCTACCACCAAAAACACCATGTTTGATTCCTTGTGCAATTGATCAAGATCCATATTTCAGGGTTTGCAGAGATGTTGCAGACAAATTGAAATTTAGTAAACCCTCGTTGATTCATTCAAGGTTCTTTCCAGCATTGCAAGGGTCAACAACTAAAATGTCAGCATCAGATGTAAATACAGCAATATTTATGACAGATACAGCAAAACAAATTCAGAAGAAAATAAATAAGTTTGCATTTAGTGGTGGACAAGCGACAATCGAAGAACACCGTAAATATGGAGGAGATCCCGAAGTCGATGTTGCCTATCAATATTTAAGTTTTTTTGCGAATGATGAAGAGTATTTACAAAAACTTTATGATGATTACAAATCTGGAAAATTGTTAACAGGTGAATTGAAAAAAGAGTGCATTCAAGTTTTGCAAAAATTTGTTAAAGAATTCCAAGAAAGAAGGAAATTGATTAATAAAAACACATTAGATAGTTTTATGAAACCTCATAAATTGGTTTTTGCTGAAAAAGAGAGATTAGTGCCAATTAAGTCCAAACCAGCTAAAAATACCAAATAAAATATATCAAATAGTAAATCGAACTATAATAGAAATATGAATATGTTTAAGGTTTAAATAGATGAGTTATGAATAACATTGGAAAAACTTTTGTGCTTTGTTTTTTTGGTGTTTTGAGCAAATAATTTATATTAAATATATAGAAAATAAATACCATTAGAATATAGCAAAATGAATGATTGCAATTTTCATTCGAGTAAAAGACGTAGCCTAGAAGGACAAAAAAACCCAAACTTCTTGTTGCAATAAAAAATTTTATTGAGATTGAAACCGCCCACTGGATGATTTAGTCATCATAACCAGATAAAGTCAAATCTCTGGGTCTATTTGGTATTGGATAATAGGTGGGAACAGGTGGAGCATCTTCAAAAAGATATTTTCTTCTCAAGGGAGTTATAAATAATACACCCAATGGACCAATTATACCAATGACAGCAGAAAAAAACAAATTTGGCTTGGTGTGAGCATAAAATCGCAAAGTCTATTGGAAATGAAAAATCAACTAGTCAGTTTGCCAGCCCGAAAATCGAGAGAGGTGGGTAGCCGTAACATACACGAATAGGGTTTCTTAAAAACAAAGGTTTTTCACCAATATATCTTTCATCCATTTTCAATCGTTGTTATATCGACACCTGGAGTCCAACTTGAGTGCTGATTGATGAGAGCTGGTATAAATCGATGCACCCACAGTGAAAATGGTAATAGCTGATTATTTCTCGTGCATCCCATTGGTTATGAAACCTCCCCGATGCAGCATTTCTCAGAGTGGCAGCTGCTGTTTCAAGCGCCTTCTGTTTTGTGATCGTTTGATGGCTATATTAGGCAGCTTCCCTTTCGGGAGCAGAGCCGCCCATGTTGAGAGTTGCCCTCTAGCAAGTTGAGGATAAGAAATCAATCAGATTGTGACATGTTCATTAACCTTTTTATGAAATTCTTGATAAAGGGTTAAAAGAGCACTGGGTCGTGGTATTCGCCTATTTTTCACTTTAATTATTTGCCATCGAGCTCTGTTTATCATAAATTGCTGTCCATATCTCGCTTTTTTGTTTTTTTTTGCTTTTAATTTACTTATTTTCCATTACCTATTTTCCATTACTACCAACAATATAATATCGCCATGGGTTTATATCAAGATCTTTTACCGTTATCAACTGGGATTGTTGTTGCAGCTTCGTCATTTTGCTTGGGTATTGTTTATGCCAACTTTCAATATGATTATAAAACTTTGATTTTCAAAGATGGAACTGAAGCTGATTTTATAAATTCATTAAATCACTATACCACTTGGGCTAATTCCCCACTTAAGATATTACATATTTTGCATGTTGTATTAGGTGTTGGCATATTTGGTTTTTGTATAAAAATCTGGAAACCAACCGATGATACTTATTTATTTGATTATTCATGTTTATTCATGTTTATTGCTTCGATGATTATCTACGCTACTAATTTAAAAATCGGAGCTGATAGTTGTATCCATGGAGACTGGGGAGAAGTTGACATGAAGACTGGTATCAATGTTATGGCCGCTTCGCAAATAATGGTTGTGTTTCTTTTAACGGGTGTTTTATTTCTACAAGCTGGTCAATTTTATTCTGAATTTGATTTCAAAAGAAAAACCGCTAAACTCGAAGCTGAATATCGTGAAAAGGAAAACAAAGCTAAAAAAGAATTGAATGAAAAAAGTGAAAAGAACAATCAAAAGAATTCCAAAAAACACAAAAATTCCAAAGGTGAAAAGGTTGAAGCCAAATCAACTGGAGTTGAAGCCTAGATTAATGCTATTAAGCCAACAATTCCAAAAAAAATGGCTTTGGGAACGAAATGGATAGTTTGATATTAAGATAATAAGAATTTATGTATAAGTATGCCAATGATTTTGAAGTTTTTTTTTGTTCTTTTTTTTAACTCAATTACGTTTTTGTATTTATAGTTTTAATCAAATTTTTTTAATTGTTATCAATTAATGTTAAATTTTATTATATAAATACAATAAAGTAAATTAAAAAAATAATTTACAAAATGATAAAAAGTGATTAAAAAAAAAATAAAATCATTTATTTGTTACTAGTGTCTAGGGATTTCAAAAAATATAAAGATTAAAAAACTTAGGCAGTTTGAGTTTCAACAGGAGTTTCAACAGGAGCCTCAATGGGGGTCTCAGCTTGTTCTTCAATTTCTTCAGGAAATTCTTGAACAGGAACTTCTTTGTGATTTTTGACGTATGGAGCAGGAGTTTCTTCATCTTCTTTTGGAGGAATGACATTGACATAATCAGGTAAAGAGTTTGGACCGAATCTTCTCTTTGAAGGATCAACCATGATTTTAACTTTGATACCTAAAACACCTTGTCTCATCAAGACGTGTCTGGTAGCAGTGTCAATAAAGTCTTTTGAAGGTTGACCAGAGTGGATCATGAAACCATCAGCGAATTTCATTGATTTTGCTCTGGCAGCTCTTAATTTACCGGAGATTACAACTTCAACACCTTTGGCACCACTTTCCATGACGTATCTGACAACACCGTAAGCAGCTCTTCTAATGGCCAAACCATTTAATAATTTGAATTTAAGAGATTCAGCTTGAGCAGTGGCACTTAAACCACGTTCTTGAATTCTTTCTGCGTAGAGAACAAGGGTGTTTGGAGCAAATTTGAATCTTTTCTGGACCAAGGAGGTTAATTCATGGATTCTACGACCATTTTCACCTAAAATTTCTTGTGTTCTGATGGCTCTGATAATGATTTCAGTTTTTGTTGGGGTGATTCTAACTTCAACGCCAGAATAACCTTCGGCAGCCAATTCTCTGGTGAAAAATTCGTTTAATTCAGCAAAGAAGACACCGTCGGCTACCAATTTCTTTTTTTTAGATAATAAAGAGACCATTTTGGATTATTTAATAGTATTGAGGATCGAAAATAGTGATAGAGAGAAAATGATCAATATAGAAAAACTGTTGGTTGAAAAGTTGTATGTATATTTTGGAAATGAAAATGAAAATGTGAAAGAGATCAGAAAGAATAGTGTACAACGCACGTGAAACAAAGTAGGGCTATAAAGTTGAGTGTGAGCAAATTAGCTATTAGTTAGCATTTAAGTAATTATGAGATATAGTGAAGCATGAGATTATGTAATGAGAGTAGAGTTTACCGTGTAGGCAAGGGAATGTTTTTGAAGCAAGCAAGTGGCATACGGTGTGTTCTAGACCTGTAAAAGCAAAAGTTAAATGGCGAGAAGAGTGAATTGCGTTTGTTCGAAGCAAGTTATATGAATAGCGGGTAGTGTCGAAGTCAGAAAGAACATTAGCAACAATCGCAAGATTGAATGTAGTGCAATGATTGATGGAACAGAGAAGTTTTTGAAGCAGACAATTGAGAAGGTAGCAATCAGATAAGATGATAAACAAACGATTTGGGCCAAAATAAATTTCAAAAGCAAAATGTGAAATTGATAATACAGGTTTTGAATGTTAAAATTTTAAAGCCTTTCTATAAGCTCTTCGTTAAAGAGGTTGATTGATTGACTAAGAAGAGTTTAAGGTAATTAACTGTAAAATTATGAAACTGGTGGGTCTAAGCGACATAAGCAAATAGAGCTTTTAAACCAATTAACATGCTATTTTTCGACGAGTGTGACATAGCAGGTAGTATAATTATGACTTAAAAGGAAATTATGAAATTTACTCCTATACCAGATAAGAAGCAAACTAAAACACCGGCTCTTACACCGGTGTTTTTGTTGTGAAAGAAGATCGTTTTCTGGCTTTGGATAAATAGTGCAAACGACCTTTATATTTCGGTAGCAACTCTGAATTGTTTTTAAAAAAGTATAAATATAAGCAAGAATCCAGCCTCTGCGATTTTTATTATTACCAATATCATTATCAATATCATTATTAACATCATTATCAGTGTGCTTTCGCCAGTTGTGATCAGAATAACCATAATATAACCACAATATATTATAACCACAATATATAACCTTGGTACTCATCTAACCCATACTACAGATTGATTTCCAGACCAATAACAGTTGCAACCGAAGTCTAACATTTTTCCAAAGACACAAACAATAATAACAATAACAATAACAATAACAATGCAAATTCAATCCGTCGCTATAATTCCATTTTTGCTTGCTGCTTGCCAGGCCGTTGTCACAGTTGAAGTAACGACCACCGTGAGTGGAACACTTACTGAAACCGCCTACGATTCGGTGTGCGGAACCAGCTCGTTGTGCTCCAATGTCACAATCTCTACCTACGACGGTGGTGCCAACTACGGCTACTCTGGGTCGTACCTCGCCGCCGGTGCTGTTGCCGTTGGTGTGGCCTTGTTGAATTTGTAGGTGTATAGTTTTGCCCAGTAATAAACAAACGTCTCTCAGATCATCCCATCTAACAATAGTCCCACAGCAATGGGCTGCATTGCACCCCGTGTCAAGCCGCGCTGAGACGCGTGCAGCATGCAGCACATTCCCGGCGGAACAACGGTCGATCGCAGCACAATAGGCAATGCGTCCGTGCGCGGGAACGCGTGGAGCGGACGAGAACCGGAGCATCGCGCCGGGCCGCAGCCCCTTTTGGCACGTGAGCCGGCCGGCGCAAGGCTCTTGCGCGCACTTACGGCCCACTCACGACCCATTCACTGCCAATTTTCAGTTGTTTTCTGCCAATTTTCAGTGATAACTATCAGTTTCATTGCAATTTGCTATTTCCTGCCATTATCTCACCTTCTCTGTTTTGACCATCCTCACAGTCCTAATCACAATTGCAACTGTCATTTTGTTGTCGCTACCATTGCCCTTCTATCCTGCTATCCTGCTACCTCCTGACCTCTCATCCTCCTTTTCTCTTATCCTCAATTGATACTCAAGTCTGTTGCTTCCTGCTTCTTGCTTCTTATTTGTTATTTCCTATTGTTTCCTATTTCTTATTTGTTACCTGCCTAATATCCACCACCTATCTCTAATCTCTAGTCTCTAGTCTCTAGTCTCTAGTCTCTAGTTTGGGCCCTGTGATACCTGTGATACCTGTGATACCTGTGATACCTGTGATACCTTTGATTTCTGCTCACTTTTCTGTTATTTCATTTGCTGGCTTACTCAGCTCTTCGTTTGTCAATCTGCCTGTGCTAATCCACTAATCTCTCCCCATTCTTCTCCCTGTCTCTCTCCATATCTTATCGCCTTATCTTGCTCTCTGACTCTCTGTTTCCCTTTTAAAAATGAGGAGTATCAAATGTGTTGTTGTTGGCGATGGTGCCGTTGGTAAAACCTGTCTTTTGATATCCTACACCACCAATACTTTCCCCCACGACTACATCCCTACTGTCTTCGATAATTACTCTGCTAATGTCATGGTCGATGGCCAACCAATCAAATTAGGCCTATGGGATACTGCTGGTCAAGAGGAGTACGACAGATTAAGACCCTTATCCTATCCTCAAACTGAAGTCTTTCTCATTTGTTTTTCAATTGTCGAGCCTTCCTCCTTTGCCAATGTCAAAGCAAAATGGATTCCAGAAATCAGACAACACTCAACAAAAGATATCTCCATATTGTTGGTTGGTACCAAATTGGATCTCAGAGAAGACCCTCACACCTTGGACAGATTGAGAGAGCATGGCAACTCCCCCATCTCCACCCAAGAAGGCCAAAAATGCTCCAAAGAGTTGGGCTGCGTTGAGTACTTGGAGTGTTCTGCTGCAACTCAACAAGGTGTCAAAGATGTTTTTGATGCCGCCATCAAAGCTGTTATAGACCCTCCCAACGCTTATGACGACACCTACAACAACAATAACAACAACAACAACGACTTTAACAGCAATTACAATAACAATAACCAAAACAACCTGAACCAACAAAATGGTCAATCCCAAAATAACTCCAAATTAAATTCAAGAAGCTCCCACCGTAGATCCAGAAAGAAGCCAAAATGTACTATTTTATAATTATTTAATATTACTTTCTATTGTTTTTTTGTTAATAAACTTTTTTCTTTCCAATTATTATTATTATTATTATTATTATTATTATTATTATTACTATTGATTATTTATTGATTATTTCTTATTTTCAACTTACCTAATCCATTATTTTTGTTAGTTTTTATATCTCTTTTTTTTTGTTTTTATATATAAACCTTTAATGATTGGTTTGTTTTTGTTAGTATTTTAGTAGTTATTTGTTTTGTGTGCTCTTTTGATAGTTATATTTACTTACTCTTTTACCTTTTACTTTTTTCTTTTTTTTATTAATACTCTAATATCTCAATATATAAATTTTAATTTACAAATCAATCTCTCTATTTACCTATCATAAATGAAATCCAACTTAATCTCGGATTTCTCACTATCACAGCTACCATATCCAAATATTCTTTTTTCTTTATCCTTTCCATTTATTTTTTGGCTCTTCGGAAAAATAAATCTACCAATTGGCGAAAAACTCATGGGCGATTGTCCTTTCCTGCTTTCTTCGTTTTTTCTAATCTTCTTCACATCAACCTTACTATTACTACTTATACTTGAAAGCACTATTCCATCTTCCTTATCGCTGCTCGTACTTCTACTATGGATATATTTAAACCCACACTTACTCTCCTCGAGTTTACTACCATCAAAACCGATACTTTCATTTTCTTCTTCCGTCATTCCAATCTTTAAATCTTTAAGATTTGGCTCATTTGCTTCACCTTTAAAATATTTACTAAAATCTGCTATTCTTTGTTTCTTTTTCATTCTTTTCTTATTCCTTATAATCGATGCCTTTGTTTTTTCATCATTGATAACTTTATCATTATTATTATTATTCTTCTTCTTAATGCCACTACTTGTTCCTGTCATATTCAAACCGAAATTTTCAACTTGATCTTCCTTTAAGAAATTAAAATCTGTTAACGACTCAATACTCAAACTGTCAATTCCAGTTCTGATATGGTCAATTTTTTCATTCATATCATCCATAAATTGGTTTACTTCTGTTAAATCCATACTGGTTCTTTCAACGCTTGGATTCATATTAACAATACCAATATCTCCACCAATCATATTCAACCTTCTCTTCCCATCGACTGTATTAAAATTACCACCGCTATTGAATTTTGAAAAATATATGTTACTTTCGTTACCATTATTATTACTAACATCATCGTTGAATAAAGTATGATCCTCTTGTTTATTAATATCATTCCTAGAGTATGAATATAAATCCTCATTAAAACTTTCAAGAGAGCTAGATTCTAGTCCTGTTTCATTACTATTTTCTTCTACAAATACTTGATTATTACTTGGATAATTTCTATCAACAAAATATTCATTTTGTTGACCAATTTCTTGATTGTTGTTATCATCATCATCATCATCATCATCATCATTATCTCGCCTTATGGGTATTGAACTTGCAATGTTTAAAGATCTTATAGTTCCCAATTCGTAATTAGCTGAAGTAGACATATATAATGAAGCTAGATCATACTCGGAATTTGGATCCAATTCAAAATCAATGTAGTTGACACAGGTTTTCAAACTATTATCATTTGTAACTTGATTTTTTACCCCAATATTGCCATTGTTTAGAGAACATTTAGAACCATTAAAATCGCTAAAAGAATTATTGTCTGCATTAAAATTTGAAGTTGATGGTGGATCAATTGACTGAAATAAATCCTGAATTCGAAGCTTACGCTTACTTTTGTGTTTTTGAGTATTGGAATAATGAGTCATATAATCATTGTAATCACTTTGCCGAAACTTATCACTTTGAATTGTTTGAGTATTTCTGTCATTTGAGTAACAAAACCTTCTAGTTATAAAATTTTGTCTTTCCAGAAATGTAGAACTTCTTCTTGTTTTGTTCAAATTAGAGATTGATTTAGAAATTTCGCTATTGAACTCGCAACTATAAGAAATATTTTTGTTCAATTCTAAAGAAATATCTGGAGATTGTAAGCTGAAAGATCTTGATCGCCCATGGTGAAGCAATTTATCATATAATCGTTTTAACCTGTTCCTTCTACCAGTAAAACGAGGATTCTGACGATAACCATGAAGATAATCGTACCTGTTTTTGTTTAATTTAAATGTTGAAGACTGTATACTTGATGATCTTCGAAAATCAGTGTCAACATGAGAGCCATAATTTTTAGAAAAGGAATGATGGGAATAGAATGAGTTTGATCTTTTAAAATGGTCCAGAATCTTTTGATTATCATTAAAAGAATCATTACCACCTGGTTTCAAATTCAATCTTGTCAATTCATTAAATATATTGGTTGCTGGATCGACAAATTTCTTCTCATCACTTGAGGAAATATCAAGTGAAAATAAATCAGTCTCTTTTGGAGAATTGGATGAACAGAAAAAGGATAGAGCATCGCAATTAGTAGGAACAGAAAACGATGGACTAACTGAATCATCGTTGAAACTGTTTCTGTATTTTTTGAATGGTTTAATATTAGATCTTTTTTTTCTACTTTGATTTCGTTTGGAAATGTTTATTGATGGTACTGTATCTTGATATTCAGTAACGGAAGGATGGACTCTTGTTGGTGTGATGAACGATTTAGTTAGGAACATTATTGAGCTTTCAATTAAAGGCTAGCAAAATACAAAAGCAGTTACTCAATTATCAATTCATAGCTGTTCTTGTTAAAACAACAATTTTAGATTAAAAGAACTGAAATGTGAAAATAGTTAATATTGCAATCATTTCTAAACAAGATTATTTACTGGATAGCATTATATAAAAGAGAGAAAGTGGTAGTAATACAACCACTGTTAGTATAAATGAAAAAAAAAAAAAATTACACAAATAAAGCAGGATCATCCATAAAACTGGTAGAAAAAGCCAGGTTTTGTTATTAGTCATAATCAAGGTTGAGATTAAGAATAATATAATAAAACTTCAGAATAATTATATCAAATTCTTTTTTATCTTCTGTTGGGTCAGTGTTTAATAAGCCAGCAAGGAAGTGAACACTCATGTTCATGCCATTTTCTGTTGATATTGTGTTGATTAGAGATGTATCCGAATTTGCACTGATGTTTGCGCTGTTAACGAGATCAATAATTTTATAATAAGAATCAGGATTTGTGTTCATTTTATAGAAGCCTAGGTTTGATAATCTAACAGAGTGAGTTCTGGGCTTTCCAATTGATGAAGATAGGATTTTTTCCAAGAAACTTGTTTTTATGTCATTTGATTTTCTCCAGCCAATATTATAAATACTATTTAAGAACTGATCATTGATGATTTGAGAGCGTAATTTATCGATAAAAGAAACAAAATCCCAAAGCGAGTCTTTTAAGTTATGATAATCATTGAATTTCAAGACAAATTGAACTAAAGAAACATAACAACCATACAAGACATTTTCAGGTTGAGAGATTTCCGGTTTCCAATTTTTGGAATCTGATGCATAGGGTCTGAGGTTTAGTGGAATGGCAAAATCATATAATAAATTCTTTTGTAGATTTTCGTCTGTGTTCTCAATTAGATAAGATGAGATTGCAATTAAGAAAGCGACTTGAATAAAAGAAGCCATTTTAAGTTTTTTTGATTTTAAGGTCGAGTTTAAGTTTCTGGATTGAGCCGAAGTTAAACGAAGTAATTTAATATATGATTTATACTCATAGTTATTTAGAACGTTGTTGAATTTAAAGATTTGATGATTTGATGGGGGAGTCATTGAACTTTTATATCCAGCTGGAGGTTCAATGTTGACAATTTGGTCTAATGATTTTGGAATTTTAGCTAATTGTTTGAAATCTCTATTAAATTCAAAAATATTTTGTGGAATCTTGGAATCGTCTTGTAAAGTGAATTGACCCTGGAGGATTTGGTCATGATACGAATTCAAACGACTTAAAAATTGAGTAAAGAAATTCAAAGTGGAAATACCATCTAATAAATGATCACAAACAAAGCAAATAATATCTGAGTTTATAACCAACACTTTCCAAACCGGGGTAGATTTCAGGTAGGCTTGATGAAACTGAAAGTTCAAATCTAAATAAGATAGCAAATCATCATTGATATCGGTCCAGTTATCATTATCAATAAATTTAACAACATCATCAAATTTAATGGTATCAAAGGGTTTGAAGAAAAATAAATCATCCTCTATTATATCTGAAGATTTTTGCGATACCTTCAAGGCTAAATAAGAATTTTCAAAAACCAAATCTTGGATAATCCTATAGATTAAATATCTTGAATCGAGTTTCTCATTTAACTTGAGCGACAAGTTTAAGTTTCTTTGAAGTTTGCAGTTATTAAAAGCAACCCAAAAACTTTCATTGGTGCCAATTGGCCTTGTAAAGCTATCAATATCAGACATTTGTCAAGAAATCAATTCAAAAAGGAAAGAAAGAGCAGCAATTAATAGCACAGTAGTCTCAAGCTAACTGGGAATCGCAAATAAATAAGAACAAATTGAAGCCAAGTGGAATAAAAAGATAAAAACATATCGATATTTATACCTCCACTCGGAAGAGAATTACCATAGATATCACACTATTATCAGATAATATCAATCAACCTTTTTAAGATGCTTTTGATCAACACCAAATTCTTATATTTTACTGAAAGCGTCTCACTGAATTGGTACGGATCAGAGCCACCAGAGAGGGAGACATGTTTATGCTGTATCACGCATGCTCCAGAGCAACGGCAGTGTAGTCCAATCACATCCGAGATTGCTGAAAGCCGGAACTGATTGAAGCTCGAGTTTCAATCCAAATTTTCGACCCAGTGTTTCTGAGAGAAACATGCTGATCGAGGGTGGAATTTTAATCGGAAACCCGTTTTATCGGGGATTACTAATTTCAGGCAAGCACGGATATTTCTCTCTTCCATTTTCACTTTGGAGCTCTCCTGCTCAGCACGTCTACACTACTTTTTCTGCACGTTTGGATTCAGGACGGATTCTGGTTTCAGAGGGTTTTCCCGCCTCACGGAGCAGACAGCCGTGCTTCCGCTGCGATAAGAAACCTGTACTCACGTGCGCAGGATCTCTGTTTTCTGTTTTTGTGATTGTGGCGCACTTTCTGCACCCAAAAAGCTCGAAACTATTGTTCTCCAGCCCACAATGCTCAAACTGTTCATTAGAGCATATTTCGCAGTTGATTTGTCAATTGAGTAATGTGGTAAGATTCTTGGGGTATGATGGAAAGCGCATTATTAATGCCAACTTCTCTTGATTATATTAGTAAGCTGGTTTTTTAGTTGTTTTATGGTTTCTACTGATTCTAATCTGATATCCAAAATTTGTTCTTCAATCGATAAACAAAATCCAATTGAAATGATAATGGCCACATATTGGCAAATTGATTTGGTTAGTTGAGGCAAACCAACAAAATGAGTGAAGAATTTGAAAAAATATAAATAAAGATATTGTTCTGGTTTATTTTGTTTCTATTTGACAAAGAGCCTAACCACAAGCTTTTAATATAATTGTGTTTACATTTATCAAATCAGTGATTTTTCAGCTTTATTTTATTTCTTTTTTCATCTTCTATTACAAACTTACCCGAAATGTCTGCGTCTCAACTTAAATCATCAAATTTATTCAAACCTTTCTCAATATCCAAAAATGTGACTTTGAATCATAGAATTGTTCATGCTCCAACTACAAGACTTAGAGCCACAGAAGATTATGTTCCATCAGACTTGCAATTGCAATATTATGATGACAGATCTAAAATCCCCGGCACTTTACTCATTACTGAAGCTACTTATATTTCTGCAGATTCAATTGGAATTCCTCATGTTCCAGGTATTTGGTCAGATCAACAGGTTCAAGCATGGAAAAAAATCGCTGATAAAGTCCATGAGAATCACTCTTATCTATCTATTCAAATTTGGGCTTTAGGTAGAGAAGCAGATCCTGCTGTGTTAGCCTCAAAAAATGTCAAATACGTTTCTCCAATGGATGATATTTATCCCGATGATATCAAAAAAAATTCTGCCATTGAGAATAATAACCCCTTAAAAGCATTAACAATACCTGAAATTAAACAATGGGTTCAAAAATTTGTCCAAGCTGCTGAAAATGCTGTCAAAGCCGGCATAGATATTATTGAACTTCATTCTGCTCATGGTTTTCTTATTGATCAGTTTTTTCAAGAAATTACTAACAAAAGAAGTGACATTTATGGAGGTTCCATTGAAAATAGAGCTAGATTTTTGCTTGAAATTGTCGATGCAGTTATTGAAAAAATTGGTGATGCAAGTAAACTCGCACTTAGATTAGCTCCTTGGGCTAAGACCAGTGGCATGAATGGAATCACAGATGATTCAGCAACTTATCAAGCATATGTCTATGTTTTATCTGAATTGCAAAAGAGATCTGATAATGGCCATACTCTTGCTTACATTTCAATTGTTGAACCAAGAGTTAGTGGTCTCGATGATGTTGATGATCCAGATATTTACAAACTTAAATCAAACGATTTTATATACACCCACTGGAAGGGTACAGTTCTCAGGGCAGGTGGTTATCTTAGAGATGCCCCTGATTATGGTTGGTTGCTTAAACATGTTAATCAAGATAATAGAACTTTAATTGGAGTTGGAAGACACTTTCTCTCTAATCCAGATTTAGTTGATAGATTAAAAAATGGCTGGGAGTTAACCGATTATGATAGATCTACTTTTTATATTCCTGCGATAAACAAGGGCTACAACAATTGGCCTTTATATAACACAACAAAAATAGTTGATGAGTCTGTTGAAAATCAAATTGCAGTTGCTCTTGCTTGATGCAATATAGGAAATTAGCTAGAATGAACACTCTCTTTTCTTATATATTCATTTTCATATGTTTTAAACCTCGATTTTGCTTATTTCCTTTAGAACAACTGAATTATTCGCAAAAAGAAATGAATTACACCTTCCTTACAAAATTTTTTGTAATGCTGTAGAATAGCACTTCAATCCTGCTGTCAATCGCCAGAATTCTTTGGTTATCCAACCCATTTCCAATCTCTTACTTCCTTTCTTCTGTTGCTGTTATAAGTCTTGATCCTTCGCTGCAATTGTACACCAGCCCCATGGTAACAGTGCCTTTCATTTCCCGTTTTCCCTGAGTTGCCGAAAAACTTGAAAACTTTGGATTTCCCTTCAGATTACAATTGGCAAATTCAGTTTCTGTTCTTTTCTATTCTTCTGGATCCACCTCCTCCAACTCACTCGTCAGATGCCTCTTCACATTATAGGAACCATATTGGTAGAAGGAACTGATAAAGTTCCCTACTGGAACCAGATAAAAGCAATTACTCCTGTTGTTCTTAGTATCGCCTCTTTAAAGTACTATTTTGCTGGCGCTAGAAATAACTGGGAAAGGGATTTGCATGGGAAAGTTTATATAATAACAGGTGGAACTTCTGGTCTTGGGGCTTCATGTGCCAAAGAATTAGCTTCTAGAGGTGCTCAACTAGTGTTATTGGTTCGAAATTTAAAGGACCAATGGGTTATAGACTATATCGACGATCTACGAGAATCAACAAAAAATTTTCTAATTTATGCCGAGGAATGTGATTTAAACTCTTTACACTCCATCAGAAAATTTGCTACGAAATGGTTAGATACAACTAGCATCAGGAGAATTGATGGTATTATATGCTCTGCAGCTGAATGTTTACCTAGAGGGAAATTTAGAAAATTATCAGAGGATGGCATTGAAAAACAAATTGCTATAAACTATCTAGCAAATTTCCATCTACTAAATTTGCTTTCTCCTGCTTTGAGGTCCCAACCTCCTGATAGAGATATTAGAATTATTATGATTTCCTGTTTGTCACAAGTATTTGGTAAAATTGATTTAAATGATATATTATGGGAAAAAAAAAGATATCCAATTAATAAACCTTGGAAAGTTTTTGGTTCTTCTAAATTGATGCTAGGCTGTTTTGCTCAAGAACTACAAAGAAGGATTAACAAGTATGAAAGAAATGATAAATTGCCTTGTAACGTTTCTGTGAATGTTGTAAACCCGGGCATGATGAGATCTCCTTCAACAAAAAGATTCATTAGTTTCGGTACTTTGATAGGTTTGCTTTTCTATATTCTTATTTATCCACTATTATGGATTGTACTTAAATCCACTTATCAGGGTTCTCAATCCATTTTCTTCACCCTAATGAATGGTGAGCTTACTCACTCCAAAAAATTTCATTTTATTCAAGAATGTTCAATTGTCAATAAACAAAAGTTTTCAAGAAAGGAGTTAAATGATGAAGAATTGCAAAAAAAATTATTTGATAAGACTAAGGACCTTATTAAAGACATTGAAAAGAAATCTGCAATTGAAAGGAAAAAACAAAAAATTTTGCAAAATAAAAATAAACCCTTAAAAGAAAAGTTAAAATCAAAAAGCAATGCGAATAATCCCAGCGTTTTTAGTGAAATCTCAGATTTCAATCCTTATGGATCTGCTGATTATAATGCTCCGAGTGATGCTAATCAAGGTAAACTTGGGATTCCAAAGAACAAGCAAAACGTTTCTATTCTTGATACCAAAGAACTCGGAAACATTATGAAAGAGCCCCCATTATTTAAAGATTTTAATATTTCCAATCCCACAAATGCTAAATCATCAACTTCGGAAAATAAGTATTTAAAGCAGTTGGACTTGAAGTATGAGAACAGTAGAAAAAAAATAGACGGAAATAATCAAGCTGGCCCTGAAGAGAAGAAAGACTCAACTAAAACAGGAAGCAGTTTTGTTGAATCAACTACCTCTGTTGATATGAGTACGAATGCTCCCAGAATCAAGTCCCGGAAAGTTTAGTATACTATAAAATATTTATTTTTATATGTTTTAGACTCATCTTTTTTTTCCTTGAATATTACTCAAAATAAAAAGCTAAAAAAAAAATCATTGATAAAAAATAATGTATCTAAACCATATTAACTTATCAATATAATTTTGATAATGATTCCTCAACAATATTTAAAAGAATATCAGCATGTCTTTTTTCAAATACTAAAGATGGCCTTAATCGAACAGCAGTATCTCCGCATCCACCAATGTTAACACCATTCTTTCTACACTCTAGTAAAAAGCCATCTCTTTCTTTAGCCGTATTGAAATCAAAAGCAATTAAAGTACCTCTATTTTTTCCTCGAAGATTTTTCACAATTTGAAAGAATTTTCCGTTGAACAAAGTTTCCAAGTTGTTAAAGATATAATCTCCCGTTTTTTTTGTTGAATGTAATAAGTTTTTTTTGATGATTTCATTGTAAATTGTTTTAGCGATTATTGCTTTAGAAGGATCACCACACCAAGTATTGAATTGTCTGAACGGTTGATCTGGTTGTAATTCAGGTAACTTATAATAAAAACCAGCAGCCTGAAACTTTTTTGAAAAAGTTACAATATCTGGGGGATCATTTGGATCAAATAAATGTTCATGGCACCAAAATTTGCCTGATGCCCCAACCCCTGTTTGAACCTCATCAACTATTAATAAAATTTCATAAGCCTTAGTTAATTTTCTTAAACCTTGATAAAAATAGGGAGAAGCATGATTATCACCTCCTTCTGCTTGGATTGGCTCAACAATTATTGCAGCAATTGAATCAGGCCATTCTTTAATTAATGCTTCAGTTAGTTCTAGACATCTTTCTTCTTCTTTCTGATTTTCAATTGAATACTGTTCTAAGGGATACTTTAGAGACGGAAATGGGGCTCTTGGCCAAGGAAATTGAGGAATATCTAGTTTATGAATTGGTTTTGATCTTGTTGTAGACAATGAACCAAATAGTCTACCATGAAAACCCTTGTCAAAAGATAAAATTGAAGCAGCTGGTGCACCTGGTGATTTATTGTCCATAACGCTCTCAAGCTCTTCTTTAGTAAATTTAGAATTGCCTCTTTTTTTAGCAGCTTTATACATGAAAGCAGCTTTATAAGCAGTCTCATTGGCATCAGAACCAGATAAAGCAGTCCAAACTTTATCCAAACCACGAGGAGCAGCAGCTAAAATACCATCTTTCAAAATACTTTCGTAATCATTTGAGGGAAAACAAGCTAAAGCGGGTCTATTTGCCAAAGCAACCTGCATTTCCTTGGAGCTACAGGCTTTCAAAAGCTCTGGGTTATTGTATCCTAAAGGAATAGAGGAAATTTGACAATATGTATCTAATAATTTATTTCCATCAACATCAGCAATATAGTTTCCAATGGACTTGTAATAATCAGCAACAAAATACGCAGCACGATGATCAAAACTTTTAGCCAATTCACTTAATTTTGATTCATTAATGGGGCCTGGATATGTTTCAGAGATAATTTCGGGTTTTAAAGGCTCATTTGGAAAATAATCTGAAGCAACTGATAAGTAGTATCGTTTAATACTATTTTTTGAAATTAACGACCGATAGTTTCTTGAAATCATATCTGCTGTGAATGATTGTCTATGAAACTGAAAACAAAAATGAATTGGCTGCAATATTGAAGAAATTCATTGTGCTTTAAATACAAATTATTTCCATTTCAAAAAGTCTTATCTTTAGCTCTATATCTCCAATATAAGGTAGATAATTCAAAAAGATTGAGTAAACGATTGGGCAAAAAGTTCGAAAATGGGGATGAAGAAACACTTCGGCATTCGCCAGCCGTTAGTGCATATCAGATGCTGAGAAATGGTTAATTATGCATATCACGCATACTGTGCGTCTACTGCGCATACTGTACTTTTTAGCATGACTTATTATCCGTGATTATGTAATGCTATGATTTTATAAGGAAATATCACGGGTTTGCGCCAGTATAATGCTTGAAAATTTTCTGTTTTGAGCATTGATTTTGAAATCAATCGAAGTTGAACTCAAGATAACTAAACATTTAAATTTTCAGCAGTTTGCACTTATCTTTTTTTTTTTAATTATAAACATCTGAAAGAAGTAATTTGTAAATTTTTTTGATATAATGGCAACTAGAACTCAATTCGAAAACTCCAATGAGTAAGTGATAATGAAACAGTACCGGAAAGAGTATCTACATCTCTGAGCAAACTCAAATTTTAATTTTGAAGTTACTAATATTATTTTTATAAAGAATCGGTGTCTTTTCAAAGCTTACGAACTCTTATTGCATGGTTGCAGTTGGAGGTTCAGAAAATTTTTATTCTGCATTTGAAGCAGAAATAGGAGATGTCATTCCATTGATTCATACAACAATCGCTGGCTCAAGAATTATTGGAAGAATGAGCGCAGGAAACAGAAGAGGTTTGTTGGTGCCATCCCAAACCACTGACCAGGAGTTAATGCATCTAAGGAACTCCTTGCCCGATCAAATCAAAATACAAAGGGTGGAGGAAAGACTAAGTGCTCTTGGTAATGTTATTTGTTGCAATGATTATGTTGCTTTAGTTCATCCAGATATCGAAAGGGAGACAGAGGAAATCATAGCAGACGTATTAGGTGTAGAAGTATTTAGACAGACTATTGCGGGTGTTGCATTAGTTGGCGCATATTGTTCGTTGTCTAACCAAGGTGGTTTGGTTCACTCTCAGACTCCAGTGCAGGATCAAGAGGAATTGAGTTCTTTGTTACAAGTTCCTTTAGTTGCTGGAACTGTTAATAGAGGTTCATCTGTTATCGGCGGTGGTATGGTTGTTAACGATTGGTTAGCAGTGACTGGTTTGGACACAACTGCCCCAGAGTTGAGTGTCATCGAAAGTATTTTCAGACTACAAGATGCTCAACCTGACGCTATCAATAACTCTTTACGTGATACTCTTATTGAAACCTATTCATAAAATGATTTCATTTTCAATTAATACAATCATATGAAGACACAACAATTAAAATTTTATTAAACAATAAAAAGAATGGATTATCGAGAAAGTCACTCTGATTTGTTGAATTTTGGTCTTTTGTGATCAATAAAAAGCTGTATTTTATCGTCTGGTTTGTTTTCTTTATTTGTTTTTTTTTTTGGATTAATTTTAGCTTTTTAGATTTTTCGTTAATTCATAAATCATCACACTTTAATCAGGCATTAATATCTGACACGCAACTTTTCCTTAATGTATGCCAAATGAGTTAGTTTCTCTCCTAAGTTTTTAGTGAATCCCTTCCAAACTTCATTTTCTCCAAGTAATTCACTTTCTGTAATCAATTTACTTCCATTGTTATATATTTCATCTTCAAATGCCTCGTCATTGAATTCATTACTATTTTCATTGATAATACTAATGATAGATCTGTTATCATTATTCATTAAACTTGCATTTTCAGAATTCATATTAACTTTATTTTTCTTGAATATTAGATTATCAAAATTAGTTGTAGGTTTGATTAGAGTTTCAAATCTATCAATAATGGACTTATTATCATCAACATCAATACCATAACCTCTGCTTTTCAAAAATTCAAACTTTTTGCTAATCTTAAAACTCTCGTTGCTAATAATTTTTAAAATATTTTCATTTAAAATCAAATTAATTTCATTGTTTAATGTTATATTAAACAATGTGTCATTTAGTCCTTCAATTTTAACTCCTTCGGGAATTTTTTTTATAAGTTTAATAGGGTCGATTATATTTCCAGCCAACTCAATTAAGGATCTAATAAAAACAGGTTTGTCCATAGAGTAATTTAGTAAGTAGTCCCATAATTCTTTATCATTCTGCTTTTTCGCAAAAAGAATAGCTTGCTGAGGATCACAAATTTTGTCGATGATTATCATTAATGCCTTTTTGTTCTGTCCAATTTTACCAAGTAAATAGACCCATTCATTCAAGTATTCATTTTTTTCGCAAATATATATTGCCTTTTCAATATTATAGTTATTATATTTTTTTAAAAAATTTAATAATTCTCTCTGATTGTAGATAGATAACATTTGAATCATCTCATTTTCAAAACCGTTGCATTCGCTTAACTCATTCAAAAATAAGCTATTTAAATAATTGTAAGTAATGACTTTAAAACTATTCAATGTTTCACTCTTTTTCTTAAATATGTCCATTATTTTAAAAACTGGCAATTCTTCACGGTTATTAATTAGGATATCAATATTATCTTTGAGCTTAATCTCTATGTTATTGATAGATGAATCTTTTAAATCATTTGAAGTTATATCAATTAATATTATCTCAGGAATATCTTCAATAAAATACTTTAACAAATGGTTTTTGGCTATTAACTTCAATAAATCTTTGTCTCTTGCTATCAATAAATGTGGAACTGCTAATTTAAATTCATCCATCTCAATATATAAGTTGGCTAATATTCTTCTTAATTTATTATTATTGTGATCTATATCAGCGTCGTTATCATTATCATTATCATTATCACTATCATTATCATTATAATTTCCATAGTTGGTTGTTTTATATTTTTCACTTTCAATTTTTTCCTCCAATAGCTTCGCAATCTTTTTAATATCATACAAAGATGTGTTCCACGTGGAACTTAATTTGAGATACTTTTCTTGATCATTTTCTAAGAAAAACGCCAAAATAGTCTCAAAAACTCTAGAATTTAATTTAACTTCATTTTCGTGGCAAGGAATCAACCAGCAAATAATGTCAGTTTTCTTATTGTTAACAAATTTCCAGATATATTTTTCCCATTTTTCTTTTATATAATCTTCATAACTGTTGGGAAAATCAATTTTGATCAGACTACTAGAATCATTTATGGATTGTTTCTTATTGTTATGTTTGGTAGTGTTGTTACTTTTTTCATTAATCTTATCAGATGATAAATTGTTTTGAGTTGAATTAGCTATGGTACTGTTTATCTTGAAGTTATTTAAGCTTAAAACTTTTGAAAGACTTCTAGCAGAAGTCTCCCACTTATTAATAGAAATTAAATTATCAACATCTTTCAAGCCGATTTCGCATCTTTGAATTGGATCAATTACATGTTCACTCATTAACCAGGCTTCATAGTACTTTTTTTTGTTTAAATACCAATCTAGTCTATCATTTAGGTTAAATTCTTGAGCAATCACACCGTCTCTGGCGCTAATTAAAAAATACTTTGTGGAATCTATTCCAATATATTGCTCCAAGTGATAATCGTTTAAACCTAAGTTTTCGTAACTTTTTAAGGAGACTTCATCAATTGCGATTTCTTCGCCATTTGTTGCTGATATCAATCTAATTTCGGGTGGATAACTAAGATTTCCACCAGTTTTGAAATTCTTTTTGGGAGGTAAGTAAGTTAAGATCATCAATAAATCATCTTTAAAAGATGCTAAACCAGCAACCAAACTATCTATATGAAAAACACTTTCAATTTCGGCCTTTCGTTCAGTTGGAGGAGCTCTAAAACTAGAAGCAGCCGATGTTAAGCTGAACTTGTTATAGTCAGATTTAATTATAGTCACTTTGATGGACCAGATATAATCAGCCCAGCCAATGATCAATCTATTTGTTTCAGGAAAATTGCATCGTGGCCAGTACAAATCAGCTCTGGGAGAATTTTCTGGTCTTTGGATTTTTAAGATGATTGATCTGGTGGGAATGTTAAAAATTGAGATTCCATTATCGTTCATCCAAACCACAATATCGTCTATCCTTTGGATCGAAACAATTGGACCTCCATTTCCGTTGTTATTATCATCGATAATTGTATCAATTCTTGAGCCCAACCAGTTTCTGTGGGATAGAATGACTTTTCCAGCCATACCACCTGAAATAAATATTCTTGACAGCTTATAATTTTTATCAATAACCACGGCATGTACTGGTCTTTTAAAATCAAATCTTGTAATATCAGTGGGGTCTTTAATGGAACCAATGACAATAGAACCATCCATTGAAGCTGTTGCAATATAATAGCCGTCAGTGTGAATTGATAAAATTGAGGCTTTATGAATTCTGATAGTTCTTATCGGCGTGAAATCAGGATTACATAGATGCAACACACCTGAATGAGTAGCAAAAGCAAAGACATTTTCGTTTATAAGGCAGGTTGATACTGCATCTCTTGTGAAAAAGGCCAGAGGTAGGCCTGTCAAACGAGAGTATTTCAATCTTGGTGGTTCATCATCAGCTTCATCATCAGTAGTGTTAGTAGTGTTGTGGTCTTCCTCTTCTTCCTCAGTGCCATCATCTTCATCACCTTGATCCTCTTCCTCACCAGTTTCAGAATTCGCTGTCGTTGAGAGGCTCTGCGTATCTGAAAGAGCTTCGGTAGAAGGGCTTGTTAGTTTGGATATGTTGGGAGTGGTGCTTGTTGCAGCTGGGGTAGATGTTGCATTGACCAAAGGTTTGTGAGTGGATTCCAGCTGATTAGCAATTACTGTTTTGGCTTTATCGGGACTTTTCCCTTGGTTGATGCCGTTACTCTGTGTAATTTCGAGCATGTTTTGTTGGTGTATTGTGTTAGAGAAATAAAGGATGATGCAGTGTATTGTAGCTACAAAGGGTATTTACATAAATGGCTGTTGTTTCACTGATTTCTGAAGGCCAGTTCTGTTGGGTTTGCACCTCAGATTAATTCTCGGTCGTTGGAAATGCAGAACTTTAACTCTGAATCGCCAGCATTGCAGCATGAAAGCTGTTTTAGGGGGCCGTGTGGCAAAGGAGGTGTGTTTCGCTGGTGCTGGAGGAAAGTGTCTTTTCTTGCTGGATGAGAGGCTCTGGTGGTGAGGATGGTCTGGAAGACGATGGGTTTCACCAACAGGCGAACAGAGATGGTGCAGCAGAGAGATTTTGTTGGAATTCCACACAGCTGGAGAAAGCCCACTGCGCTCGTTTTGGATGTCTTGCACATGAACAACTTGGTTAGATGCTTCAAACTTTTGGGAGCACAAACTTGGGAGCACAAGCTTGTCTACAATAACGCATCCACTTCAATTCAATCCAGGTCATTATCGTCTGCTTGGTCCAAACCAAAAGTTTTGCATTATCATCAGGAAATTCCCTGCTCCTTCCTTGTTTTGCCTTGAGGAGTTTAGCGGTCTTTAAGATAACCTTTTGAATACCTGAAAGTCCTTTAGGCGTCTTTTCTTGAATTGCATCAAATTAATCAGCTCCAGTTGATAATTGGATAATTGATGTGAAAAATTCAAATTTTCTCGCTACTATTCCCATTTTTTATTATTCCTTAATGTCTGGTCAATCCATCAATCGATCTTTATTTTACATAAAGTTGACTGTCAATCGATTTTTATATTTGAAACATCAAACCTATGTTTCACTAACATTATAGATGAAAATGATAAAACTTTGGACATTTGTTCAACTTCTAATTCCATTAACTTTTCACTGTACTTAACAAAAATCACAGCCTGCTTATTTGAATAAATCTTTATATTGTCTACTGAAACTGAATGGTTTTTAGGAAATCATAAACATATATTATACGCTTGCGTGAAACAACATAAAATACTAAAAAAAACAATATTCTGAATTGAAAATAATTTATAATTTATGATAAATGAAACATACATCTAGACAAAAACAGTCAATATATAAAACAGAAGTGAACAATATCCAAACTCAATTTAAAAGAGTAAACTTAACAGGTAAATTTTGGATTCAAATAAAAATTCTTTGATGAAAAACTAAATTGCAAATCCCCAAAGTTGAAAATAAAAATAAAAATAAAAAAAAAAGCTCTTATTTAAATTAGTTCTCCATCCGAATCTGTTACCGACAAAATTTCATATTCCGAATCATGCTCAACTTTTTCATCATTGATATCATTTTTTGGTGTAAAATCAAGTGCCTCAAAACTAGAGTAAACACTGCCATAATTATCCTTTTGATTCCGTGAATCAACATCCATCAAGTTGCTTTTGCCTTCAGTCAAACCAATTTTTTCATCTTCAGTAACAATTATTGACTTGAAATTTTCATTATAAATTTCATCATCATCATCATCTTCTTCGTCATCAGCCTTATCACCTTCGTCTTGTGTTCTTAGAATTACAGAAGAAACTGGAGGACTAATTTTCGATGTTTTGCTGGGCTCATATTGACGGCTTAAAAATGAACTTTCACCAGAAAAAATGATACTTTCTTTAGGTAATATCGGTAAAACAACAGTAGAAGCAAGAGAACCGTTACCTTTATCTTTAATTGTTTTTTCGTTGGCTGCTATTAAATAATTTGCTGGTTTTGAAGCTGCAATCGACTCTTTTGATATCTTTTTAGTTTGATGTTGGTCAGAAACAGATATATCTTGATATACTTGGTTCCCTTGAACCTCTAATCCATTATAAATATCTACTGTTTCAATAGATTTATCAACATTATTATTTACTCTTGTATTTAAATCACTTTCCAGTTTTTCTCTTTCCATTTTCTTCAACATATTTTCATTTGAAAATTTCCCCTCCATCTTTGCAGATGAAATAGTAAGGCTGGTCAACGTTTCCTTTTGCTCATTGATGAGTGTTTTGACAAAACTAAAATCGTTAATCAAATTGTCTTTCACCTCACAAATTTGCTTTTTGAATTCATTTTCAGAAGCGTTCAAGTTATCTGAAATTGAATTAATTGAACTCTCTAATTCTTCAAAGTTTTGTTGAAACTTGGTATTTTGAGTAGCAAACTTTTCATCTATAGATAATGAAAGCTTTTCAAGTTCTTTGGTGACAGAATTGATTTTTTCAAAAATTAATGCATTATTAGATTCTACCTTTGAATTTAAACTCAAAAATTGAACGTTGATGAGATTATTTATCTCAGTTGAATCAAAATCAATAACAATTTTTTTGTTCTTTTTCAAATCAAAAAAGTCTGAAAAAGATACATCCCGCTTGATCGGTGAAGACTTGGTATTTCCTTTAAGAATTCCAGATCTTTTAGATCCACTCTTAATCTTTGCACCTAACTTTTTGTCGTTTGAATCAAAAAACATATCTACATCTCCTGAAAACAAACTGTCATAAAATGGCAGCTTGTAAGAATCAGCATGTTGAGTTCTGAAGGTTTTTGGTAAATTACAAACAAAAGATTCATCATTAGTTTGGTTAGTTTTGACCTTACAATGGTTTACTTTACTTTCAGTTTCCTGTTTGTTAAAAAATATTGAAACATTATGAGTTTTCTTGTGTTGAAAATTCTTTGGATTAAGATCAGTGAATGCAATCTTCAGAAATTCCCAGTTACAATTGCCGCAAAGATCAAAATCACAACAATCGCTGCAGTGATAACGCTCTTTAAAAATTTTTGTATCACAAATGTCACAATAATAGATTTTACCATCATTAAGTGCTCTGTTAATTTTCTTGCCTAGAATTTCCATTTCATGAACTTGTAAATGATCAAAATCGGATATAATAGTTGGACAACTGAGAGCATCATTAATATATTGATAATAACAAGTTTCGCAAAGATCGAAATCATTGCATGTTTTGCAATTGAAACGTAAATCGTCAACATCTATATTGCAATTATCACAGTAATGTGAGCTAAAGTTTCGCAAGAAAACAGTATCTGGAATTGATGGTGGTTTAATGGTTGTAAAATCGTTTGGATCTGAAAAACATTCAAAATTCAAACTGCGCTCTTTTTGATAATCACAGGTACTATCAGTCTTTTTTTTATTTTTAGAGAGATTTACCCTCAAAGCAGGAGATTGATGGTCAAAAGTTTTATCAAAACAATCAGAGCAAAAAAAATTATTAGCTTGATTATCTAAATCGTGAGTTAAATAACGATATGCCAACGAAGAAATTGTATTTGAACAACCGGAACAAGTGAGACATTTCAAACTATTAACTTTAGCCAACTGAAGATGAGCTGAAGAAGATAGTTGAGATACATCATAATAAGATTTTGGAAGAATTAAAAGATTATGATATTTAGTATGTGGTTCATTTTCTGTTGGTTCTGTTGAACACTCTGAATCATAAGTCTCTTTGCAAATTTCGCATAAATCAAAATCGGAACAGTCGAGACATTTATAGCGAGTACCATTAATTGAAGAACTTGGAAAATTTTCCAAGTATTTAGGAGAGCAAATATCACAATAAATATTTTTATGGGATAAAAATCCTGGTTTATTAACTTTCTTCCTGCTAGCAATATTATTATCACTGGCAAGTGCAGTACTTTCAGATAATGTTTGACTCAATTTTTTGAGAATATTTTTAGAAATATCATTGGTTAGCTCTGCTTTCAAGGTCAAAAAGGACTCATTTTTTAAAATTGATTGAGTGAGATGTTCAATTGAACCTTGAGATAAAGTTACAGGTAGGATTTTGGGGGAGATGGAGTCAATATCTGAATTGGTAAAATTGGATTTTGGAGCACTTTGTGTAGTGTTATTGGCATTAGAAAGATAATTGGATAGGTTGGAATCTGGCGCAGAAGTAGGGGAAGATTGCCTAAACAAAAGCCCCAGATTTGCAGAACTACCCGCCTCTGCGGTATCTGTTAAGTCCGGGTTGATAGTGTTATCGTTGAAAGATGGGCTCTGGAAGATGGAAATGCCTGAAGTAGTTGAATCACTGGAGATGGATTGGCTCATTTGTAGTAGTGGTAAAGGACTAATACCAACCATGTCATTGGTCTTGTCGAGAATATGTTCATAAACGTAATTAGTTACCAGTTTGTCATTTTTAAAAAAAATTATAAAACTTAAGGTATCTTTATACTGCAAGATTTGAGAGAGGTTTTTGTAATCACCAAAGGAGGACAAACGAATGGATTTGTTGGATTTTTTTGAAATCCTGTAAATATCCAAATGATTTTTAACATACAAAGAAATGTAAGCAGTTCTGTTGCCTGAAAAGCCAGGTGGAATAGTAACGTAGGGTGACAAAAAATGTTTTGAAATGCCTTCCTGCAATGATTTTTTGGAAGATAAATCTGTTTTTGAAATGCAAAAAATTTTAGTGATACTATTGATGATTGGGGTTGAAAAATCCTTATGGTTAGCATTAGCATTATAGTAGAATGTAAACTTACCAAAAATCTCATCAGGAGCTTTCTTAGTTGTTATAGGGGACTTATTTGGCATGGTGGATTTCAGAGTACTAGTTGATGTCCTATTTAGGTCAATTTTTGGGGAAAAAATATTGCTATGATCAATGTTGTTGGATGTGATTTGGGAAGAATGTTCAAGTGATTTGTTGGATCTTTCGTAAGATTTCAGAGTTTTGGAAACAGAAGAAAATGGATTGGAGTAATCAGAATCAAAATCGAAATTAGACATAATTCAAACTTTCAGCTATAGGTATTTTTTAGATATCCTTTATATTTTTCGAGAAAATTAGTTGAAACTTAGATAAGATTCTGCTTTTTCAAAGTATTTCAATTTTTATGGTGTCAAATTTAATAGGAAAACCTTTCAATTAAATCAGAATTAATACAAATGTATAATTTGTGATTGATGATTGATGATTAAGGAGTTGAATGGAAAATGGAGCAAAAACAGATTGTTTGGAGTTATCGAGGCAAATAAAAACAAAAAGTAAAGATGTTCAATAGGTGAGAGAGGATATCAATTCAGAGCTGCTAAAGAGGTAACAAGAAGTTAAAATGAAACTATTGCTGTTCAAATAATCCTGAAATAGATTTCAAAAGGTTGGAGAAAAGCAGTGGAATATGGGACTTATATATAGATTGTAGGGTGGCAAGGGAGAGTACATCATCTTATCACAGTCATTAAACTAGTTGCTTTTTCGGAGTGCTGACCAAATTTGATTATGTAAGAAACATTTTGCACGAAATGTGGCCGGAAAAAACAATACAAACTCGGAAGCTCGTGAAGTCATTATGGCCCGTTGCCCCCAAACGAAATACACAAGACTTAACCAATATGAAACGAAAATTGTGTTTCAACAAACAACACTTAATTCACAAATACGTTGATGAAGATTGCAATCCAAAAAATATAAATATGATCACTAAATAGCTAAGTAGGAATAAAATAAAACAAGAAAGGAAAAGGAGAGAGAAATCTACTAAGTCATGAGCACTAGAAGAAATCTGTCCTTCCTTCGACGACTGTCAAGCTGACAGCATTCATGTCAAGAACACTGAAAGTGATAACAAAGAGGAACTTGATAGTTCACCAAAGGCTTCCGAAATTAACGAATTAAATCAGAGTTGAGTTAATTGAATCGAATGTTGCATCCGGATTTGAGCGACTAGAACGAATGCTCGAAAGTGTATTAGCTCGTAACGAACGGACGGATTTCGGTTATTCAAGGTCACAACAAAACAGATACTTGATTACTCTAAATCAGGTGATATATTACTGGTTATGATTGGAAGTAAAGATGGCTTTCGACGTTGGATTAAATTTTGGATGGATGCTTACCAATCAGCTGCTAAAGGTAAAGCACAAATAAACAATAAAGATTAGTATTTTTTACTTTTCAAATAATCTGATTAATGATACAATTAATTCTTATGAAGCTGCTGTTTATCATGGCAGAAGATCATTACTTGAGCAAGATAAGCCCAGATTGAGTTTTTTAAATCATATCTTCACGTGACCTCTTTAAGCTGTGGATAGATTGTTGTATTAGTAACTTGAATATCACATGCGGAGCCAATCTGCATTATCCACCGCAGGCCGCATAATATGGGCTTATCATGCAGCAACAACGATAAGAGCAAGTTTATTGCAGAACAACTGGATGGAACAACTCTACAGGCTTAATTTTTCAGGTAAAGGGTTGTCTTTGAATAATTAAGGAAAAAAAGTTTGCGTTGGTAAAAGTCATTACACATTTAGATATTACCGCTCTAAGGTTATAAGCAAAATTCAAATAGAATACATACATTTATGAAGTTAAGTAATTGAAAGGAATGGCAGATCAATGCCATTTATTCGGTTTTTAGTACGTATTTATGAAAGGCCAATTTGAAATTAAACTTTTTAGATTCATTTATATGTATTTTCTGACGAAAAAACACCCTTCGCCATAGAAATAATTGCTTCGTTATATTATTTTCTTTTGTTTCTTTTTTTTTTCTTTTATTCTTTTATTCTTTTATTCTTTTATTTTTTTTTTTCCTTTCTTAAATTATATTGGATTGTATTAGATTGTATTAGATTGTTTTTGGGGGTTTTTTTAATGTTTTCATTTGGGTTTTTACAATGGATTACAATATAAATCCGAAATAATCGATATGACTATTGATTGCAATTTCAACTCTGCAATATAAATTGATTTCTGTTGATGGATTTCTACTAATTGCTTTTTAAATATTATCGATAGTAGTATGAGAAAAGCCAGTAGTTGTTAAAAATCAATAAGAAATTTATCCAACTGATGGCATTAACGGCTTTTTTTTTTGTTTTTTGTGAAATAAATAGTTCAATCAATCATTCCTCTGAGATTAAAACCGGTATAATTACATGAAGAATTAATATAGTTGAACAATTATACTATTAACAAGCCTGTTTAATTCCTTTTTAATTTAAATAGTAAAATAAAATTGTTTGTGATAAACTACAATTTAGAGTAAGAAACACAATATAAATTCACATTGTACTGTTTTCAGATGAAAACTTAAAAATAATGAAAATAAACAAACAAAAACAATTAATTAAATGGTTAATACTCAAAGCTAAAGAGAACACATTCAAAATATTTCATTAAACAATTACCTTAAATTAAACTGGTATCTTGTAAGCATGGAATTCACATGGCCTTTAAAATGTATTTGGAAGGCTACTTTCACAAACACTGCAGCATATAATTTAATTTTTAAAACAAAGGATGCAAAACAAGATATCTAAGCGAATAAACATTCAATCAAAAGTATTATTATATATAGGGCCTTGCCAATATCTGTTTAAAGTCCTTTCAAATCCTTTCAAATCCTTTCAGAACCTTTCAAATCTGTTCTGCTATGATGTTTCATTGTTTTTTGTAGAACATTCTATCTCAAGTTGGAAGCCAAAAAAAAACAGGAAAAGCCATGTTATGTGATCCGGCTAATACCAATGTTTTGATGAGTTTGGTAATGTTACTTGTGCATACTGCATACACACTGTGAATGCTAATAATGCCAATAGTCTGAGTATTATCACTAACGTTGGTGATGTTATACGATACCTGCGTACATACCGTAACAACAACGCCCTGAGTTGGCACATGACATGCATGTGCCAGAGTCATGTGACAAAGGGATCTGAACTTGCAATTTGTGTCTCACTCGTTGTGGACTCCTCTAGATTTCTCCAGGTGAAACAATATACAACTGAATGGCTTTTGCAAATGAACTTTTGAGACCTGTTGCTCAGCAGAGAATAGACAATTCCTCTAATTAACAAGTCTTTTCTCAAGGAACCAAGCGCTTTTATAGTTGATTATATTTGGTTTTTTACTTTCTCATGTTAATATGTCGTTGGACAAAAAACAGTTATAGAAAATAAGTTGATCAAGATATTTTGATCTAATACACAAAAGAAACAAATTTACGGCAACTTCTCCAATTAGCTTGTTTGTGATATTTTATTTCAACCAACAGCAGCAATCATCCAGTCCAAAATAGATCTACAGGCTATCATCGCTTGTGATTGGCTGAATGGAATAGACGTTGTACGATTGGCACCACATACGAGGGCCCAAATGCTTTTCTCAGCGCAAATACGTATCTCCAAGCGCTCACATGCATAGTGCATTGACGTTAGGCACAACAATGCGGATGAAAAGCAACATCACAGTCCAGGTATTACTTGCCGTTTATCAGAATAACACAATTAGGTCAATCACAGCAGAAGCTCAACACAGGTATTATACCAGAATCGCTAAATAATAGCACCAGAAATCCATTTTATAGTTTTGGTTTTATGTTTTACGACCCGTGCTTTATGCTTTATACTTTCTGATTAGAGTTTGTATTTTATCGTTCATACTTTATAACCAAAACAGAAAATTATCTCCTTTCTAATCTTTTTGGGAATTCATTTTTATTTTTTTTGGATTTAACTTGGTTTAATTTGATAATAAAATCAGATCTTAAAAGGATTTTGTTTTTTTCTTTATTATCGTTTTTAGATTTTTGAACAGTCACTATGAAAAACTATGATTCTTATTTCTTGATCTTGGTATACACATAATAGGACTCCAAATATCTTTATTCATTTGGGATATTATTTATTCTGCTTAATATTATTTTCTCTTATATAGCATTGTTTTATTATTTTTATTTTACTGTCTTTGATTTTATGTTGAAACTTTATACATTTTTTGAAATTACTTTAACAAAATTCACAGATTCAAAGTTTATCTTTTTATAAGTTTAGAATTACTAATTTCCATCTCTCTTTTGGTTTTTCACTTACTATTCTGTTTTTATTTCCATATTATGATAAATTAAAATTTTATTATAAATACCTAATCATATTCCTTTATTTAGAAGTCTCAATCAATTGAATTGTATTTTTAAAATCTTCTTATCCTATTATAGATTAGAACATCATATACTTTATTTCCTTTTATTTATGTTATTTTAGTATATATTATCATTCTTATCCACTTTTTTACTTTTATACACATCAAAAATCATCATCCAATAATTATACTACCATTATTACTATCACTATCACTATCACTATTATCACTAATAATTCTCTAATCAAAACCCTTGTTTACAATTATAAAACCAATACCATCCACCACTATTAGTATCCAATACCTTTCAATTTTTAATGGCTCAGGGAAAAGCTCTTTCAGTCCAAGATCATTCAAGGTGGACAACTGAAATGAAATTAAATTTTATAAAACTTTTATTAAACGAACTAATAACAATAGACATATCCCCAAACTCAAAGGATTTTCCCAGATCTTCCTATATCAATGTTAAAAATAAAATGACTGACTATTATCCTGAATTATCAACAAAATTTGAAGTTAAAAAACTAAGAGCTGAACTACATAAAGTTGTAAGTATTAATATGACTTCAATAATTAAAAGACAAAAAAAAAAAGAAAAAAATTACTCAAATTTCTTTAATTTGCTTTTTCTGTTTACTAACTGAAACATATTTACATATTCATTCTTGTTTTCTTCTCCTTTTATTCTCTATTAGATCGCTCATGAACATGATACTTTCGTTTTGCTTCAAGAAATAAGCTCTACTTTGGAATTCACTTATGATCCAATCAACAACTGTTTCACAATAAATTTAAATCATTTTGATAAAATTGATAATTTAGATCAAAATACTATCGATCCAAATTTTAATAAAAATTCACCCTTTCTAAACCATCGACATATTGGTGATATTAAATTTATTTTGAACAAAAAAAAACATTTAATCTTGAAACTAAGCAAAAAAAATAAAGCCGAATATCTATTTCTTTATGATAAATACATTTATCCAAAATTTAATAATAACAATACAAATCACAATAATAACAATACAAATCACAACAATAACAATCAAAATAATACTTCCAATAATAATTCTAATATAACTACTACTGATCACAATTCACACAATAGTATTAACAACAACTTCAGTAATATTACCAACATCAGTGATATAAATGGAATCAATAATATTAACAATATTAATGCTATAAATAATTTAAACAATATGAATAATATCAACAACTTAAACGCTCTAAATGCTCTAAATAATATCAGCAGCTTCAATAATTTAGGTATAAGTACTTTGAATAATTTAAGTAACATCAACAGTATATCTCATTTAAACACTATTAGTAATATAAACAGCCTTAATAATGTCAGCAACTCCAATAACATTGACAGTTTAAATAGTTTCAATGGTATTAATACAGAACCCTTTGCGATAAACAGCAACAGTAGCAGCAATAGCATAATGCTAACAAGTGGTACCTCAAGTTCAGTTTTATCAACACCTATCTCACTATCTTATGACGGAACAACTGGTTTATTTGGTAACGATAACGACTATCTTGGTTCTAGTCAGTCTAATCAATGTCTTTCAAAATCTGTTGTTAGCAACTATGATGCTTCATCAGGAAACAGTTCATCATCAACAAATATAAGTTCAAACACAAACACAACTGCAAATAGTGTAAATGACTCCACTTATGAGAACAGAACAAGTATAACTTCTTCCGCTGGAACATACGGTACAATTAACATTGATCCATTTCCAAATGATTCTACTCTTGAGACTCAACTATCATATCCCCAGCAAACTGCTTCAAGCAATTTATTTTTTCAACCTGCATCAAATAATTTAAACTCCATTCAAATATCACCTCAACAACCCTTTCTAAATCCATTTCACCAGCAACAGCAGAATTTCTTATTACAATCTCAGATAAATGCTAATAATCGTATTTCTGGTGGTTTAGAAGAAGGTTCCCAAAAGCCCTCAATCAATAATAACGAATTTAGTACTCCAATATTAACATCAAATAACATTATTACAGAATGCAATTTGATGAATAATTCTAACTCATACCAGAAAAGAATTTTCAGTAATGATGCTAAAATTAATAACAGCATTAGCAAGAAACAGAATAAAATTTCAAAACCAATGTCGTATGCACAACTCAAAAATCAGTATCATTTGACTTTAGAAACTTTTAAGAACTATCTAAAACATGATAAGAATAACTATAAAATTGCCAGTGATATTGTTATGGATTTAATTTTTCGAAAAATAATTCCTTCAAATTTGTTAATGAAAATTTCTAAAGAGATTGAAAATAATGTTGTTTTTCACAATTTCATAATTAGCAACAATTACTCATTGGATGAGAAACTGAATTTTATTTTAAACTATTTGGCAAGAACATCTATTAATGATGAATCTAACAGCGGGAAAATTGTTAACTCCTTTTGCAATGATAATAGCACAATTAATGATACAGAAGAGTCAAAAAGCAGAAATAACAGTTTTTGTAATGCAGAAAACATCAAACAATCTTCACTGAATAATAAAGTTGGTTGTATAATAAGTGAAGCTGAAACCGGAACCGAAATCAAATAAATTTTTTTTATAATAGAAATTGTTTTTTTAATTTTTAATTTTTGATTTTTAGATTTATATTTTTGTTATTAATTTTTGATGGCTTGTTTTTTATCACTTTGTTCATTTTATCACCTGTTTAGTTTTATTCTTTATTTATTTTTATTGTATTTTTATTCAATTTCTTTCGTCATGTTGATATTTTTTATTTCTTATGATTAATGTTTGAAATCAGGCTGGTATATTTTTATTTTGTTTTGTTTATACTTATTTCTATCTATTTTTTTAACCACTGACATTGTATTTTTTTATTCTTTGTATAGTTTTATAATTGTATGATTATTTTTTTTTTTATTTGATAAGAAAGTATCTTTAAACATGAAAACATGATAAGATCATTTTAGCTTTAATTGAGAGCTTAAAAATTGCATTAAAATTAATTAATCAGTATTTGGGGAACAAAAGGCAAAAACTAATCAAAAAATCGACAAAACAAATGGAATTTCTAAATTGAGGTTGTCTTTTAATTAAGTTGTTTTACAAAAACTGAAATAGAAATATAATCCAAACACTAGACAAATAAAAGAATTTTGAAAATCTCAAGGCTGTTAGAATTATAGTATAATAAGAATAATTTCAAATAATATTCTTACAAAATAAATTAACTTTAGATTTGTACGATTTGTTTCGTTCTCATAAATAAAAAAAAGAAATGAAATAGCAAGAAATCCTCAAATAGATCAAAATAACATAAAATATAATTTCAAAAAACAAAAAGAAAAAAGGTTAATTAAGTTTAAATTAAATCTAAATACTCAATTATCATTATGTAATATAGAATTACAAGAATTGCAGCTAAAAATAATAAATTGGAACACAGTAATCTGAACAGTAATTCAAAAAATTTCCAATAACAATTTACATTTCTAAATATAAAAAGAGTCAAGTGTAATCAGAACCCTAATAGTAAACATCCAATATCAAGGCATAAATCAGAATGTATAATTGGGAGCGTTAAAAAAGCAAAAAGTGGTAGACACTATTTAGTTAAACTAGCAGTTCTTTTATACAATAAAACGTACCTTATCAGGTTGATAAACATGTTTGATCTTGTCGAAGTTGTTTTTTCACTCATTAAATCAAGTTGTTTAAACGTATTAGTGTTTTATTTAATTTAAAAACTGTTTAAAATAATTGAATTGAAAATTGTTAAAATTCAAGAAATTATAAAGGAACGCAAAGTAAAAGCTTTAGGTGTGTTGAGACTAATGTCATGGTAAGAATAGGCTCAAATAAAGTAAAGTATGTAATTAAATACAGTCACAATAGTTTAGTAGCAAAATATAAATTTAATAAAAAGGAATTGAAAAGTATATTCAATTAAAAGTTTATTATTTTCTATTGTCTTGAAATAAATTTATAGATAGATAACGACGATACTCTCTTATGTTATTAAATAAAACAAAAATTTATAAGCTAAAGGAAAAGCCAATGAACCGATAAGTAAAATGTGCCGTTAGAAATAGGCAAAATTTTTGGAAAAGAGGACGTTTTCCAAAATATTTTAGTTGAGAGACGTTTGAGTATACCGACAAAAATAGGAACTAAATTTATATTTTTATATCAAATACGTTAAAAAATAAAACTATTGAGCAGAAACTATCAAATTATTATCCATAGAACGTGCAACTACAAAGTTAATGCAATTATGAAGAAATATTCTTCAATTGATTTTATCAGTTCTAGGCGAGTCTGGTAAATGCCACTATTTTGTCAGTGAAAAATTGATTTCAAGCAATATACCGACTAAACATGTTTTTCATAACTCATCCTTAAGAATCAATAGAGAATATGATTGATAAGAGAGATCAGTTTGACAGATGTTAATGATTGTTTGGAAAGATGACCCAAACCACTCATATATTAGAACTAGAACTTTATACTATAGGCTCTCTAAAGGTTGGATGAACGAGATCAGCCAAATGGGTCAGACTTCCGAATATCCGGATTTGGTATCTCAGCTGCACATGCAAAGCACTGCAGAATCATGCATTCAAGTTTGACCATAGAAGGCTTGTTTTGTCTATATCTATGTTATGGGGCTATTATAATTTGGGGGTAATATGGATTTTAATAATAGTATAGCAAAATTTCTGGCTGAGCTTGCTGTAAATACACCCAAAATATATACTCAATGAAAATATTTTCAAGAGTTCTAATATAAGTTGCTTTTCAGGTGGTTTTGATTGCTGAGATGTATTTTTTAATTAGAAATGAGTTTTTCTGGGTTTAAGATATCAAAAACAGAATGAATTATTTTTATTAAATTATTTATATTGGAGTTTTATTTTTTATTGTACTAAGCCAACTATTTTAGCTCAAACCAGAATTCGAACTTAACAATATTATCAATTATAGTAGCTAAGTCTTAGTTCTTTCAGCGGGAATACCTAGAATGTAACTCTTTATAGTGTCTGCTCAGTTTGATTTTGGAACTTGTTGAGTTTAAATAAAACCTTTGGAGTTTCAAATATTGGAATATTTCGAAAAAGTTATCTTGTGACAATCCATTCTATTATATTTTATTCAAATATACACAATACTTTTTCAATTTGACCTAAAATGGATTTCTGCAGCCCCGTACAGTTCTTGATTATTATGTCGGTTGAATATAAATTTGTATATTAATTTTTGATTGATGACATTAAAGAGGTACTTACTAAACTGACAAATGTTTTCAAAATTAATCAAAAAAATATACTACAACTCGAATTTTAAGAATAGTTTGGTGATTCTATGGTATTGGTTATCACTTTTGTAGTAATTTACAATTTCCAATATCTGTGTACCGCATTGGCCTGCATTTTTCATTCAGAAACCCGAGGGTTTAGGTATCAAACTCTACCGATCATCAAAGAAAGACAAACAAATCATGTGATATCCTGCTACTTTGCGCCTATTGTTGGAGGAATGAAAACTCTCTAATTAAAGTTGGTCTTTCTAGCGTTGTTAAAGCTAACTTCCCATCTTCCTTTTAAGTATATCGTTGGCTTTAGAGTGATTCTGATGAGTATCATTGTCTTAGTAATTCGATCATTATTGATGAATCGTTTGGCAACATCTAGTTGATGTTGGATCCACATTTACGAACGAATCTCAATCGAAAGATATCATGAACTGAACTTGCTGAAAAAATGCAATCTGTCGTTGGAACCAAAAGGTTGGTTTATTGAATAGAGTTTTTCTCAGTCTTCTGGTGAAACTTTCTGACAAAAATCACGATGCTCCAAATCAATTTGGTTTGTTTAGTGGTAGATTAGCGTTGATTCTAGGTGAGCATACACAAAAACCAAAAAGATCTTCGACTTTCTGTGATTGTGAACAGAAGCAAGTAATATTCAAGTGTTTAGATAAACATATAATTCTTCTTAACTAGAAATACCTTATTGAGCACTGAGATATAATATAATCATTAAAAATATCATCCTTATTTGAATGAAGATTTTCCTAAAGTCTTTTCAATCACAAACAGATTCTCAATGAACTTTTATATACATGTTTACTTCCAAATTGTGTAAAAAGAAGGTGCAGACTTCGCAGAAAGAATTGGATCATTAGAGCTTACTATACCTTATGCAATTTTATTCAATCATTTTCTTTTTCTAATTATTTTTAGAACTATTTTGAAAACCATAAATACCCAACTCTATTTTATCAATTTTTATTTACTGGAAAAACCCAATGTTGTAATCAGGATTATATTTAATCACCAATTTCTCAACATTGTCGGGTGTAATTTTTGCTTGTTTTCAGCTGACATATAATCCGTTTTCAGGAAGCTATTTATCAGATCAAAAGTTGTGATTAATTCTAGCTAGGGTATTATTTTGTTTTGTAGTTGTTCAATTATATTTCATAATTCGAAGTTCAATAAAACACAAAGACTCACAAAAATTTATGAGAATTCATGTTGAAAGATCTGGAAAAGAAATTCTTTATATATGATTAAGAAGACTAGAAAAATAATTACTTGTATCTTAAATTTCAAACCAGTGATAATTATATAAATATGTAAAGATTTATTCAAAAAAATTGGAACATAATTGAGAGGAGCCCCATCCACTTTTAACAGAAAAATTCAAATAAAAACCCAATATTAATAATTATCTTTAGCTGATCAATAATTATTATTGTATGTAGTCTTTCCTTGACCAGGATTTACAAAGTCTGCAGTTTCAACAATTTGTGTGTTCGAAATATTAGTTTTATAGTTATCAATTTCAAAAGAATCCATATCAAATGAAAATTCATTTGATTGTGATTTTATTAGTGCTGTATCATCTTTGCCACTATTTTTAAAATTATTGTGAGCTAATAAACTTGTTTCCAAATTTTCATTCATAGGGGTCAAAGAGTTATTAGAAGGATTTAAATTTTGTTTGCTCAGATAAATGTCTTGATTTTTATTTGAATTATCTTTTAAACTCTTACTATTAGAGTTAAGTCTTAAAGATATACCTCTTTTAAGGTCACTAGCTTCGGAAATAGTTTTCTTCAATGAGTGGTTTCTTCTTGCATTTGATAATTTCCTGATTAGCCCAGATAAACCTGCTTTAACAATTCCGTTACTACTCTCATCACTATTGTTTTGCTTGTTTTCCTTACTACTATCAACCAGACCATCTATTAACAGCTTTGTGTTTCTTTCTTGAGCATTGTAAAAAATATTCTCTTTATTTGAAAAATCATTAAGTTCTTCACCAAGGTTTGAAAGCCTCATTTCTTGCATACTATTTTGATATTCATGAAATGAGTTTTTTTGATTTTGAACTCTTGCATTGTAAATTGAAAATCGATTTTGATTGCTTAATGACTGCCCGTTTTCATAGCTTTTAACTTCCTCGGCCCAATTGCTTTGGTGATCTTTAGCAGCTTTGCCTAGAGCAAACAATTCTGAAACAAATGCTCTTTCTTCATTTGCATCATTTTCATTAAGCGCATCATGACCAGTAGTTGGATGATTCTTTTGAAATGAGGTTCTATCGTCTTTTGCTGGCTGAAATCTAGCATCAGGATTTCTGGAGAAAATAGCAGAAAATGTATAAAATATAATTAAAAGAAGTAAGATTAAAGAAAAGGCAGCATTTAAAATAAAAAATACCCATCCCATTATTGATGAGACAGCAGCTGGCTGACCAAACAAATTGGAAAAGAAAATAAATAGGAAAGCATTAATGGTAGTTACAACAGAAATCAATATGTTCAAAACGTTTGTTGGTTTATCAAGAAAAGGTTTATACTTTATTAGCAATATCAAGTAAATCAAATCAATAATGAAGGTTAGAATTGCTTGAACTTTCCCCCAACTTTGTAGCAATCCAATAACTATTGATTTCAAAAGTGAATAAACTAATATTACGGATCCCCAATAATAGTAATGAGCATTAAACATGGTGTAAAAGAATCCAAACTTATGCAAGACATTCTGATCACCATAAAGAATATAGGCTGGATTTTTATGGAGCTGGATGCTTCTTCTACCAAATGATATGGTTTTTAAAGAAGAATAACACAAAATAGTAAATGATAAAAATAAAAATAAAGCTGCTAAAACAACAACAGCTGGTGAATCCCTTTCAGTGAATTCCCAAAGAGAAAAAATGACTAACTGAGTGAAGCCAATAAAAATGTATCTCAACAAAGAACCTTTTATAATGTATTTAAAGTTTTGATTGAAATTTGATTTTGATTGATTGTCAATTATATTAAGCTTTATGAGAGCGATTAGAATAAATTTGATTAGAAAAATTGAGAAGGTAAGTAAATAAGCAAATAAAACAAAAAAGGTAAAAGCAGTTATGACAATTGAAGTCTTTTCAATATGAGCTAAATAACCCAATCTTCTAATTCCTCTAAAAATTAACAAATATTTATTTCCATATAAAACAACTGGATCATCTCTAGAAACGATTTTGATGAGATCCTTAGGCATGAGGTGAAAATATCTGCGAAATAAATTATATGCTCTTTGAACAAGAATTGAGATTGTATTGGAAGTAAGATATAAAGTAGGGGTTCCACCAGTTGATTGGATAAACCAGCGAAATATTTTTTGCATAAATGGAGTTTCAATTAAACCCATTGACCAAGCCAAATTTTCCGACCATGCTGAAGCAATGGGAGGAACTTGATCTACATGTTGCATTGTGACTATTACGACATTTTGAAAATAAATAAATAAGGAAACTGCATTGGCGGAAATATGACTGGCAGCGTTTGAATATGAAGTTGAATAAGAATATGAAGAAAGAGATCTGGCAGAAGTTTTGCTTGCCTCAGGTGATAAAAAAGAAGAATGTTTGTGCTTGGAGTTGGATGATGGTGATGTTGGAGAAGAAGAAAAAGATCTTGAAGATAACGATACTTTTTTTTGGAAAATAGTATTCTTCAAAATCGAAGAAGTGAGTAAACCAAAACCTGCTATTAAGGCAGTTACCCATTTTACAGCAGTATGAGATACAGTCCTTCCATTTGAAAATGCTGCTTGAATACAAGCAAGTTGAGTTTGATTTGAATTCTGAATTGAAATCCTAACAAATGCGTCAATGTCAGGAACAGTGTAAGCTATATTAGGGATAGCAGAGGTATCTGAAGAGGATAAGTAATAAGTGGAGTCGATATCAACAGGACCTGGATACAACGGACAGAACTGCTTAAAGTCCATTGAGCACATATCAATTGTTCTAGTAATGATTTCAAAACCGTAGGCATAGACTTGAATAAGAGCAGTTACATAACCATCAATGTCAGATGTTAAAGATAAATCATAGTTAAAAGAATTGTCATCGGGATTGAACACAATATTAAATTTTGACGATGACAATTGTGAATTTGGCATACAAGTAACCAAAGAGGAAGCCGATAATTTCCTTTTAGCAAAGGTAACTGAAATCCAGAATGTATGGCAGAAAAAAAGGAGAAGTATATGGCAAATTTTCATCTTGGTTGAGAAACAAAAAAATAGTTAATTTAATATTGAGGTTGAATAAGTAAAATGGATGGAAACAAACGAGGATGAAACTAGAAAGAAGATATTAAGGTATGAATGAACAGAAAAGGCATCAAAAGGCAGTTGTTGGAGATAGACCAATATACAGTGTGAAGATCAAACTATCTGGCAGTAAAGAACCAAACAAGATACCCTAACGGAATTATTAAACTAAACAATAATTACAACGGCGATATTCAATAAAAGTAATCTGATAAAAAGATATAATCTTTGGAATTATATAGCAAAGCCTCGAAAGTACTAAAATAAAACCAGATTGCCTGAAAAAATACAAAATTATAAAGACAAACCCGAAGCAGCGAAGTCCCACCACACTGATTTTCTCGCATTTCTAAAAATAGTCTCGGAAATCTAAAATAGTCACGTGTATTTAGGTTTGTGTCATGTGACTGACAGGTCTAAAGCAAGAAGATGTACCAACCAAACGGATTCATGCAATCAACCCTTTTTAGTATGCGGATTGCTTATCCTATCCGTACATGTCCTATCCGTATCTCGGATACGGATAAGTTTTGCTATAAATAGTCGGAACAAGTTCCGTTTGCTTGACGAAACTAAAATAACAAATAGATTCTTTTTCTTTTCCTTCGATCATCGAGCTCGAATCAATCCGCTGTGCTGTTTTGCGCGCGGACCTTCGTATGTCGCAACCGTAGGGCTTCCCGTATTCCAATTCTCAGGGGCTTACACTCAAAGACCGTAACTTAGGGCTTTTTATGTAAACTCGAAAAGAACTAGAAATATGTATTGGAAGACTTGATTCCTTTCTTTCGAAATTGATCAAATTACAACGCCTTTTACATAATTTTATATCGGTCTAAAATAATTCATAATAATAAAAATAAAATATTATAATTCTAGTTGTTTTGCTTTCTCTGCTGTTCTTGCAGCCAATTTTCTGATGTATCGGTTTTCTGGCTGCACGAACTGGCTTCGGAGCCATATAGGACTATGTTGTAGCCCTAAAGAAGAGTGGTACAATCGGTACACCCCAAGCGTCACGGAAGCAAACCGGTAACGGATACCAACGGACCGACGGGTGCCGAATGTAAACATCCGACAGCTTCACAACACTATCTTCTTCCCTATATACTTCACTAACTTAATATTTTATCATTGTTTTGCCACAACATATACTTCAGTACTTAAATCTAATATCATGTATTCTCTACAACACATTTGTAGGTTAATCAATATGTACGTTGCTCATTCGTTTGTTAACTATCCGTACATTCGATACAAACAACCATTCCTATACATTGTCCGACTCACGTGCGTTCGGTGAACGAAATGACAACAATTGATTTTTTGCTTCTTACATCCATCATCAAGCTCGAATCAACTCCCAAGCGTCACGGGAGCAGACCAGCATCAAATTCCGAAAGATCGGTAGAGACCGAATCCAAAGATCCGGCTGCCGCTCACAGATCATATTTCAAAGAGGATTAGAGCGAATATATTTCTGAAGAATATCTATCTGTGGCAAAAATGATTTCTTATCAGTTCCATAACTATCTTTTCTGATTCAG